GCTACACTAGTACGTTCTGATTTCGCAGAAGGAGACAAATGGGCAGCAATCCGAGCTCAACCCTTGTGAGGAGTCTGAGAAGCCTGAAGGTAGCCTGTAATTCAATAGTGTGCCGAGACAAGCACTGTGACTGGTGACCCCAATCGTCGCACCTAACGGTGTAATCCGTAACACCATGCGTGCGCAGATCAATATCAGTAAGGCGGTGTTAGTCCATTGCCTGGTCTCCTCGGCTCTAATATGCCTGGTGATCGTCCGGGGTAGGGGCATGCTGCGTGGCACCATAACAGGCGAGCACACTGCAGGATCATCTTCCCGCCTGCTGTTGAATATTCGACAACACGACATGGACAAGCACGATACGGAAAGGGAGAATGTGAAACAGGACAGACTGCTTGATTCAGTCGACAGTGAATCCCAGTACCTAGTCGGATCCAGTGCTCGTGTAGGTTTGCAGGTGGAGCGCCGCCACGACGCAACCAGTGGTGAATTGCAAGATGATCACTCACTCCAACTCCAGGCATTACCAGCAGCCACTGCAGAGGAACTCCCGCAGAATGCTGACCTCTGGCAGCATTGGAGAAGGGGCTGTTTGAAGCCGTTCCGTACCGTCGAACAGGCGCAGGAAACACAGGCAGCGTGCCAACGCTGGGCATTAGCAAAGTGGCCAGGCAATGGTGTGCTGATCTACACGTGTACAGGAAAGAGAAATGAGAAATGTGGCGGGCTAGCAGACCGTGCTAGAGGCATGCTGTTAACGTACTGGCTGAGCGTTGTGCGCAGAACCGCCTTCTTCATTGATTCCAGACGACCCACCGACCGAGCACTGGAGACGTTCTGGCTTCCAGCGGAAACCCTCAACTGGACTCTCCCCGCCAGTCAGCGCAGCAGCGGAGATCACATGCACTACGTCATTTGCATGCCCTCAGATGCAAAGTCACGTCTGACCTCACGGCTGGTGAAGGACGTTCAGACCACAGACGAGCTGCTGCAGGATATGAACGACCAGCAACTACCGCACTTCGACCGCAACGTAGACAACAAGTGTGAATGCATGCAGAACTACCTGGCACACAAAGATGCGGAGGGCAAAAAAGTAGTCCGTTTCTCTACTACCCATCATCACTCCTGTGTCGTCAACATGTTCCGCAAGCTCAACATGACGTTTAGCAGGCAAGTGTGGACATCAACATTTGGCTATCTGTTCAAGCCCAGTCCTTTCCTGCGATCGTTGTCGCGAGCGTTTAGTGATGCGACAGCCTGGCAACCCAGCAGCTCCGTGTGTATACATCTGCGTGCGGGCGGTCCTGTTGGGCCTGAAGGTTACCAAGTTGCGGACAAGTACCGCACTGATCTGCATGTCCGTCAAAAGATGTACCAATGCGCCAGGAGATTCTCCGACCAATCTCTGAGAACCTCACTGCACTCCGGCTTGGCAAATATCCAGAAACCTTCAGCGTACCTGGTTGTGGCGGATCATCAAGAGCTCATCCCAGAAGCCCAGAAACATATTGGCAAGACGCCAGTTTTGTCTACTGAATCGTTCGGACCCATGTTACACATAGACAAGATCCACTTCTCACTCGCATTCAGTCCTGAGCTCTACTCACAACTGGAGTTGGCAGAGGAGCGGGCATACCTGGACCACTTTCTCCTGAGCCAGTGCCAATACGCAGTCGTGGACATCAGTGGATTCGCCTGGACCGCGCTGAACTTCTCCGAGCGAAGCAGAGCCGTAATACGACCCAGCGTGGACTCCTCTGTCTGTCAAGAATCTGATGAAACTGAAAGGCTTTGATGCACCGCCACTATCCTGCAATCAGGACCAACTGTTGTTTGGTATGAGTGAACAGAACAGCTGCCACCCACTCAACTGTGTTCATCCTGTTGTTCCGTTAGCACACCATGAACTACTTGTACTCAACATACGACAATGATCCCTTTCTTTGGGCAATAACGTGTCGCATTTGGTGAGGATTGCCTGATACAAATTTTGATACAGCCATCACCGAGAGAGAGAGAAGTGACGCCTGGTATAGTATCCATGACTGCTGGTACTGATCTACGCGTACATGTGATCCAACATCAGTTCTTGGGCAAGCTAGCCAGCGTGTAAGACCCGTGTAGGACCCGTGTAGGACCCGCAAACGAATGCTCTCGTATAATGCACATCCGGTGCTGTCGCCATTTCTCTTTCCTCTTCCCCATTCTGCAACCATGAACTCAACGTACTTTTTAAAAATACTAATATTTTCTTTATCCGCTTGCTGTTGATTGCTGAGATGATCAGTTCTTGAAATTGTATTCTACCTGCACCGTTGACAAATCTGTTTTCTTTACCGATTTAAGTTTCGCGTATCCGAGCACAGCCAATTATTTTCCTTCACTCGCGATTCATTGCCATCTTAGAGTATCTATCACGGAATTCTTCAGTCGCGTTGACCTACACTTGTTTTTCAGTGAAATTCCTTCTCAGATTTGACTTACTGGGTACATGTCACTCTGCTATTCCTAAATATGTTGAGATGTGAGACAGAGAATAGGATTTGAAACTGCTACACACATTTTCCAATTGCCTACACTAGGCTACAGCATAGTCACGCGTCCTAGAACCAAGGGGTTAGCCAGAGGCGTTCTTATTTTGTTGCGCAATCTGCCTGCATTCTTGTAGACAATTCGTACTGGATCATATCTATCCCAAAAGCTACCGGAAAACCAATGCCGCCGTTCATAACTTTAGACTGTGGCGTTCATAGCATTTCAGGCTAGACGTTCTTGGGCTCAACGTTCTTCAGCGCGCGACTACTGTATCACCACCCTACTCGACCAAATTCTTTCTTTTCAAAATCAGATCAATGTTTGATATGTCCAATATTTGAGTTAATGTGAAGTTTCTCATTTTCAGACTCCCTTGTCAATACCAGTGCAGCGTGTACAAGGCGAGCCTTGGCGGATAATGCCGACAGAAATAATTGGCAGAGTTTGGCACCTTTCCTGGTATATTTCGTGCACGTTTGGTACCGTATTTTCCCCATTAAACGTACACGTCTCCGATACTGATACGTCTTCAATTGTAGTACATTGTACATGTTGAGTGTGGATCAAAAAATAAATATAAAAGGACACGTCTCTAATGATAGTACATGCCGGTATGATGTGATGGGCATTGCTGGGATACAGGTACAGTGCCAGGGTTCACCTTACTTGTATACTTCGTTTTTCTTACCCGTTTATCATCAGGCTTTGTGTCTTCAAGTTGTACACTGTTTCTTACCATGATTGGATTTACAGCCCTGCAGTATCATTATCACGAGTTGTTTGCCACCGTACCCGGGCCAGGCAGTCACTCTTTCCAGAAACAATACAAGTAAAAATATACGCATCAAAATACTAGTACAGTCTCCTACAGTAGTACATGTCTAAAACCACCTTCGAAAAAATAAAAGTGCTGTACATGTATTGGGGGGGGGGGGGGGATACGGTACATGTATGTAGATAAAGACTGGAGCAGAATTCAAGGAAGTTCCTGCCATGAGATTTGTATGGTTTTGCCAATTTCACTGCTTTTTGAGCGGAATTTGCCAATTTTTCGAGCCGATTATCCGCCAAGGGCTAGTATAATAGTGTACTCTCTCTCTTATGGTACTTCTGATGTACATCGCACACCTGCATTAATTTTTATGATACAGCTTGATGGGAAATGGCGTGCATGCTTTACACCCACGTTCTATGGAGTACAGATCAGCATTGCAGGTCCTCTTCTTGCACCTCTTCGACCTGGATCCTGTTTGACTTGGTTTGGAGTTCGTGGAGAAATGGACGTCGTTTGAGGCTTTGAGAATTTTTGTGTTTATTTTTGATTTCTTCACCATTACTTTTCTTGTTGTGCGATGCCGGCTACGTCCAAGACTGGAAACAATTGTTTTACAATAGAGAGGTTAAGTAAGTTACACGTTTTTTGCCTTTTTCAAAGCGCGGTGAAAATCTCACTTTACGTGTAAATTTTAGAGGTTAAGTTACACGTGCGACGTGACGTGAAATTTTGCTTGGCAGGATTCGGGTTTAGGTCACACAAATATCAAATCTTCCAACAAACTCAATAAAACTACGGCAACTCACACAAATTCGATCGGGATGACCAAGCGAAACTTCCAAAAACCCACGTCACGAACTTCCGTGCGGGACAGTAAAAAAAAAAAAAAAAGTAAATTATCGTATCCGTTCCCGAAGGGAACTCACGACGGCCGCCAACACCCGATAAACCCTAGGGTTTATCGGGCGCGGGACAGTCAACTCACGTAAAAACACGTCAAATTTCAGGTGCACGAGGTTTTTTGAATTTTTGACTTAAAAGTTCACGGACGTAAGAATTTTACCTGAAACTTTAAACCTCTCTAATGTAGCTTTCATTCTACCTTCCGTTTGTTTTCAAGGTGCATGCACGTGCGATGATCCAGCTCTTCGGATAGTTGCATGGTCGACGAAGGCCGACTCACATCATCAATGCCGGTCCAAACTTGGGAGACTGGAACAGACAAGTCCGTGCAGGTAGGCAGTAACTTTTTTGCGGGACCGTTGAATCCGATTATTCTGTACATGCTCGTCGCCAGTAGAGTCCCACGTTTTTTCGAGCCTGTTGCTTCTTTTTGTTGATCGGTGTGTCTGATGGCGATTTTGTCCATCTACTATCGATCACACCAAAATGACAACCTGCTCCGGAGAAGTGAAGGACTCAACTGACGAATGGGCATGCGCAGAGTGATCGGATTCAGCGGGCTGAAAGTTATTGATCGCCTGAGCGGGCAATGCCGAGAAATACAGCACGCTTGCGGAAGGTGTTGATTGGTTGTAATACAGACAACCCTCACACGACATGTAATAGATGCTGATATTTGACCGCTTAGAGATCACAGGTTTCTGTTGCGGTCAATAATAATAAGAGAGTGATAACATGGAATCTAATCATGGCCTTCTTCACCACAAAAATAATCCAGACCAAAAATTTACGGATCACCTCGTTCAAGCAATGAAATCTAAATTGGATATCTGTATGTGTCAAGAAATACATGACATCACAGGGACTGCGTTGACTGGGTCAATATTGAAAAAGATCAAGAATCAATTTCTTCAGATACTCTTGATGAGCAAGTTAATGCCATTCTTTGCCCGCATGACAATAGCATCATTGAACAGTGGCTCCGGGAGACTGGGATCAACCGTCAACTGGAATCGCATCAACACTCCAGACAGTGTGAGGCGCAACTCGTTCATAGCCAAAACCTGCCCGATGCAGTTACGGGGGCCAGCAGAGAATGGGATAAAGGCTAGAGGGTGTCTGTCTTTGACATTCTCCTCGGAGAAACGATCAGGGTCAAACACGTACGGGTCGGGATAGAAAGTACGATTGTGATGGAGGCCAAATATGTCAATATTAATCGCCACACCTTTCGGAATGGTGTACCCGTCAATGTCGGTATCTTCAGTCAAGGCTCTCTCAATGTACACCACTGGACAGCACATACGTAGACTCTCCTTGATGCACTGTGTGATATAGGTCAGCTTGGTCAAGTCGCAGTGTGACACAAACCCTGAAACACATGAAAAATACAAATCTGGCTGTTTGCAGGTGAACACATAAGGCCATTGGATATACCGTAAAATTTTATATAGCGTAAAGTCGTGTATAAAAGCCGCGGCTTATATGATCATATGACTTTATGGGGGAAAAAATAATTTTTTTGGACTTCCTCTAATTGACAAGTGCTTCAAATTGTCACCGCTAACGCTGGGATTGCTGCTGCTTTCGACTGGCTTCACTTCGAACGACTATTTGGTGTCGAGATGTCTTTTCAGTGCCGTCGTTGAGCAGCCTAGACCGTTTTGCAAAGATCGCAAGTAGCCTTGTTCTTCGCTGCATTGCGGGGAAAAACTTCCCAACGACTAAGCGTGACTTTTGCTCGAACGGAGAGCTCATTAGTTGCACTGACAGTACTTGCCATGTGTACGCCGTGTTGTATGCGGTGCTTGTTAGTGGAAACGAGCCTAGTTTCTGGCAAGCCAGCTAACGAGTACCCGGTGAGATCCTTTCAGCACTACCGTGTAGCCTAGCCCTAACAGGCTGGGAGTGAGCGTAATGTCGCGTTTTGAGGCCATGGTTTCTATACAAGTGCGGCTTACATGTATGTGCGATTTGATGTTTCTAAAAGTGCGGCAGTTCTATAAAGTAAGTGCAGCCTTTACACAAGACTTGACGTACTACGTCATACTCACCTTTCGTTTCGTTGGCCTGGGTAGCTACTTGCGCGCCCATGTTTGCCATAGCTACCCAGGCCCTTTATATTGCGTTGTCTCTTCAATAATCTGGCTCTCTTCAAATAATCTCTTTCTCACTCTTCAACTTGATGTAGTCGTTTCGTTCGTCTTGGTCTCTTGTCTCGTCGTCTATAATAATGTCGTTCCCAATAACTTCTGTCCGTTGTCCGTTGTACTGTCTGGAGAAGATGTCGTCAGTCGTCCTTCTTCGGACTCAACAGTACTCAATGAGAAGAGATCGAAACTGCAGACGTCACTTTAAGACGTCACTTTAAAAATGGGCCGTGGGCCGTGCCCAAAACATGTCACCCTTATGATGGGCCACGGCCAAAAATTTGGCAAACTATTCGTAATCGCGATCTGCAGCAAAGAGACCTTGAGGAAGAGAAAGAATAATGTGCACATGAAGATGAAGTAATTGCTGCTACTCATGAAGCTCACTCGATTGCTGCTACAGTCAAACCTCTTTAGGACGAACATCAAGGGACCGATGATATTTGTTCGCCGCAATAACGGGAGTTCTTCTTATCCATATGTTTTACCCAGTGAATACACAGGGTTTTATCCGATACAGTTACAGGGCCGGAGGCAGCTTCCGCGGAGTGGTGGGGCCGAAGGGGCATCTTTAAGGGGGGATCCTCCCCAAGAAAGTTTTTGGAATTTAGACGGCAAATCCTGCACTCTGGGCGCCTCCCTGTACAAAATCATAAATCGAAACTTTTTCTCCTCGGCTTTGGACGTTCCACGTGGACCGACTTTTTGGGAAGTTGGTACGGCCATGGCCGTACCGGCCATACAAGTGGCGCCGGCCCTGAGTTACGAATACTAGTTCTTCTTAGGCAAACATTTGTCTTATCAGTGTTCTTCCTAACGAGGTTTCACTGTACTTGACAAATCATCACATGCGGTAGATGTAAAAGTGAGCTTACGCATTGAGCATCTGACACTGACGAGGGGATCACACTGATTTTTTTCTTCTTTTTTTGCTGCTGCCGCATCCTGGCGCTTTTGCCTATGTCACAAATCACCACGGAAACTATGGCCAGCACACGCAAAATGTAAGGGGCCGTCCGTAAATATCGATGTTTTTTTAGAGACGATATTGGTGCGTCTGGGGGGGGAGGGGGTTTGAGCCATGTGCGTCTTTTCGAGCATCAGAAAAATATCGATGTAAATATCTGAAGTTTCGCCGATCCCTGCACGCGGACGTCTAAATGGCTATACAAGAAATGTGAAACCAGCTTCCGTTCGCGGAGCTAAAACTCGCGACACAGGAACAAAATCAAAAATTGGAAGCTGTACGCCCATGGCGAATTTCAAGAGCAAAAGAATGAGCTATTGATTGTGGAAATCGGCCGAACGATGCCTGCAGGAGACCTTTTTCAAGACGTAGAGGCAGTGCGAACAAACACGGACGAACTCCACAAGAGTTTCCAGTCTTCACTGTCTGAACAAGGATTTGAAAAAATTCAAGCCCGAGCGTAGCCGCTTTGGCTACACCAGTACACGATGTCTGTGAGCACTGCAGCGCCAACCCGGTTCGCTCCCCCCAGGCCAGGCGATGCAGCTATTGCGTGAGTGCGGCGGGATTTTCACGCCTACACCGGACCCTCAACATCCTGGGCACTTCATGAGCATCCAAAAATATTGATTCCATGATCTAGATGTACATGTGCGTCTTCTGGGGGGAGGGAGGGGGGTCAAGGGAGAGAAGCACCAATATCGTCTCTAAAAAAACATCGATATTTACGGACGGCCCCTAAGTCAAGATTGCGGAAAGTGTCCCTGACGCCTGCCTGGGTTGTGTACCTTACCATCAGGCTGCGAGAACTCCATGGCTTCTTGTCTGCAGCGTTCCTGAATGTCAGGATGCTTGGCGAGGAAGTAGAACATCCATTGCATACCACTGGACGTTGTGTCATGACCTGGAAGAACATGTGTACAGCAGTACAAAGAGAGAGGGAAATATACTATGAAATGCCTCTAAAAAAAAACAGTATAGAAAATCACCAAGTCAAAAAAATGAAAAGTCTCTGGGTGACCTCCATCTCCAAATACTTCGAAATTCACACGAGCAAAACAAAGAATGGAGTGCAAACAATAAGTTTTCATGACCACGGACACGTCAGCTCATGTATAGCAGCACCTGCACCAAGCTCTTATACATACCCCACCAATGTGTGTGTGATAAGATCACGGTTCTGATACTAAACCGTAGCTACGTGAAATTATACGGTTCTCGAGTCGGTGTCAGTCGTTCGGAATTTCCCGCACCCTCAAGAATGCCACCGCCCTCGAGGATTGACGGCCATAGATGCAACCCCTAAAGCGGTGGGGGTGAGTAGACCAGACCCCCGACTAGCCTGGAGCTAGACCGCAGGTTCACAGCTAACTGTGCGTTGCTGCGTGGCTAGTAAAATCCCTCCGCGTCGCCTTGTCTTCAAACAATATACAGAACACTATCTTAGGCCAAGCAAATGCAATTTCTTTCTTTACCACTGTGCTATAGCTTTTCGACAAAGCCCAGCTAGGGGCTACGGCATCCTCCATGACCACCTACACTCGTAGCACAAAGGCAGTTATGCTTGTGTCTCTGATGATTAGATAACATTAAGTCTGCACCAGGCCCTGTGGTGTCTTCGTAAAAACATTAAAATGAATGCACACACGGACGTCACAAATGACCCAATTGCAGCTAACCTTCGAACAGGAACGTGTCGACTTGATCACGGATCTCAGAATCGCTAAGACCAGAGCCATCTTCATCGTGTACAGTCAACAGGATGTCCACGAAACTGGTGTGTCCCTTGCGGATTTTCTTCAGCGTGTCTTCACTTCTTTCTGTTGCTTCCGCCATTGCACCGGACTCCTCCAGCTCCCGTCGTCTTTTCTCAATAACAGTGGATGAGAAATCGTGGCACATGTCACACAGACTAAAGAACTTCCGCCCATCCACGGTCATTTTGTAAAGGAAGTTAGGCATGAGAATCGCGAGGCTCATTGCCCGAGCAAAGATCAGCTTTGTGATCTCCATGACACCAATGGTGTAGGCTGAATCCTTGAGTTGGCAGTTCGACTCGTAGCCCATTGTGCAGCGCAGCATCACATCCAGAGTCAGCAAGCAGCATGCGCGTGAGAAATCAAACGCCTTGTTCTGCGTCTCAGCATCACTAACATGCCGTGCAAGTTTCTCCAGCAGTACCTGACAGGAGTCATGCAGCAACGGTGTGTACTCCTGTAGGATGTTGAAGTGAAATGCGTTGGTCAGCAGTCGGCGGTCTCTCGCCCACTTCTTGCCACTGCTCACGAGGAGTCCATTCCCAATGAACGGTAGAAAGAGAGAGTAGGTGGTCATGTTCTTAGGGAATGATGATTTCAGGACTGTGCCGATAGTCTCGGGGTGGCTCACCTGCCAGTGGATCAGAACAAATTCAGAAAAAATTCAGTTAGTTTCAACAAGCACCCACAGCCCGGACCGCACTGGTGTGTGTGTGGTGTGTGTGTGTGTGTGTGTGTGTGTGTGTGGTGTGTGTGTGTGTGTGGTGTGTGTGTGTGTGTGTGTGTGTGTGTGTGTGGTGTGTGTGTGTGTGTGTGTGCGTGCGTGCGTGCATGTGTGCGTGCGCGTAAGCCTACGGTCAATAAGCATTCATGCACCTGGCCAATCATCTGTAAACAAACAAATTAAAATTAAAGGTTCCGGAGATCTTTTTAAAGTTTTTATGGCAAGATGTGTGTGAAAGAGTGCTGTGACCGGATGTTGATGCTTCACTATGCTCTATGTGCTCTATATGCTCTATGTGCTACTAGTGCTTGCCATGCCTTATTGTTAGAGCAGGTTCTAGACTGGCCAGAGAATATGCAATTTTGTCACCATTTGGCATGCTCTGTATGGAGTGGCATCACAAGTGCTGGTTTGTCACTTCGTTCAAAGCACATGATTGTGATGACATCATTTGAATGAACCGTCTAAAAGAACGCGTTCAGTGTTGATTGTGATGGCATATCCGGGCCGGTGTGTGCCAAGCTCACCACGTGTGTACATTATTTATACAATACATGTAGCTTACTGCATGGCGTTGTATGGTTTTGCTGTGTACTAGTCCAACTTGTCTTTGTAGAAATGAATGAAGTTAGTTGTATTTCTCGCCGGCCGAGCGCGCAGCGACATAGGCGAGAAATGATTTCTCGCAAAATATTTTCAGTTGCAAATATTGCATCTCGTGTGTTCTTTATTGTCGCTTCTTTTCCTTACTTCTTCAGTCAGTTTTGAGTCTCACCAGTGTCCCTGCCCTCCCACCCTTCATTTCTGTGTATTATCATTGCTTTTTATCACTGTTTGACGTGATGTGCTTGCCATGCCTACATGATTTTTTTAATTTATTTATTTATTTCTGCACCTTGTGGCATGTCAAGACAGCCAATTGAATTGAGGAGAGGGTGAGACCAACCACGGAAGAAGAGAAAAAGAAAATGAAGAGCACGTACACAAAGTGGGAAGGGATTAGCAACTTACAAAGCAATGGGATGCTCAGCGAGCTATGCAGCGGAAGTGGTGACTGTGATTTTGTTTACTGGGAGATACTGAAGTGCTGTGATGCCTAATAAGGCAAGATACTTTTTGCACTACCTGACAAAACGAGTGCGAGGAAAACCCCACTCAGAGAAGCCGATTAATCAAGGGGCATTGATCCCCTCGGCAGAGCTCTCACGAGCCCCCCCCCCCCCCCAAACCAGATGCATGCACTGAATGAGCATTCAACTCGCACTTGTATCACACTTTTTAGACAATGCAAACGACATCAGATTATATTCTAATATTCGGAAATTCCCTCTGCGTGGATGTGTAAGAGTTTCGGTGAACACATACCGGTATATGCATAGTCATTACCATGGAATATCAAAAACATGTCTGCTAGATGTCTTGCCCAAAAGTGTTTTGATATCATCAAGTGGAGTAGAACCAAGCCATTTTGCTGTGTAATGTCATTAGATTAGTTTCGACCAGGGAGTCGTACATGTATATACATGTACCATATGGGTATGACTCCCTGGTTTCGACTGAGTGTGAGGAAAACTCTGCTCCCGTTTTCTGTGATAATGACTGCACGGGGGTTTAGTGGTTAGAGTGCGGAAGCCTCTCGTTCGAGCCCTCCTGCCATGGGCTGGTGTTCAACTGTAAAGTGTTGGCAGTGAAATTCGCTACAGACTTTTCCCTCAAGCAGTGCAGATTGATTGTTACGGATGGCTTCCAAGACTGCAAAGGCTACTTACTACAATTAGCGGGTAGCGTGTCGGACCCACTGAAAACCTTCTCACTCGGTGTTCGTTCTCTGTGATCTTCGGGACCAAGTTGTAGAATACATTTTGCCGGTCCGTGACGCAGGGTATGTTTCCCAGCAACCAGTGGTACTCCAGAAAACTCGAAACAGGAACCGACCTCAACCGGTAATGGACCGAAGCGAGACGCACTAAGCCATGAACAATCCATACCACAAGAGCAGTCACGATCAGCAATACGACATCCATCCTCACGCGAACACCTCAGCTCATGCATCCATAAAATCAGATAATTATTATGAAAGCCGAAATGGTACGTCTACTACCCTGGCCCAGGAACTAACTAACTACTTCAGGCCGGCAGGAATTCACTGTTGCCAATCTCATAACGAATAATCATTGTACGTTTTGTAGATCTACATGATTGTACACCACACCACAGAGCACATGCACGGACGGCAGAGTTGCAGACTACGTGATTGTATACAGTAGTGACAACAAGGACTTAGGTACAGTCAGTCCTCGAGTATAAGCCCAAGGTCCAGGACAGTCTCAGTCTGACAGCAGCAGTGGTTCTGTGTAAATAAGGAGTCTGTCCATCAGATCATGCCGGGATATGCACGCTCAGGAATCGCCGGCACCGAAGACCGACTTGTTTGACATAGTGACATACGCCTGGGTCAGCTAGATACTGTCACAGCTGAACACACACACACACACACACGCGCGCGCGCACACACACACACACACACACACACACACACGAACACACGCACGCACGCACACACACATGGATACACTGGATCTTTTGACTTACCCATCGAATGGGCGAATGCGGAAAATGCGAAGGCCCATGTAAGTAACTAAAATTTAATGAGAGGAATGCAAGGTGGCCTAGGAAGCACAGTCGCCGTCATGTGATTATAACCTCCACATTCGCAAGGAATAAGCATAACATCAACCAATCAACTATAGACGGTGAGGTTACCGTGATATCTTCAATGCATCGCACCTAAGAGTCTGCAGCATAATAATAATAAAGAGGTTATGTAAGTGATGCCATGGGGGTGATCCAGTGTATTCGCCCATGGGCGCTAATTTGGCGATTTCTTTTTTTACAAGCTAGTGCATAGCTGCTCTGCAGCTAGCTACACAGGGCTTCTCAACTGATGAATTGATGTAATTGTGACCTCTATACCAGTCATCTACTACTGAGGCCCTACAAAGTTGTTTATAGTCAGGTTTCTATCTAGGTCCATGTTCAAACAATTTGAAATTCCTAATATAAATAGAAAAAGGCTTGGCCGCCACATGGCAGTTGAAAAAAGTTTGTATAATAGACTACAAATGTCATGGAATTTTTAGCATTCTTCGTCACAAAAATAATTCATACTATACTTTACGGATAACGGATCACCTCGCTCAAGCAATGAAATCTAAATCGGATATCTCTTTATGTCAAGAAATACATGACATCACAGGGACTGTGCTGACTAGGTCAATATTGAAAAGAGATCAAGAATTTTAGCTCGTCAAGAGTTTCTGAAGAATTGAAATTCTTCAGATACTCTTGATGAGCAAGTTGATGCCATTCTTTGCCCGCATCACAATAGCATCATCAAACAGTGGTTCCGGGAGACTGGGATCAAGCGACAACTGGAATCGCATCAACACTCCAGCCAGTGTTAGACGCAGCTCGTTCATAGCCAAAACCTGCCCGATGCAGTTACGGGGGCCAGCAGAGAATGGGATGAAGGCTAGAGGGTGTCGGACTTTGACATTCTCCTCGGAGAAACGATCAGGGTCAAACACGTATGGGTCGGGATAGAACGTATGATTGTGGTGGATGCTAAAGATGTCAATATTAACCGCCACACCTTTCGGAATGGTGTACCCATCAATGTCAGTATCTTCAGTCAAGGCTCTCTCAATGAACACCACTGGACAGCACATACGCAGACTCTCCTTGATGCACTGTGTGATGTAAGTCAGCTGGGTCAAGTCGCTGTGTGATACAAACCCTGCAGTGCACAGAAAGAGGTGACACAAACACATGCCGTTCCTGAGCCAACCTGCAATACTGTACTGTCGAGTGTCGAGATCGCACAGACCGAAACTCATCCAGTACAGTACATGTACACTGGAATCAGTACCTGGTACCTCCACTACAAGTAAACTAAGCATGAAGGTAAGAAGTACCTAGGCTACGGCTCTTTGGAGTCAGACAGCACTGTGCGCTAAAAACAGAGACGCCAAGTGCAAGAGGCAGTAGTCAAACACTATTTCTCACCACAATGCTGACCTGTGTCGTAATTCCTCATCGCCACATTTTCCAACAGTATTGCCGCTTTGAATAGGCGAATGATTTCCCATTCGCCGCCTACGCTAAGTCACAGTGAGTGCATATTAAACATAGTCCAGGATCACAGCTACATCAACAAACCAAACATGGGTTGTGGATAGCAGATTGGATAAAACTTTACCATCTGACTGCGAGAACTCCATGGCTTCTTGTCTGCAGCGTTCCTGAATGTCCGGATGCTTGGCGAGGAAGTAGAACATCCATTGCATACCACTGGACGTTGTGTCATGACCTGGAAGAACATGACATTGTGTACAGTACAGAAAGAAGAAGATACAACTAGTCCATTTCAAAACTATAGACGCGCAGTGTTTTTGAAGTATTTCAAATTTGGCTGGAACTTTTTGAGAACAGTTTTCGGAATATTGCTCAGGTCCGCTCCACAATTACGCTCATATAGTTTCTAAACGATTGGATAACAGACGCCCAATTCGGAAAAATGTATGCACGAAGTGATCGCAGATTTTATGTGGTATAGATGCTGGCATAACGGTTTTTGCCTAGGTACGCGTCTATAGTTTTGAAATGGACTGTAGAGTACGAAATACATGTACAGTCTTTCTTGCTCTCGGTGTGTTTCGATCTGGGAACGGCCTGACCATTCTGAAACTGCTTCTGACGGCTTGAAGCCAAAACAGGAACTATAGCATTGATTTACTATCTTAGTCCTCCTCATCATGATTTTGTTTGACACGGAGTACTTCATCAGTCCAATTCCACCAATAAGTGATCGTCCATTTAGGTATTTAAAATTCAACCCTAAAGAACCATTGAACTATATCTACATCCGTCTCGTGAAACCCAAATGTACTTGTACTGTGAATAGATGCATTATATGATGGCCCCTGGCTAGATTCACAACCATTCACATCAATTTTTGCTCACCCTCAAAGAGAAATGTGTCGACTTGATCGCGGATCTCAGCGTTTGTCAGTCCAGAACCATCCTCATCTCTCACCATCAAGAGGATGTCGACAAAACTGGTGCGTCCCTTGCGAATATTGTTCAGCGTTCTCTCGCTGCTGTCTACGGCTTCGGTCATTGCACCTGACTCCACCAGCTCCTTTCTCCTGTTCTGAATGATATTCCTTGTGAATCCGTGGCAAGCGTTGCAGAGTCTACGGAGCGCACGCCCGTCAGCGGTCATGTTGTAGAGAAAGTCCGGTAGAAACATGCCGGCAGTGGTACCGCGTGTGAACAAGAGCTGGGTGATCTCCTGTACCCTGCTGGTATATTCTGAATCTTTCCGCTGGCAGTTTGACTCGTAGCCCATTGTGCAGCGCAGCATCACGTCCAGAGTCAGCAAACAGCATGCGCGCGAGAAATCAAACGCCTTGTCCTGCGTCTCACCATCACCAGCATGCCGTGCAAGTTTCTCCAGCAGTACCTGACAGGAGTCATGCAGCAACGGTGTGTACTCCTGTAGGATGTTGAAGTGAAATGCGTTGGTCAGCAGTCGACGGTCTCTCGCCCATTTCTTGCCACTGCTCACGAGGAGTCCATTCCCAATGAACGGTAGAAGGAGAGAGTAGATGAACATATTCTTGGGATGCGATGACTTCAGAATCACAGCCATTGTCTCGGGGTGTCCCACCTAGCAGTTGACAAAAATCATATTCAGAACTTAGTCCATGGCAACAGATGTGTGTTAACTCCAGGAACGTATCAAGCCTATTTTAAAATTAAATCCGCCGACCACCACCATACACAGGCAGACCACCACCATACACAGGCAGACCACCACCATACACAGGCAGACTACCACCATACACAGGCAGACTACCACCATACACAGGCAGACCACCACCATACACAGGCAGACCACCACCATACACAGGCAGACTACATGTGCAGTAAAACCCTATCAAGGCGACCACCACCATACACAGGCAGACTACACGTGCAGTAAAACCCTATCAAGGCGACCACCACCATACACAGGCAGACTACATGTGCAGTAAAACCCTATCAAGGCGACCACCACCATACACAGGCAGACTACATGTGCAGTAAAACCCTATCAAGGCGACCACCACCATACACAGCCTGCAGACTACATGTGCAGTAAAACCCTATCAAGGCGACCACCACCATACACAGGCAGACTACATGTGCAGTAAAACCCTATCAAGGCGACCACCACCATACACAGGCAGACTACATGTGCAGTAAAACCCTATCAAGGCGACCACCACCATACACAGGCAGACTACACGTGCAGTAAAACCCTATCAAGGCGACCACCACCATACACAGGCAGACTACATGTGCAGTAAAACCCTATCAAGGCGACCACTCCGCTGATAATGCGACCACCTGACCCTGAGGGCCACAGAACCTAGATTAGAACCTGAAGAGACGCTATTTCTAGCCAAAAGACCCTGGATAAGGAGATCACCTGTATACATGGACCACACGGGCAAGGTCCCTCGAGAAGACATCTTGGACACGCAACAGGTGAAATGCACGCAAATTATTATGGCAACGAGAAGAACTACCGTATTATCTCTAATATAAGCACGGTCTCCAATAATAGCACGTCTCCAATAATAGAATACCTTGGGGCGGCATTAAAAAAAAAAAGTGCTCAGTCTCCATTATAAGCACACTGTGTAAATTCGTTATCTGTACCGGCGGAAAAAAAACCCTGAAATGTGTGTGTCTGACATGAATTTGGCATGGCAACATGCCTCTGAAATGAGGTTGAAATAATAATGGAACAGTCTCCAATAAAGGAACGTCTCCAATAATAGCACGGGGCGGAGGTACATTGAAAAAATAAAGGACCGTGCTTATAATAGAGATAGTACGGTAATTAAAAAGTCATTAAAGATCCTGTCTCCGTGCCGCCTATTTGCACACAAACCCCTGGACTACCTTTTAACAACTATTAGTTTGTCGGTTAACCTCCGCCTATGCTGCTACATGCATGTGACAATTTATCATTCAAGACGACCTATGGATAAATAATAAATTAATAATAAAACAAGAGAGATTGGAAGCTGTGTCGCAACTCTGAGTTTCACGTATTACTACGCTCATCAGGCCGCGTAGTAATACGTGAAACTCAGAGTTGCAACACAGCTTCCGATCTCTCTTGGGTACAAGGCTCTACCCTATATGGGTATTGAACACTCTTCGGACAGTGAAGCATACTACTTGATTCCGTAAATTAATAAAGGCACTGTTTCCATAATTATAGTCGTCAGGATACCTTGACACCATCGGTATCACCAGCTACTGCTCTGTGGCAGAATTGCAAAAAAATGCTCTCCTTGGCTCGGCAGCTATCCTGCGTAAGGTCCTTGATTTGTAATGCTTCTGGGGTAGGTGGAGTTCTTTTCGGCCCTATTTTCCTCCAAACCCTCTCACGTTTCCTATGAGACCACCCAGAATTAATTCGTTGTTTCGGGTAACCCGACCGACCATCTTATTATAAACATCGAGGTCGCATATTGCCCGCATAAACAAAATTCATCATATGGGGGTCATGCATCTGTCGATGATCATTAACCAGAGTTGCTTGTTGGTGGCGAGATTGAGACATTAGGGACGCACCACGCGTACGGATACGAAACGAATGCTGATTCGTCACCTGGGTTCGAGGATTCGTCAGAGTCCCTGCGGAGAGCTCGTTTTCACGAATGGAAGCCTCTTCATTTGTGGCGCGCTCCGAATCTGTCAGGTACACATTTATTTGGCCAGGTACACATGTTTTGCCAGGTACACATTTTTTCCCTTGATTCCATGATCCATGCACGTGTGCGTGTAAACATCTGCGTACGCCAAGCTACCGGCTGTATTCGTAGTTGCCATGCACATTTGCATGACGACTTGCGAAACCTGAATCTGTGTTCAACGAAATGATTGCGAGCCGAATCAAACTTTCGTTTCGCATTCAATTCGTAGCAAATGCGAAAGGTCCCTATTCCTGAATCGGCACATTAGGCAGAGGCTTGAGGTCTTCTTTGCTATTGATAGCCATTGGTGTAAAGCTGCGGCCGATGGAGGCAAAAAAACAATTTTGGAAAAGTCTCATTCCGTTCCTTTTTTTGCCTCCGTGCTGTGGCTTTACCCTATTATAATAGGCTAATGTGCCACTAAACGACTTCAAGTTACCGGTACTAGTTAGTTTCACTGTCTAACTAACTAACTTCTACTTGCAAGGGCGTCGGAACCGCACCGGCCGGGGCGGCCATGGCCGCCCCACTTTTTGGCCGTTTTTTTTTTTTTTGAGCACACTGCAACAAAGTGTGATGATCTCAGCGCAAAGGTGGCATATCCTTGTCCCCGATCGTGGTTTGTTGCAGAATCAAAAGTCCATGTACACTGAAATGGCACCAAATGCCTGGGAATGCTTGCAATTGGCTTCAATTTTTGAATTTTTTTCCCGAGGGAGGGTAATGTTTGTCCCCGATCGTAGCATCTTCTTGGTTTTTTGCAGAATCAAAAAGTCTTTCGTTGTAGTTTCCGTACACTGAAATGGCACCAAATGCTCGGAAATGCTTGCAATTGGCTTCAATTTTTGAATTTTTTTCCCGGTGGACAACCCCCGGACCCCCTTCCATGGCCGCCCCACCTCCAAAGTCGGTGCGACGCACCTGCTTGTTGTTGTTGTTGTGTTTATTTTAATTCGCAAACCAAACGGGCAGATCTGCCCAATGAAAAGGTGGCGAATGCAGATAGAAAACATTTTAATAAAATTGGGGAGGGGTGTAATAAGGATAGAGGTGGAGAAAAACTAAGCCAGCTGATCATCAAACAGGACGTTTGGTACTCTAGGTACTTACATACCGCTATCAGTGGATATCGCGTTGGGCCCATTGAAAACCTTCTCACTCGGTGTTCCTTCTCTGTGATCTTCGGGATCAAGTTGTAGAATACATTTTGCCGGTCCATGATGGAGGGCAAGTTTCCCAGCAACCAGTGGTACTCCAGAAAACTCGGAACGGGCACCGACCTCAACCGGTAATGGACCGAAGCGAGACGCACTAAGCCATGAACAATCCATACCACAAGAGCAGTCACGATCAGCAATACCACATCCATCCTAACGCGAACACGTTCGAATATCAACCATCAATGCAAGGCCTCTACTCGTTCATGCTTTTTGCAAAACGCAACACTTACTGTTACTGTTGCCAGTGGAAAACAACAGTGCACTAGGCTAGCTGTGTACATTGTTTTAGTTGATCCGCAAAGAGCAAACCCCGTTTGAAAGATCTCGAGAGGTGCTCGTCAAAACTGGACAACATTGAACAACAACGCTGCATGCAACACGGTCCGGAGATGCAAAAAATGGATGCTGTCAAAAAGCTTCTTGTCTTGAATGATCGTTCATGATGTAGACATCATCACGTGCCAGCACCAGCTGCTCTCATGCTCAACGACGTGCTGCGGGCTCACACATTGTTTCTGGCTTTTCTTTTTTTTATGTCACAACTAGCTAGCTCCTGGCTGGCAGCTAGCTAGTCTTTGGAAGGCTCGCCGCCATAATCATTTTGAGCATAAGCCATAACTAATACTTACCACTGGGACTGACTCAGCAGCACGAACAAATCCTGTGAAAGCATTAGTTCACGCAGCCCAGCGGCGAGACAACGAAAGCTGAACTGCAAAAGGCTCTTCCGGACAGCATCAGGCTGGCACATTATTAGCACAATGTACCAGTATTACTAGTGGCAATCCAGCCTAGCCAAGAGCTCATTTCCTAGTGTTCGACGAGAATCATGGTGAGCGCCGCGGCGTCAGTTTTAGCGCTTGTGGTCCTGGCATGGCTTCTTCCGAAGCTTGCCAGGTATGTTCGGCGTCACTACTACCTGGCCAAGCTGCCTGCTATTCAATTTCACGACCGACACTGGCTGTTGGGTAACTTTCCGAGCGTAGTGGATCGGGTCAAGGTGTTGTATGAGGTCACACCGCGTTACACACAGGAGCAGCACCGGATTCGGCGCTTTGAGGTTGGCCTGTTCAGAGCACCAGCAGTGATGGTAAGCCAAGGCCAAGCAGGCCTACACTAGCCTACAGTCATGCTACTCTCGAAATTAGTTTGCATGATGATGACCTTGTACTCATAATTTTTGTTTGTTTGACAGAGTACAGCACTTTACTAGTACTAGGCATATGCGGATAATGCCGGCAGAAAAATTGGCAGAATTCGGTACTTTTTCTGGTAAGTTTCATGCATGTTTGGTATGTGGATAAAGAAATGGAGCAGAATTCGAGGAATTGCTCGCCATAAGGTTTGTATGGTTCTACCAATTTCACTGCTTTTGGAGCTGAATCTGCCACCTTTTCGACCATTATCCGTCAATGCCTATTTACTACACAGTATAGAGGTCTAATGCGACTACATCATCAGTTGAGATGCGTTGGCGAAGTCCCGGCGCAGTGCTGCGCTTGCACTAGCGACTCACGCAGCATACATGTACATAGCGCCCATTAGCGATTCCGCTGTCTCACGCTATATACTTAGCGCCCCTAAGCGGTTCCGCTGACTCACGGCATGAAATCATTTGCATACTAAACCTCTATACATGGAATACAGTAAAGGTTCAGCACAGTGAAATGAACTAGGACTAGGGATAGGATGCAGTATGTCCGATCATGTCATTGTTTGCATCAGGATGCCAAGAGAGGAGAGAGAGAGAGAGAGAGAGAGAGAGAGAGAGAGAGAGAGAGAGAGAGAGAGAGAGAGAGTGGGGGAGGGGGGGGGGAAGGGTCATCATCTAGGTCACCTCCAACGGAAGCATGAAAGCCAGTGCAGCGGTTTCTGCCGAAATTGTCGCCATGCTAAAGCTGCCCTTTGTACACTACAGTCAGTAACACACCAGGCTTCCAGCCACATACTAGTACAATGTATATCTTGTGGTGCCACTGTTGGACTGTGCACTGGTGTTGTGTTTGTGCTCCCAGGTTAGTGACCCGGAGACAGTGGCTGAGGTCCTCCGCACGGCGTCGCCCAAGCACCAGTTTGCATATTCCAATCTACTCCCATTCATTGGCGATGGCCTGTTGCTGAGCAGTGGCACGAAGTGGGCGAGAGACCGCCGACTGCTGACCAACGCATTTCACTTCAACATCCTACAGGAGTACACACCGTTGCTGCATGACTCCTGTCAGGTACTGCTGGAGAAACTTGCACAGCATGTCAGTGACGCTGAGACGCAGAACAAGGCATTTGACTTCTCCGAGGCGTGCTGCTTGCTCACTCTGGACGTGATACTTCGCTGCACAATGGGCTACGAATCCAACTGCCAGCTGCAAGAGTCTGAGTATACTGTGGGTGTGCGCGCGGCAACAGATTACATTGTTAAACGCATGATGTCGGTTGGAGCACTCATGCCCAACTTCATCTACTTCATGACGAAGGATGGCGCCAACTTTAAGAAGATCTGCGACATGTGTCACGAATTCTCTGCTGGCATCATTGAGCGCAGGGTAAAGGAGCTAGAAGAAGATGGCAGTCTGGCTCCGGGAAGTCCTGCTCACCAAACTGACACTATGACGCTAATCAAGAAGGGCAAGCTGAGCTTCGTGGACATACTGCTGACTCTGAAGGACGAGGACGGCACCAGTGCAGGGCTCAGCAATGCGGAAATCCGCGACCAGGTGGATACGTTCCTCTTTGAAGGTACTGTAAACCGCTCAATGTTTGCGTCACTAACGTTTTGAGATTTCTCAGAACCAGTGAGTTTACGATGGCAAACATTGCGGAGCACTGTGGCCACACGTATACACCCACTGTTGAAGTTTGATTTGATGGTGGTTATTGTTTGCGTTCTGCTCTTCTCGCAAAATTAGCAAACATGAATACGTCGCAAGCATTAGGCTGTTTATAGTACACACCTCTAGCCTGTCGTTACACCAAGCAGAATATTTGAATGGCATATCTCTCGCTTGCATACTCCAGGCTGCCTTTCCCGATGCTGACTGTAGTCAAGGAAATGGTTCCTCTAGGAGAAGACGCTTGGTATTCGCCATCTCTCCTGAGAAAGTTTTTAAAATTTCTCAGGAGAGATGGCGAATACCAAGTGTAAAAGCAAACTTTCAAAAAAGTACGACATTACTAGTATGCCGTTCGTCAATCTCCACCACCCGTCATCTCACCTGGCTTCAGAAGATGTTAGGAGAGTTGCCAGCAAGCATCACATCCATCTTCAGGAAGTGGAAAGAGAAAACGGCATGTTCCTTGGTTGGGGTAAATGGTGAATGTCTTATTTGCCCCAACCAAGATTCCTGCACTTGGTTCGTCACTTTTTCGCTTGTCTGCTGATGTCTCCGCACCCCAGCTTTCTCCTGTCGACGTCACGTCCCAGTACACAACCGAGAGGACTACTAATATACAGTTCACAGCACTAACAACATGGAGCACAGCACTTCTTTCATGTTGTGAACACAATAGTGACAATACGACAATTGAAAATGACAAAATTCTACAGTGATCGACCTATCTGGCGGAGCTAAGTCGATCGCACGTCATCACTGCGCTGTTCGCTATGGCAACGTATATGGCAATTTAACGAGTTTGTCTTATCGTATGCAAGCAAGATGATGCCATTCGAACCGATGTCAAATTGTCTTTCATCTGAACCCTACTAGAAGAAATTGATGCACTTCCCCTTTAACGGGATGGCATTGAAAATTGAACAGGATATCTCTACCGTCTTGCCATGTTTACATTGAAGATGTACAAGTAATGTTCAGTGTGTATTCTGACATCTATGTGTACGGGTGTGTGTGTGTGTGTGCGTGCGTGCGTGCGTGTGTGTCGGCATGCTACGTGAATGCTGCAGGTCATGATACAACGTCCAGCGCTATGCAGTGGATGTTTTACTACTTAGCCAAGCATCCTGATATCCAAGAGAAGTGCAGGCAAGAAGCCGTGACTTACGCCAATGCCGATGGTGAGGCATGTTGTCAACAGCTGTACAGTAGGCTTGCTCTTTAGTCTTCATACGTGTACGTGTACATGTACATGTACTTAGAAGTTAGAGCAGTGAGCCCTCTGTTGTAGTTGCACAGGCTTGCATGTGGACAGACAGGCGTAACTGTTAGACCGGACCACTCTCTCCTTCCATGCATCATCTGCTAGTACTAACAGATACTCCGAAGAACGAACGGCTCTCTTTCTCCCTCTCTCTCTCTCTCTTTCTCTCTCTCTCTCTCTCTCTCTCTCTCTCTCTCCAGTTCCCACTCGCTCCTTCTCTCCGTCGTTCTTCTTTCTTTCTCACTGAGTATGAACATCCTTGGCGCTGTGGTTTGTTGTTTGCTACGATAGTGCCTGGACCAGGATGGAATAAACTTGAGGGGCATTGTTCTAAAATTGTCAGCTTCACTGTCAACTTCTATGACTAGGTTCCAACGTTCCGTGTATATGTACATGTATCTGCTTTCCTGTGAGTGTTGGGTTAGATTCTGGGGTACTCACTCTCCATGCAGCTTCTATTGTAGTAACCCCTTCCACCTTACTTGGCCACATTGTTGGAGCTGAGATTGATTGCTTGAACCGATCACCATGTGTAAGCCGTCTTGTACATAGTTACACATCCAGGGATTCTCCCCAAAGTGCTCAACTGGCTCCTCTGCTTCAGGAATTAATTGGATTGGAGTGGCTTGCAATGTGAGGGTGTGCACATGCAGCAGGACTTTGGAGGTGGGGTTGGCCATGATGGATGAGGGTGCGGGGGCACTCGCCGGGAAATAATTTCGAAAGTTGAAGCCAATTGCAAGCATTTCAGGGCGTTTGGTGCTATTTCAGTGTACAAATAACTACAATGAAAGACTTCTTGTTTCTGCAACAAAACAAGAATACGCCACGATCGGGGACAAGGATTCTTCAGTATTCGCCACGTTTGCGCTGAGCTGGGACCATTGCCCTTTGTTGCAGTGTGCAAAAAAATCGGCCGCAAAAGTGGGGCGGCCCCGGCTGTGACGTCCTTGCATGCAGGGCTGTAGCACTGGGATATCAGGGGGTCAGGTCAAAAGGCATGCTTGACCAGAAACTTTGAAATGAACATTATTGACAGAGCCCCAGTTTCGCATAATTTGGGTAGGTCAGCCTTTTCGAAAAAAGGTCCGGCTGGCCATGGCCGCCGGATCAGGTGCTATGGTCCCGACATCTACCCTTCCCCTCTCCACTGCCACCACCACCCCGCAACATTCAACATCGTATCTGCATGATAAAATGGAAATCTGGTCCCAGTGTGTGCAACTTTACATGTTCCGTTCTCTTTTCAGGCTTTGTTTCGCATGAGGACTTAGGCAAGCTGAAGTTCATCAACCAATGTATCAAAGAAGGATTGCGAATGACCAGCACAGTGTCCTATATTGAGCGGCAGACTATGGATGACATGTACATCGGTGGCTACTTCATTCCTGCCAATTCCATTGCCACCGTGGACATCTTCTCACTCCATCATAACCCCAGTGTCTATCCAGACCCATACACGTTTGACCCAAGCCGGTTTTCAGAAGAGAATGCTGCCGGTCGTCACCCCCATGCACTCGCCCCGTTCTCAGCTGGCCCGCGAAACTGCATCGGCCAAGCACTAGCCATGAACGAGCTGCGGATGACGGTGGCCAGTGTCCTGGTGCGCTTTGATTTGGCTGTAGACCCCAGCCTACCCGAGCCACTATACAATGACGCGCTGATCGTGAGAGCCGAGAATGGCATCAATCTTCAGGTCAAGAGCCGTTAACTAACTTGGTCAGATTATGAGTATGACTCATGCATCGGCTTAACTTAGCCATGTAAATCCAAGGCAAGTCGTCCATAGAAATGATAGAATATTCATTCTCATGGGAGTATGGTCAACTCAAAGCAATATCCAGCGTCCGTGTTCTGTAGAGTTTAGTCGACATTGTTACAGCTGGTATTGTACAATTTATTAGCATTTCCGGTGGTGTGTCTTTAATGGCATGTCGGTGCTCAGAGCACATATCCGGGAAACCGCAGAATTCAGCAGTTGTATTCACCCCTTACAGTATGTTGACGTACTGCATGTCATGTATTCCTAGATGGTCCTTTCTTGATTACACTACATTTTGCAATCATGTGGAATATTCTGAATGCATTTCCTCTGTATCTCTTCTTTCTCGGCTTGTCATACTTTACCTTGATCACTTCCCATTTCCAAAAAATTAAAAGGGGATTTCAATTCGGCAATTTTTAGATGTTTCTTGGTCACTCTCGTGACGAAATACCGACGCAAGCACTGAACATGAAAGAATGCATTTATGTCCCTGTTCGATTGCATTCTGCGGCGTCACAAGTTCAGAATGCTATTCTCGACGACCAAACATCTCTTATATCTATATGCTATTCCGTGGTGGCAGTGAGTATTTCCTTCAGACTTTTCCCATTTCAACTCCCTCCACCTTAGGAATACTTGAATTTCTATTTTCTTATTTTCCGAGTTCAAATTCCTTGAGTGATGGATCGTCAAATACTTTATTTTTTTAATGGATATCCATCTTGACCTTGGCCATCCGGCATACTGGCAATCCAATCCATATTGCATGGGGCCATGTACAACACGGCATCCGCTGTGCAACCATTTCGTGTTTGGGACTGCTAAGTGACATGCGGCTATGGCGAGTGGGACAAGACTTAGTGATAATGATGATAAAATAATTTTAATGATGATTGGTGGTGATCAGGTACAGTAGGTGACGGAGTTGGGAACTCTGGAGGGGTTCATATCGAGTGCCATTGTCTGCATGATTGTTGACGACTACTTAGGTCTACAGTCTTTGAGAAGACTGGAGTCCATGATATCCCCAGTACAGGAGTGATGACTTATGTCTCGATATCCGATCGTTGCATGCATGAATGCACCATGTGCACTGCAAGCACTATTCTAAAACTACAAAAGTCAAGAAGCAAAATTAAAGGGGAAGTATACCCTAAAATCAAATTTTCACCAGTTGTAGTCTTCGGGGCCGGGGTGCTGAGTCGAATGGTCTTGGTCCGAGGAAGCTGAGACGCTCCCTTCCTCCTTTATTCCCAATCGAACTCGCGCACTTCCACCGAAACTGGGTGACTGCGCCCTACTAGATGGGGATTTGTATGCAAAATGTCACTAAAAGCGCCATTTCGTTCTTATAAAAGCACGGATGACCGCCATTGGCCCATATGTTGTAGTCTTTTGGACGCTGAGTCGACTGGTTCTGGTCCGAAAAGGCTGCGATGCAGCGTTCCTCCTTTATTCCCAATCGAACATGGTTGAACAAGTGGTCACGTGCTCCTGCGTACACCAGTCACCTGGTCACCGTGCCTGCAGGGTACAACTAAGGCTGCGTTTACACGACAACGATTGAAAACGATTTGCGTTTACACGACAACGAAGTAGGACCTAAACGGAACGAAATCGTTGCGTTTACTACTATCGTTTACACGACAACGCCCGAAAACGATACCTAAACGGAACGAAATGGAAACGCACTTCAAAGTGTTTTGAAACGTTTTCAAAACGTTTTGAAAACGTTTTCGTTCTCGTGTAAACGATGAAAACAGTGAAAACGATTGGAAACGGAGCGCGGTCATAGAAACCATTCCGCGCGGGACTATATTTCGCGGGAAATACCTGAGTTTGCGACCACCAGCACATACCAACTCCAACTAACGTGTTACTTCCCGCCCTTGCGCCAAGCCAGCACGTAGATCTACGTGCTAACTCCAGCCTGATCGCCCGTTTTCCGTTTTCGTGTGAACGGTTCAAAACGATTTGCCGTTCTCGTGTAAACGGTTTGAAAACGATTCGAGGCCAGCCACGGCTGTCCCATGCATGCAAAGCGCGTTCATTTAATATGGCGGCCAAATTTTAATCTTTTTCATTTTTTACGCGATCTGGCCTAGTCGTATGTTTGCAATTTCGCTCGACTTCCATCTCAAACGGGCAAGGTCAACCGAAACCACGGGTGTTTGCCAGGTCATTCGATAGAGTTTAGAGCTTGGACTGGCCTTGCCTTCGACTGTGCCGCCGCTCGAGCGATCTTTTTGGGTTACCCACGCGCTACGCATGGTTTCTTTCTCGACGTGGGTGCAATTATTTTTGGATCGTCGCTCGATTTCAAGGGCTCACCAACCTCGTCAGCGAATTTTCTCCGCCTCGCAGACAATTTTCTAGTATACCTCGATGTCCTAGCCTTCCGATTTTGTGTATTCCTAAGCTTGACGTGCATCACTGTAGCTTTTCGTGGCCATGTTAGAGACGTTATTTTGTTCAGAAATGGAGGCTCATGTTAGCTTCCTGTCGTCGTGTTGTCGTATTGGAGGGGAGAAATTCGCGTCAAGGAGTGGACGGACGAAGTATCGTGTGGCAGATCATACTCAATCCATTTTGGCAGTGTTTCATCTCAATGTGGATGAAACCAAATACACCCTGAACTTTTTTGCCACACTTGCAAATTGGCCATGGAATGCACTGCTACTGCCAGGGGCCCAACATTCTCTGGAGCTCCAGAGGTGGATGTACACCGTTCAAAGACTGGGAGCCACACAGTGGGACAAACTGTTTGAAATGCAAGTCTTCCAAGCCTGGCAGGAAGTCCAAATGCAAAACACAAACGCAAGACAAACTTGCGGCATGGGAGAAAACGTGGGCCATCGCCCGCAAGCACGAGCACATGCACGCCGCCACCACTGACAGCAGCATCACCAACAAAACCTCGCCCCACCACACCAGTACCTGATCACTGGATAGTTTAGTCTGTTCAGTTTACGAATTGAAAAAAGGAAGACAAAATAACAAAACTAAAAACACGAGCGTCGCATGGACCGAATCTGATGAGCAGCAGCACGTCACACCCGCATACCAAGTTTAGTAATAGTAGTAGTAGTATAGTATTTATTCATATTTCTCTAGGGCTTAGTGGGTAAATCTCTGCATCCAGAACAGTTCAGATAGGAATGCAATAACACACGCACAATGTCCACTATGTCACAGGTAGGGAGAGAAGTGTTTGCAGCTTGCTGGTAGACGTTCAGCCGTGCATGCATTGGCAAATGGCTAGAGCAGATGGCCCGCTGTCCTTAATGTAAGGCACACACGCAAGCGTCAGAGCTACAGCAGCCAAACAGCATAGTTTATGGATTCATGAAAGACTGCACCATACACTGCGCCAGCTCTGGTAGGGTGCCCTATTTGAGCATCGTCACTGGTCGGTGACGTTTTGCAGGCCTCACCATCAAAGATGCGAGGTGATGCTGCTGATCGACTTGCTGGCATGATAGTCACAAGCATAACTAGCGAAGAATGGCTGGAAGTCGAAACCAGCTGTAGATGTAGATTCCAGGTATACCAGAGAATTACTGACGCCAGCACTTCATCCGATGCCCCATCAGTGTCAACTGTACGCCGATGGTCACAGGACCGTGACAGCCTTTCGATCGGTCTACGGTCGGGAGACGGGGCTGCAAGCCCAAAGCAGCGGGTATATAGTGTTCGTCACCAGCTGAGCAAGAGAGCTTGCTGAGAGATTTAGGTGTGCACTGTTCAGCAACCAGTCCCAATATAGGTTTGTCCATGAAGGCTGGTGATCCTCAGCTATCATACAACAAATTCCTACTCACTGCGCATATGGCTTGTGAAACAGCAGCAGAAACTGCACTGCCTTGACAAGCGCACCAGTTACCATGATGGAGCAGATATGCCAACACCAAATCTCCAATCGCTAGTACAAGTAGCTCTTCACTAAATCATGCCTAGTGCATGCTTGCAGTGATATTTTCAGCAAGAGCGCTGCAGTTACTGCTGAGGAGATATAATATTGCGTCCTTGAAGTCGAAGGCGCTCATCAAAGATTTCTTGCCATCAATTCTTGGCCTTATGCAGGCACGAGGTGGTCTCCCGTGGCATTGGCCATATTACCCCGAGCTGCACTTGCTCGAGGAGCACGTTGTTTCGCTCATGGAAGTCCTTCGTGTTGGACTGAGTAGGCTTGCTGAGAGAACAGAGCGCTGAATCCATCCACGTCCACAACTACGAATAATTTACAGAAACATTCCTACTGCAGATCAGCGCTTGAAAACGGCGATGCAAATCAGCGACGTTGTTGGGCTTCTCCATTCAAAAGGAGAGCCTTCCTAACGAAGCAATTCTCATGTGACACTACATAGTCTCTCAAGCACTCTAGTTCAGGTCTTCTTCTCTCCACTCCATTATCATTTCGATCTTCACTCGGTCGACGTGATGGTAGTAGCTATGTAAAATAATTATGATGGATTCCTCCCGATCCTCGTCGCGGCTAAAATTTGTTCGGTGTTTGTCTAAATTCTCAAACTGACAGGGTTTACAAGAGAAATGTACCTAATTTTGTGCGATTGATGCAAATAAATCGGAATATGTCCGACTTCATAAATCCGTGCGGTAAACCGCATGAAAGGACGCCATGTCGTTAGTTGGTGCACATGAAGTCACCGTGCAGCCCGTTTTCGTTCCGTTTCGTTCCGTTTCGTGTCGTTTCGTCTCCGTGTAAACGCAGCCTAACTTACTAGCCTGTTTGTGCAGTCCTGTCACTCGAGTTGAACTCCAGTTCAACCTTGGTGTGAAAGTTGTCGCCTGCTGGCGTGGTGACCAGGTGATTTGGGCACCCAGGAGCACGTGACCGCTTGTTCAACCATGTTCGATTGGGAATAAAGGAGGAACGCTGCATCGCAGCCTTTTCGGACCAAAACCAGTCGACTCAGCGTCCAAAAGAGTACAACATATGGACCAATCGCGGTCATCCGTGCTTTTATAAGAACGAAATGGCGCTTTTAGTGACATTTTGCATACAAATCCCCATCTAGTAGGGCGCAGTCACCCAGTTTCGGTGGAAGTGCGCGAGTTCGATTGGGATTCAAGTAGGAAGGGAGCGTCTCAGCTTCCTCGGACCAAGACCATTCGACTCAGCACCCAGAAGACTACAACTGGTGAAAATTTGATTTTAGGGTATAATAATAATAATAATTCGCGGGATTCGCGTTGGCATCGCTTGAATGTTCAGAAACACACAAACTAGCCTTCGCTTCCGCAGGCCACCACTATGCCTATGCCTTGCACACCTTAGTGGCGAATGCAGACCTCACAAGTGAGTCAGGGGAGAGTAGGTGAGTCTCTCAACCAATCGGGCGTGTAACGGCCCATAACCCTGTAAACTGCATCCTTGTTACCCTCACTCCGAGCTGTGAGTACCCAGTTGACCGTGGGTGTCGGCCCCCCCACCACGCATAAAAAGTCTTTACTCACGTAAAAAGTCTTTACACGCTCCCTGCTACCAGCGCGGGTCTCGAACTCGGGACCTCATGATTCGCAGGCAGGCCTGCAAACCAATCGGCCATATGCGTTGGTTTTAGGGTATACTTCCCCTTTAATAATAAAATAATATTTTTTTTAAATTAATAATGATTATAGCCTACATCCACGAAAGTAGCAAGTAATTCAATTATTGATGATGATTTCGCCACCGGGAACCAATTTCTTTGTAAGTGTTTTGCTTGCCGGTCTGCTAGCATGGGTTATAGCGAGACTAGCGAGCTTCGCTCGCTTCTATTACCTGTTGTTCAAAATCCCGAGCGCATCCCATCTTCGCTATCACTGGCTTCTGGGCAACCTGCCAGACGTGGTGGATCGACCGCGATATTTCCATGAGACCGTTCCGAAGTTCTCGGCAGCGGAGCGACGTCTCTACCGCTTCATGGTTGGACCCATACCATTTCTAGTGGTACGTAAAGCTGCCGCATTCGGGTGTATGCCCCCTATTACAGTATACGAGAACACTAAAACCTGTTTGTGGCAATCGGAAATTAGAATATTAGCACATAAGATCTTACGTACATAGCAATCACCCCGATTATCCGAACACCATTGGACAGCAGAAAATGTGTTCTGATAATCCAAATCACACTTAGACTGATCCACATGGCCTAGGCTATGGTGCTATCATGGTGCTATCCTTCAACCCATGGCCTATACTAGTGTACTGTAATTTATCATAGTCACCAACCATATGGACCGACATTATAAAGCAAGACCTGAAGAAAACCAACATCACTGTCCCTGAAGCCTTTGTCTTAGCCGAAAACAGACACGAATGGAACCATCCCACTCACAGATGCGTAGAGCTCGATTCTAAGTACAGTGAAACCTGTCTAAGACGACCGCTCAAGGGACCTTCAAAACCTGGTCTCTGTTACCAGGTGGTCTCCTTATCCAGGGTCATTTGACTGAAACAGCATCCCTTGGTCCTGGTTCCAGTGGTCTTCTGGGATAGGTGGTCGCCTTATCCGAGTGGTCGCCTTGACAGGTTTTACTGTAATACAGGGGAGATTGGATGTAAGTGATCATTATAACGACATTACTTTGGGAGAAAACGAAATGTCATTATAATCGATCTTCACAATGTGAAGATATACATTGCATACTAAATTGCATACTAAATGCATTGCATACTAAATAGGAAATACCTTGCATACTAAATGTCATTTAGCATGCAATGTATATCAAGTCTGAAGAAGGGCTGAGGTTTACTGCAGCTTCATCTTTGGAATATAATAGATGTATGTCCCCCTCCCTCCATATTGGCCTATATTCTCTGGCCACGGGAAGGTGAAATAAATAAATAAATGTCAAAATGACAGAAATAATATTGCAGATATGCATGTGCATAATGCAGGATTTCAGATGTGTATGTGCATACACGTATGTCTTGCATGGCAAAAGTCATGTATACACCGCTGCACTGCGGCCGCAATGTAAAATTAATTACTAAAGCACGCGTGGAGTGACCTGGCCTGGAAGTCCGAGCACGTGACCCAGCCATATTCAATGCATGCCAGTCTGCCTAATACAAGAGGAAAGTCGTTATACTCGATGTATTTTCACAAGTTTTCAGGTCTTCGGGCACCAAAAAAGTGTCAGTAAATTCGATCTGTCGTTATTTTCGAGGTTGTTATACCCGGACCAACGCATATGGCCGATTGGTTTGCAGGCCTGCCTGCGAATCATGAGGTCCCGAGTTCGAGACCCGCGCTGGCAGCAGGGAGCGTGTAAAAAGACTTTTTACGCGTGTTGAACTGCGCCGACACCCACGGTCAACTGGGTACTTACAGCTCGAGTGAGGATAACAAGGATGCAGTTTACAGGGTTATGGGCCGTTACACGCCCGATTGGTTGAGAGACTCACCTCCTCTCCCCTGACTCACTTGTGAGGTCTGCATTCGCCACTAAGGTGTAAAGGCATAGTGGTGGCCTGCGGAAGCGAAGGCTATAGCTTGTGTGTTTCTGAACATTCAAGTGATGCTAACGCGGATCCCGCGAATATTATATATTATATATACCCGATCTACAGTCAGACCTCGCTTATCCGGTCCTCGTTTATCCGGATCCCTCGCCATCCGGAAGAAAATTGTTGGTTACCGATTTACAGCATATGCCATGTACAAATACAGTATGCGTGTTCGATTATCCAGTTCCCTCGCCTATCCGGATATTTTGTGGGAAAACGGATGTGTGCGGTTATGCGAGGTCTGACTGTATAATGTACAGAAAGGACTTGCCAAACAAATTGGGCGACAGAATTTTGTCGCTAACTCGATTTCTCGTTATGTATATCCAAGGTCGGTATATCCAATCTCCACGGTATGTGAGCTGTTCTTATTATTTAAAGGGGAAGTCCGGTGAAAATTTAAATTTCAGGGTCGGTAGAGTTTCGGGCGCTGAGTCGAATGGTGTTGGTCCCACGTGTCTCCGACAAAGCGTTCTCGAGATATTTCCGTTTGAAAAACTGAGTTTCGGGGGGCTGTGCCATGACGTCATGCGGCCGCGCCACACCCTCCGCAACGTCATAGCGTGCAGCTAGGTCAAAGGACTGCGTGAAAGCAATAGTGTCAGTGCTATTTCAAATGATTTGGCGACCGATAGTAGGTGACCCCGAAGACGTAACTCCTTGTGAGAGTGAGATGCAGCCATGGGTGACCTTCATGAGTTCGGTCTGGGGCTGAAACCTCGGTATTCAACTGAAGAAATGGCCGCGCGGTCAAGAGTGAGCGCTACTGAGTTTCCGACTGATGAAAAAGCAGCAGCTATTGCAGACGAGGCTGATATAATAATTATCAGATCGCTGGAGAGCAGAGTCGCCAAAATGGAGAAGAGTGATGCGAGTGCTCTAAATGTTGTTCCATACCGATTCGCTTACACTCCAGTAGCCTGCCACATGGTGATGTTTTGGTGCGAACTTGGCATATTTCGGACCACTCAATTGGAGAACAGTGCAGGCTCTTTGAACCACGGGCACGACTCTTCGTTCGCAACGCTACAGGATCTGAAAATTCTAGGTCCGGGAGCTGTTCCCTGTTTTGTCTATTGACTTGTCGCGACTCACGGTTGTGCACTCATCGCTGTAGCATAAAATAATGAGGCGGGAGCGGAAAACTAAAATTTTCTTTCTCAAAGCACAACCACCGGCACCGGCAAGGAGAAACGCACGTTCTCTGCCTGCATGACTGTACAATACGACTGATACAAGTGTAGGACATGACAAGTCTGTGTGTTGACTAGTTTTCTGAGTCCTGTTGTAGCTAGCTACCCCAGCACGGCAGTGCGGGAGTAGTTCCGTGTGTAATGAGTAGTCGAGTTTGTTGACTACACTACACTACAGCTAGCACGCACGCAGCGCATTGCTAGACAAGAGCCGTAGAGGCCATGCGCCAGTGCATGCCGACGGAAAAGGTCCAACTCGGAAACGGCTAAAATACGGTATAACCTCGAGGTTTACCGAGCTGAAAATCACAGGGTACGTAGTGTTTGTAACGCTGAATTGAATGGTCTTGGTCCGAAGAAGCTGCGACAAACGGTTCCCCAATCGAACGCCCTCCGAATATGGCCATTTTGTACACAACTAGATGGCGTGGCTACCTGGCTGCACGCTGTGACGTCATCACCTGGATCTGGGTGATGCGCGCTCAAATTCGCACATGTTCGATTGGGCGTATCTGACGAACCATTGGCCGCAGCCTCCTCGGACAAAGACCATTCGACTCAGCGCCCCGAACTCTACGAACTGTGAAATTTAAATTTTTCACCGGACTTCCCCTTTAAATAATCGACGAGGAGACAACCATTTTAGTATCACAGTAAGGAAGTCCAGCTGAAGTGACATCAAACCTGTCGCATCTGTTCCGCCTCACGCCACAGGCCTGGATATTTTTGTGTCTTTTCGACAGATTTTCGGCGGATGTTCCTGTCCAGAGAGACACTTACGTCCACAAGCAATGCCTCATAATGCCTCATCTTTGCCCTTGATAATAATGCCGGGTCTTTTTGCTGTTGGAATTGGCACTTCCCAGTAGACTGACACATCCGTTTCAGCACTGTACACGACTTTAGTGAGCTGGTGACTTGTGTATTTATTTGAAATGCCCGATGCACCATACTTCCTGCACAGCGTCCAGTGAAGATCCTTTGCTAATCTGTTGTGGCGATTGACATAATGACTTCCAGCACAAGCCGTGCATGCTCCAATAAGGTGGAAAACCGTTTCCTTGTCCTTTCACACATCCTACAGCTCGTGTTGTTGAATACACTCGTTCCTCGAATAAATTTTTCTTGTAAGTTCCGTGTTGGGACAGCCTGGTCCTGTATGGACATAACAATACTTTCCGTCGCCGGACGAAAGACAGAAGACCGCAACCACGTAAAGGAGAGCCCTCGATCCAGCTCAGCATCCTGAAGCATCAGCCAAAATTGGCCATGCAGAGGCTTCTTTCTAATTATATCCTCCCTATGCCGCTGGTATCCCTGGCGTATCTGCTCCCATTTGGCTGACTCCTCCATACAAATCTTTGCCAAAAATCTCACAGCATCACTGGAGACAGAGTATTTAGCTTTTCCATGATGGTACTGGTTCAGGAGAGCAATGGCAATGTGGTCTTGGTGGCCCTCGATGTATTTATTGATCTGGATGATGGATCATTCATGTAGATCTACCACACTCTGGAATCCACGGTCGCCTTCGCCACGCACCTAATGCACCCTCTCTTTGTCAGCCCGAGGGTGATGCCATCTCTTCTTGGTGAGCTTCTTCCTGAGCAAGATATCCAGTTGCTGTAATTCTACGTGTCGCCAGTTCACGATACCAAAGCTGTATGTGAGCAGCTGTATTATTAATAATCTACGTGGAGATAACAATTTATAGAAAAGAAAAGGACCAATGAACTACAAGTTACGCTATAATGTCCACTAACACCACCAGTTACTAAACAATCAGCTCATGCGAAAACATTGCACGACACTGACCGACGGTACTGACATTCTACAACTAACTTCCCCTCCTATGTTATCATATATTAGAACCTTCCAAGTTAGAAGGCTGTTGGAATGCGCATCCAAGATGTGCTAGAGCTGATAGCCAGTTAGTTCTAGAGCGATAGTACCGTCGGTCAGTGTCGTGCAATGTTTTCGCATGAGCTGATTGTTTAGTACCTGGTCATGTTTATATAGTGGACATTAAAGCGTAACTTGTAGTTCCTTAGTCCTTTTCTTTTCTATAAATTTACTTTCAAGTATTCTTGGCTCTCCATCCAGACATAGTGGGATGGTCTAAGACCATGATTGAGAAACAGAGGGTACCAGGTTCAAGTCCTGCTTGGAAGCGGAGGGTTTTTCCCGCCGTGCTGCGACCCACATTTAACTGGGAACTCGTGGCCTGGCACGAGGGAAGCGTGGATGCAGCGAATGGGATTTCGCTCTTTGACCACTTTGGTGGTGGGTCTGATCTACTCACCTCCCACCGCCTTAGGAGCTGCATCTGCGCCTTGATCTGATCTTTGAGGGTGGTGCACCGGTGGCGTCCCAGCGGATGCGGAAACTCAGTCTCCAGCCGAGTCTCACGCGAACCGCAAATCTTTTTTTCTTCTTTTTTCTCCATCCAAATTTAAATAATGCGGCTATGAATAAATTAATCTGCGCATTCGTACTTCAAACACATCAGGCAAGGTAGGTCTAGACCGTAAAGGTTTCCAAGAACGTTTTCTTGTGACGATCGTCATTTGGAAAATACATCACAATAGAGAAAACAAAGAGGGGACATGTTAATGCAGAGAAGGTGAAACATTTAGGTAAAACAGTGCTAAATATACAGTGTAAACTAGCAAGATAATGTGGAGTAGGGATGGCAAAAATTGAAGAAAGAAAAACATGGACTTAACATAGGGCTATACTTAGAAGTTGTGACTTCGGCGGTATTAGTCATTAAGTTGGTTGTTCCAACAAGGAACACACGTTTCTTGCCGAACTTGACTGACTCACGACTGCCATCCAGAGCACACGAGGAGCACATCGCACCTTCCACTCTGCAAACCTGCAAGAAAGCACTACTCCCTGCTCAATACACAGTGTTTCGGGGAATTCACCCTCATCAGTTGAGCTTGAGTAGGCTGGGGAAGATTGTGTCTGAAAAGCACCACTTATATACTGCTCCTCGTGTGCTCTGGATGGTAGTCGTGAGTCAGTCAAGTGTCAAGTTCGGCAAGAAACGTGTGTTCCTCATTGGAACAATCAACTTTATAGGACTATACTGTGCGAATTGCGGAAATAGTGTGAGTGTAGCGACTGATTCCTTCCAAATACGTACGCATACCACTATAATTATGATATGCCCTCACTGTACTCATGCCACTATCCCTTTGCCTCTCTGTACTGTTCCCTCCGATATCAGGTTAACCATGCAGATCTTGTGGCAGCCGTCCTGAAATCGTCGCCGCCAAAGAACTTGTTCACCTACTCACTGATCATGCCCTTCATCGGAGACGGCCTTCTTGTCAGCAGTGGCAAGAAATGGGCGAGAGACCGCCGGCTGCTGACCAACGCATTCCACTTCAACATCCTACAGGAGTATACTCCGATACTGCATGATTCCTGCCAGGTCCTGCTTGATAAGCTCGCACAGCACGTCAGCGATGGCGAGATGCAAAGCAGAGCGTTTGATTTCTCGCAGGCATGCCGCTTGCTGACGCTGGATGTCATGCTGCGCTGCATCATGGCACACGAGTCCAACTGTCAATTGGAGGACTCTCAATACACCCGGGACGTGCGAGAAATCACACGGCTCATCATGGTCCGGGGTCTTAGCATTGAATGCTTGCTACCGGACTCCGTTTATTTCATGATGAAGAACGGGAAACAGCTTCGGGAAGTGTGCGATAGGTGCCACGATTTCTCCGCAGCTGTGATCAAGAAACGGCGGAACGAGCTGCAGGAGTGTGGTCCGCTGTCTGAAGCCGGCCTGGCGGATGCCCAGCAAAAGATTCGCAAAGGCCGTGCCAGTTTCGTTGACATCCTGCTCACCGTCCGCGATGAGGATGGCAGCGGGCTGAGTGATTCCGAAGTACGCGATCAAGTTGATACGTTCCTATTTGAAGGTGAGTGGTGTGTGTGTGTGTGCGTTGTGAAAGACCCTGGATATTTAAAAAAAACATGCAGGTGCTTTCTTGAACGCTTTCGTAGCATGTTCTGCTAAACTGCTATGAACATACAGTACATGCAGGGAACAAAAGGTGATAACATTGTGGCAGAGGATGAGAAACATAATCCAAGTACATGTGCTAACATGAGGCCCCAGCTAAACGTCCCTAACCTTCAACGGGAAGTGCATCGATTTTTCAAGTAGGGTTCAGATGAAAGACAATTTGACATCGGTTCAAATGGCATACCTCTGGCTTGCATACGCCAAATCGCCAATTGTATGATCCCGTTGCCACAGCGACCAGAGCAGTGATGACGCACGTTCTGCTTAGCTCCGTGCGGAGAGAGAAGGTCGATCACAGCAGAATTTGGTACTTTTCAATTGTCTTACTGTATTCACGATGTGAAAGAAGTGCTGTGTTCAATGCTGTTAGTAGTGCCGTGAACTGTTTGTTAGTAGTCCTCTCTGTTGTGTACTGGGACGTGACACCGATACGAGAAAGCTGGAGTGTGGACACATCAGCAGGCAAGCGAAAATAGTGACGAACAGAATGCTGAAATCTTGGTTGGGGCAAATCAGACGTTCAGCATTTACCCCAACCAAGGACCATGCCGTTTGCTCCTTCAACTTCCTGAATATGGATGTGATGCTCCTGGCGACTTTCCTAACTCTCGTAACACCTTCTGAAGCCAGGTGAGACGACGGGTGGAGGAGATTGACGAACTAAAATAATGTCGTACTTTTTGGAAAGTTTGCTGCACATCTCTCAGGAGAGATGGTGCATAGTATTACCAGTATACCAACCGTATTTTCCTAGAGGAACCATTTCCGAGGCTACAGTCAGCCTAGAGAAATGCAGGAGAAGGCCGATAAACAGTTCACGGCACTAACAGCATTGAACACAGCACTTCTTCCACATCGTGAATACAATAAGGCAATTGAAATTGACCAAATTCTGCAGTGATCGACCTTCTCTCTCACGGAGCTAAGCAGAACGTGCGTCATCACTGCGCTGGTCGTTATGGCAACGTGATCATGCAATTGGCAAGTTTGGCAAGTTTGGCTTATCGTATGCAAGTGAGAGATACGCAATTTGAACCACTATCAAGTTGTCTTTCTTCTGGACCCTACTTTAAAAATCGATTATTGCAATATGTTTTAGACTACGAGAAATCGACTAACTACTGTAATTTCACAATTTTTTGGTATACTTTTATTTTCGGTACTTTCGGTGCGTCTGTTTCATACCTAAAATGTCAATGCACCGAACAAACACTAACACGCATAATCCAATAGGGAACTGCTTGTCTGTACCGAAAAGTTCTGCTCACCTAACCTAGCCTGTTGCCCTCAGACCGAAAATATTGAGCATGGAAAATTTCCGAGGCTGAAATTAGAGTATTCTTTTTTTGTTTTTGTTTTTGTCTAGGCCACGACACAACATCAAGTGGCCTCCAGTGGCTCTTCTACTACCTTGCTAAAGACCCAGCTATCCAGCAGCAGTGCAGGGAAGAAGCACAGAGATATGCAGATGACGGCGCAGGTGAGCCCCGAGTTCTCTACTCCCCACCCCCACCCCGCCGCACTTGTCAGTGTGCAGCTGGGAGTCATGTAGCATCCTGCGACACAACACGAGATTGAAGTATCTTTTAAGATAACCACTCGGCAATGTTACTTTAAAAGTAACAGTGCCGAGTGGTTATTAGCGTAAAGTACCACCAGAGCGCCCCACCTTGATTTTACAGCCAAGGGAAGAAAATCGTATGGCGGAGTGCTGCGAAGTTTGTACGTTGTGAGAACCTTAGTGTACTAAGGTCACACTCGGCAGGTTTTTTTATGTGGAGCTCACATCCGCTGGACGGTAAACGGCTGGGTGCGGATTGACTGCATAACGTGCAATGTGTGTACAAGGTCAATGTCGTATGACCTACGGACAGGAACCCCTCCACAAGACGACCACGAAAGGCCGAGATGGTGGGGCGCTCTGGCGGCACTTTACGGTATTACTAAACGGTGATAGATTGTGATTGACACTGAATGACTGCTGCGGTCTACCTCTGCTACTGCTCAGATTGCGTCGAGAGGAAACTGACTAAACGATCCCGTTTAGTGTTCTGTGTGAATGCTTGACCACTGTACTGCTGTGATATCTGTGTGTTGTATGCATACTGTCCAGGTCATGTTGGGCACAAAGACTTGGCCAAGCTCACCTTCATCACACAATGTATCAAGGAAGCCCTGCGTATGGCGTGCCCGGTTGCCTACATCGAACGTCGGCTGAGTCAAGAGATCCAGCTGGACCAGTACACAATACCCAAAGGTTCAATTGTAAACATGGACATCTTTGCACTGCATCATTCTGAGGACTTCTACCCAGATGCGTATACGTTCAAGCCCGACCGATTCTCGGAGGAAGCTGTTGCGGCACGCAACCTGCATGCGTTCATTCCGTTCTCAGCCGGCTCTCGAAATTGCATTGGGCAAGCACTGGCGATGAATGTGCTGCGCGCTGCCGTTTCTAGCATCCTCCTGCATGTGAGACTAAGCATCGACCCCAGCCTGCCGGAGCCAATGTTTGAAGATGCTGTCGTCATGCAAGCCAAGAACGGAATTAATCTGCTCGTTAGCAGCATTTGAGCTGAAAGGTACTGGTGGTTGTTCAATGTTTTGCTTTGCAAACATGAACATACCGGGTTGCCATCACCCAGCTTCAGAATGAGCTTGCAGACAATGGTGCTGGCACTGGCACTGCCCCAAGCCTTCCATGGTCACGGTGAAGCATTTTGTCATCGGATGTGACGCAGCTGATACTGGACTCAGGTATCACGTTTTTTAGCCTATTGTGGCTGATACATGGAATATTCAGTTACTTTATCTCATCGGGCCAATTTCCAAATATGTTTCTAGGTAGGCTGACAACTATTAGACTCTTCATATCCAATGTCACTTGAGAGAAAGAAAAAAAGATATTCCGGCATTAATAATATTGAAATATCATGTGGATTCCGATGATTACTACTGACTCATACTATTCATAGGAAAGAAATTGAACTTTTTGAAATAGGTCGTCTATGACTGTTACCTTCTCTATCATATGCACTCAATAAGCGCTATGATAATTTCCGGTACCCCGCTGCCCCAAGCATATAATGGAGACTGTCACTGGTCACGCGGCGTGTGAACTTGCCATTTCAACCCCCTTTTTGTCAAGCGGCTTGGTTTCGCCAAACGTTAGTCGTCATGGTGCCGTTCGTTGGGTTTAGGATCCCAAGGCGTTTCAAGTACAAACACTACACTTCTGATAGAGACTGTGCTAGTGAGTAGTGGTATTTCAACATGTCCTGGACACTCACTTATGCTGGAGACGCAGCCAGCCAGAAGTACATGTACTAGTACTGTACAAATACCCTTATTTTTTCGATTTCGACAGCATGTTTACACAAGGCAAGGACGCGCAGGCTCAGTGCTCCCTGCTCCTGACTACAACCATAACTCGGTCGGCAGAGTCCCGGTCTTGCGACCACCTGAACCGTATGGGGAAATACCCGTGTGTTGTTACAAATAGGTGCACTGAAGTCTAATGCAGCTTGTCATTGCATATCCTCTAGCCTAGCCTAGGCAACCTGAGTACTTGTCCTTCAAGTAGTATACTGCGGTCTATCATGGTTTGTGTGTAGATCTACAAGTATTAGGTCTGCACAGTGCACACCTGCTTCTATTCAGCGTGATACTGCCCTTGATTTCTTTTCCATGTGAATATGGTGTCCTATTCCTGGAATTCCTGTTCGTTGAAATTCAGGATACTGGCATGCAGCATGGATGATTCTTTCCAGCAAATGTACTGTAAATCATGTCGCAACCCGGTCCAGAGTCTGCAACTCCGAACCGCTGGCCTTGGGAAGAGCATCATCGCAACGTTACTCCAGGTCTGTTGACCAATGGAAGGATATACGTTATGTTAAATGCTACAGCCACAGCACCAAGATTTAATGTCAAATATGTATTATACAGTATAAATTTTAGAAACTACTGCTTCTTGTTTGATCTGCGCTAGTGAACTAGTCTAGTGCAAGAAAACATGAAGACGAGGATTTTGATGGACAGCCTGCATGGGTCAGAGGAGCGCACTACGGTCTACTGGTATGGGTAGTTACCTACTCTTGTCTTCAGGAGCCAGAATCATCCCACTGCATGGGCTTTTGCAATCAGCACATATCACACTGCGGTACTGGCATAAATAATCTTGATTGGCATGTACCGGTACTGGTGCGTGCGTCGGTAATCAGGACTATAAGTATAAGGTCTCAGATCCACAAGACTCATACCACAGTCCCTACACATTGGCTGAAAACTGCTCTAGTGGTTCGAACAAGTTCATACATCGACATTCGAGCTGTTTTCTCTCGCCACCCTGTTGCTAGTCCACTGAGTCTGGTGGAAAAGTGACACAAACAATATCTTGCTAGCTTATCGAGAATCCAAATAGAGGTGTTCAATAATTCCAAGGAAATGGTGCATTAAAACTCAAGTCAGACAAACAATATCTTGCTAGCTTATCGAGAATCCAAATAGAGGTGTTCAATAATTCCAAGGAAATGGTGCATTAAAACTCAAGTCAGAATAATTTCAAATATAAGTGTAGGCATGAGTAGAACCCATTGTGATAAGGCTTTTCTAGCACACTCATTGTTCTACAACTGGGCAAAATTCAATATAACGGTCTTGGTCCTACGCACTGACCTATCTAACCAGAATAGAGGACAGCAGTGTAAACAGCTTGTATGGTCATGTGTACCTACAATACTCAGTGGCATAAGCTGTGTCTGCTGCTTTCAAGAGCGAAATAGCGTGACTGGAGCAGTGGAATACTACCATTTTTGTCTGGATCCAGATCAGGGAATCTTCTTCGGCTCCATCAAAACTAGCCACATACTAGTTGGCGACTGCGACTGCCTCAATCTCAAAACTAGCGCCCTTGGGCAGAGCAGCAGCAGCAATACAGGCCCTGGCTGGAAACACTGATGAACCTTCGAAGTAGGTAGTATATATGGCATTGACAGCTGCAAAGTCAGCCATGTCTGCAAGAAAGATATTGGTTTTTACAATGTTCTGGAATGAAGATCCAGATGCTGCCAAAACTTCTCCAAGGTTCTTCAATGCCTGCTTGGCTTGCGCTTCGACGCCACCTGAAACTAGTTCGCCTGTAGCAGGGTCCATACCAATTTGTCCGGATAAATACACCATCTGTGAGCCTGCCGGTACGGCGACAGCCTGGCTATACGGACCGATCGCCGCTGGAGCTTTGTCCGTGGAGATAACACGACGACCTGATTCGGAAGACATCCTGATGGGTTGCAGAACCAATTTGGAGAAAGAACGCTTTGAAAGTGACAAGAAAATAATTGGAGAAATCAATTTTGGAGCATTCATCTTTTATTTCTTGCAGCTTCTCGCTCGCGCTCGCGCTCTATTTTTGAGTTCCATTCCCGGCGCTAGCGCACCGCGCGCGGGTGTGCGATTCTCCCAGCATGCGTGCACTGCGTGAGGCCGACGACTCGACGAGGTGTAGGCTACGTGATCGATCATGCTGCACATGCACAGCGATCTATAACTAGCGAGCGAAGGCTGGCTGAGCCAGTCACGTGGTGTATATTTTCGTGAAAATAGGAAAACAAAACACAAATTTTGTAGGCTGCATAATTATTTTTATGTTCAAACAGCAAAAACTACTTTGATTTGAATGTCTTCATGTTCTTGGACCAGAGCTAGAGATCGAGAGTATTGCTTTGGACAGTTTGTTCACAATACTTCGAAGTCTTCGCGAAGTAGTACGTTGTAGGTACCTAATGCTATATGATTCAATCTGCATGCAATAAATACAGCTCTTCAAGCTCAGTTACCCCATGCGCGGCATCACTACCTTGAAAGTTCAAGGCGACACTATTAATTTGTGGAGTCAATAGGCCTAAGTTTTACTATCATTTAGAAATTTAACATGTTTGAGGCACGGGCCCTCGCTGCAGATCACAAAGATTTGATCCACGACATAACGTTTGATTACTATGGGCGCCGTATGGCCACATGTTCTAGTGACCAAAGTGTGAAGGTGAGTAGCCACCTTGAATATTCATTCTGATCAAATAGTATTACTCAATCTCCAAACGTTATTACCCCTTCAAGCCAATGGATATCTTTATGATCTACGAAGTATAGTCGACGTGGAGATAATAACCGGAAAATAACGGGAAAATAGCTATGAGCAAAGCCTTTGCTACTTTGTTGTTTGACATGAGTGCGAGTTTAATTTTGTTCATAGCTATCTCTGAAGTATGACAATAGTTATCGGTTCTGTATCAATTTCAAGGGCAATGGATTAAGCACAATAGAGCTGTTGCTATCACCTCTATACAGTCAACTTCACTTATGACGACACTCGGCGGGGCATCAGAAAAGTGTCCTTATTCGCGAAGTGTCGTTATACCCGAAGTCTCATTATCTGTATTACAGTTACATGGGACTTTGCTCTGGGCATGGAAATACTGTCATTATTCGCGAATTGTCGTTATATCCGCAGTCGTTATTAGCCAAGTTGACTGTACATTTCATTTCCTGGTTGGGCGTAGTACTACAGTAATCATTCAGTTTAAATTGAGGATGGAGGCCCGCTTCCTCAGCAGCTTGCGTTCCCAATGTTCATAGCATTCTTTATGATCGTGACACTGCGCGGCAAACTGGCTCCCTTTTCTTCTGGCCCGTCTCTGGGTATACAATTTAGATGGCTAAGACCAGATTAGTAAAGGTGCCGGTCAGGGGTGGACCCAGGGCCGCAACCTGAGAGGTTCCGAAATATCTGAAAACCCTGTGGGGTGCGCGAGCGCCTTTCGCACTCCCTGGATCCGCCCCTGCTAGGGTACACCAACTGCGTCGTCATCACTCCCATTCTGGCATGCAGCTTCAACCTAGCTGCACGGCGTTCAGAACTGAACATGTGCATGTCATCCCTGGTTGTCACGTGCACATTGACCACTCAATCGAAGATTCAATCTGCGATTCTGCTCAGTTACCGTGCAATGCCACCGTAGGTATTGGCATCATCTTCAATCGGGTACATGTTGGCCTGGCGTTGCTTTGCTGTATCAATAGCACACTAGGTATGAAGTATGAACAGGTTCATGCGTCAAAGCCTTGCCACCACTACATCTACTGGTGAAGTTGGCTGGGCCATTTTTACATGTTCATGAGCCCTGATGAGCTACGCTCTGCTACTCGCTGTCTGATGTACAGAAGTTCTGTGAGGCACACATTGCCGCAACAAGCGGTCAGTTCTCAACCTTAGACTCCATGTGCGTGTGTGTCTGGTTGTGTTTGCCTGTCCTGTCCAGGTCTGGGATTTGAATGAGAGTGGCGAGTGGGTCTGCACTTCCAGCTGGAAGGTATGTCCACATGTAACATAAGGCATTGCTCTGTGAACCGCATTGCTCTGTTAACCACTGCATGCTTGATTACAACAGGCAGCTGTGCCAACTTCCTCTTTTTTTGCATTACGAACTATTAGTACTCGCTGCCGAAATATATGTTCTATTATATTGCGCACCAATTTTGCAGTACATATACACCTGTGAGTTGGTCTTGACGGAATGATGGTACAGTCCAGAGCCTGTCAGAAGAATGCCAGAGTTCAAAAAGTTCAGGTGCAGTGCAGTCTTCAAATTCACTGTACTGTGTGTCCGAGGTGCTTGGAATAGAACATGTATGGTGGTACTAACAATAACTTTGCATACCGTAAAGTCCGGAGCAAACGCCCACTTCGCTGCAAACGCCCACCCCAGCTCGATTGTACTATTTTCGCAATGCAGGGCACAGGTACGTCATCCTGAGGACAAGAATGGTGTACAGAAAGTTCGATTTCGTACGAGTAGACATGAAAAGCCTACGAACTGCCTATGGCAAAGACTAAAGCAAAAGAACTATCGCTATAGCTCAACATCAAATTCCCGCGGACAAAATGCACTAACCTCGCCAAGAAGGGACCAACTGCATTCAATCCTTTCGCAGTCGTTCTTGGAAGCGATTGTTTTTTTCGCCATGCCAAGACGCCACAAGTTCGACGTGGAGTTTAAATGCAGTGCTGTAGAATGGCACCGCCTGCACGGCGAAAATGCTATCTCACGTTGCAAGAAGGCAAAATCTCTTCCAGATTGCATAGCCGAAAGAGCATTACAATCGTTCTCGTTTTCGGGTTGCCGAGGGAATTCTACAAATTTGTCCCTGGACATATATTATAGGCTCTGTGCAGCTCCGACCGGCGGTAACTGCGAACTTCACAGTCAAAGGCAAGGCAAAGGTTATTCATGGTGACTGAAGAGAAGGAAGAAAGTTATCCATGAACGTTTACAGATCGAAAGTAACTTGCTTTGACACCGCTCGAGTGGATTGCGACACTTTCAGTTGAGCCGTACGGCCAACAGTGCAGTCTCTATCGATCTATGAGCTTCCAAACTCTAGCCTCTATCTACTCGGCTCTAGCTTTGTGCCATAGTTTACCATAGCAGTAGTCACTTTTCGCTACGGTGTGAAGTGAACTTTCAAGTCCGTCCCGTAACATACCCGTAGGGTCAGGCCAAAAGTTCAAGTCTCAGCGCGTAGACCGGGTCTACAGGCCAGCAGATCTTGCAAAAATGGGGTGGGCGTTTGCTCCGGACTTTACGGTAGTGGAATATAATGATGAAGTTTCTTTTCGGTCCCCCCCCCCCCCCCCCCCCCCCTAGAACTCTGTTCATGTCTTTGTTTGAAGGCGACTTTTCTTTGATACTCAGTTAGCTTCAACTGCACCACTGCGATTTCAGGCTGGTTAGAAGTAAACCATGTAGTTTGTATGTGTGTGTGTGTGTCTTTGTGTGTGTGTGTGTGTGTGTGTGTGTGTGTGTGTGTGTGTGTGTGTGTGTGTGTGTGTGTGTGTGTGTATGTTTGTGTGTGTGTCTTTGTGTGTGTATATGTGTGTCTGTTTGTGTGCATACGTGTGTGCGTGTGCGTACATGCGTGTACACGTACATGTACGTGTGTTTTAGACTCACTCGGGCTCGGTATGGCGCGTTGTCTGGGCGCACCCTGAGTTTGGCCAGGTACTAGCCACGTGCTCCTTTGACCGCACCGCCTGTATCTGGGAAGAACAAAGTAAGTTGAACCCTGGTACCCTAGTGCAATTTTTACTAAGTTTTTAGTGCATGCCGCTCCTCTGAATATATGCCGCAACTTTTACTTAAAGGGGAAGTCCGGTGAAAACTTAAATGTCAGGGTCGGTAGAGTTTCGGGCGCTGAGTCGAATGGTGTTGGTCCCACGTGTCTCCGACAAAGCGTTCTCGAGATATTTCCGTTTGAAAAACTGAGTTTCGGGGGGCTGCGCCATGACGTCATGCGGCCGCGCCACACCCTCCGCAACGTCATAGCGTGCAGCTAGGTCAAAAGGAGTGCGTGAAAGCAATAGTGTCAGTGCTATTTCAAATGATTTGGCGACCGATTGTAGGTGGTACAAGCGACCCCGAAGACGTAAATCCTTGTGACAGTGAGGATGCAGCCATGGCTGACCTTCATGAGTTCGGCCTGGGGCTGAGAACCTCGGTATTCAGCTGAAGAAATGGCCGCTCGGGCCGGTCAAGAGTGAGCGCTACTGAGTTTCCGACTGATGAAGAAGCAGCAGCTATTGGCATTGCAGACGAGGCTGATAGAATTATCAGATCGCTGGAGAGCAGAGTCGCCAAAATGGAGAAGAGTGATGCGAGTGCTCTAAATGTTGTTCCATACCGATTCGCTTAGACTCCAGTAGCCTGCCACATGGTGATGTTTTGGTGCGAACTAATTACTTGGCATATTTCGGACTACTAGTACTCAATCGGAGAACAGTGCAGGCTCTTTGAACCACTGGCACGACTCTTCGCTCGCAACGCTCCGGGATCTGAAAGTTCTAGCCTAAGGTCCGGGAGCTGTTCGCTGTTTTGTCACTCGTCACGGTTGTGCACTCATCGCTGTAGCATAAAGTAATGAGGCGGAAGCGGAAAACTAAAATTTTCTTTTTCAAAGCACAACCACCGGCACCGGCAAGGTGAAACGCACTTAACGTTCTCTGACTACATGACTGGACGACTGATACGAGTGTAGTACATGACAAGTCCGTGTGTTGACTAGTTTTCTGAGTCTTGTGACTCGAGTCTTCAGGTCTTGTAGCTACCCCAGCACGGCAGTGCGGGAGTAGTTCCGTGTGTGATGAGTTTGTTGACTACTCTACACAGCTAGCATGCACGCAGCGCATTGCTAGAGCCGTAGAGGCCATGGCCAGTGCATGCCGACGGAAAAAAGTCCAGCTCGGAAACGGCTAAAATACGGTTTAACCTCGAGGTTTACCGAGCTGAAAATCACAGGGTACGTAGTGTTTGTAACACTGAATCGAATGGTCTTGGTCCGAAGAAGCTGCGACAAACGGTTCCCCAATCGAACGCGCTCCGAATATGGCCATTTTGTACACAACTAGATGGTGTGGCTACCTGCCTGCACGCTGTGACGTCATCACCTGGATCTGGGTGATGCGCGCTCAAATTTGCACATGTTCGATTGGGCGTATCTGACTAACCATAGGCCGCAGCCTCCTCGGACAAAGACCATTCGACTCAGCGCCCCGAAGTCTACGGACTGTGAAATTTAAAATTTTCACCGGACTTCCCCTTTAAAACTCCAAGGTCGAAAAAGGGGCGTAACGTACAATCGAGGGAGATTTCTTACTCAAGTTAACACACTTTAACTATTATACAACAGAGACCTGAAAAATGGCTTGTGACTTGTAGTTGGATGCGATTTATTATCGGGAAAATGCGGTGCGGTTGTTTGTACATGTACATGCTCAACAGCATCCCAGGTTATCCTTCCTCTTGCTGTGTCCTGCGCATGTGCACAAATGCGCTGGTGGACGTGCTGTTTGATGTCATGCAAACCTAATGCATGTTGGCCTGGTTGCAGCATGGCTCTCTCTCTGGCAGTTTCGGGTTTCGTCTTCAACAGTGCTTCGACTATTAGTGCTACTTAAAAAGCACTCTAAAGCGATGTCTTAGTAGTGGAAAGTCAGCACAATTAGCGACTTTAGTGTGAGTTTAGTGTGAGTTTATGAGCTCTTCCCTGCCAACTCAGTTGCCGGTATTCTATTATTTCTTCTGTTTTTGTTTTTGTTTTTTGTGAGAAAGCGCATTAGGAAGCGTACGGCTGTCTCAGGGATTGGTCTTATAACTATAAGCAATTCAGACTACGGCCAAAATCACGTCTGAACTTGAATTTCCATGGTGATGCAGTCGTGTTTCAAATGACTAATGTACAATCGCTGATCAAATACGAGTTGTAGAAACATGGTCACGGTTGGCCGTAGTCTGAATAGCCTATTAGCAAGAGTACATAACCCCCAAGAGTGTGCAACTCCAGCTATGTGGTCTGCGACGGCAGAACTTCACATCACGTGATGAACTTGTACGCATGTTTGTCACGTGGTGACTTTGAATTGCTTGCCGGTGTAACCTTTTGAACCATGTCACGTAATGTTGGTGACTTTGAATTGCTTGCCGGTGTAACCTTTTGAACCATGTCACGTAATGTGAAGTTCTGCCGGCGCAACACTAGATAGAGGTTGTGCGGGCAGTTTCACACTCTTCGGGCTATATACTCTTGGTCTTGGTGAGATTATGTGATAATATAATGCTAGTGTCATGTGTGAAATTGACAGGCTCTTGCTCCAATGTAGGCTACCAACGATACATCGGCACTCTATTGATCTGCTTATTTATGTGTGTACTGCAGTTGCCGATAGCAGTATTAGTCCGAATGCGGCAAGGTCAGCCGGATCACACTGGGTGAGAACTGGTCTGTGTGCGCAAGCGAACATGAGTGTGTGTATGTGTGCATGTGTGTGTGTGTATGGGGGGGCACGTGCGAGTGTGCGCGTGTTTCTGCATGTGTGTCTATTTCACTGGTCGATTCTTAAAAAGATTGTTGTCTTCCTGTTGATCATACCGGTAAATACCTGTAGGTCAAAAGTTGAACTTTTTCAGAAATGTTTTTGGACAATCCAGTGAGAAATGCTCTTCTAAGTGGTCTTGAGGTTGTCAAATGTAGACGATAACTAATCTAATTGTTCAGCCGTGTTTACCATGACATGCAGACGTGCTGATCCAAACCCCATTTCCTGGCAGGGCCGGCGCCACTGGTACGAAAAAAAAAAAAAAAAAAAAAAAAAAAAAGTCGGCGTGGAACGTCCAAAACCGGGGAGAAAAAGTTTCGATGTATGATTTTGTACAGGGAGTCGCCCAGAGTGCAGGATTTGCCGTCTAAATTCCAAAATAATTCTGGGGGGGAGGACCCCCCTTAAACATGGCCCTTCGGCCGCACCGCTCCGCTGAAGCTGCCTCCGGCCCTGCCTGGCCAAACTAGAATCAGACTTTGAGCCTACTTCAGCCTTGAATCTCACGGCCCAATGATTTCTTATCCGCCTGTAATATTACGTTACTGTAAGTTCACTGCGGGCAGAAGGTCTGGCCGGTTTTGCAATCGTTTTCAATAGAATTTAGTATCAGCTTGAGACTGAACACTGCGTTTCCTGAGCATTTCCTGAGCAGCGTCCTCTGTTGACAGAAGAGAAGAGAAGGGTGCCTATAGCGACTGGATATTCCGGTGTGGCTATTGTGTATCTAAACCAGTGTTGGTCTGCCCAGAAACTTACCCCCAAGCATCTTTTTTTCAGGATGTCATTGTATTTGTATGCTAATGTTGCATGTCATTCACGTCCCCGTTGTCGTTGCTGTCATACGTACTGAATCTGAGCATGAACACTGTATCTCCGCCGTCTACACTGCATACTGTGTGTTCAGGTCAAGCGCGCAACGCTGGTGGACAGTAGAACGTCGGTGACGGATATTGCGTTTGCCCCGAAGCATCTCGGCCTGCATCTGGTGAGTTCATCGCAGTGTGTGCTGTGCTGGGTTCATCTGTGAGCTGCCTACAGTGATAGTATCTCTGTCATAACCATAGTGGCTTTCCTACGTTCTTCAACACTCTGCTATACTACATGTGACCAGTGTGCCCAAAGGTATAATATGGCTGCTGTCTGTCGGACTAAATCTTCCCCCGGGCCCCAGAGGGCTATCAACCGATCATGCTGACATTCCCTTTGTTTTGGTTCCTGGTGTGGCACGATTTTGTGTATGAAGCTTTGACAGCACTTGTCGGTGGGAACTGACCAGGCCATAACCACCGACCAGGCGAGCGTGGGGGGGAGGGGGGGGGGGGTGTCGTATGAAGGAAATCAACCACGGTGGTACTTGCAAATCCACTGCTAGCCGTATGACCCATTACTTACACACCCCAGACTCTTCATTCAACAGGCCTATCCGTGTTTCAACCCTTCGGGCAATTTAGCATGTGTCCTAGACCAGGGAACGGTCGACACGACAGAAATCACGTGTTCTATGTGCATCACGGGTATATGGAAAATAGTAGATTATCAGTCTGCTGGTTGCACCGGTGCATGTATTTCGTGGAAGTTACCACTGTTCCAACGCTTTTTGTGTCGCTTGCACTCTTTGTGTTCGTCTTTTCACCGAGCTATGGTGCTGGACCTTCTTGTTCTCATCTTTTTGATTCACGTTTAGGCTACCTGCTCGACCGACGGCTATGTTCGGATATACGAAGCGCCGGATGTGATGAACTTGAGCCAGTGGACACTTATGGTCAGTCATGAGAAAGGCATGATAATACTTGGCAGTACTAGTACTTGTAGTAACTTGAGCCAGTGGACACGTATGGTCAGTCATGAGAAAGACATGATGATACTTGGCAGTACTAGTGCTTGTAAGTTGTAGTGCTGTGACTTTACAGTAAAACCTGTCAAGGCGACCACCCCTTCTAAAGCAATCACCTGTCCCAGAGGACCGCTACAACTAGGACCGAGGGCCGTTATTTCCAGGCAAATGACCCTGGATAAGGAGAGCACCTGGTAGCAGAGACCGTGCTTTGCAGGTCCCTTGAGCGAGCGTCTTCGACAGGTTTCACTGTATTGATGTTGTGCTCAGTACTTGTAATAGCTAAGTAAAAGAGTGGTGAGGCTTGCTGCAGCTGCAGACGAATACATGTGATGCAGATCAGACCTGCTCTTTCCCAACTACAGTCTAACCTCTTTAGGACGGATACTGATAAGGCGAACTGTCCACTAGCAGGGTTCTAGCTAAGTTAGGCATAACTCCGCACAGTACATTGACGGCATCATGCACAATCTCTGATACAGTCGTAGAAGTAGAGCCGATGTGGAAAGTACAGCTACTTCCTCATATGTGTCCCCTTGACATATATGGTATAGTGGCACTGCTAGACGCTTGGCCACGGGTATTGTATGACGGAGGTGCGTTGACTCCTTTTGTAGCAGATATTCGTAGCGCCGCACAAGAAAGCAGAAAGTGAACTGCTTCATACGAACATTCGATAGCCAAGCCGCTTTCCACCCCCGCCTGGAGCTTCGCTTGGCCACTTCCCAGGTGTTTCAACACTTCCTTTTCCCAGAACCCATCACATCGACCTAGCTCATTCTCGGGATGCGCTGTCCGAAATAGCGGAATGCGCTGGCGTTGTAAGTTCGGTCTCCCAGTGAGCAGCCCGTACGAAGAGATGACTGCTGAGTTGGTCATCACAGGCAAGAGAAGAATAGTTTTCACGACCAGGTCCAGAGCCTCTGCGTGTCTACTTGTATTCAGAACTAAAAACAGAACTTGAAGCGACCAGAGGGATGCCAATTGTCTTCGACTTGGTGGCACTTTGTACATGCGTATATTTTTTACCTAGTTCGGTTGGAGCCTAAGCTATGGTGTAGTCACCATCCGAGCAGCAATCGTTCAGCATTTTCTTCAGACTTCGAAACTCACTAAATTCTTATGTTAACCCACATGCATGCACGCATACACACAACTTAAAACAAACAAAACATCAATATTTTCGTACAACACTCATCAGGAATCTTCGTTGTACTAAAGGATACTGAAAACAAAATTGAACTATTATAGAAAATCTAAAGCTGTGTTCACAACTGGCGCGTGTACGCGTGAAACCACGCGTTTGTGCGTATTTTTGCTGGCTTTTGGGGCGCCATGCGTACGGAAACGCGCCGAAATGGAACTTCCAACATATTGGAATTTTCAGCGCGTATCAGGCGCGTATCAGCGTACATGCCAGTCACTTTGACTGGCGGGGTCAAAAAATTAGTACTCGAAGGTGTCGCACGCGCTAAATACGACTCGAATTGCTGTTTTTTGTGAAAGGCTGAGCGCGCGTTTGGGGGCGCATGAACCGCAAGCGTACCGCGTCCACGCGCCAGTTGTGAACACAGCTTAAGTTGGAGAAATAACACTAAGAACAACAGCAGTGAAATTTACAAGTGTGAATTTTAACCCTTTCACGGTCTCAGAATCCAGTCAAAATGAGGCTATTTACAGAATTCAACAATTTCGTACATTGATTCATCCATAACTTCAGTTTCCCTTCGCTGATTTTCATGATCTTGGGCTCTCTGGAAAGCTATGGACACGAGCAACACGCCGAGCTACAATTCGACACCAAGCGTGCCGTGGATCCAGCGCTGCAGCGCAGCGACATCGCCCCAGTGCTTGATTGACGACGAGAAACAAGATTCAACAGCCATTTCCCTCTCCTTGCTCACATCGAGCTCACATTTTTGTGAGGAGTGCTGCGAGTCCATACTCTCATTTGAATCCGTGTCTCTATGGCGACAGCTAGCTGCAAAGGGAAAAACCCGTCCTCAAGACCCAGCTCGCCCACTCAAATCGCAAATGAGCCGTGACGCAGATCGCGAGCTTCGTAGCATCGCAGCCGTTCACTCCATCGCTTCGGCGATTGTTCCTACGGATAGCCTGGAGCTTTCTCTTCAACCTAGATATTTAGATGTTCGAATTTGCTCAAATATTGACTGAGTTACGATAGTTTGAACAAATCGATCACCGGTGATCGATTTTCAAATGTGAGACCGTAAAAGGGTTAACAATGAAAGCGAGAGCAATAACGAATGTGTGTACTAACACTAAACTTGCAACTGAAAAGTGAACAAAGAAGAGAAAGAAAGAAGGAAGGACAAAGTGATAACAAATAACAGCAGTACATTACACCTAGAACATTAAAGGGGAAGTTAAGGCAAAAATTAAAATTTCACCAGTTGTAGTCTTCGGGGTGCTGAGTCGAATGGTCTTGGTCCGAGAAAGCTGAGACGCTCCCTTCCTACTTGAATCCCAATCAAACTCGCGCACTTCCACCGAAACTGGGTGACTGCGCCCTACTAGATGGGGATTTGTATGCAAAATGTCACTAAAAGCGCCATTTTGTTCTTATAAAAGCACGGATGACCGCGATTGGCCCATATGTTGTAGTCTTTTGGACGCTGAGTCGACTGGTTTTGGTCCGAAAAGGCTGCGATGCAGCGTTCCTCATTTATTCCCAATCGAACATGGTTGAACAAGCGGTCACGTGCTCCTGCGTACACCAGTCAGCTGGTCACCGTGCCTGCAGGGTAGACTCTACAACTTACTAGCCTGTTTGACCTTTTTTGTTTTGTTTGGGTGCAGTGACTCCTGTCACTCGAGTTGAACTCGAGTTGAACCTTGGTGTGAAAGTTGTCGCCTGCTGGCGTGGTGACCAGGTGATTTGGGCACCCAGGAGCACGTGACCACTTGTTCAACCATGTTCGATTGGGAATAAAGGAGGAACGCTGCATCGCAGCCTTTTCGGACCAAAACCAGTCGACTCAGCGTCCAAAAGACTACAACATATGGGCCAATCGCGGTCATCCGTGCTTTTATAAGAACGAAATGGCGCTTTTAGTGACATTTTGCATACAAATCCCCATCTAGTAGGGCGCAGTCACCCAGTTTCGGTGGAAGTGCGCGAGTTCGATTGGGATTCAAGTAGGAAGGGAGCGTCTCAGCTTTCTCGGACCAAGACCATTCGACTCAGCACCCCGAAGACTACAACTGGTGAAATTTTTATTTTTGCCTTAACTTCCCCTTTAACGGCCAAGCTTGGCCGCACCAAACATGACACTTTACTTGAACAATTTCAACCCAATTATACTATCTTTCTGTACACACAAATTAGGCTTAGGGCCGGGTTCCACTGCGGCTCCGCGGCTCCGATGCTCCGCGGCACTTGGCTGCATGCAGCGGAGCAGCGCGGTTCCACCGTCACTCGCCATTCGCGGTACCGCGGTCGTGGTCCACACTTTTTGATGATGTTTCACCTGCCTGCGCGCGCGCGCGCGCGAAATCAAACAAATCCTCGTGTTCTGGCCTGCGCAACGAATTAAAATTTGAATTTTAAAATGCTGGCGTACAAAACAATGCAAAGTACGGGAAACAGGTCGAGCCGCGACCGCGGCTCGCAGTTTTTGGTCAAGAATCGTAGCAAAAGCTCGCGGTGAGCCGCGGACTCGCTGCTCCAGCTCGAGCCGCGGTCACTATGGTAATGATGACGTTTCAAGCCGCGAAAGACGAGCAGCGGGGCAGCGGAGCCGCAGTGGAACCCGGCCATTATACAGACGCTGACATATGGCTTCCAAAACCTTTAACTGTAGTGCGTGCGTTTACGGTGCGGAAGGATGTCCTACCAGCCCTTCACCTTAGTCATCTTATTTACAACTTTGAATGCCGACAATGCGCTAGTCGGTATGTTGGTAGGACTGTTCAGCACCTGAACGCACGCATCAAACAACACGCACCACGTCACATACTTCCACCTTGCGCACAACAACAAAGACCGAAGCGAGGGCGACCTAGAAAACAACCGTTACCTACACAACTTGCGGATCCTGGCTCACAGACTGTGCTTGCTCCGCCGTCGCTGGTGGCGGTGGTGGGGGAGGGTGGGCGTGGTGGCTCATCGGGCCGGTTTGTGTCGCCACCTTTGCTCCTGCCGTCGGTGGTTCCTTCGTCAGTGCCCCCGGCGGCTTTGGCTGGGGTGGTGCCGCTTGCAGTCCCGGTCCCACTGCCTCCTCCTGATCCTCCGCCGTCGGCTCTTGCGGCGGTGGAGCTTGCCAATGACAGACCGCAAGCAACACCGGCAGGGGCATTGACACTACAATTGCCAACCAAAAAAGACTCACCTTGCGTATTAGCAGCTCCCACACCATCACCAACAATGCAATCTACAGCAACCACAACTAATCCACCATCCAAGCCCATTATTGAAAGACCAAGACGATCAACAGCCAACTACAACAGAAACTACGCACTCAACGGACAAGGGCGTAAGGAGGGACGTGAGAGCAGGGTGACGGCCGAGTCCCGTTCAATGGACCATGTCAGGCGGGATAACAGAGAGAGCGCAGAGGAAGCAGATGATGGGACGGACGGTGAAGGGAGCAATGAGTCGGAGAGCGACGATTGTAGTGATCGTGAGAGTGCCGGTGAGAATGTTAGCGTTGTGCGTAGGTTTCGTGGTAGCAAGTCTTCAGTGTACAATCATCTGTTGGCTAGTCCTGATTGTTGCAATTCGTATTCCGACTCTTCATTCACTGTATTGTGCCGTGGTCGTCATGGTTATGGACTACAGTTAAAGGTTTTGGAAGCCATATGTCAGCGTCTGTATAAGCCTAATTTGTGTGTGCAGAAAGATAGTATAATTGGGTTGAAATTGTTCAAGTAAAGTGTCATGTTTGGTGCGGCCAAGCTTGGCCGTTAATGTTCTAGGTGTAATGTACTGCTGTTATTTGTTATCACTTTGTCCTTCAGTTTCCTCTGAGACAAAAATGCGATAATACTCATGAAAAGGACACACTTCAGGCTCATTACAAACATCTTGAAAGTTTTTGTCTTCACAAGTATACTTTCAAGCCTTCTCGTCAGGTGAAATACAGGCAAGGGAAAAGGAACAGGAACAGTGGATTAAATACAGTAAGAAGGTGGTAAAACAGCGCAAAAACAAAAAAGAAAGAAAGAAGATAGCTAAAGTAAACAGCGAAAATTGCAATAATGACACAAAGGTGCAAATGCGAGAAAACTCAATAAGCGTGACATGTAGTGCGACAACAAGAGACAACCACTGGACATACATGTAACTAACGAGGTTTTGACGACCTACCTAACAGCCTATGTGTGAATTTGATTTGTTTTCCCTTGCCTGTATTTCACCTGACGAGAAGGCTTGAAAGTATACTTGTGAAGACAAAAACTTTGTCCTTCCTTCTTTCTTTCTCTTCGTTGTTCACTTTTCAGTTGCAAGTTTAGTGTTAGTACACACATTCGTTATTGCTCTCGCTTTCATTGTTAAAATTCACACTTGTAAATTTCACTGCTGTTGTTCTTAGTGTTATTTCTCCAACTTAGATTTTCTATAATAGTTCAATTTTGTTTTCAGTGTCCTTTAGTAAAACATCACTATGCACATTTATCCAGACACGCTCTCACATACACACACACGCATGTGCGTGCCAAACGTACAAAACGTGGACACATGTACACCAAGCAGATAGAATACAAGGAAGTGGGGTTTGCCATAGTTTTTTTTCTTTCAATTTTGAAGTAAATATTTACGAGACTTTGCATCGAGCGACACCGTGGATAACATTGAGCCAAGAATTAGGCAATAAGCCAGAAGAGATATCTCTTCACAAGTAGGCAAATAAATGCGTAGGTGCCCGGCAACAGCAACCGGGCGAGTCACAGCAATGTACGTATTGCAACTTCAATGATACACATACACGGTTGACCACCCATGCCTCAAACCGGCGGGTCAACCACATGGTGGCCCGGCAACTTCAAACGGGAACACACCGATACAACAGACACAGTTGACCACCCATGCCTCAAACCGGCGGGTCAACCACATGGTGGCCCGGCAACTTCAAACGGGAACACACCGATACAACAGACACAGTTGACCACCCATGCCTCAAACCGGCGGGTCAACCACATGGTGGCCCGGCAACTTCAAACGGGAACACACCGATACAACAGACACAGTTGACCACCCATGCCTCAAACCGGCGGGTCAACCACATGGTGGCCCGGCAACTTCAAACGGGAACACACCGATACAACAGACACAGTTGACCACCCATGCCTCAAACCAGCGGGTCAACCACATGGTGGCCCGGCAACTTCAAACGGGAACACACCGATACAACATACACAGTTGACCACCCATGCCTCAAATCGGCGGGTCAACCACACAACAACATACAGGTGTCACAACACTGAGACAGTACAGCACAACACTTTTAATGCATTTGACCCTCCTTGGGGCCTCGTCACGTGGCACAAGATACCAACGTGTCATGTCTAAAGGGACGGAGGGAGGGGAGAAAACACAACCTTGAGTCACTTTGACTAACTGGATGACAGAAATTGTTGACAAGGAAGTTGTGTTGCTGACACGAGGCCGGGCAAAGCGGCCACGCAAGATTTATTATTTCATCCACCATTTTCGGAAAAATATTTTTTATTCATGTGCCGCGTGACGAACCCGTGACAAAACACGTGCATGCGTGGGCTAACTTGGCTTTGCTGCTCAAAGCCGTCATTTTATTTGTTTTGCCTTTCCTCTGCTCCCCATGTAGCATGAGATCAGTTGCAAGAACGGCTGCAGCTGCATCACCTGGAATCCATCTAGGTAATGCCGTGTACCCACCCGTTCAAGTGTAGTTACAAGGTGCTGTCCACTGCGCGTGCACCTAAAGTCATGTATGGATGTTCATCTTCGCTTTTGCTCTCTCCGCTTGGTCTCACTGTTTGTGATTCATTTTGTAACGAATACTAGCCAGGTGTGGTGGATAACGTGTTGTTCATGAATATGTGTGTGCATGTGTGTGCGTGTGTGTGTGTGTGTGTGCACCACTGCTGTACTGTCGTGTTGGCGCATTTAGCTCTGTCACCTCTGCTCTACAGTGTTTTGTGCTAAGTGATCTCCACGTTGGTTGTGGTTCTAATTTAAGAAACGATGTTGTATTGTGTCTTTGGGTCACACCTGCCAAGATCAGAGCAGTACGCACTGATCTTTGAAGTTACCACCTTATGTTGTATGTTTCTGTGCTGTGCTGGTGGTGCTGCTGCGGCTGTTGTTGTTCAAATCTTTATTCTCACGATGGCTTGTCACCGTGTTATTGTTGTTGTTTTGAAATCTTTTATTCTCACAATGGCCTGTGGCTAATAAGAGAAGTTGTTCTTGTTCTTGTTGTTCTTGTTTCAAATCTTTATTCTCGTTGTTATTGCTGCTGCTGCTGCTGCTGCTGCTGCTGCTGCTGCTGCTGCTGCTGCTGCTGCTGCTGCTGCTGCTGCTGCTGCTGCTGCTGCTGCTGCTGCTGCTGCTGCTGCTGCTGCTGCTGCTGCTGTTGTTCAGATCACATCCGCCCATGATAGCAGTAGGCATTGACTCATCCAGCAGCAGTGGTCTGCTACAGATTTTCGAACTCAATGACTCCTTGAGGTAGGTGTGGAGGACCTGTTATGTCTGTTCTGCTCAGTACTTCACCCCTGAATGCCACCTCCAGTAATAGCTGGGTATGGTCCAAGGAGGCTATGGTGCACTGTCCGTCAGATACACCAAAATATAGTTACTAATAATTCGAACCTCGTTTTTCCGGGGAGTAACTTCTAGTTTTCCGAAACTGTATGTTGAACCTAATGTGTATGCCAGATTGCAACTCTGAGCACACTGAACATCATGCAATATCATCTTAGGGCCTTCAATATGTGTTGAGCAAGAGTTCCAATTGTATTAGCCACACCATGGCTGTAAGTGATGATGAGCAGTTGCCCACTTTGTCCCTTTCTATGTTATGGTTATTTCCAGGAATAATCGAATATTCCTTTGTTACTGCTTGCATTCGAATATTGTTTTTGTTGTTAGTATTCCAAAAAATTCGAATATTTGAATATTCCTTGCATGGAATTCTCCCGATCTTTTTTATTTCCTTACATTGCTAATCTTTCTTTCTTTCTTTTTTTTTAGTGAAGTTGAGCCTGTTTCTGTTTGGGTGTCTGTTCTTGCAGACGATGGCAGCGGATTGAGAACATTGTCAGTATCTCTGATCCCGTGCATGATGTTGCATTCGCTCCCAACCTGGGACGGTAAGCTGTCTGCTCAGGATTTGAAAGATTCTTCTGGCTCACTCTAATTTGATCACGGAAAACAAATCGGACCAAGAACCCTTTTTTCCTGTATCCGTGTTGCTACTGTTTCCCATTTCCTGTGCTGTGCTGGTCAAGATCTGTTGTGTGTGGCGTTGCCAGTTCGGAATTGTATACATTTATATGTGGAATCATTTAGAATGATGTCTTCACTCCAGAATTTGCTTCTCACTTTGCCCCTTGCCATTGTACGAATACAGCCATGCGGTTTGTCATGGCAAGGACATTATTGATCAATCTGTGGGTTCTTGTGCTCCTCGTGCAGGTCTTTCCACACACTAGCAGTGGCATCGAAGGATGTGAGAATATTTACTCTGTCTCCTTCGTAAGTCCAATCCCAATCCCATGGGCATTCTACTTTCGGTGTATCACTGAGGAAACTCTGCTTTGTGGAGTGAACTGGTGAAGTTTTGTGTGATGCTTTTGTGCTGAGCTATGATGAAGATAATTTTGATGAGGACAATCTCCTGTGTCTAATTTCAATTAACACGGTTCACGTGAGACCCAGTCAGACTGAGTTTTACGCATCCGTAGGAACACTGCCACCCTTAAGGATCAAGATCCTTGTGCCAGCATGACTTATCATGTCTTTCCATGTTCAGATCTCCTAAGCACCAGCTTCAGGGTGTGTTTCTCAGCACAGCTGTAAGGCTGGTTTGCGATGCGGATGTGTGAATTTGTTTACTTACAAGTATGTGCGCTTACATCTTGAAGGTATATGCGTATGTACATGTTTTTGTTTTCTCACATACTCATGCAGGCGTGATGCATCGGCTTCTTACAGCAAGCTCGATGTCCGGCAGCCGGCACAGTTTGAGGAAAGTGCGTCGCAGGTACGCTGCTTGAGTGGGCAAGCACCACTTCCTTGTTCTCACTCCTGCTTTCACTGCAGTGGGTTTCAATTTCTAAAATGAAAGTCTGATTCTGTGTATAACAGGAAGGACGAAATGGTATGAGTTATGACTAAACGGTCCACCAAGATGACACTGTATCCCGTGATTTACGCTATAGAAAGCCGAGTGATGCATTGGATGACCTCTGGATACAATGGTTTTATCAACCATTTCGGCTCAACAGTCTCCATGTAGATGTATATCCACTACCTTGGCTCCAGTATTGTTCTTGACTCACATGTACTTCATCGTTCTAGCTGTAAGAGGGGCTTTTAGGACTTGGTGCATTGTGAACTATTTACTGGGGTTGAAGCAGTAACAGTTAGTGGAGTTTCGGCTGTCATTCCTTGTTGCATACCTGTGCTTGCTTGCCTTTGTTCCAAGGTGTGGCGTGTGGAGTGGAATGTCACTGGCACCATACTGGCATCAGCTGGAGATGATGGCTGTGTGCGAATGTACAAAGGTCAGTAGTGGATGGTATACTACTACAGTAGTAGTCATGCCTATTGCGTTGCAATTCACAAGTACATGATAATACAATGGCCTGCAGTGTAATACTATTGTCTCGCGGCTGTTTTGTTGTTCCTGGTGGTGGTGGTGGTGGTGGTGGTGGTGGTGGTGGTGGTGGTGGTGGTGGTGGTGGTGGCCGTGGCGGCAGGCGTATTGCCCAGCATAGCCTTGTCGTCTGTCCACTGCCTGTACTGCATATACATCACCTTCCTTCTAATGTTGTTGTGGAGTGCTTTAAAATGTCCAGTTTTGAGTAGGAACAGGTGCTTTCGAAACCAGGCTCCTTTGTACTGACGTCATTGTGTGTTCATGCATGTACATTCCTGGTGCTTACAGCCAATCATCTGGACAATTGGAAGTGTATCAAGGTGCTGAAGGGGGACTTGAGCGAGGCGCAGGCTACAGCCGGCTCTGCTGTAGCTCCTGGTTCCACACAACCTATTCGTGACACACCTGTCTGGTAGGTTTCATATTCTTTTGAAGCAAGCTGGCGGATTTCATTCCTTCTTGAGCCTAAGCTCTGAGCTGCATGTACGCGCACACACACACACACACACACACATGCATATGGATACAAACACCTGTGAACACACGCACACACATACCTACGTACAGGGCCATCACGAGGCAGTGGGGAGTGGTACGACCGGGGTCTCCTCGAAAAAAAATCGGGTTTTTCGGCCAACAGGGCACAATTTTGCTCTCTACACCCCAATGGGTTGGGGGGGGGGGGGGGTCCCCGAGCACGAAAAGTGGTACGACCATGGACGTACTGGCCATACCGTGTATGATACCCCTGACATCCATACACACACTCTCTCTCCTCATTCTCTCCTTCTCTTTGTTGAACAGCATATGCTCATCACACGTTTGTCTTTGCGCTGTTATGAATATTCTCTTGATTTGGCAAGTACCTTTTTATGGTCACTTATGCCACTTCTCCATTGTGCCGTTATCAGCAAATGTACATGGCAACAGTCCAGTCTGAAATAGATTGGCCTCTTGCTTTTGATCATGCATGTATTTGGGCCAACAGTTTTAACTTTTGGAGGAATCTTTCCAAAAAAAGTTCTCTCCGGAGGTAAACCGTAATGAGATTTTTTCACCAAATCCGTGCTGGTTAAATGGTAGCGGGACGGAACCTTGCAATTGTAGTCTTTTGTTTGTGGTGTTGTTCACAGGTTGTCTGATGTGCAGCAGCTGTAGACTCGTTTGTTTCGGCATTGTGTTGTTCGTTTCACCTTGATCTCCGCTCTTTTGACCGTCTCATCTTCAACTCCTGATAACAAGTCTTTCGCCACCTCAGCTTTTTTTTGTTTTAATCTCTTTTGTCTTTTTCTACCCTGGCTGATTTACCTACTTGCTGTACATACGCTGTTGTAGATGTTGATGGATTTGTGCTGGGATACGTTCGCACTGGAACCTACTAAATTATCTATGTAGTATTGGCACTGTTCATTTGTTTTGTGGAGCTTATTTTCAGTCTTCCATAGACTCTGTGTACTCGTGTCATGTTTGTTGCTGTTGTGTGAAAATGTTTTCTTATTTTAAAATGTTCTCTCTTCTTTCTTCGCTGTCACTGTACTGCCGCGTCGACATCTTCACGATGCTGTGATTTGTGCCCGCCTTAGCTCTATGTGCACATATCGTGTTCGGTTGTGTGCTATGTGTGTTCATCATCGTACTGGATATTATGTACACGGCTTATGCAGCTGCTATTCTGAATGTGTCGTGGCACTCTGCAGAAAGAGCAGGTGTTTGCTTCTCTTGTTTTTTCTTCTTTCTTTAGGAAACCCTGTTCTAATAATTATAGTATTATTGTTTTTCTGTTTACGTCATCATGGCTCAGTTCATCCTGATTTGTCAGTAGCAATCTGGTGTTGCCATTCTGCGCTTCTGCCAAGTTCTGGGTATGCTGTTCTTTTCCTTCGTCTTGTACCATCAAGAGTACATAAACCTTATGTTCTCTTGGTACCATGCATCCGCCTGTGGTTTCTAATGTTATTCCGCCATTCGGTATGTGTATGTGGGATCCGTATGCATCAAAGAGTCGTAGCGTCAGGGAGACGACACGCGATCGTAGTGATCAAGATGATGTGTATTTCGACCTCGGGTTTGGTAGTGACTATGTAATCCGTGCAAGATCTATGCGACTTGAGATCCCGACCGTGCCCTTGACCCGCTGACCCCAAATGTGACCCGGTGCCAGCAATGCCATGATTATGTGAGCATGAATAAAATTAATAGGCCCTGCCCCAAGGGCAACTGGAAGGGGCAGCCCGGGAGTGAAACCCACATCAATAGCGTTCGTCGCCGGAGCCATCTCCATGCACTCGTATGCTGCAGCTCCCTGATGTGCATGTGCACGTACATGTAATGACATACATTGTTGAATTTGTAGTAATGAATTTCCTTCCTGTTCGATTCAAATCAAGACTCTCTCCGGCTCCCGGGGTCCCTGCAAATTGCAGCAATAATGCCAATTGCGCAATGTGTCCAGTGCGTTTACAAAATTTGAAAAATTAAATACCCATACTTGTAAATACACGTGCGCATGTACTAGTACATTATCCATATAAAAACCGCTCTGTGAGCGGTTCTGAAAAACCTTTACTGGTGCTGCCCCGTCGTAAAAGTAAGAAATTAGAACTGGAGCATTGTCCCCCCAAATGCGAACAGATCCACCTAAATCGCGAATGACGGGACCCGAACGCACCAGTAGCACGAGGTCGGGAGGGCACAGGGTCACAGCATCATAGGGTAACACCACCAATACTATAGTGCAGTACATTGCGCATTGTATCAGTGGCAGTGTATTGCTAGTACACGTACAATTATCGACGACCATGGCCTTTGGTCTGGACCAACGTCCCCATCTGCATCCACAGCTAGGAACCTGGTGCGTTCGGGTCCCGTCATTCGCGATTTAGGTGGATCTGTTCGCATTTGGGGGGACAATGCTCCAGTTCTAATTTCTTACTTTTACGACGGGGCAGCACCAGTAAAGGTTTTTCAGACCCGCTCACAGAGCGGTTTTTATATGGATAATTTCAGTTCTTTTTCCGTTCCCTCCCCACCCCAACCCCGAAGGTAAACATGATGAGCACGCGCGCGATGTACTGTATGTAGCCATGAGACTGCAATAACACACTGATACATACCAGCCCTCCCCACCTCGCTACCCCGCACACAGATACACAAACACGCGGGTGCACACGGCACACGCACGTGGCCACGCACACGCACACGACACAAACAGGAAATTCTTCCTGTATAATGCCATGCAAAGCAGTGGCCACCGTACTTCAGGAAGTCAGTTGTGAAACAAAATAATTCAACTACAACGTGTAGACAAGCTGACGGCCAAAGCACAACATAGCAAACATGACATTTGCCCAAGGATTGGAGTTTGCAGACCACGCAATGGAAGCAGCGAATACAGAATGTAATATCATATAAAGTGACAAGCAAAGAAGTGGCCACCATACACCAGAAACTTGCAGAAAGTCACATATCCAACAGATAGAGAAGTGAACAGCAATCTGGTACAGCCCACACAAGACAAAGCTGACCTGATACTCGTCCCAGGATCGCAAGTGGCAGATCCTTTTCAATGCATAACATGCAGGTGTACGTTACACGCATGGACAAAATCTGACCGTGTCGCCAGCACACAATGTCATCACAAGTATACCCCCAGTGCTGCCAAATAATTTTCGCCCCAAATCGGACACCCTTCACCGCCAAGGCTGGCCACATGGTGCGAATTTATCTTCTCAGCAAAATTTTCCGGAGAATTCAAAATATCGCCCAAAATACCATGAAAAATCGCTTCGTTCCCATGGTAACCAAAATGGCACCCCGAAGTTGTCATGAATTTTGTAATGCATGAGTGTGGTCACACATTGTACAGTGTACATTGCATCTAGGCATGTAACTGTTATTACTTCGCACTTCAACAGCCAAGCGCCAGCCTTTTTAGAAGCACATGTACAGTGTTTTGTGCCTTCAGTTGCGCTGAAAAGTGAAAATACAGGACTTCGGCATAGGAACGTAATGATCTCTAACATTTTTGCATGTTTTTCGGACGTTTCCTTTTTCGGACCGGTTTTCGGAATAGCCTTCAAAAATCGGACGGTTTGGCAGCACTGTACCCCACAAGTTACACACATGCACAGGAGAAGCACAATGAAAGCAATGGAAAAGTACGATGTGGTTGCTGAAGCATCTCCACACTTCAAATTCAGACTTCAATGTGGTCGTCACAGGATGATATACCTGCAAGATACAAGTGATGCAGAAAGAAAGCAGGTCGTGAGGTAGGCTATGAGGCACCACAAGCGGGTCACCTACATGTATGTTCAGGGCTAGTGCACTCACACGCAGAATTATCATATTCGAGCATTTCCCAAACTGAGAAGTGCAATGAAATCCACTTGCATGCAGAGGAGCAATTTTGCAGGGTGATGCGTAATTCGACACGATCTGCGATGCTGCGTGCGATGCAAACTCGCGCAAAATATCATTCACGGAATGACTGCAAGAGGTCAGTGATGCAACAACGCCCTGCTGACATGTGTCTCAAAGCTCAATAAGACTGATGCGTTTGTCACCATGGCACTCGCATAGCCGGTACAACCGGTACAAATGTGCAAGCAATTCATGAATCTTTCGTCTCGCCTCCTCAGATAACCACTGCAAGGCTACGACGACAACCTTCGGCCTGACAAGGTGCTTCCAGACAATCTTCGCACTGGTTGGTACACAGTTCACTATGATGTTTGTATTGTCAGCACACAAGTCATGCATGAGACGCGGTTGCCGTCAATTGGCAATGGAAGGTGGAGTATTTTGTTCTTGGCACCTCACTCGCTTTTAATGCGGTCGACTGCCATGCTTTGTGTCTAGCTTGTAACATGTCTGGAAGGGTACCACTTTTTGAATGAGTAATTTTTCGAATGAGTTTAGTCGCGACAAGCACTGCAGTACAGGGTCAAGGTGCAAGTCATTGAGAACGCAAGATGGCGGCATGCTGTCTTTCTTCACGTACAGTTTGCAAACCCTGCAAATGAACATGGCGTCTGTAGCCGGCGTGCGACTGTACACCATTAAAGGGGAAGTCAAGGCAAAAATTAAAATTTCACCAGTTGTAGTCTTCGGGGTGCTGAGTCGAATGGTCGTAGTCCGAGGAAACTGAGATGCTCCCTTCCTACTTGAATCCCAATCGAACTCGCGCACTTCCACCGAAACTGGGTGACTGCGCCCTACTAGATGGGGATTTGTATGCAAAATGTCACTAAAAGCGCCATTTCGTTCTTATAAAAGCACGGATGACCGCGATTGGCCCATATGTTGTAGTCTTTTGGACGCTGAGTCGACTGGTTTTGGTCCGAAAAGGCTGCGATGCAGCGTTCCTCCTTTATTCCCAATCGAACATGGTTGAACAAGCGGTCACGTGCTGCTGCGTACGCCAGTCACCTCGTCACCGTGCCTGCAGGGTACAACTTACTAGCCTGTTTGACCTTTTTTGGGTGCAGTCCTGTCACTCGAGTTGAACCTTGGTGTGAAAGTTGTCACCTGCTGGCGTGGTCACGCCGTGGTGACCAGGTGATTTGGGCATCCAGGAGCACGTAACCGCTTCTTCAACCACGTTCGATTGGGAATAAAGGAGGAACGCTGCATCGCAGCCTTTTCGGACCAAAACCAGTCGACTCAGCGTCCAAAAGACTACAACATATGGGCCAATCGCGGTCATCCATGCTTTTATAAGAACGAAATGGCGCTTTTAGTGACATTTTGCATACAAATCCCCATCTACTAGGGCGCAGTCACCCAGTTTCGGTGGAAGTGCGCGAGTTCGATTGGGATTCAAGTAGGAAGGGAGCGTCTCAGCTTTCTCGGACCAAGACCATTCGACTCAGCACCCCGAAGACTACAACTGGTGAAATTTTAATTTTTGCCTTAACTTCCCCTTTAACTATTGGCAAGATATACACACACACCTTAAACGTAACGAACTACAAGAATAGAGTGAGTACAATGCGCTGTCGACCTGATAACGTTTTGGAAGATAACAGGTCTACCGTCCCACCTAACCGTACCCTTCATCATTCCTCATTCACCATCGCGCGATACCATGGCACACACCGGCAACATATCAAGGGATGCCTTACCGTCGTCTAGAGGGGACGTCTTCGCAGCAATGTTTTTCGTCCTGCGCATTCAGTCCGCCGACGCGACAGAGTTTACGGGGCCGTTCCAGTTATTGCAGAAGACATTCGATTCATCGGGCCAGTGCAGCAACAGGGCCGTGGGCACACAGGGGCAGAGGAAAGACATTGTGAGCAGGGAGTAGTAAAATGTATTTTACTACTCCCTGATTGTGAGTGGACAAGAAATAAGCAGTGGCAAGTGGCAAGTGCCATGAATGTCAAGTTCCCATTTCTAATTGAGCTATTACTTACAGCAAGAGTCCATAACCCCCCGGGGGGTTATGGACTCTTGCTTACAGTCCTACCATTGCTCGCTCGTCCTGATTCCTCCTCGTTCGTCTGCGTCCACTTCTGCCGTTCTCCTCCCCGTCACGGCGTCAGGTCAGTGCATTCTCATTAATTTCTCAATGGCACTTTTCGGGACGGGGGTACCGGAAGGAGTTCGCACGATGCCTCCAAAGGCCTAGAGCGGACGTCTTTGCAGCAATATTTTTCGTCGGCGGACGGGACAGCGTTTACGGGGCCGTTCCAGTTGCAGAAGACATTCATCAATGGCACTTTGCGGTACGGGGGTACAGGAAGGAGTTCGCACCATGTCTCCAAAGGCCTAGAACGGACGTCTCTGCAGCAATAATTATTTTCGTCCTGCGCATTCGATATTCAGCCCGCCGACGCGACAGCGTTTACGGGGTCGTTCCACTTGCAGAAGACATTTATCGCACTTTGCGGTACGGGGGTGCCGGAAGGAGTTCCCACGATGTCTCCAAAGGCCTACAGCGGACGTCTTTGCAGCAATTCTTTTTGCCCTGCGCATTCAGTCCGCCTACGCGCCAGCGTTTACGGGGCGTTCCAGGTGCAGAAGACATTCATCAATGGCACTTTGCGGTACGGGGTACGGAAAGGGGCCTCCTCGTTCGACTTCGTCGACTTCTGCAGTTTTCCTTCCCGTCAGGGGTAGGGGCCTCCTCGTTCGTCTTCGTCGACTTTTGCAGTTCTCAACTATTTCTCGTACGGGAAAGTCGTCGCGCGACTATCGCGCGATGGCTTTCTCGTACGCGACATCGACGTTTACCGAGTGGCATTGGCACAAAGCAGACCGCTGACGGGGTCACGTGTCAACAAAGTATCAACAACGACGCTTGTCGACAAAGTGTCGACCACGTGTATCGGTACACTCAGCGCTAGCGGTAAACTGGAACATCGAGTACCAGTGCAGTATGTATGGAAAGGCTTCAGACAGGAAGCCTTTCCAATGATGACTATAGTCGACTCGAGTCACTCGACTGTGCATGACTCTCTGAGCATGCATCACTCATCATCAGTGTTCTGTAAAATCTGGTATTATTCTGAAGAATAATACCTGCGTATTATATGGTTCTTGCTTTGTAATGCTTCTGCCGTTCTGGGGTGGGTGGTGGAGTATTGGTCCTGTTTTCCTCCAAACCCCAAACTGCAAAAGTACTGGGTGCTACTTGCTAGCCCGATGGGTGCCAGTCTCCAGCCGGCTAGCCTTCGGCCGGCCGAGTGCCGATGGTTATGTATTTTGTGGATACACACCGTAGGTTGAGCTTTTTATGCAACAGCTCCCAGCCCTGACACACCATGCATGCATGACATTATGTTAAAGCCGCCAAATGATGGATTTTTTCGAAAAGCACCGCGTTGTACTTTCGTACTTCGTAGCTAGCTGATCTACTCCTACTGTAGGTACTAGGTCATAAATGTATAGTCATGTTCCGTGTCACAACCAGACTAAGGGCAAGGACTTCTCTTGGTGAACGCTGGATACGGGGAATCTGGCAGCGCAGGTGACGCTGTAAGATATGGCACACACCCTCCTATAAATACTAGAGTCTTTTGCCAAAGGCAGGTGATCATCACGCACACACAAAGTAAAAATACGCCTGTCGACTCGTCGTCGTCGTCGAACAAGAACTGATGTACAAGAACTCCTGTCGTGTGATGACAGATGATTAGATTTGCCAGAAATATTCTCAGCACAGAGGTCTACGCATATCTACGACTCGCTAGTCGAGGGCCAGATCTGAGAGCACCTGTACTCGTACACTGCGTAGCGCTTTCGGCTCCGGACATCCGAACCGTACCGTGCCATCATCAACCGGTGCTGCCTGTTGCTGCGAGTGTTGCGAACTGATGTGCCAGCGGTTCAGTCTGTCTGCCTGCACATCGTGCTGATGCTGACTTGATCCAAGCCAGCACAGCTGACTCTGAGCTGAGCTGGATCGATCTGTGCCTGTGGATTCACTGGCACTAGAAGTTTGTTGTCGGCTTGTTGTTGGCTTGTTGTTGCCTGCTCCGACTGAAAAATGTGCCTGGACCTGTGGATCACTACTGCAACTGGATGTCTTGTTGCTGCCTGATCCGACTGAAATATGTCCATCCGTATGCCGTCGAAGAGCGGAAGCTCCGCGGGAGGGCCTCGCGTTCTCACCAAAAAAGATGTTACTGACTTGGAGGCTGCTGGTGTCAGTAAGTTAGGTTTTGGTTTCTTTAGAGTATGGGGTTTGCACACCTGTCAAGTGGGTGGTTGTGCTTGCTTTTGTGGCTAATAAAGAGCTTCGCCGTCAAATGGATGTTCACGTGACTTGCTTGGACGCAAGAAGCACGTCCAAGGTGGAAGTGGTACAAGAATGGCACGAATATTTGAAGAAACGTGCAGAGATTGAGCTGGAGTATACCAAGAGCTTGGATAAACTTTCGGATCGTACAATAGAGAAAATCAGTCGTCTAAAAAAGAGGTAAGGGAGATAAGAAGCGTGTGATATCAGTATTTTCTTCAACCATTCTCAAAGTGAGAGGTACAATCATAGAATTGTACTCATCAGGGTACACAGATCAAGGAATTGTGGTGTATATCCTCTTTTCCTTGACTATCTTCTGGTTAAAGAAAATATAGCCATGTATGTGGATTTGAATAAACCCAACCATAATTATTGTCACATGCACACGTTCGCACAGGTATACCTCTGCACATGGATACTACTGCACACATACTAGCACATAGCACCACATACACGGCACCACATACACGGCACCACATACACGGCACCACATACACGGCACCACATACACGGCACCACATACACGGCACCACATACACGGCACCACATACACGGCACCACATAGGGACGTCGGAACCGGTGCGGCCAAAGGTGCACCAATAATTTCCTATTGAGAATTTTGCAGCAATAAAAATCGGGGCTGTTTGGGCCCAATTTTCCCATTTTTCCCCCGCGGGAGCCCCCCACCCCCACACCCTCCCTCTCCTTTTTCATGGCGGCCCCAATGTCGAATGCCTTCCGACGCCCCTGCCGCAGCACATTCCACGTCCTGTTGTTTCGTGTATTTTCCTAGGTCACCCCCCCCCCCCCTCTCTTCTTGGAAGCAGAATGTACCGTACCAGTTTGCATTTGTACTAGTATGGAAATGAAAGTTCGGAGCATGGGCCTCAGCGGCAATTCGAATCAAGTTCCGTGAGAAAAGTGCAGCTTTGACCCCAGAAGTACGGTAATCCTGATTGGAGAAACATCCGTACATCCCTGTGAGCAAGAGTGTGCGGCGTTATCTTGAGCTGCAATGGGCTCGCCCGTGGCCGAATTTGTTTTATTTCGGCATATTTTGGCAGAAGTACCATATTTTCCGGAGTATAAGCCGCACTTTGAATACTCAAATTTCACACTAAAAAGGGGGGGGGGGAGGAGAGGGGTGCGGCTTATACTTCGATGATCAAATTAACGGTGGTGAATAGGGTAGATGTCTGTATTTCATGGCAAAAAGGGGGGGGGGGGTGCAGCTTCTACTCCAGAGCTGCTTATACTCCGGAAAAGACGGTATGATCACGTGCGTATGCTTGTTGAATTATGATGTCAGTTCACCAGATTCAGGACACGTGGGCCTGCTGTCCATTGTTCTGTGTCGGCTACCGTAGCTGCGATCTACAAATCCTTTGCTATTTTGATCTCTGGCTATGCATGATGGCATCAGTGAGCCGCGAAAGGCTAATGTCATGAACATTCCACCGTGCGCAGAGGGATCGTCAAGTTGCACACTCTTGATTTTGTACTCTCGCCGTGGCCCACATGTCCCATTGTAACACGGTGTGCTGCACATAGCCTCCTGATGTTTTTCATGGCCATGTGTGCACCGTGTGTGCGTGCTTTGCACACTCGCGATCACGCTATGTGTTAGCGACAGAGCCTGCGGCTGCTGATGGCTGCCGCTAGTGCTGCATTGGGTAGTGTGGACAACTGTCAGCACAGGATGCATGACCGGGTGATTCCGCGCACAATGCCACTGTGTCCTGCTGTAGACTTGATGTCCAACGTACTAGTACAGTTCGGGCTCTATGAAATCCGACGCAGAGTGCACGTACGTTTGACGCCCTCATTTTGCACGGCCCTTGACGCCCTGGAAAGCCTAGTTCACATTCGACGGGACGCGACGTAAGGATCGACGGGACGGTCTGACGGCGTCCAATGTGAACACCAGGAATGGGAACGCAACCGTACTACCGTACAGATCGGGAAGCGACGGGAAGAGTTGGATCGATCCAACTTTTCATACCGTAGACGGGCGTAGACGGGGACGCAAGCGTACAAAACGGCTGCAATTCGAGTGTGAACAGGAGACGGCGTCGTGCGCCGACTGCTCCCGATTCGTACTTGGAAATTTTTAGCATTTCGAACACTGCGCTTCCCATGATAACTCACAGAATGGCTAGCACGACTTGAGTTGAATTTTAGCAACATAAGATCTCATGTCACTTATTGCATACTGGCCAACCCTCCCGTTTTTCCCGGGAAAATCCCGGAAAATCAACACTCCTCCCGGGGTCCCGGGGATTCCACGCAAACTCCCGGAAAAACCACAGTTTTGTCTGATACAGGATTTTTCCTGAAAACTCCATGGATTCGCCCTGAATGTCCCGGTTTTTGAACTTTTTTCAAAGGTATGTACGGTGCTCATTCGCACTTCGACCTGTGCATAGCACTTTCAAGAACTGGTCATGCCTAGCCTGCAAGATCTGCACTGACAAAGTGACAGGCGGGCGCTGACTGATCAAACTGCACAACAGCTGGAACAGAGTCGAACTGTGCTGCACACAGAGCTGCAGAGTCGAACGTTTTTTTGGCGGGAAAAGCTCTTTTTCACTTGTTTTTGTGCCATCCAGGGATTTTGAGAGAAATCCAGGGACTCTGCATGTCTTGTCAAGGGATTGAGATTGTGGTGGTTGGTCAGTATGTTATTGTATTTAGGGATAGCTCAGAAGCGTGACAGACGAACTATTCTATCATTTCCTGGGGCTATTATTTGAATGCCACAACTTTGAGGGCTAATTTTTTGGTCTTCACGAAAAACTGGTATTGTGAACTTGATTCCGCTTCTTTCAAGGAGATATAATTGAAAAGAAGTCCCGAAAAACGAGAAATTAGGTCCAAGAGTCACCCCGTCACGGACCGTGCCTTATGACTCTCGCCGTTCGACGGTGAACGTCGCAACGACTGCTGCATGTCGTGTCGTACGAATCGTACAGGATTTTACAGCTGACCCCAGCCCTCCCGACAAGCCCTTACGTCCCGTACCGTCGGCGTTGCGTCGAATGTGAACTAGGCTGAAGTGGCATGAATGCGGCTGGATGTACACATGTTCAAATACAATGATGTAATCAAAACTGGTACAGGGCGAGAGTTCTGCACTTTTGGTCGGATTTTACCGAGTGCAACTGTACTTTCCTAATTTTCTTATCCGTTTGCTTGTTGGATTTCAGTTCGAAAGAGAATAGTCTGAACGGCTGCTCCAGCACTCCGATAGACCTACTTCTCACCATGGTAACAGATAATAAGCAGCTGGCATCACGCCGAGGGTTGTTGTGTGATGACATCACTAATGAGGTACTTCCTCGGCTGGATGTTGTCTCCAAGGACATCAGCATATCTACCAGAAGGGTAAGGTCGGAGTATGCCAGTGAGGCTGCACTATATGTGTGCTTCTTGCCCTGACTGTATACATGTATACTTCCAGGCTCAGCAAACAAAAAATGGCACTGTGCTTTCTCTCTCTTGCTTTCTCTCTCTCTCTTGCTCTCTCTCTCTTTCTCTCGCTCTCTCTCGCTCTCTCTCGCTCTCTCTCTCTCTCTCTCTCTATCTATCTATCTATCTATCTCTCTTGCTCTCTCTCTTGCTCTCTCTCTCTCTCTTGCTCTCTCTCTCTCTCTCGCTCTCTCTCTCTCTCTCTCTCTCTCTCTCTCTCTCTCTCTCTCTCTCTCTCTCTCTCTCCCCCCCCCCTCTCTCTCTCTCTCTCTCTCTCTCTCTCTCTCTCTCTCTCTCTCTCTCTCTCTCTCTCTCTCTCTCTCTCTCTCTCTCTCTCTCTCTCTCTCTCTCTCTCTCTCTCGCTCTCTCTCTCTCTCTCTCTCGCTCTCTCTTGCTCTCTCTTGCTCTCTCTCTCTCTCTCTCTCTCTCTCTCTCTCTCTCTCTCTCTCTCTCTCTCTCTCTCTCTCTCTCTCTCTCTCTCTCTCTCTAATTTCTAGTGCCACAGTACGGTTATCTTCTGTTTGGGGACATATGTGTGTGCGGGATCAGATCTTGTCACGACGCTATCCCTTTGAACTGATATCGAGACCAGGATAATGAGTTGATTATCTTTATTTCTGGACATTGTCTGTGTTGTTGTTGTTGTTGTTTTAAACGGGCAGGTAAAAGAAGGTTTTCATGTAGCACACGAGGAGATCAAGAAAGCACATACTGACTTGCTGGAGGTGAGTTGAAAGAAGTGTTTCAGCATGACTACCTTTACATTGTGTGGCAATGCCTCTGCTGTCCACTCTTGAGCTTATGTGTCTTTTGCAAGCGTACTTTAAGCAGATGTCGGGGTTTTTTTTTGCTAATGTCACAACGCAGGTGCGGATGATGCTGGTGTTTAGCTGTGAAGATGTCAGTTGTAGCATAATGTTAGATATGCCAGTGCAGCCTGCATGCAACCAGAGCAGCCAGTGTACAGTGTACAACAGTCACTGGGCAACACAGGATGTGAGCCAGTCTTTCCGACGACTACACACGCGTAGCTTTTTGTAGAACTTGCTTTCGCTGTAAGATGCACACTCGCCGCTATTCAACAACTAGAGGACGTATAGGAGCTTGCACGCATGCCTTTGTACTGGCCAGACTGCTATTTGGAATTGCTGAGTATTCCATGCTGTGTTCTGGTTTGTTTCCCGCTGTGCATTGTGCTCCCAGTCTATGAAGGCATACATGGCAGCGTGCGTTGCTAGCGAGGAGTCTCAGTCGAAGCTGTCCAAAATCCAATCCAGTCGTTCCAAAGGCAAGAATGTAGACAAGGACGCCAAGAAAGAAATTAAGGTGAGTGGCCGCTTTTGCCTGCGCTTTCTTGTGTGCGTTGTGTCAATACCTAACTAACATTGAACAGGTAGATCCTGTTATCAATTTATTTGGCACCAAACAGGCAAAGAGTATTGAGAAGTTACATAGTTCCTCAGCCGAGACCAGTTGAGGTAGCTGCCGTGTGTTCAAATTCTGCTCTGTATCTCCCCCCCCCCCCCCCTCTCTCTCTCTCTCTCTCTCTCTCTCTCTCTCTCTCTCTCTCTCTCTCTCCCCTATGAGTTCCTATCAGTTGCTGTGAACACCTTCAGTGGAGAGCGCTTGCTCGAGCGTTGAACCCGGGTTCTTAATCCACCATTCCCAGTTCGCAAGGCTGAGCGGGGTTGTGAGCAGGCTTTCATTATCTTTTCTTATTATTTCTGCTTTTCATCTCATTACAAAAATTCTGCGTATTTTTCTCCATCTACGCATAAAATCTAGACTGACAACCTGCTTGTTAAATCATGCACCTGCTTTCAGGCGTAAAACCCTGTTGTAGAGGTCTCAGTCCTCATTTGTTAGACTTACCTGTCTTTATAAATGTAACTCTCTCTCTCTCTCTCTCTCTCTCTCTCTCTCTCTCTCTTTCTTTCTTTCTTTCTTTCTTTGCTCCGCTGTATTGTGTGGCACAGATGTTGGAAGGTCTTATGTCAAACAAGTTCAAGGCCATCACTTGTCGCAATGAGTACATCATGTGCTTAGAGTGGTTTAACAAAATTTGCCGTACCTACTTCAAGAGGTGGAGTGCTGACTTGTTGGAGGTATGGCCACGTACTCACCCGTACAGATGTTAACGTCAAGCTTTAATGGTTCAAGAAAAAAAGTCAGTGTTTAGTAACGTATGGACTTATGTTGGGTGCCACGTTCTTACCCGCGAATAGGCTACGGAGTATCTTGCAGTCTGCTCTTACATTCCACCGTACAGGGCAATAAATAGTAAATACCTAGCCCTGATGTTCTCGTGTATCCTACTTTTTGGGGGTCTGGGCATCTCTCTCAAGCGGGCACCCTTCCGAGTTCCCGGAGTAGCAATTCTTGCTAGTACGTGCATATAGGTACTCTAACTTCTAAGCGGGCACTGTCAGCGGTTACCTTCAATACATGTATATGACACTTCTTATAGTACAGTACTTTGAGTTCAGGACCCCTTTTCGGTCCCAATGTCCCAGGATAAGAGAAAGTTGGGCGCACTCCCTCGTAAAAATGCCCGGGGGGGGTCAGAATTATGGTACCACATTCCTGAGGTAGATGGTGTCCAAGATCATGAATGCACTAAAGCCGTGCCAGGTGAAGTCCAGAATGAACAGGTGGTTTCCTGGACCAGTTCCCATGTTTTCACTGTACTGTACAAGCAGAAATATTCGTCTGGAATTTAATTTCGTCTTTTTCGTCCAAGGAGCTTTTGGACTAAATTAAATGTAGGACGAATATCGATTTGTCCAGCTTTTCTATACACTCTTATGATCCATGGACGAAATTTTCAACCGGACGAACTCCTTTTCTTTGGAGTTGGACGAAATTATTGACTGACGAAATTTTCTGCCTCTACAGTATCTGTTCATATGTGTGCTTCAAGTGATACAATGTACATGTATGGTGTCAATGGTGCACAGACATAGGCTGCGTTCGTTTTTAGCTACCTGGTAGAGTAGAGTCACTCTACCGGTAGAGGTAGCTGGTAGAGGCAAGTGTGCGAACGCTGTTCTACCAGATCTAGTAGTTTACACGATATGTACGTGAAATGTTTCTTTTTTGTATGGAGTTTTATACAAATCCTTGATCTTGCTGGAAATCCCGTAGCTCTACCAACTTTTTCCCGGTAGAGCCGCACGGTGACTTCATGTGCACCAACTAACGACATGGCGTCCTTTCATGCGGTTTACCGCACGGATTTATGAAGTCGGACATATTCCGATTTATTTGCATCAATCGCACAAAATTAGGTACATTTCTCTTGTAAACCCTGTCAGTTTGAGAATTTAGACAAACACCGAACAAATTTTAGCCGCGACGAGGATCGGGAGGAATCCATCATAATTATTTTACATAGCTACTACCATCACGTCGACCGAGTGAAGATCGAAATGATAATGGAGTGGAGAGAAGAAGACCTGAACTAGAGTGCTTGAGAGACTATGTAGTGTCACATGAGAATTGCTTCGTTAGGAAGGCTCTCCTTTTGAATGGAGAAGCCCAACAACGTCGCTGATTTGCATCGCCGTTTTCAAGCGCTGATCTGCAGTAGGAATGTTTCTGTAAATTATTCGTAGTTGTGGACGTGGATGGATTCAGCGCTCTGTTCTCTCAGCAAGCCTACTCAGTCCAACACGAAGGACTTCCATGAGCGAAACAACGTGCTCCTCGAGCAAGTGCAGCTCGGGGTAATATGGCCAATGCCACGGGAGACCACCTCGTGCCTGCATAAGGCCAAGAATTGATGGCAAGAAATCTTTGATGAGCGCCTTCGACTTCAAGGACGCAATATTATATCTCCTCAGCAGTAACTGCAGCGCTCTTGCTGAAAATATCACTGCAAGCATGCACTAGGCATGATTTAGTGAAGAGCTACTTGTACTAGCGATTGGAGATTTGGTGTTGGCATATCTGCTCCATCATGGTAACTGGTGCGCTTGTCAAGGCAGTGCAGTTTCTGCTGCTGTTTCACAAGCCATATGCGCAGTGAGTAGGAATTTGTTGTATGATAGCTGAGGATCACCAGCCTTCATGGACAAACCTATATTGGGACTGGTTGCTGAACAGTGCACACCTAAATCTCTCAGCAAGCTCTCTTGCTCAGCTGGTGACGAACACTATATACCCGCTGCTTTGGGCTTGCAGCCCCGTCTCCCGACCGTAGACCGATCGAAAGGCTGTCACGGTCCTGTGACCATCGGCGTACAGTTGACACTGATGGGGCATCGGATGAAGTGCTGGCGTCAGTAATTCTCTGGTATACCTGGAATCTACATCTACAGCTGGTTTCGACTTCCAGCCATTCTTCGCTAGTTATGCTTGTGACTATCATGCCAGCAAGTCGATCAGCAGCATCACCTCGCATCTTTGATGGTGAGGCCTGCAAAACGTCACCGACCAGTGACGATGCTCAAATAGGGCACCCTACCAGAGCTGGCGCAGTGTATGGTGCAGTCTTTCATGAATCCATAAACTATGCTGTTTGGCTGCTGTAGCTCTGACGCTTGCGTGTGTGCCTTACATTAAGGACAGCGGGCCGTCTGCTCTAGCCATTTGCCAATGCATGCACGGCTGAACGTCTACCAGCAAGCTGCAAACACTTCTCTCCCTACCTGTGACATAGTGGACATTGTGCGTGTGTTATTGCATTCCTATCTGAACTGTTCTGGATGCAGAGATTTACCCACTAAGCCCTAGAGAAATATGAATAAATACTATACTACTACTACTATTACTAAACTTGGTATGCGGGTGTGACGTGCTGCTGCTCATCAGATTCGGTCCATGCGACGCTCGTGTTTTTAGTTTTGTTATTTTGTCTTCCTTTTTTCAATTCGTAAACTGAACAGACTAAACTATCCAGTGATCAGGTACTGGTGTGGTGGGGCGAGGTTTTGTTGGTGATGCTGCTGTCAGTGGTGGCGGCGTGCATGTGCTCGTGCTTGCGGGCGATGGCCCACGTTTTCTCCCATGCCGCAAGTTTGTCTTGCGTTTGTGTTTTGCATTTGGACTTCCTGCCAGGCTTGGAAGACTTGCATTTCAAACAGTTTGTCCCACTGTGTGGCTCCCAGTCTTTGAACGGTGTACATCCACCTCTGGAGCTCCAGAGAATGTTGGGCCCCTGGCAGTAGCAGTGCATTCCATGGCCAATTTGCAAGTGTGGCAAAAAAGTTCAGGGTGTATTTGGTTTCATCCACATTGAGATGAAACACTGCCAAAATGGATTGAGTATGATCTGCCACACGATACTTCGTCCGTCCACTCCTTGACGCGAATTTCTCCCCTCCAATACGACAACACGACGACAGGAAGCTAACATGAGCCTCCATTTCTGAACAAAATAACGTCTCTAACATGGCCACGAAAAGCTACAGTGATGCACGTCAAGCTTAGGAATACACAAAATCGGAAGGCTAGGACATCGAGGTATACTAGAAAATTGTCTGCGAGGCGGAGAAAATTCGCTGACGAGGTTGGTGAGCCCTTGAAATCGAGCGACGATCCAAAAATAATTGCACCCACGTCGAGAAAGAAACCATGCGTAGCGCGTGGGTAACCCAAAAAGATCGCTCGAGCGGCGGCACAGTCGAAGGCAAGGCCAGTCCAAGCTCTAAACTCTATCGAATGACCTGGCAAACACCCGTGGTTTCGGTTGACCTTGCCCGTTTGAGATGGAAGTCGAGCGAAATTGCAAACATACGACTAGGCCAGATCGCGTAAAAAATGAAAAAGATTAAAATTTGGCCGCCATATTAAATGAACGCGCTTTGCATGCATGGGACAGCCGTGGCCGGTAGAGGAAAGTAGAATCTACCCTTTTGAGTAGAATTTTTTTCCAAAAACGAACACCTCTACCGAAAGAAGTAGTTTCTACCCAAACCTGTAGATCAAAAACGAACGCCCCCATAGCTAGCTAGATGGTGCAACTCTGGAGCACCAAATACACACTTTGGGTACAACATTCAACTGTATGTTCCTTATGCACATGTCTATCCGTATATGGGCAACTTGCCACTTCTGTCTGGTCCTGCCACTTCTTTCCGTTTCATATATGGAACATGTATACTTGGTATGTGAACCTGGATATCCTCTATTCCAAAATCACGATTTTCCCAATTCCCAATTCTAATACTACTAGAAAGCTGGTTTGCATTAGGCTCTAGCCAACCCAAATGCAACACACTCGTAAGACTTCAGTTTCGGCACACATGTGTGACGGATTCTCTTGCACAACGCTAGACATGTATGGATTTTCGGAAACGGAGCAGAACGTTTCTGGTTTTCAGTTATATTTGGCATTGGGCCGATGTAAATATCACATTTCTTCCATTGTGCTGCGTTTTTGGAAGAAAGTCACACCACTGGACTCCGTGTGATCAAGATGTCGGAGGATGTTGAAAACAAAAATTCTCCAATTTGGTCTATAACGCATTTTTCAAGAGAACTGTTCAAACATTGTCCCTGCTGCACATACATGTATACAGAGTGTGGGGGGGGGGGGGGGGGGGAATGATTGTGCAACAATGTTTGTAGGTAATGCTTTGAGAGTTGTGTTGTGCAATGTACTTGAGGGCAGTGTCATTCTGTCCGTTTTGTTCCGCAGGTGTATGCTTGCGTGATGGGTGCATGTGTGAATGCAGCCTTTCCCATAAGCCGTATCATGACTAACTTGCACAAGTTTGGGTTTTGTGTGTGCTTCTTTTTCTTCTTCTTTTTTTTTTGCAGTTTTTTGACTTTGACTTCCACAACTCCATTCGCAATGTTCAGCGCTTGCATGGCAGTCTTGAGAAGAACTACTTAGCGTTGAACACGCAGTTTATTGACAGCTGGCAAAAGCAACTGTCAGAGCTCTCAGCCAAGGCCGATCTTAGGAAGTTCCAGGCTGCTAATATGGGTGCATTCCCCATCCCACAGGATGTGCCGTTTGTGCCTTACGGACCAAATGAGGTGAGGCCCAGTGGTAGTGGATGATGCCTCCTTTTTGTTTTTAAACTATTGATCAGCCGTGCATGTAGTAGTACAGATGCTGAGCAAAGTTTGGCCATGTGACTGGGTGCCCATATCAGAACAAGGCGAAGGGGCCAGATGATTTCTGGGCGGCATGAAGTGTGGCGGTGTGCGTAGGCATGTACCAACCAACCTAGGCATCTGGTGAGGAATGTGAATGCTACCGTATCTTTTTTCCTGCCATGTGTAGTGGGCCCTCTGCAGACATTCATTTATCCAGTGCTTGCGGGCCTGGAATAGATTCCTCGCGGTCAACACTCAAGCTGCATGGTCTCTATGCTGAGAAAAATCTTCCCCAAAACCAAACCTCTAGCATGGCCCATCCTCAGGGCGAACGCTTGAATGAAATAGATTCCTATTCTAAATGAAATTTCTGGCATCTGTAGGCCGTTGTGCTTGCACAAACTGGTTCTTCTCAGAGGATTTCCTGGTCCAATGCCTTTGCTTCGGATCAAGTTGAGGCAAGCCAGGTTGGTGCATTCATTATTTTGTTCAACTCAAAAAGCATATACAGTCAATGCTAATGCTGGGAGCAGCAGATAATAATAATAATAATATTAACTGGTTTGAGGGAAAGAGACAAACGGGAAAAGTCTGAAGAAAAAATTGACTGTCACCACCAGGACTCGAAAAAAATAATAATAACTTTATTAGGATGACCCAAAGGCTGACCACCTATCGTGGGGTCCGTCGCATTGAAGGATGATGGTACAAGAGAGTACAGATTGGGGCAATGCTAAATGGCGTTCTGTTGCTTGCGTTGAACGCATGCTGTAGTTGTGGATGATAGCACAGCTGTGTGTGAATGCGTTTTTTCTCTCTCTCTTGACGTTGGCATGGCCGTGTCAATGCGCTTTGTTTTCGATTTGCAGAAACACAGTCTTTACGCCGTGTCCGGTGTCTATGAGGGCATGGCATCGCAGAGAGGTGACCTCACTATGCAAATTGGCCAGACTACGTTCAGGCTAGACGAGGTCAGTGTGTGAATGATTTAGCGTGACACATGTGCATTTGTTTGCTTGTTTGCACTGTATCAAGAGTACATAACCCCCAAGAGGGTGCAACTGCCTGCACAACCTCTATACAGTGCTGTGATGGCAAAACTTCACATCACATGATATGGTGCGAAAGGTTACTCTGGCAAACAGTGCAAAGTGACGACAAGAGAGTTGAACCCAAAGCTGGGCTGCGTACAAACCTGTATCTACAGTCAGACCTCGCTTAACCGCACACATCCGTTTTCTACAAAAAAATATCCGGATAGGCGAGGGAACCGGATAATCGAACACACATACTGTGTGTATGCATGGCAAATGCTGTAAATCGGTAACCAACAATTTTCCTCCGGATAAAAGAGGACCGGATAAGTGAGGTCTGACTGTATCATCATCCACAGGGTACACCTAATGTGTACGGGTTTGTCACACGATGTGACGTTCTGCCGTCGCAGACCCCGTAGCTGGGGTTGGACACTCTTGAGGCTATGTTCTCTTGCCGGTATGTGATGGTAGATCTACCATCAGGTGGTATAGGGTACTGCCTGCCCTATGCCACAGTCACTGTTGTCGGGCAGCAGCTCTCCGACTTGAGACCACCTGTACTGGATAGCAACGAGCAGTACAATGGGATGTGAGACAATGACACCCTTTGCTCTTGCCTTGCTTCAAAGATGTGCTCATGTTGGAGGCTGTGTTTGCTGATTTGTAGCTCCACCTGGCTGCTGATATTTGTAGTCAATGAAATTGGTTATTCCCCACTTACTCCCATACAAAGTCTATCTCTCTGACGTCATAAATCCGGCCTATTCTGGGCAAAGTAATAATGATGCCTTATGATGTCACCAAATTTAGTGAAAACTTCAAGCGGGTATAGACCTTATTAGATAACGTGATTTTTGGACTCGCCTCCAGGGATTTGTCGTAAGCTAGGGCACGTGTACACGAAACGAGTGGCAAGAAAGGCCCAGCTCGCACAAGGGAGCAGTAAAATACCAGTAGTTTTCTACTCCCATATTCGCACGCAGAGTCTACTGTGCACTGAGTGCAGGCCTCTTGCCACTCCCTGGTTCCCAGGACCCCGGTTCACGTGATTGTGACGTTCATCGAATAAGGTCTATAGCTCGGGAAAGGCTGCTCCGATCAACCTGGGACCTTCACCATTGGAATCAGTGCATTTTGGGTTTCTTTTATTAGCTTTGAAAAAGAGGAATGAGAGAGCTTAGAGCCGTCGCTATGCTTTGCTTTTACTTAGGTCATCATGCATGTTATTAGATCTGATAGAATCATCTTTGCAATACAAAAACATGTACCCGATATTCGTACTGCGAAGACGTTTATCAGTTCAAATAACATGCATAGTGACGTAAGTAAAACGAAGGATAACGGGAGCTCTGAGCTTTCAAGCTCTCTCATTGCCTTCTCTTCCGAGTCCATTATAAACCAGAACATAAACGTTTTAACGACTTACAGGTGATATAAGCAGTACTCTCAGGCTGGTAGCTAGGCCATGCGCACATCGTTCTTTTGTCTCCTTTTGTTATCGCGATACCTATCACTCGGATCACACTCCTTCGCACGCCAACCACCAGTGCTTAATTGTAGGGGTTGATTTGCGTCTATGTCCGTGAGTGTGTTCACTTTACTTCTATGTCTGTGCTTGCTCCGGCTTGTCTACATGTACCTACTGCTGCTTGTATCACCTATACGTTGAATAGAAGTTACCGTAGTGGCAGTTGCACACTCTGAGGGTTGTGTGATCTTGCTTTAATACATGCAACATAAAACTCTGACGCAAGTCAGATTTGTTACTGATCTAGTAGCAGGAGCTTACGGAATCGCTGGATTGCACAGCCTTCAACTGCACCTCGTTTACAGCCACCTTCAGATCCTGGTTTTGCTCCATGTCATGGAGCCTATACAGGTCCTTCTTCGTTATACTGCTGATGATACATGGCCCCGTCAAAGGCACCTCCAACTTTCCTTCTTTCCGCCCATCTCGCCGGCTGTTGCAAATCAGAACCGACACCCCAGCCTCAATAGAGGGAGCCTTAGAAAAGAAAAAAAATGAAAAAATGCGAATTTATGAGATGCTCCCTTACCATGAACACTAAAGTAGTCTTGAACACCGGATGAGGAACGGTCTCCGCCTTCTTGCTATGTCCCTTGGACTTAATGTGGTCCACGAATGGACGGAGACCGGTCATGGTCTTGTCAGAGTTCTGCTTCTGCACAGCCTGGCTGCTGGTGATATTGCCACTGCCTTTGCTGTAACAGCCAGTCGGGGAGCCGTGTGACGTTTGTCAGAGTTCTGCTTCTGCACAGCCTGGCTGCTGGTGATATTACCGCTGCCTTTGCTGTGACAGTCACTCAAGATAGACTCACTAGCTATCGCATAGTGAATGATGTACAGTAGCTGTGTCTTGATTTAGTGCTGCGGTGCCGATCCATACTTGTTTAAGCGTACTGCTCTGCTGCGATCATCAGCTTTGCGAAAGATCGCCTTAGCACATTCCATCAAACTGGTGTCGTCGCTTGGTTCACACTCAGATGAATGTACTGGCTCCATATCAAGCGGAAGTCTTGCTTCCTGGCCGTGCATCATCATGAATGGTATGAATCCTGTCGATGCATGTAACGACGTGCGGCACGCAAACAGGGCGGGCTCAAGAAGCACATTGCAGTCTTTATCAGAACTGGAGATTTTCTGGAGAGTGTCCGGTTGAACCTCTCAGTCTGGCCATTGACCTGTGCGCTGAATAGCACTACTTAGCTCGCATTGCAGACCCCCGATCACTCAGCTGCACCTTGCAGCATGCATGGCGGAAAAAGAGCTGCTACAATAACTCTGCAACGCCACGGGCGGTCTTATCAGGAACAGCACCAGCTTCCGGCCACTGGGAGAAAGTCACCATGATGATATACTTGTTGCCTCTCGAGGTCTCTTGCTGTGGACCAATAAGATTCACACCGATGTGAGACTACACTTCAGTTCAACTGGAATGGGTTGAACAACGGACGACTTCTTCTATGTCCCGTCTGTTTTTTGGCAGACAAGACAATCGCGGACATAATTGTCCACATCTGAGCCAATATTCTAAGGGTGAATAGACCCCCAACACAAGTTACAATATCATCTTGCGCAAATTGTTTCAGGATTCACTGACCGGCTTCACTGTCCTCTTAGACTAATTGGTCATGCAAATCCACCGACACAGTACAGAGCACATATTTGATTTCGGATGTGTTTTCACACGGCTGACCAGTTTCACCAAAAATCGTACTCCGGAACCTCTCTATAAGGGTTGGTTCACATATCGCCGGTACGCGCCGGGAGTCACCGGCGGTGGGCTTCTTGCAACCTCTCCCGGCGCATTGCGATTGTGTGAACCAGTGCAGTAGTAACAAAATCATACGGTAAAATATCGCAAGGGACCGCCGGCAAAGTTGGACAGTGCCCAACTCTTGCGATCTGCCCCGGCGCCGATCCCGTACGATTTTGACCAAAAGTGGTTTGTGAACCGTTCGCGCCGGTGATCGCCGGTTGCCGGGAGCCAGAGGTTCGGTATAGAATAAGGTAAGGCAAGCAAGACAAAGACCAGGCAAGACAAGGCTAGACAAGGCTAGAAGGGGCGTCCGCGGCGACGGCGGCGACGGTGCTTGCCGCACCCAGTCATTGAATTCCGGCGGCGTCCCCCATGGTGAGATATCCCATGGCTCTAGCATGGCGCAATTCGGATGCGGCGGCGGCGTTTGGGGCGGAGGTGACGAGGGCGGCGAATTCGGCGGAAGTGGAAGCAAGAGGGCTGCTGCCATTTCTTCATCAGGCGAAAGAGACATACTCGCTATAATGGTGATGAGTGAAGCCCCACACCCAGGACGAGAACAACGAAGCAAAACAACCGACCACACACACCAAACAAAACAACACCGAATTAAAGGACACTTATCGGTAAAGAATATTAAATTAAGTCGGAGGGCGAGAACGAGTATTGTACGTGTGTGTAGGTGCAGCAAGTATTGGTCGCGGAGGCGCAGCAAGAGTTGTTCGTGTAGCAGGTCCCATTTGCGTCAAACATTTCCGAAGGCGATTTCGATGGACTGTGCAAGGCCGATGGCGGATAGGACTCTCAAATCGAGGTTCAATCGCATACGTAACGTCTGTTCTTGTCAAAATATCAAACCAATACTTGTCCTAAATTTTCCTAAATTGAAGCTAGAGAGGAGATCCGTTCGCCATTCTTGTAGTCGCTTCAAGGCGGCAAATATGTCAGGATACCAGCTCGTCCTTCTCGGATGATCTGCTTGACCATTGTGCAACTTATGAGACAAATACAATTGAAACAAATATAAAATTATAATGGATCATTGGCAAGTTCTTGTGACTTCATCAACGTTTGCAAGCATAATTTCGACACAATCGCTTACTAGACTGCAATAAAATGTGTAGAAGTAGTTTCATGATCTCCAGTAAAAGGTAGCACCGAGTGGCCATCACCGAAAGACCTTGAACTACTGAAGAAACAAAGAATTCAAGCTTCAATTGGCAAACCTGTCGTAGCATTTTGGCACATTCTGTACTACTTTGTAGTAGATTCGGTACTCGAACCGTAGGCGCAACGGATCGGGAGCTGGCTCACCGCCGATGTCTTGCGGCGGCGATTTTGCTTATGTGAACCAACCCTTAGAGAGGTTCTGCACAACGAAAGTTCGAACGAAGTTTCGCGACAGGCCTTGCGAAAATGTGTACGAATTTTCGCACGAATTTTGTGTTCTGCACATTTTCGTAGTTTGCACACGCCAAGTGCACGTACGACATGACCCAATCTCACGAAACTTCCTACGAAAGTTCATTTCGCGTTCCCTGCAAGTTTCGCGTCCAAAGTTGCGAAAGTTCGTGCGAAGTTTCTCACTTCGTGACGTAGAGCGAAAGTTCGTACACGTTTTCGTTTTGCAGAACCTCTCTAATATCTAAATCTAAGGGTGCGTTCTTATATTCTCTAGCTTCTAGAAGAAGAAGAAGAAAAGAGAAGTCGAAGAAACTGGGATTACTCAAGAACGGGTCTCGAAGAATTCGGAGATATTTTGCACATGTCAAGCAAAATGAAGCGTCAAATGGGCCGCGATCTTGAGTGATGAATGTATGTGCGTATGCGAAAAGGGAAATGCGTACACTCATGATGAACACGTGGCTTTTAGTCGTAGTTCGCATGCGCTCATCCCAAACCGCGGGAATCTCCAAGTTTCAACCACCTCTGAAGCTTGGAGAGCTTTGGAGAGCCTCCTAAAAGTCGGAGAGGATATAAGAACAGCTCTCGAACTTTTCGGAGAGTCTCCAACTTTTCCGAGAGGATTAAAGAACGCACCCTAACTATGGAGGGAAAAGGGGGTGCATGCAGTAAGTGAGAATAGGGTGAGCGGGAAAAGGGGTGCACGCAGTTAGCGAGACAGGGTGAGCGGGAAAAATGGGTGCATGCATTAAATAAGTGAGACAGGGTGAGCGGGAAAAAGGGGTGCGAGTTGTACGCAGTTAGCGAGACGGGGTGAGCGGGAAAAAAGGGGTGCATGCATATGGGGAGGCAAAAGGTCAGGAGTGCAGTAAGCGGGAAGACAGGGCCCCTAGGGGTCAGCTAGCAGTGAGTGCATGTGTACGTGTGAGGGTGCATGCATGTGTACGGACGTGTGTACGGGAGTGTGTGCATATGGGGCTAACCGGCCCGGGGTCATACAACACATGAACCATAAATAATACAGCCAGAGGACTGTTCTTGAACCCTGTTTGGTTTTCTTGCCAATTATGTGACATGATGTGTGGGTTCTAGAATATTTCTCTGGCTGTATTATTTATAGTTCATGCTTGCCTCCCCTTCCTCATCCATGCTTGATGATGTCCAATGGGTGAACTATTGGCAAATCCTTTCATTCATTTTGTGCAGCTGAGAAGCCTGTTCAGGGAATGGAAACTGCTGCAGTGGAGTTGGAGAGTTCTTAGGAAACATCTTTTTTTGGCTAGTTTCTTCTTCTGCCCGTATCCACCTGAAATACTTCTGGAAACCTTGGAATGTTGCCTGTATTGAGTCTGGCATTCGTTGTATTCCTTAGTCGAATTGCTCATTTGTATCCAAGAAAACTATTTTAATGTGGGTTTATCATCACCGTTTAGGAGCTGCATCTGCGCCTTGATCCAAGAGGGTGGTGGCGTTCCTGCGGATGCGGAAAACTGGGCCTTTGGCCGAGTCTCACGCGAACCGTGAAATTTTTTTATATTTTTTATCATCACACTGCTCTTTTCAGATTGAGACTGATAGTTTGAGCGTTTGAGTTTCCTTGCCTGCTCCTGGATTACTTTTAATCTAGCCCTTGCTGTTCAGGCTAGAAGCCTTGGAGATATCTATAGACTATAGTGCACACATATGTGTGTACAGTGTTGAGTACCCCGTGACACAGGAATACCAGAGACCATCCGTGTATGTTTGTACGTATAACTCACACACTGTTCGGCATTGCATTTGTCTGTTCACTTCTCAACACGTTGCAGGCGCACCGCTCCCTACAAGAGGTGAAAGAGTCCTTCTTGAAATCGCAAGAAACCGTTTTTGGAAGCTCGATCGAAGAATGCCTTGAGGAAAACGGTATGCTCTCTCGGACTTTGTTGCTGTGCGTATCTGTGCAGCAGTGTCAGGCTGCTGCTCCTTGGAGTGATTGTTCTCTCTGCAATGTGAAAGAAGTGTGTAGCATGTACATAATGATGTTGCTGAAGTGTCTGCACACTTCCAGTGGTGGTCGCCTAGGCTTTCTTTGAAAATGAAAGCTTGTCAATAGCATAGGTATGGGTTGATTTTGTATTGTTGCCCCCCCCCCCCCTGTGCTGTGTGTTCTCCAGTAGCCTTTTGTTGCGTATGGTAAGCTTCTCCCTTCCTCAACACTACGTGTGCATTTGCACCTGTGTGCGTATGTGTGTGTGTGTGTGTGTGTGTGTGTGTGTGTGTGTGTGTGTGTGTGTGTGTGTGTGTGTGTGTGTGTGTGCGTATGTGTGTGCATGTGTGTGCATGTGTTGTTCCTCCCTCTCTATCGTGCCAATGCTCATCACACCACATGCCAATGATGTACTTGTTCTCAGCTAAGTCAAGTAAGTGCAGTTCGGTTTGTGTGCACTTACACTGGTGTTGGTTGCTTTAAATGGGGTTGTCGGAGAAGTATTTTGCCGTCCCTGAAACGAACATCGTTCATTTCGTACTCTTCCCAAAAACGAGCCAAGTTTGCATGCATGGACAGTGTTGGTCGACTCACCCCGGCCCCCTTCCTAATGAGCAATATCCGTTTCATGGATGGCATACACTTTTGCGGCGGTGTATAAGTGCTCCCCTTGCTATCTGACGGCCCTTCGTTTTATTGGGTTCTGCCTTGCGTTACATTTGTGCTGAGTTTCACTGCCATAGTCACCATCATCTTGACAATTGTTCTCCGCTGCCTGTTTTCTGTGCTGCACAGCCGGTGAGAAGCAGAAGAACCAAGTGCACATGACATCCACGCTCAGCTCTGTGCTGGCCTCGCGTCGGGAACACCATGACACCCTGTGCTCGGTGAGTAGTGCCCTGTCCTTGGGGCTAAAGTCAAACGCCAATAGCACTGTGTGTGTGTGCGTGTGTGTGTGTGTGTGTGTGTGTGTGTGTGTGTGTGTGCACAAAAAGTACAAGTAAGTGTGTGTGCGTGAGTGTGTATCTGCCTGTACATGTATACCGTATCTTCGATAGCTCTACCGCGCTACTATTAGAGACTGTGCTATTATTGGAGACTGTGCTCTTATTTTTTTCCATGCTCCACTCTCGAGCCAACTTCAGTCTATATAGGCATAAATGAACCATATCAAGACTGATTTTCTCAACCCTAAACTCAGGAATATTGTCATACTGACGTTTCACGATAACATGGACACCGTGAAGAAAGTAGTGGACCGAAAACCTCCTTACAAATATGTGCTTGGCATACTGTACTGCTGTTTTACACGCAGTCAATGTATTTGTTGCATACTCCAATTGCGGCCCGTGCTACTATTAGAGACTGTGCTCTTATTATTTCCAAAAACCCTCACCCGGGTCATTATTGGAGACTGGGCTATTATTGGAGATCTACGCTCTTATTAGAAAAAAATACGGTATCCTACGTATACTAAGTGTGCACTGAACCTGTTCAGTATTCCAGTGATTTGGCAAATAATGCAAGTACTTCGAAGTATTTTTTTATGACAGAGAAGTTGAGTTTCTTTAGTGATGCTAATACAGTACTTTGTGCATATTTGTTCAGCAATTCAACAAGGTTGTGGAGTTTGCCACTGAACTGAGCAAGAAATACACCACGTCAGATTTGCTGGAGGAGTACCTGAAAGAGCTTTCTGATACAGACATCAAAAAGAACACGCAGTCATTGGCAACCGAGACCCTGAAGCCTGACGACACTACGCAGCAAACGCTGTCTCACCTCGACAAATATATGATGGTATGTGCTTGTGTGTGCTTGTGTGTGTGTGGGGGGGGGGGGTCAAGAGCATGTAATTGTTTATTCCCGTTTTATTTTATTTTTAATCTTCCTCTTGTTTTTTTCTGTATCGTATTAGAGCTTGCTGGTTTGTGCTCCCCCATTGTTTCTAGACACTGCTTGTTTCTGTCTTGTTTCTGTCTTGTGCTGTCTTGCAGGAGAACAATAATAGAATTCCTCCAATTGTCACAAGCTGCATCCAGTTCATTGAACAGAATGGTGAGCATGGTGCATTCTTTTTGTTTGTGGCCTCGTCTTTTGGGCATGGTGTGTGTGTGTGTATCTGTTGATTACTGTGCTTGTGCGCGATGGTTTACCTGGAGATTCGAAACATTACTCGCATGTTCTTGACATGTGGAGTAAATTGCGCTACAGTCTTCAGTGTACACCGTGCGACTGATACTCCTGACCTGGCGCATTGTGCTGACTTTGGCGTGTGGACTGAGATGTGTTGGAGACTGTTGCCCGTTCCTCCTGCCTAGCTGGCTGTAAAGGCTTCAGCATGGAGTGGCTTTGCTCACTGCATTCCTACATGTTCTAGTCCTGTGTGTTGTCCATGCTCTGTATGTTATCCGCAGGTCCTACCATTGAAGGAGTGTTCCGAGTGCCAGGCATTGTCAGCCAAATCGAAGAGATGAGAGAGCAGTTCATCGACGAAGACAAAGACCCCTTGTTTGGCAATGAGGAACAGAAGAAGACGTACGATATTCACGCCGTGGGCAGTTTGCTCAAGCAATACCTGCGTGATCTTCCTGAGCCCGTCTTCCCTTTCAGTACTTTCCAGCGTATTGTTGATGTACAAACAAAGACTGGTAAGTGGCTTTCAAGTAGTTGCGTGTACCGTTGCTGGTCTTTTCCGTTGCTTGATTGCTTTATCAGCCCTGGCTCTGTGTGTCCACTGTGTGTATGTTTGTGTGTCCACTGTGTATATGTGTGTGTGTGGGGGGGGGGGGGGGGGTAAACAACTCTCTTTTTGCTCATCGAAATATTTTCCCAAGAGTACATGACACCCAGAGTGTGCAGCTCCTGACGTTGTCGCCGCGAAATTCTGGGATTACATGGTGTTTGGTGCAGGCCTGGGGCGGGAAGTTGCGTAGTGTGTACAACTGAGCTGCAGTTGTGCAGCAGGATACCTGCTTGAGACCTGCTTCCATCCTGTTTGTATGCACTGCATCACTAAAATGATGTAATCCAGGAAGTTTGCCTTGGCGCCAACCCATCTGAGCTGTACACTCTGGCCTGGTTTCATGTACTCTTGATTTCGCCAAGAGTACATAACCCCCCAGAGTGTGCAACTCCGATCCAGCTCTGCATAGGGTCTTGGTCGAGCGGAATCGGATCTTCTGATGTCACGCGTACACTCCACATCAGCGCAAGGCCGGTCTCGAGGCAGGGCACCATTGTTTTTGATCCGAGAGTACCCGCGACTCCCCGGGGTCCCCTCAGATGTGTACGGTGTTATGACGCAAAGATCCGATTACGCTCGACCAAGACCGTATGCAGAGCTGGATCAGGCGTTGCACACTCTGGGGGGTTATGTATATGTACTCTTGATTTTTTCTGCACTGGGCATAATGCATGTGTGTGTGTGTGTGTGTGTGTGTGTGTGTGTGTGTGTGTGTGTGTGTGTGTGTGTGTGTGTGTGTGTGTGTGTGTGTGTGTGTGTGTGTCAGCATGCAGATAGACTGAGCGCCGTCCGGGCGAGAAATATAGTTGATAATTATCATGTGCCTAGATTTTTTCATCTTGATCTTGAATTTCTCCTCGAACTGCAGATCAACAGGAGAGGGTTAACCACCTGTCCGAGATCATGAAAGATTTACCAGAGGGACGGCGGATTGTCCTTCGGGAAATTATGCGCTTCTTGGACCAGTAAGTCGTGTTCTCGCTGTGTAAACTCTCATATTCCATGTTCATGGTTTCCTGTTGTGTTTGTTCTCGCTTCTCATCATTTAAGCGGGATTCACAGAAGCTTTTTTGCGATGCGACTGCCGCGAAACCGGGAAATCCCCAAATCGCAGCCATCTCGCAACTGGGCCATCGCAGAAGTTGAGCTTGGCTCAACTTTTGCGATGCGACAGGCGATTTGGAGTACGATATTGACCTTCTCTACAGCAAAGTTGTACAAAGGTTCAAGAGTTGCCTATAAATTTGTACAAGTTGCACCAAACTGCGTGAATATCATGGTGACGTACCCAAATCAGCAAGACTTTGTCGCATCGCTGACTTCTTCTGTGAATGGTATTTCGCGAGTTCGCATCGCACGCGTCCATCGCAGATCCCGTCGCATCGCAAAATAGCTTCTGTGAATCCCGCTTTAGGCTTCATTTTGTCTGGCAGGGTATGTCAAAATACTCACAATGGCACGCAAAGTTGCCTTACTGCAAAGTGAGAAACTTTCGCTAGAGATAAAAATTCGCTATTTTCGCGACCACACATTTGCGAATACTGTAAAGCGTTAAATTTTTGCGGCGTTTTTAGTTCGCGTTTTCAGAATCCGGACAGGTTTGCGAGGTTTTAATTTTGCGATTGCAGAATTTGCTACTGTGGCATTCATGCTAAACCTTTTATGGATCTCCTTTTCGCGCTGTCTAAATTTCGCGATTTCCACGCGGTCGCGAATTTCGCAGAAATTAGACCATCGCAATAATTTCACGGTTTACAGTATAAATCGCCGCAAACCCCTCCGTACATTGATTGTAGACAGTACAAGATCCGACTGAAGAGATAGAATCGCAAAAGTTTCTCATCGTGAACCAGGAAAATTTATGAAAACGCTAAATTTGCGCGCCGCGAAAGTTTCTCGCTTTACAGTATGTACTGTAGACACAGCTTCTGCGTACTCTGGATTGGCCAGTACAGTCTACTTGCATGCACTCTTTTTGAAGTACATGTATGCCTATTTAGTCTTGGAGCTATCAGTTGCCTGATGAGCGTGACCACGTGAAACTCGGAGTTGCAACACAGCTCCCCACTCTCTCTCTCTCTCTTGCGTGTGTATGCCAAATTAGAAGTACCAAGAAATCCATTACCAAAAAGTTAAAAGTACATACTTGGCCAGTTCGAGGTTCAAATTACCAAACACTATGTGGGATCGTATTGGCTGAAATCAGTCCTGGAAGAAAGCTCTAATTATATGTGGTACTTGTACGGTAAGACCTGTGACTAATGACCACCCCTTGGGGCCAGAGAAAGCGGTCTTTAGTGGCAGGTGGTCCTTAGTTCGAGGTTTGCACCGCACAACCATATACGAATGTGAGGCCGTCCATGCCTGGCGAAGTGGTCTGTAGTAGCAGGCTGGTCGCTAGTCACGGTGGTCTTTAGTTACAGGTTTTACTGTATATTCGAATTGTCCGGATTCAACCTGTACTGAAGTTTCAGTATACAACTATACACACAGTAACATGCTGACCCAATACGGTCGCGTCTGTGTGTTGTTTTCCAGCTTCTCGGAGCATGCCCTCGCTACCAAGATGAACAGGAACAACCTGGCTCTCGTCTTTGGGCCCACCCTGTTAGCGGCCCCGGCGGACATGGATGCCATTACGCTGGCGCAGCACACCACCTCCATTAATTTGGTTACACTGCTCATGGTCGAAAACCGTGGTACCATCTTTGGAGAACCAGGTACGGGCTGACGCTTGTTCTCTGTCTTTGTAAAGTGACAATCGTGCTCTGTCCTAAGCACGCTGCCATACTACAAGTAGCGTCAAGAGTACATAACCCCCCAGAGTGTGCAACGCCTGATCCAGCTCTGCATAGGGTCTTGGTCGAGCGGAATCGGATCTTTGCGTCATAATACCGTACAAATCTGAAGGGAACCCGGGGAGTCGCGGGTACTCTTGGATCAAAAACAATGGTGCCCTGCCTCGAGACCGGCCTTGCACTGGCGTGGATTGTACGCATGACATCAGAAGATCCGATTCCGCTCGACCAAGACCCTATGCAGAGCTGGATCGGCGTTGCACACTCTGGGGGGTTATGTACTCTTGGTAGCGTGCTAGGGTTTTCTAGTCTTCTTCATTAGTGCAGCATGTACTAGCTTGTGCTGTATGCTATATTCTGTAAAATTCGGAATGCATTTTTAACACATGTGCTGCATATTGAGAGAAGGATATACTTTTCCGTTTGGTATATGATGTACATCTGTGTGTATGAGAGAGAGAGAGAGAGAGAGAGAGAGAGAGAGAGAGAGAGAGAGAGAGAGAGAGAGAGACAGAGAGAGAGAGACACACACACACACACACACACACACACACACACACACACACACACACACACACACACACACACACACAGACTAGTTGTTATGACGCTTGTTGCTTCTGAAAAGCGTATTGCTTCTTCTTTGTTTTGCACGCATGTGAACATAGAAACGATTGAACCTCCAGCGCCTGTAGAAGAAACTGTTGAGACGCCATCTCTGTCACGTCTTGAACTGCGCAAGCTGCAGCCTATTCTCTACAACCAGCTGGAGAATTCTCTACTACACTCTGTTTTCTCAGGTTAGTGCCGTTTGAGTTGGGTACTTGTTGTCAGATTCTGTTTCATGCATGATGTTAATTTAAATAATGTTCAACAACAAACCCCTGCCAACTGTAATACTGGAACACCCAGTGTCAAGATGGATGCCATTGTGCTCACAGCAAGCGTGCACACACAGTTACAAGCACTGCCGGTACGGCCTCTCTGTCTTGTCACTTCTGACATCTGCCGACACACTCCCATGGGGAAGAATGTGGTGCCGCCACCAAACTGGTGCATATTCCTGTTTCCCCATCTTGGAAACAAAACGGACAGAGACATGACCATTATGTTGGGCATGCCACATACTGCGTTTGTCTTTTACTGATGTTCGGACATAGTCGGCAGCCCAGCTTCACAGTGTCCTCCTGTAAGGGTAGAGTGGGATAGTGTATGTACAATCTCCCTGAAACTGTAACAGATGCCTGTTTAGCCTATCACTATGTATTGTCGAGAGAACATGCTGAATGCATGATGAAAGAGAGCATCACAATGACAAGTGGGACAAAGGCAATTTCGTGCAGGACCGATTTCAGTCAGCACGATTCCCACACGACATATCCTCCAACTTGGCAGGCAGAAGAGTGAACGTGGGGAATGACAGGGAAGAGTGTCTTCTGTCGCCTTCTCTGATAGAAGGTGGCGATGTTCAAGCATACTGGACCCAGGGGATCCAGCTGTCAGAATCTTCCCTTTGATTGTTGCCATCACCCCACCATGGCAGCCAAGCTCATTAATCTGCGTCATCTTTGAAGCCATTGCCGTCCAAAGTCGCTTCAACTTGGCATCAGTTGCCTTCTTAGACTTGTTGAGAGAAGCCATCTGAACACCAGTTGATGCCATTGCGCTCACAGCAAGCGTGCAGACAAAGTTCCAAGCACTGCCGGTCCGGCCTCTCCGTCTTGTCTAGTCTGACATCTGCCGACACCTTCTCATGGGGAAGAATGTGGTGCCGCCACCAAACTGGTGCATATTCCTTGTTTCCCCATCTTGCGTGCACACACAGTTACAAGCACTGCCGGTACGGCCTCTCTGTCTTGTCACTTCTGACATCTGCCGACACACTCTCATGGGGAAGAATGTGGTGCCGCCACCAAACTGGTGCATATTCCTTGTTTCCCCATCTTGGAAACAAAACGGACAGAGACATGACCATTATTTTGGGCATGCCACATACCGCGTTTGTCTTTAATTGACTAAGAGATGTTCGAACATAGTCGGCAGCCCAGCTTCACAGTGTCCTCTCCGACATATCCTCCAACTTGGCAGGCAGAAGAGTGAACGTGGGGAATGACAGGGAAGAGTGTCTTCTGTCGCCTTCTCTGATAGAAGGTGGCGATGTTCAAGCATCCTGGACCCAAGTGTTACGGAATCTCTCCCCACCCCTTTACCTTCACACCACACAACGGTTCGTTGACTCATTTGTCGGCTCCAAGAATACTTTATCAAAACCAGAACTGATGGCGAAGCGAGCGGGGGAGAAAGACAACGAAATAATAAACAACCAACAGTAATAAACAGAGAAACGGCGAACACATCGAAACGACCAATGAGCGACCAGTACGTACGATACATGTGACTAGAACCAAGACAACAACATCGTGGACGAATCACACCACTCCCTCACACCCGAACTCGACTCGCACAGCGCATGCTCCACATAATCCACGCATGCGCGACAACTAGTTAGACAAACGCACTCACTCAGGCAGAAGCAGATCCACACTCTCTGACAACGCATATACTACATACACCACGTCATACACATCACACCCATATACTGCACACCCCGCATCACTCCCGTACAGACAGCAGACCATATTTGACACCGGACAAGACAAGACAGCGAGACCAGGAACAACAACGGATGTAAATAATAAGCGAATCGAATTTCGTAACACAAGGGATCCAGCTGTCAGAACCTTCCCTTTGATCGTTGCCATCACCCCACCATGGCAGCCAAACTCGTTTATTTGCGTCATCTTTGAAGCCATTGCCGTCCAAAGTCGCTTCAACTTGGCATCAGTTGCCTTCTTGGACTTGTTGAGAGAAGCCATCTGAACACCAGTTCATGCCATTGTGCTCACAGCAGGCGTGCAGACACAGTTGCAAGCACTGCCGGTACGGCCTCTCTGTCTTGTCACTTCTGACATCTGCCGACACCTTCTCATGCGGAAGAATGTGGTGCCGCCACCAAACTGGTGCATATTCCTTGTTTCCCCATCTTGGAAACAAAACGGACAGAGACATGACCATTATTTTGGGCATGCCACATACCGCGTTTGTCTTTAATTGACTAAGAGATGTTCGAACATAGTCGGCAGCCCAGCTTCGAAGTGTCCTCTCCGACATATCCTCCAACTTGGCAGGCAGAAGAGTGAACGTGGGGAATGACAGGGAAGAGTGTCTTCTGTCGCCTTCTCCGACAGAAGGTGGCGATGTTCAAGCATACTGGACCCAAGGGATCCAGCTGTCAGAACCTTCCCTTTGATCGTTGCCACCACCACCATGGCAGCCAAGTTCATTGATCTGCGTCACCTTTTGAAGCCATTGCCGTCCAAAGGCGCTTCAACTTCATCAGTTGCCTTCTTCGATTTGTTGAGAGAAGCCATATTTAGGAAGACATCACGGTAGTCTAATCCATAGTAATGCAATCGCTCTGTAAAGACAGTAAAGAGAGGGGGCTTTAGGGACCATTGCAAAGTTCGCAGAAGACCACAACTAACAAAAGTCGGGTTTTTTTGGAGGAGGAGGAGGGGGGGGGGGGGGGCGCGTTTTAGCTGAAAATCCTGAGCAGGCTTCGGTGCGATGCCTAGTTTGCGAGAGCATGTTTTGAGTGGTGGAGGTGGGAGAAGGAGGATGGGGGGGGGGGGGGGGGGAGGGGGGTAGGCAAAGCCCGATTTTGCCAGTGAGGCTTTGATATTTTGCAGCAACATTTGCTGGCTCATCGTTTATATTTTGCTCAGTTTTTGCCCCATGCACGGCTGTTTTTTTTCGCGAAATTTGGACATTTAACAAGATGGCAGCCAAAGTCTCGATTGGGCTGGATCGGCAAGGAAATTTGAATTTTCAAATTCTCAGCAGCCGATTTCGCTGTGGTTTTCGCTCGATTTAGAAAGCTACAAGGCCAGGTTTACACGGAAAACAGGTATTCCGTGTTCCTCTTGAAACTAGCTTTCCGCTGGTACCTCACATGGCCAACTTCGTCTCAGGAACATTTTGTTCCGCGTTGCACAAGTCAAGCCTTCTTTCTCGCTCGTTCCTTGTTTCATCGTTGACATGCCTGCGTCAAGAAGCCCTTTCAGGAGTTTTCCCAGTCTAGCTTTCAGTTTTCCCAGGTAGAGGACTATCTTCGGGCTATCTTCACCAAGTTTTATCACGTCCCGTGCACAAACTTCAGGTCCCGTGCGTTCGATGCTGAGCTACCTTTTCATTCGATCTAGGGGACAGATGGCATGGCGCTGGAGTCGCTGTTGACTCCAGGAGGCCGAGGCCTGGTGGAAACTGCCCAGTAGACATGTGGGGTATTGCTGAAAAAGGCAGCAAGCACACAGATAGCCCCGAAATTGTGATGTAGATCCAATTGTGCGTTTGTTCGAGTGCATATCGGCAAATTTGAAAGTTGCACCCGTGATCCCGGCGAGGAGAAGCTGAAAATCAGTGCGTGCGTCAATATCCAGACTACCAGGGACAGCTTGGAGAGGTTCGAAAAGTTCAGGATGCTGGTTGACCACGGTAGGAGTTCCTTTTACCTTCCTTCTCTCTCAAATTGTCTGGATATTGAGTATCTCGCTCGAGCGCTTTCAAATAATAAATCCTGGGTTGACTTGCGAAATTGTGGAACCACACGGAGAGTGACATGAGTTTCATCCCAAAACGCAAACTCCCATCGTATTCATGAGGTTTGTACCGCGTTACGTAAATCGCACCGAACGACTCCATATTGTTAGATGTCCGTGCGCGAACAGCCGTGCCCAGTGTGAGGCCAAATTTGTGTCACGTGTGAGAAAACTGACCGAAAGTAGGTCACGTGTTGATAAATATAAGAAAAAAAGTGATTCACATGTTGGCAAAGATGTGGGAAAATGAGTCGCGTGCACCGTATAATCTCCCTATTTCCAGCGAACATACCGATATTTTGCTCCGTTTTGCCAGCCCTTTTCGAAATTCTTCGATATTTTGCTAGCAGACTTGCTAGCGAGATCAAGCTATGTCTAATGGGGTGGGGTGGGGGGAGGGTCTCACTGTTTTTCCTAAAACCTTCTTTTATGACTTTGGCGGCAACGTATGGAATATAGTGCAGTGAGCGGGTACTTGAAAATGAAAAATACAGTACGATAGTGTGTACTATGCAAGGTGTACGAGTCCGTCTTTGAGAGGTTGGACTGCTCGCCCGGCTCTGTGGCTGGTCATCGAGCAACACCGTCCTCATACCAACCAGCATGCTCAGTTTGACAGTATCTGAGAAAATAACGGTTCCAGTAAAGCCCTCGCTTTCGCCGCCTTCTGAGCCGTATCGGTTGAATTTGCAGACATTCCATACAGTACTGGCCAAGCACCACGTGCTCGGTCTTAAATATTTTATTAATTTTATTGCGTGTACATATACCCTCTTTGCTGTCTTTAACATGTAGGCCTGCGCACCAGCGAAACGGCTCCTGCCTCTGTTATTGCCGCACCCAGCTCTGTTATTGCCGCACCCAGCTCTGTTATTGCCGCACCCAGCTCTGTTATTGCCGCACCCAGCTCTGAAATGGATGAGACCCTCTCCAAGATTGTGGCAGGCGAGTCATCCCGATCCGGCAGCGTGACCAGCTCTAAGGATGCACCTGTTGCATCAGCGCCACAGAGCGAATCCGAAGCCGAAGCTGCCGAGAAGAAGGCGGCAGTGCTCAATCGATGTAAGCAGAGCAGGAGAATGCATGAAGCCATTCACATTCCGGCTTGCACTAACCAGTGTGTGTATGTGTGTCCTTGTGTGTGTGTCCTTGTGTGTGTGTGTGTGCGTGTGTGTGTGTGCGTGTGTGTGTGCGTGTGTGTGTGTGCGTGTGTGTGTCCTTGAGTGGGTGTGTGGATATGTGTGTTTCTGTGTCCTTGTGTGTGTGTGTGTGTGTATGAGCCAAGATGAAAAAGGCGACCAACCCTGTGCATGCGGTTTGTGCCGTCCAGCGTAGGGGGTCCAAAATGAACGATATTCGTATCAGCGATGACAAAAAAAAACCTTTGCGACGACCCCGTACACACCAGGACACACACTCACACACGCGTCCATCATTGAAGCGAAGATGCTTCAGAGCGAACACGCTATGGGGTATGTCAGGCATAGCAACGTGTTCCGGGATCACACCATTCAATAGTTTGCAAGGCTGATGAATTGGCTGCCACTAACTGTAGGTGGGTCTCCACCACACAGCTGATTGAAATGGCTTTTTCTGGCCAGTGGATTCCTTCTTTTTCTTTTTTTTGACACACACGCTGCGTACATGTACACCGCATACACCGCATATATGTACACCGCATGCCTTCTTGGCTGGCAGGGTTGACTGCAAAAAGGTGGAAGTGCGATCTAGCAAGTGCACGCAGTCAAAAGAAGTGACAAGTCACAATGCACTTTAGTGAGGTGTGCTTTGCCTGAACATAAGTATTCTTTGCTCCACACCTGTCAATATGAGTACATGGAAGTACAATCTCGTATGCCTAGAATGTATGGGACCCGGTTCTAAAGACCACCTGGCTTTAACGACCGCTTTTGCTTACGGCATGCACTTGCTGTTGGTACCCACCCAGGAGAATGAAAGAAGAGCTGGGAGAATGGGGAAGAGAAGAAAGACGGACAGCGTCCCACCCCCGTGTGTGTGTGCGTTTGGTGTACTGTATATAGTACAATGTCAGGCTTCAGGAACTGTACTATGTGTACATATGGTACACATATGCCATGACTGATTTGTTTGTTGTGTGAACTCTACACGGTCATACCATATACATTTAGGGTGGACATTCCACTTGATTTCAATGTCTACAACTGTATTGTGTGTGCGCTTGCGCGCGCGCGCGTGTGTGTGTGTGTGTGTGTGCGTATGTTTTTGTTCTGCAGTTGGCCGTAGCCAGAGTGCTCTGCAGCACAGCAGTCTACAAGGTGCGCTGTCCAAAGCACTAGCGGCAGGTGAGTCACCCCAGCCAGTGGCGTGTCCAGGATTTGGCTGAGGGGGGTTGCGGCCTGGATGGGGTGGGGGTAGATGACTTCATGCTACTGTCCCAGGTCAGCCATTTTGAAAACCGATGTCAAGGAGCCGTAAATCTCACACACCACAGTGTACACAGTCAGGTCACCGTGTTTCTGTAGCCGTGCATGCTCACTGCTACTCTGTAGTGTGTACAATCAACACCGGCTCGAGCACCGTACCGTGCAACCGCTTTTGGACGATCGTTTCAGGCCGCGCGCGCCCCTAGCCCTGCCTTTTATTCTTCGAAACCTAGGTCGAAACTTTTGAGGGGGGGGGGGGGGGTGCGCCACTGCCAGCACCCCAGTACCCCATGTCCTTTACACGCAGTGGCCATCGAACTGTTTGCCCACGTTCCAACTGGTGCGATCTGATCTGATTGTCTAGAACCATGCTGTACATTGCCATCGCTCATGCCTCCGCATAGTCATGGAAAATATCAACAACGATCAAAGCTATCCTGTTTGGTTTGTAAATGATCAGGGATACACGAAAACTATACTGGGAAACGGGATGACAAAATGCCGCAAATAGTGGGAAATTTGCGTCATGCTCATGGTACATGCACTTGACGGGATAAGGGGTAGTTAGGTGTGCAGGATTACTGGAGTGCAGGGTGCATGTGCAGGGTGCATGCGGGGAAACAATATGCTATGATGAGTCAGCACCTAACAGTACTTCATCCGGTAACAACAATTGTGTGACTTCAATCAACCCGTTAGCTTTGGTCAATTGAGTTCTGTGATTTGGTTCCACTGAACCAAGTTTCTTCAGCACAGTAACTCCAATAGAACGTGAATACTATGTGTAATGAACCCAGCAAACAATAGCAGCCATCAGCCTGCAATACGCTCAGGGCAGATGAATTTTGCAACATTGTCGGTGTTGGCGATAGTGCAAGACTTACGTAGGGCATAGACCCCAGGCAAGGGATAGCCTGTAGAGTCACTGGTGCGATCCCTTACCAGCACAACTTGAATTTGGCTTGCGAACACTGTCTTGCAGCTGTGGTTGGTCATTGATGTCACTGATGCACAATCTATTCCTATGCAGAGTCTTTGAACAGGAAGCGTTTATCAGTACCATCTCTGAGCATCAAGGAAAGTGGTGAGTCCTATCCAACTTTTATTAACATCCCTTATTAGGTATTAGTTGTTCTTAGGGCTTGTCAGCTGAGGTTTACGATTCCCTGTGGTGCTGTCTGGACGCCAGGGCAAGCAATCTGCGGTGTGTGGGTGTGTGCACGTGTGAGCGTATGTGCGTGCGTGTGTCTGTTCTGGTACTTAAGCTGTTGTTTGATTTTAGTGAGGTTCTGTTCTACGTGTGTTGAATGCGGCATAGCTTTCCAGCATTGCACAGAAAATGACGTACATGTACATTCATGTAATAAGCAAGTGGAGTGCGTGCTGTGATTTTCCCACTTCATTGCGTTAGCTTTCGAGAGGCCTACTGACCAAAGGAGAGCATCAGAGCTACGTACACATTTCATTGTGTGTCCCGCCGGCGTACACTGTATACAGATGCCGCGCGTAGAAATCTGAACCCAAAACAAGGCCAACACACGAACACACGCAGGCTCACAGTCAGACACATGCTCTTCGCATGATTTATCTGGGTTTGCGTGAAGCAGAACCTCAGGCCTGCTTGCTGAAATTGTGCCACTGGTGCTTTCGGTGTGCATTTCTGTTGTGGCTGTGCCCTTTGCTCCATGTGCTGTTCATGAGGTTCTTTAATCTTTATCCTTTCAAACTTTCCTGGTGGAAGCTCCAACCCTGTCAATTTCATATGTTTGCATGGAGCCATGAGCTGCAAGTACTTTGAAGTCCTCTGCTGCTGTTCTGGTCCTGATGCCAGATGGAAACATTCCTATTTTTCTGCTACAAGTGCTGTTGTTGTTGTCGCTGCTGCTTTTGCCGTGTGTGTGTGTGTGTGTGTGTCTGCACGTGTGTGTGTGCGTGTCTGCATGTGTGTGTGTGTGTGTGTGTCTGCACGTGTGTGTGTGTGTCTGCACGTGTGTGTGTCTGCACGTGTGTGTGTGTCTGCACGTGCGTGAATGTGCGCATATGTGTGTGCGCGCGTGTTTCTATATTATACTAGGTGATTCTAATCAGGGATCCTCCTCACCTGGAGCAGACACTGGCACAGCTAGTAAGTCCATGATCTTTGCACAGCTTCTGCAATAGGAATGTTGACATTGAGTCGGGGTCATTGACTGGCATATGTACCCCCTGGCCATTGACTAGTGCCCGCACTAGTATTGGTACTGTGTTTTAATGTTTTGTTTTTTTACAATAATTACCAAAAAATAGAACCCCTGCTGGTGTGTTGTGACAAAATTAGCGGTGTGTGCGTGCGTGCATGCGTGAGCACACACGTGTGTGTGGGTGTGTGTGTGTGTGTGTGTGTGTGTGTGTGTGTGTGTTTGCATGTGTGTTTGTGGTCTTGCCGTGTGCAGATTCGCCTGAACCATCGCCACTTCTCGATCGCCGTCGCTCTTCGCCTGGAGTCAGGAGTCTCTCTTCCTCCCCGACGAAAGAGCCCTGCAGTGGTGGCCAGGAGGCTGGCACTGAACCAATGAAGCCACTGGAGAAGGCAGAGTCCCCCAAAGCTGATACACAATGTGAGTCGCACATCACCAGTGAAGCCAATATCATTTTCCATCATTTTCTCTTTTGTTCGGGGGAGGGGAGGGGCAATACATTTTTTGTTTGGTTTCTTTTTGGTATGTTATGTGTTATGCACCGTGTTTAAGAAGCCCGTCGTAAATTTTTCCAATTTTCTCCCCATCGTGCTGTGATTCTGATTCTGATTGCAGCTGTACCAGCATCGCCATCAGCATCGCCATCAGTTTCGTCAACGCAGCAAGTGAAGGCGTCGCATGCGTACACCGCACGCACCGCCAAAGAGCTGACCTTCCAGAAGGGCGCAGTGATCGACGTGTTCTCAAAATCACCCGACGGCAACTGGTGGGACAGTATGCTTGATGGCAAGCGCGGCTACGTACCCGTGTCCTATGTCAAGGTACTGTATATATACAAATTTTCGGCAGCTATTTAATTTCGGCTATATTCGGCACCGACCCAAAACGCCGAAATTAAAACGCCGATGAAATTTTTCACAGTATCTGTCGCACTAGTCTATACCATGCCCTCTACCCCACGCCGAAAATAAATCGCCGCCGAAATGTCAAAAATCGTGGAGTGCCGAAATTTTGCAGCGCCGGAATTTTGTATATTTACAGTAATGTGTGCCACTGTCACTGTGCCACCGCCGCAGCCAACTTTTCTGCCATGATGCGGCGGCTCGTGATGATGCTCGTCCAATGCTCTTGATTATACTATCCGGTAGCCGAGAGCTAGCAACAGGTAGCCAGTGCATGAGCGACAAGAAGGGACGCTAGTATTTGTGAAGCATGGGGGGGGGGGTCTGGTCCGCTACTGTCAATCGCAGTAAAATACATGTAACTGCGTTGTTGTGGCTGCAGGCACATGGCCGAAGTCCTCGTCAAACAAACTTTTGTTCCTAGTTTTCGGTTTGTTTTCTTCTCTCGTCTTCTTCGTTTGTTGCTGCTCACAGTTGTGTTTGTATTTCTACTCTGTGTGTGTTTGTGTGTGTTTGTGTCCAGACCGTTTGAGCATGTCTGTTTTTCTGTCATTACCTTGAATGCTACTGAGGTACGTTATAACACTGATACTGTAAAACATGTATTTTAGGTGCATTAAAATTTCGGTGCCAGGGACCTGCCAGGTTTCAGGTGTAATGTAGAATTAGGTGACCAGCGTTCCCTTCACATACAGTAGACACACATACTCTAGTGCCTTTAGGTGTAATTTAAATTTAGGTGCCTGGTTTCTCTACCGAAATCACCGAAAATTGCATGTTTTGCTGTATTAGAGGTTTTCTGCTCTACGGTCCGGGACGGAAAGAATCCCGGGAACTCGCTTCGCATTCCCATAGCATAAAGGAAACCTGTTCTGCTCTACGTTCACGTGGAGAAATCACATGGAATGTGTACTGGGAATTTCCCCTCCTAAATTTGGCAGTTTTCTGCCAGCATTTGAATGATACCCAGCAGATCAGTACGCATTTTCTTTGCATGTGCCACAACGTAGAGAACCACATCTACTCGTAGAAATCTTGACCCAAAACAAGCGAAGCCGTAGACTCTAACCCAGACACCTAGTACCTTCTCTCTGCGTATTTCTCTACGTTTAACGTATAGCAAATGGGTCATATTTCGACGTGAGATGCAGAGATCTGTTTTTTGTTTTGTTTTCCTGTTTCTGGGTTTGACGGAATGTTGTTCTATGTTTGTGTTGCTCTGTGCTATAGGCTTAGCAATAGGAGTTGTGCCCAATGGACTCCCATCCCAGCCTCACGACCTAACTACAATAATAACATTGTAGCGCCCTGCACCGCGTTCAATGCACAGCCTTACCCTACCTTACTTGCTATAACATTATTATTATTATTATTATTAAATTTTTGATAGGGCAATCCCCACAGGCCTAAGCCTTCTTACGGGGTACCCTTCATGTGTCAATACAAGGTTACGGAAGCGAGAAACGGATGCGCATATTCGAATGTCAGCATGTAGAGAGTTCCAACGATCCGAGCCTAGAAAACTGAGAGAAAGGACCATACCAACTTGAAGCAGACAGAAGAGGAAGGGCCTTAAAAACTTGAGAGCGTCACCGTGTACAAAAGCTTGCCGGAAGGGGGCTGAGGGCTAGACTTACTGGACACCTCTCATCCGAACTCACTACATTTGTAGATCTCGCCTTTCTCAAACTTGCATTCAATTTCGGGGGGGGGGCAATGCCCCCCCCCCAACAAGGCCGACGCACGGCCAACAAAATCGCTATCTGTCTTTGACGCCATCATGACATCAATGCATGTGCATGGCTGTACCACGGTTGGCATGATGTTCTGAACCTGTTACTTCAGATCAACGAACTCTCTCCATTTCGTTTATGAGCAGAGCAAGCACTTGGAGCAGTGTGAGCGGTCAGTTCCGAGGCGAACGCGATGGAGCACCGCTCCACGCGGACAGTGTATTATGGTATTGTGCGGAGAAAAAGTTGGAATCTTGCCATATGTCAGCGCCTTTAAAGCCATGGCCTTATATTCGAAACACCCCTGCTTTCCTAGATATTTTAGATGCAAAATGACTCACCCACTACGCCATGCCATAAGAGTCAAAGTCCACACAGAAATTTCAATCTAAATCCACTTGTTCACCCTTCCTGCTCGTCTGTAAGTTTGCAAGCATAGTACTTATTCCTCCATTTTTACAGAACATACTTCGAATGTCATTTCATTTATGAAGCCTATGGCTTTATAACTGAGACTGGCTTTATAATCGAATATACCGCCATCGCTTTAAAGGTGCGGACATACGGTATACCGGTAGTTATCTTACCGTTTTGTCAAGAGTCCATAATCCCCTCTCTTGGTTTCGTGCTCCCCTCCCCCTCCCCCGTAAACACCTCAGACGTCGAAACGATACCAACCTGACGGTATTTCGGGTGCCTGGTACGAGTTCCGTTGGATTTAGCATAACCCGTAACCAGGGAGTCGTAACATTGTACGACTCCCTGACCGTAACGTGCTAACCATGTCAAATGCTTTCACGGTGCCTTCATCACAATCTCATGCACCAAAATCCACCATCTCTCGTACCAGCACATCCGGCTTTGCTAATTGCTCAATTTGTTCGAGTACAGATGCGAACGCTGAATTTTGGGTTCATGAACTAAGTTCCGTATGAAAGTTGGTTTCAAAACACAGGGAAAGTGTGACGCTTGATTTTCCGCAGTGCGTGGATGTGTACGGTCAGACCTCGCTTAACCGCACACATCCGTTTCCACAAAAATGTTGGATGCATCACGTATGCTGTAAATCTGTAACCAGCTATTTTCTTCCGGATAAAAGAGGACCGGATGAGCAAGGTCTGACTGTATCTGCACGATGTAACGAAGGCAGCGCACTGCGCATCTGGCCCATAGAAAAGAGATCACAGTTGGACACTCTTGCTTATGAGCTGTTGGTACAGATTTACTACGGCCGTTGGACGTACGCCAACATACTGTAAAATGGCTAATTTTAGCGACGGTGATGTTTTAGCGACTTTAGCGAAAGGAGTGTTTTCGCCAAAGTTTTGCCGCACCAATCGAACATTTTCACGTACAGTACAGCTTGTACAAGTCATCCTTCTTTATAAAGTCTGAAACTCGGATCGCTAAAATATTTCATCGTGAATCGGTCCAGATTCAGAAAACGCTAAAAAATTTACCCGCTAAAACTAGCCGCTCAACAGTAGCGGAACCTGGGAATTCGGACCTCACAAAGTGGCCTGATTCGTGCAAATGACTATCCTGTTGTACTCGTGGTAAATATGGAGGAACATTCGGGACGGAACAAAAGTGGTCGGTCTAGTGAGGTTGTCCGAAAGCGAGGTTCCACTGTGCTGAAGTTCCACTGTACAGCTTTAACCTCCACCACAGCCACGTGCACACAAATAGAACTTCTGCTGCGTATCCCAAAATGGTCTCTTCAATGCCAACACCTGACTTGCACCTCATCAACTTGCAGGCCCCCGCCCATCACTGTAGTGAAAAGTTAAAGAAGGGCAGGGATGAATTTATCCTGTATCGCATCGCAGTTTGCGATGCAAAATCGATCTACTGCTACTCAAAAGTCACCGTGATTCGCCGAAAACTGCGATACATACAGACTATCCATGCCTACCCTGCGCTGTCAAGTAGCATGCATACAGTGCAGTGTATGTGGTGCAGGCACTCTCAATCTGCGTGCACATTTATGATTCAGTCGGTTTTTTGCAAATGGGCTTTCAGGCATCACTCTCAAGAGAGACAATGTGGTAAACACCCAACCTTCAAAGAAAAATGCTAATCAAAATCAAAGACTGCTACACAATTGTGATTTTGTATAGCAGAAACTGCTATGCAAAAATATGACAATAAATTCACCCCTGGAAGGGCATGGTGGACTTCATTTCTTCATCATGATGGAGCATGGCCTGTATGGGCAAGACCTGTATGGGCAAGACCTCAAAGTTGGGTGAGACATACATGTACATGTAGTTGCAACGAAGAGACCGTTTAGGAGATGGAGAAGCTATAAATGAAAGCAGTATAAAAGCGAGACCAAAATAAAATCGAGATTCCCGGGCAGGACCCATGTGAAATTGGTGCGCGTGGGCGACTTTTTTTTTTTTATGCATGCATGCAAGAGTACATAACAGATAACCCGGGGTTATGCTGTACCTGCGGGAATTCGCGGAAACATTCTCGAAAACTTGCGCAAGAAATTGCGGCAGAAAAGAACAAAAAATGCGGCGAAAAGTGCGAACTTGCCAGGAATTCGCGGAATTCTTTGCAGAAAATTGCGCGTATTTGGACCAAATCACGAAATTTGTTACCTACGTGATTATGGATTTATGGAAAGCACCGCGTAAAAAGTGCAGAAAACAACAAAAACGTGGGAAATCGCGGATATGGCAGAAAATCGCGGGTTGGACCAAAATGGCGCAATTTGTTGCATCCGTGGAATCGCGATTTCCTGGATCCATGGAGGGACAGGATGTACTCTTGATGCATGGCATGCTGAACTTTTTTTTACAGTATTTTCCGGTAATTTAATTTTTTTACAGACAACATACAGTAGAGTCGCGCGCCCAAGAACGTTGTTTCCAAGGGCAAGGGGTTAGCCTGTCCCTGCGGGAATTTGCGGAAAAAAGTCTCGAAAACTTGCGCAAGAAATTGCGGCAGAAAACAACGAAAAATGCGGCGAAAAGTGCGGAAAGATGCAGAACTTGCCAGGAATTCGCGGAATTATTTGCAGAAAATTGCGGATTTGGGCCAAATCACGAAATTTGTTGCATCTGTAGAATCGCTATTTGGCCAGTAGATCTACTCCAGGACGTCGTCAAATACCAGGGAGTCGTCAAATATGGTGTTTGACGACTCCCTGGTCTACTGCACTCTCTCGGGAGTAGTAAGACTCGAGTCTATGCAAAAAAAACAACATGATCAGGGAAAGCACTGCGGAAAAAGTACAGAAGAATGTTTGAAAAGTGCAGAAAACAACAACAAAAAAACGCGGGAAATCGCGGATTAAGCAGAAAAACGCGGGTTTGGGCCAAAATAGCGAAATTTGTTGCATCCGTGGAATCGCGATTTCCTGGAGGGACAGGTTAGCCTGGGACGTTCTTATTTTTCATGAAATCTGGTTATGTTCTTATAGCACGTTCTTAGAAACAATCCGTACTGGATCATATGTATCCCACAAGATGCCAGAAAACCAACACCGCCGTTCTTAGCTTTAGGCTGTTGCGTTCTTAGAATTTCAGGCTGGACGTTCTTCAGCGCGCGACTCTACTGTATGCGTTTGGTTGGTACGACCTAGAACAGGATTCACCAGAACAGCACGTTGGGTTTGGACTGCACCTGTTCTGGGTCGGCCAGAACATGTTCTGCTTGCTCCGGCCTCGAGGCCGGAGCAGACCGAGCAGTTTCACTTCTTCCCAGTGAAACCGAGCGGGAACATCGATTTCGGTCCCATATGATCACGTGCATACGCTTTTGGGTTGGACTCATTGTACCGTAGAAAGTGACCATGGTGCACCCAGGGAGTCGTAAACGACTCCCTGGGTGCACCGGTACGGTGACCCATACACATTTTGAAGAATGCACCAAGTTTGGCACATTTTTTTCTCACAAAAATGTGCTCTGTTTCTGGAGTACCGTTTGGTTGGCACGAGGCTGGTCCATATAGCCATGTGTACCCGCTGTTCGATCCTGTTCTAGATCGTACCAACCAAACACACCCTTGGTACGCACGTACATGTATGCGGTTTACCCGCACACTTTTCCGTATTTCGGGCATTTTCATTTTCGGCCAACGACGGCCCTGAGTCGTACATCTGGGAGTCGTACAAGCCCGGGTTTGTGTGACTCCCTGTCTACTCACACGATCAGTACTGTACATGTATATGAACTGTTAAAAAAAATGACTTCGGCTCGATTTTGGTGCAGGAGGGCCCGGGGAATCTCTATTTTTCAGGTCTCGCCTAAAGCTAACTTTCTGCCAGCTGTGCAGGCAGAGGCCCGAGCCCTCACACCGCCGTCTAAGGGATTTCAGTCGTTGCTTTATGGATGCGATTGCAGGAACCGCTCTCAAGAAGGCCAATGTGCATGTGGTTCATATTAACGCTCAATCATCGAAAAAGAAAGAAAAAAAACTAATTAAAAATCAAACACTGCGACACGATTGGGTGGTCGTATAGTTAAGACTGCTATGCAAAGAAACTGACAGTGCAATCATGCAAGCACTTCACCCGCTCAGAGCGAAGTTACCATGCCACGGTTCTCGTCACGCGCCAGGAACAGTTTCCGGTGGAAGATGAGCTCCTTATTCTTTTTGAGGTTCTTGACGGAGCACGGCGACTGGCCAGGTATCTCACAGATGCACTTTCTACCCCTGTGCCACCTGAAGTCGCATGGATCTTTGTACAGCTTTGAATCAAGATCAACTTCAACAACGTCGGTTTCATCAAATCTGAACAATGAACACAGGAGAAAGAGAAAAAATATAACGCAGTGAACAGAGGAACATCGAACCAAACCGAAAATAACGAATTGTTCAGGCTGAATTGACTCCAAGGTTGTGAGCAGGATAAGAATATGTGTGTGTGTGTATGTGTGTGTGTGTGTGCGTGTGTGCAACGGAGCAGGTATGTGTCATCACGGCTTCTGCCCTGCATCTGGAATGGCACATCACAACACTGTCACCGTGGACAATGTACTTCGGCTGTGGAGTGGGCTGCAGTGCGAGCGCCAATGCCAGCTTTGCAGTCGGCTCTTTTGACGAGCTCAAGACATGTCTCAGCATACATATAGCCATGAAGTTGCTGGATATCGGACTAGCGAATGGCAGCATCAAGTCACTCATCTTGGCAGTAGCATCCGTGACACCGGTAGTCTCGACGTGCAAGTATCGCACCGTCTTACACGAGCATCCCAGGCATTTGGCCGGACCCCTTCTTTGAGAACCGTCACCAAAAGTACATACCTCTACCTCCCTACTTCAGTACATCTGATCAACCTTGTTCAGCGACTGTGCACGCTCCGAGGCGGTCGGCATTACATTGGCCTTTGCTTCTTTGACTTAGCGGAAGCCTTTGATTCAGTTTGGCATCGTGGTTGACTAGCCAAGCTGCACAAGTACATGTATGGGATGACCGGCCACCTGCAGTCGTGGCTTGCGTCCTATCTCCACAATACGCCTCAATCTGTGAACCTTGGTTCAGTCCTCTCTGATTCTCTCCCTGTTCGTTCTGGTGTACTGCAAGGGTCTACCCTAGGACCGCTGCTGTTCCTGGCCTTTGTCAACGACCTCCCTGTCCTCAACCCTGGCACGTCTCTGTTTGCAGATGACACGTGTATGCTGCACAGTGGTCCCTCGGACTCTGTTCCCTATCTTCTATCGGAACTTCAAGCGCGCATCACGAATGTCATCTCGTGGATGACATTGTGGAAGCCCAAGCCTAATGTAGGGAAGACAAAGGTAATCCCACTGTCTACTACTCTCTATTACAGTCGTCCCTCTCTAATCCGGCACTTTATAATCCAGCACCCTCGATAAACCAGCACAATTTTCAGTAGCCAAAATATCCTCTTCATGCACATTGCAGCAGTAAATCAGATTTGTTAATCCAGCACCCTCCCTAATCCAGCAGATTTTCGTGGCACAAATGGTGCCGGATTATAGAGGGACCACTGTACCCTCTCCCTCCCCTAGTATTCCATTTCTCCACCACCCCATAGAATATGTAGATCTCCACAGGCATCTTGGCGTTTTTCTTGATGCCAATCTTATACAGCAGCCAACCCTATAGATATTAACATCAAGCATAACAACAACTCGTGAATAGTCACACAATAGAGGTTATGCCGATGACTCATAATAGTACATTTGCCACTCTGAAGTCAATAAAATATCACTTTTGCCACTCAGCTAGGGCTTTTTAGAGAATCTCAGTATACATGTCTCTCAGTTTGCCACTCAACTGTCTGCCTCTATTAGGGATCTCAGCGCGTGCAGTGCGCAGGGTGTTTGCGCATACATTGCGTCATCGAGTTTTGAGTGCAGCTCGCGGACACAGCAGAAAAATGGCGACGGTCGATTTTCGACACTAGGGCCAGTAGGGGACGCGGTGGACACTAGCGGAATCGTCATCTTCATTGTCGTTCGAACATACTTTGTAATTCCCGCCGAAGGACAGCGTGGCCAAGGCGATATTGCCCCGGTCGATTTTCCTATAATTTTCCATGCGGCAAGAACCCACTTCAGAGAGGATTCAGTCAAAAATTCAGACGTTTTCTCCGGTTAGATTGTCCTAACTTCGATTTTCAGTGCATCAGCCATCGCGAACATCGCCGCCATTATCACTCGGAGAGAAGACATCGCGCTCAGTAGAAGAGGTGTTCACGCTGCGTCCAAGAGTGAAAGATTGTGCTCTTTGACCCTCCATAGTTCCTCTGAGAGAGTGTCTGGGAGATAGGTAGCTTGGAAATGGCCGTAGAACGTGCTTTCCTGGACGCAATATTCAGCCATTTCTACTGTCTTCTTCAACTTGATTTATTTCGAAAAAAATGTTCTTTTCCACGATTTCTGCACTGGACGCGTTAGGGATCGAAAATCTCACCTGCGCAGACTGGCTGCGCAGTTCACGCGCTGAGATCCCTACCTCTATGGCAGTGTATGATGTACTCACACAACCTCTATATTCACACCTAGGGACCATTTGATTGCATACTTTCAACCTCACGGACAATGACAACTCGCCAACAACAACAACAACAACACTTCTCTTATGCCGGAATCGGTGAGTGAGGGTGATATGCGACTGTAATTGCAAACTCACATGTCACCAGCGACTGCCTCCAACGTCTGTGTGATCGTGGTCATCAACTTGTTCTCGCAGTCAATGAATACACGCTTGCCATTGTCTGTACAGAGCAACACCGTCATCACATAAACTGTATATAGCCAGTCAGCATTGCACCCCAACCCCCCCCCCCCCCCCATGTACCATGTATACGCCCGTCGCAAAAGAAGCACGCTAATCTGCAAATGCACTGGATGTGCACCCACAGATTTTTCTCTTATAGGAACGATAGCGGACAAGATCTGAATGAGACATGAGACCCCCCCCCTCCCAACACACACACACAAACGCACACTCACACGTACACACTCATCCATATCGGCATCACGACTACACCACCCCACACCAGTCAACATGCAGTCTACGATCGCTCAAGACACGAGAAATGAAGACAGCTACTTGGCACCACAGTCGCCAATTCGAATCGATATCCATTGACTTACGGAAGAAAACCTCAATATATGGCAATGGCTTGTGAGGCTCGTCGCCCTGACGGACAATTTGCACTTTCGGGTGGCCAAACTGCAGAGGCGGAACGCGCTCATAAATAAATTTCCTGAAACACACAAAGAAGAAAGCACACCCATGCACATGCGCCATCAACCAAAAAAAAGCACAGATTAATAATTTACGAGGAGATGGAGAAGAAAGAAATGATCGCTATATATGAGATAGAGAATAGAGATTATATGTTCACGAAAAATGCCATGGTTGTTGGTGTTGATTGTATTCATTGAAAACAGATCCCGAGTAGTATAGTGCTGAAGCAAATGCACATGATTTCAAGTAATCCGAACAAGTTCATGCAATCATCAAACATTCGAACGTGGGTAGTATGCGAGCACGATGACTGTGTTGTCCACTGAACTAATTGCGACTGCGATGGCCAGTCACCCGGAGCTCCGCTGACGAGACATAACAAGGTCGAAACGCCTGTCCAAGCTACCTGCCATAGTGCAAAGCTGGCTGTATTTCTCGCAGCTAGAGGACTCTGACTAGAAGGCTTTGAGCCAATTTAAATACTTTCATGTTCACTAGAACTTATTGCAATCGCGTCGGCCAGTCACTCTGGGCTCCGCTGATCAGCCCTATCAAGGTTAAAAACAGCTGGCTGTCCGGAGATCGAATACCTATCTGAACACATGTGATGCATTAGCGGACTTGTGCAGCGCAACTAGCTCTGGACTAATTCGGCGCACTCACATGCACACAGCACAATTACTGATCGCAACTGAAGCAGCACTGTGCGCAAGGGTCTACTACATGCAGAAGAAGGACGGTAGAATAGGTATTATTCTATCAGGGAAACTGGTTACAGGAGCCGTCACCACTAAAATAGACAACAGGTTTCCTACATAAGTGCATCACCATTGGTACTGCATAAAACTACTTATGTTCATCTCTAGGGAAACAGAAGGTGCAGCAAATAACTCGGTGGATGTTCGCACAGAAGAAGAATAGGAGGAAGGTCAGCGAGTACTGGCAACACAGCATAGGGCTGAGGCCAGTGTGGGAAGTGGCTGTGCGAGGCAAACAACATCCACACTGTAGCAGGGAAGGAAATAGGTGGTATACACTACATAGAGGCGAAACTGTAAGCACAGAATGGTGCTTGAATATTTTGTTCTTTCTAGAAATCAAACAGGTAATTGCCAAGCATGTTGCTACATCGGGATACGTTTAAGAGGATGAAATTTCATCTGGCTCGCACCACCAGCGCAACTTTCACGTCAACACATCGCAACATGATAATATGCTCAATCACATAAAACTGAGGGAAATTCTGGTGAGAACATTTTACATTCACAGGGCACAAAATACTTACAATAGACCTCTGCTGTTGATCTCCTTGTGGTGGTAGTTGACTAACATGACCCTAACATCGGGATGTAATCTAAAGGGGACATTGGACAGATGTTTATAGGTCCGATAATGGGGAAAACTTCCGTACGACATTTTGGTTCCATTGCATTGCAGTCTCCTTGAGAACAGAGAATAGTGATTGAAAAGACAACGAAAAAAGGTTTCAAAAATACATGCCAAGAAAAATTCTAGCACACACGAGAAAAAAAGAAATGTCCTCCCCGGCCGGGAATCGAACCCGGGTCTTCCGCGTGACAGGCGGAGATACTTACCACTATACTACCGAGGATTGACTGAAAGGATAGGAATCTTGAAGCTACATGACTGTGAAAAACAACCGTATAGAACGTCATGGGCAGCGGATCTGATACATGTAATATCAAGAGTAGATGTTTATCTACTCTTGGTAATATCAAGATAGGGGGGGTTATGTTATCGATAGGTACCGACTACTGTAGTAGACGGACATGCCTGGATCTTCAGCCTACTACTAGGGGCGTCCTGATTAGTTTTTTTCGGTACGAGCTCGTACGAGTACAGTGTATAATTTATATACATGGCGGCCATAGGCATGGGCCGGGAGTTGTTTTGTACGACTTGCTACCGGCCATTTTATACAATGTTTAGCTGGTAACTAGAACATATTAATTTTTTGCAAGAAGTTGATTGATTGATTCACATACCCGTTCCAGTAGATATCGGAAGCCTCCACAATCAACAGAAATTCCACCAGCACTAACACACACACACACACACACACACACACATGCACGCGCACAAACGCACATGCACACACATGCACGCGCACAAACGCACATGCACGCGCACACACATGCACGGGCACAAACGCACATGCACGCGCACACACATGCACGGGCACAAACGCACATGCACGCGCACAAACGCACATGCACGCGCACAAACACACATGCACAGGCACAAACACACACACACACACACACACACACCACCACCACCACACACCCCACTACCACATACACACACACACCCCACCACCACCACACACACACACATTGTCACACCTTGTACCATGTACCATGTACCATGTACCATGTATACGCCCGTCGCAAGAGAAGCACGCAAATCTGCAAATGCACTGGATGTGCACCCACAGATTTTCACTTATAGCAACGATAGCGAACAAGATTGGAATGAGGCAGATCAAGACTTGCGCCAGATAACTGTCTAATCCATACAACTGGCGAAGCCATGTGAATCGACCACCAATGCACACCTGGTCTACACAACACGGAGTACATCGGCATAAAACGACCAAGACGGTACACACACAAACACACACACACACACACATACACACACACACACCCCGCAACTGTTTTCTACCCGAAACGACAAAGTTGTCGTTTCAGCGGCTACCACTTTACCTTCTGTTGCAGAAATGTATTCGCTTTGAACGGTTGAATGCCTGAAATTAAAAGCCAACAGAAAATCAAGTAGGAAAAGATGGGCAGACCACCGCAATCCCAACGAATTAGAGTCAGTGAAAGAGAGATACGAAAAAAATCGCAGAAGAGCCTGCACATGTACAGGTAAACTCAAATATAGCCAAAGCATAGGAGAGAGCAAAAAAACGTAGAAGTCATGCAAGCCAACATACTTGGACCAGCAGAGAGTGCTGACATTATAAAAACTACGTAAAAGGAGCGTTAGTTGGGTTGCTATGCTTACTCGGAAACAATCGCATAATATCTAAGATACCAACATCTTTCAATCCAGTCAGCAATCAAATCAACAGTGAAAGTACAGATCTAGAATCGTCAACAGCTATTCTTTACATGTACATGAACGTTTCTCAAGGTGCGCATGAACGTGTACAAAATAAAGAGCACGGTGGGTAAATAAATCTTGCTCCAAACCACGAAGAATAATTCGCTCAACGTAATGGAAAGTGGAACATCTTTCCTTGTGTTTTATGGGAGACGAGGGAGCGCTCACTATGCGTATGAAGCACCTTTTAAAGCTGCAGTCCACTATATTTCGTCGCGCACTTGATGCAAAGGTAGCGGTATAGCCCAGTCACTCTCATCTAGCTGTTGCTCGTGAAGCAACCCATCAGGTGGCGTGCCATCAGCCTCTGATTCTGCTGGAGGATCTAACTTCTTCTTGTCGTCTGCATGTACGTCGGGGTCTTCTTTGCGCGCAGCATTGGGAACTTCTTTCCGAGTATCAGAATCCTTATCTTTATCCACCTGATCATCGCCTTTTGAGTGCCTGGACAACTGTTCCGGCGGCTCATCTGTGGGCGGCTGTGCTTGCTCCTGTGTCATGTGTCCGAGAGAGACCTCGGGTGCCAAGAGCACTCTAGTACGCACTGCACACAAACAAACACGAAACAAACCCGGCAAGATCGTCAGCACTTCAGGAGTGCGCAGCGGACGCACACTGCAACACACACACACACACTGATAGTTTTTTCAAAGGGCCCTTCAAAACACAAAAAATTGAAGACGATGACTGGAGTCTCAGAGCTTGAGTCGATCTGCAAAAATCACGGTTCACGAGAGATCCAGTAGGGCTGAGTTTTCCGCATTCTATGGACGCCGCCACCCTCAAAGATCTCTGCAAGTTCACCTCAAAAGTCAATCAGCATAATCCAGAGAACATTAGAGCAATTACCTTTTCCGCCAACGTATGCCATGCTGACTTCCATAGCTGTTGGAGCAGCACTTGGCAAGTAGCCCGGCATGAGAAACAGGGCGAATGACAACACAAACACCTGCAGGGAAAGTAAACACCAGAGAATGGCAGCGGCAGGCGGTGAAACATCAGCTCAAGAGACAAGGTTCGCAAACTGAGAGGGTCTATGCTGCACACTGTGGTAGAGTATAATACCTCGCTACTATGCATCCCTACAGATAACCAAGTTGAAACACAGGCAGAACACAGGCACAATTCAACAGTGACAGGGTACAGTTGAAGAATGATCAATAGAGCGGCCCTTACAGCAACACCGGTATGCATTGGCTTGGCAGTCGGATAGATTGCCACGACTAGATCCTGCAGCTTCTTCAGGTGGACCATTAGATTCCTGTCAAAAAGGAGAGCGGACACGAGCATCACATCACTTTCATAAGAGCACATGGTTGGGCATTCTGAATTTCTTAATCTTAGAGAGGACGGGTGTGAGAGATGAAAGGCTCATCAAACTTTCAGGCGTTTGGCGGAAAATGTGCTGCTTTTCCAGGGGGTTGCAGTTCAATCATGGCATTGGGATACCCTTGGTATCTCTACACAAGGTCTTACTTGTTGGTGTCTTCCAGAAGGCGCACTCGACTCTGCAGCCGGCGATTCTCGCCAGTTGTTGATTCAACTCTGTGAATAGAAGAGGACAAACAACACAAATCACGTAATTTAATACAACCCAGTTTGTGGGCCGTTTCCCACCTATCACGAGCAGCAGTGCCTCCTACAAGTACCGCAGTACCCTTGTCATCAGCACAACCAGCAGCAACAATAACTTTGCAAGTTACACAGCAGCAGTGGCAATGGCGGCTGCAACCAACCTGGTCTCCAAGCCGTCGACGTACTCCTTCTTGCGCTTTCGACTGTCCAGGGCGGAAATCTGAACCACAAGAGACAACACAACCACCATGTCTTCATACAACAGCCATGCAAATCAACTGTATTACACATCACGCAGTGAATCGGAGGGAAAAGCAATGGTCACAGAACATTAATGCCATACTACACAACTACCATCTGGCTTACTACTACAAAACGTGTAAACGTGTGTTAGGCCACACGTTTTTATTTCTATGTTTCTCGTCACCTGAAAATCTAAAAACGTATGCGAGAGGTGGAAAAAAATAAAAAATGACCGAAAAATATAAAAAAGTTTATTAGACCTTTGTTCACACTAAAATCCACCAATACACCATGCAAAATAGCATCCATAGTTAGTAACTAGTATGTGGTAGGAGCTTCTGTCACAATCTGTGCATGTGCAGCTAGATTGCGCACAAATAATGCCGTCCTTGCATCATGTGTTGCGCAGGCCAGGCCACATTATGTACATGTGCATGAGTGTGCTGGTCCCCACATGCACAGTCAGTGCAGCACAGGTTTTTTTCTCTTTTTTCTTCCAGACTCCTGAATCGTATGCGCGCGGGTGACGAGAAACATAGAAATAAAAACGTGTGGCCTTATTGGAAATTTCGTCTACTTCGAAGTACACACATGTATGGGAAGGGTTTGGTGCTGAATGCTCATACCTCCGATAGCGGCAGGCCAAGTCCTTGAAATATATGCACAACACAACAAAGCACGACAGGCTCAGTGGTCTGCACACAACAACATACCTTATTCTTGATCTTCCGCCTCACTCGCTTCAAGTTCTTTTCTTCTTGCTGCAAAGAAGAACAGAAATGGAATGCTGGTCATGTACATTATCGTTACTTTGAAAATCACTCACACCATTCTAGTAGACCATTGTAGACTGCTCGCTCTAGATTCGCAGCTGTGATCTTAGCGCTATATTTGCCAGTGTTTTATGCTATTGTTTTTAGCTCTAAAATCATAAATGTCTACCTTTGGGTATTTGAGTCCACAAAGGACGAAACAGCATGCTGTCCACAGATTGAGTTACCTTTGGGTATCATATTATGATACCCAAAGGTACGGATTATTATAATGGGTATCATATTATGATACCCATTATAATAATTCGCTGTAGTCCACATTCAAAATGTAATAACGAACAGATGAGAGTCACATGAAACGACGTAAATCCGTACGTATGTGTCACTCTAGTGTCGAAGTAAACTGCATGCATCATTCTACATGCACTTGTATTATCCAGATCGTTTTCTTTGGACCCATACAATAAGATAGGCCGATTCGCTTGAATTACACGGTACTCCAAAAAGTGGACTACAACTACAGTCAGACCTCGCTTATCCGGTCCTCGTTTATCCGGATCCCTCGCCATCCGGAAGAAAAAAGTTGGTTACAAATGTACAGCATATGCCATGCTTACATGCAGTATGTGTGTTCGATTATCCGGTTCCCTCGCCTATCCGGATATTTTTGTGGAAAACGGATGTGTGCGGTTATGCGAGGTCTGACTGTAGCAGTCTCTAACTGCACGCTGCGCTACGAATAGATATTGTATACAGTATTCCGCAGGGGAAAATACTGACAAGTACACTTGGACACATCCCCTCCGCACTTTATACGAGAAAGAAGAATAGAGCACCACCCTAAACAGAGGCAGCACAAAATCTGCTCGACACAACGTTTTTTTATTACAAGCAGCAGCCGGTAAGAACAACAATGGTCGAAGAACTCAGCGCATTCAAATGCACTACGGACTGTTTTATTATGAGAGCCCAAAACCTGCTGCTACTGGCACTGTACCTTGGTCAGGGGTAGGTATTGTGGTAGCTCAAAATTCTCGGCGGCCAGGAGTCGCTTCTCTTCAGAACTAAGGACAAGTCGTTCCTGTGTGGCAATAGACAGCATGCGTAATCAACTTGTTTATTCAAAGACCCACATTTAAGTGAACAATAACAAGAAGGTACAGGAGAGGAGCTAGAGAGAAAAGGGAAACCAAGGAGGAGTCCAGGTAGAAAAGGAAACGTCACTTGAAAGATTAGAACATTGAAAGGATCAGTCACGCAATACGGTTAATTATCATCGATCAGATAATTATTCATCCCTACGCAAGGAAAATTTTTTTTTTACCAAGCATGCCTGCAAACGACGCAGAACACACTATTATTGATGCAGCCATAGACAGCATGGGTAGTAGCAGATACACGCATATGACACACAAGTACAGAACAGAACAACAAGAACACTCAAGGCTTGTTTGCTGCTATGAAATACAACTACGGAGCACATCAAGAACATGAACATCTTAAATGCAGCATCGAACAATGGTATGGACCTCACCTCAATGAATTTCCCAGGCAAATGACAGAGTATACTAGATACTACTGCCACTCCAGAACAAACACTCGAGTAAGAAGTACATCACAAAGTGAATATAACCGAGGCGCAAACCAGGGTGTGATCCTACTCCCTGACCAAACTGTGAGTCGAAAAGAAATAGAATGGTATGCAGACATAGTGTATCACCGAAAAAAACACATTGACCGTCCTTCAGTCATGGGCGGCAGAACAAAAGAACACACCGTGTTTGGGATTAAACTTACCCTGCCGTCCGCAGAAGTAATACCCTGACTTTCCGGTGCTCCCGCAAGGTCATCGCTGAATGTACTGGAGAATGTCGGGTCTGCAGAGAATGACAGGTCTATGGAAACATCTTGCGCCGGTGATCGTCCCACATCTGTAGTGATTGCTGAACTACTACTTGTCATGGTGGTAGAGAAAGCACTGAAGTCCACACCGGCCAGTGATGTCTGGCCCAACGACTTCGTTCCTCTGGCGGTGACGGGCCGCGGCAGTTCAAACGATGCATGTAAACTTGTCAACTGCTCTTCGGTGATCAAACCGGGACCCATTGACGGTAGGTCGGTGCCAGCAAGTAAGCCCTCTAGTGACATTGGCACCATGTTTGAAGCAGCGCCGGTTGAGATGTCCGCAGAATAGCAGTGCTGGTGAACTTGATTGCTAGGGTTATGCTGCATAGAGGAGGCAACCGACTCAGGTGACGATGCAGAGGAGATGTCCGCATCCCGGCCGCTGCCTGATCCAACACTGCTCAAAGGACTGGCAGCAGTGGAAGTGCTGTACGCCGTAGTGCTGCCCACTGACTGAGGACTATTGGCAATGTCGGGCTGAGCAGGAGACGGCAGTCGAGCAGTCATGTCCGGTAAATCTCCCGAGCCAAGCAGTGCCAGGATGTCCAGCTCCTCGGCCTGCGATAGCAACAATCCATTGTGCGTTGCCTGGTGGTCTGCACCACCTTCGTTACCACTGACTCCAAGGCTGCATCCCTGGAACATGATATGAATACACACAGTGACATGCATGTCAGTCTCAGGAGTACTTCTTGATGACGGCTTATTATTTATTATTTATTCACTGGTGGAGGGAATGGAAAAGGAAAAAGTCTGAAGAAAAAATTGATTGCCACTACCATTATTTATTAAATAGTTTTAATAGGGCATCCCCACAGGCCTAAGGCTTTCTTACGGGGTATCCAATATGTTTGTCTGGATGAGCGAAAATCTGAAAGCGTGGCTTCAGGAAATCCAGACCACAAGAAGTCTTCATTCAGTGTGGTTGGTGAGGCAGTGGCGCATGCTGGTAAGTAGTAGTTCGTCCATGTGGCACCACGCATCACCATGATCAAGGATCATAGATCTTATTAAATTTTACCATAGCTCAATAAATGCATCATCGATCGATGATATCAATTATTAAATTGAAATTATTTTGATCTAAAATTATATTGAAAAGGCGACGAGGAGACAATAACTTTATTAATGCGATTAATAGTATAAGTGAAGCGGACATTACAAAATGATGAATGAGAATACATGTATCTAAAATGGTTGTTCCTAATCGATTTTCTTGAGACTATCATCAGGGAAAATCGTCTCACAATAGAGGCTATACGGAGAAACAAACTACTTATAGGTTATCGGATAGTGGGAAGTATACAAGGTGAGGTGTGAAAAAAAACTAAAGTGGGAGAGAAGACGAAAGAAATTAGAAGAAAAGATGTGAGAGTGTTACAACCAAGATGAAGATGACCGGACTGAAGGTGAGACCACAACGAAAGGGTCAGCAATTAAGAAACACCTCTTGTCTAGTAGCCAATGCTGCTCAGTGTATGATGATTCATGCTTCACTGTTTTGTGTCGTGCTCGTAGGTTTCGTGAACTTAAGGTATTAGAAGCTGTTTTCATCCGTAAACACAATCCTAATCTATGCATTCAGAAAGAAAATGTCACAAAACTGAGACTCTTCACCTAGCATTCACACACGTATTCATTCGCATACACCTACACCTCACAGTTCCTCGCTCTATCACATTCACCTGCTTCCACGCCTTCATTTCACTCACCTTTTGTAGTAGCTCACACCGTCAGAACACTCTCACATCTTTTCTTCTAATTTCTTTCGTCTTCTCTCCCACTTTAGTTTTTTTTCACACCTCACCTTGTATACTTCCCACTATCCGATAACCTATAAGTAGTTTGTTTCTCCGTATAGCCTCTATTGTGAGACGATTTTCCCTGATGATAGTCTCAAGAAAATCGATTAGGAACAACCATTTTAGATACATGTATTCTCATTCATCATTTTGTAATGTCCGCTTCACTTATACTATTTAATCGCATTAATAAAATTATATTGGGCATGGTACCTGAAGTTGGTCAGCTTCTCCAAGCAACGTTGCCAAAAGATCACCATGTCCTAGATTCCCATTCACAGATTGCCCATCGGCAGAACCATTGAGTAAGCTATCCCAATCCGGATTCGATACAGTCGCCATGATTCCGTGGGTGCTGGTTGATAAGGCGTTAGTAAGTTGTGCAAGCCCCGGACGTAATATCCCGGCGAGAAGGAGACCAATCCTGGTGCTGACTTGTTACTAAAGTAACTGCACTCTTCAAGAGATCAACTCTTGTCTGATCGAGTTCAAAGCCCACTCGCAAGCACTTCCTTGTCGATATTCAACTCGCATACCGCTTGGCATAATCCAGTTGACAAGATGCAGCGTGTTGATTTTGAAGCTGGAAGTGATATGAAGCGTTAGTGCGAAGTCTTGAAGACGTCACGTCGTCGAGCTGCCACATCAACGACGTCAACGTTGGCATTGGTGATGTTGGCACATTGCAAATACGCATGCGTGAGTAGCCCAAAAAAGGAACATTACTCATCCATTATAATAGGCCGGTTTCACACGTCATAATGGTTTTGTCGCGGGAAAAATTGAAAGCTGTTGACCTGCAAAAATGGTACATACAGTGTATGAAGCTTGCAAATACCATGAATACTGCACACATACACAGCTGTACAGGTACATGCACACGAGAGTGTTTTGGTTCAACTTTTGATTGATTGATTTATTGTTTTCTCTGCTTAGCTTTGATTTTTGAGCTTCCGTTTTCAATGACACGTCCCTCGTACATGTATCTTTGTTGACGGACTGTCTTGTGCCTTGAAACCGACCGCGTATATGGAGCTGCCTCTTGGAAGTATAATTTCCCATTTTATGTAAGCTCATCCGCCTAATAGCTACAAGGACGACTAATTGCACTGTAAGCATTTCCTATTATGTGGACATGTATGTGTAAAATGTTATACGATGATCGCAAGGCGCTAGGCTAGGCACACACATGCACAACGAAAGGGAAAGACTTCTTCAAAGAGAGGATTTGTTCAGAACTGTTTTCTTCTTACATTCATCAGTGAATCTACGTAACAATGGAATGGGGACTACTTGAAAGAAGGGGAAAAAAGAGCGAAACAAAAAGGTGATTACATGTATATAATAATTCGCGGGATTCGCGTTGGCATCGCTTGAATGTTCAGAAACACACAAACTAGCCTTCGCTTCCGCAGGCCACCACTATGCCTATGCCTTGCACACCTGAGTGGCGAATGCAGACCTCACAAGTGAGTCAGGGGAGAGTAGGTGAGTCTCTCAACCAATCGGGCGTGTAACAGCCCATAACCCTGTAAACTGCATCCTTGTTACCCTCACTCCGAGCTGTGAGTACCCAGTTGACCGTGGGTGTCGGCGCAGTTCATCACGCATAAAAAGTCTTTACTCACGTAAAAAGTCTTTACACGCTCCCTGCTACCAGCGCGGGTCTCGAACTCGGGGCCTCATGATTCGCAGGCAGGCCTGCAAACCAATCGGCCATATGCATTGGTGTATTCAGCGGGGGCAGTCTCAGCAGGTAACAACATGCATGTGTGAATCATCAGCATCAGCAAAACAAAGCAAAACCTGAACAAACTCAAACGGGAGGAAATGTGAACGGAGGGGGGGGGGGGGGGAATCACACTCACCACCAGGCGCGTGCTCGGCGGGGGGCACGTGCACCCCCAAAAATTTTCAATCTGGGTAATTGCAATTGTAATGTATGCAAATATGCTCTAAAATTCAAGAAAGGTTGCAAACAAATTGCAGAAAATTGCCGGGGGGGGGGGCTCACCTCGGCTCCCGTGCACCCCCCTAGTTGGGGGGCCGAGCACGCCCCTGACCACACTCGCACCAAGCCACTACGTAAACAATCTGAGGGTGATCCGCCTCAGCTTTGAGTAATTTTACATTTTTGTAATTATTTGTTAACCGTACAGTGAGACCTCAAATTCAGCACCCTGTACGTGTACATAACATACTGTTTCTCTTTGTGTCGAATATACTATTAGTATTACTAAAGTACTTTTAGGACCCGGGTCTCACTTCCCACAGCTCATTTGACCTTGGATGTAGAGTACTAGTGCCTGGGGTATAAATTGCTGACTTTTTACGTCCCTCAGAGCTACGTTATACTGAAGTTTGCTTGTACCTAGTGAGTGCTATAATCTAAGACTGTGCGGTTGTGAACAGCTTTTTAACGTTTCTTTTTCTGCCAGTGACAAAATAATAAGTTTTAGAACCAAGTCCAGATCGCACACCATCACATGTGTCCGTACCTTTTCACACATCTAGTCAGGAAGACACTTCTCGTAGGGTATCGAACGTCAAGGAAGGGAACGAAAACGTTCTGTACCTTATGGGAAGTGTCTTCTTCACCGGATGTGTGAGATTGCATGGATACATGCAATCTTGACTTCGTTCTAAATACCGTATATTCTCTATTATAAGCACCGTGTTTATATTTTTTCAACACCCCTCTACCCCTTGCTTATCCTGGAGACCGCGCTTATATTGGAGACCGTGCTTATATTTTTTCAACCAATACATCCATACAGAGCAAGAAGAAATACATGCTAGATACCATGCATGCCGCATTGATTTCCAACAAGACCGTGCTAATAATAGAGACCGTGCTTATAATGTTTCGAAAGGTGCTCACAGTGTGCTAGTATTAGAGACTGTGCTAGTAATAGAGACCTGTGCTTATAATAGAGAATATACGGTATTATTATTCGCCTCCAACCTCTGGGACAAAATAATAATTTTAAATACTTTTACTTTTCAAGTAGAACGGTCGAAGGTGGCCGCCCATACTGCCCATGTCTTAGCCACCGGAGCAGAGCACCAAAATAACCGTAGATGTCTCTCTTTCACTTTAATAGGCTCAATTATTATAGTGGATATGGCTGGTACATGTGTGTACTAACAGGGGCGCCGGACACGCTATGTTCACTACGGTATTTGCCATACCACTCTTTGTCCCGGGTAGATCTACACAGTGAATAAATCAACCGCACTAATTTCGGCACTGACTTTCCAGAGGAGTTACCCCAAGCCCACGAGTAAATAATGTACACCACCCTAAAATACCTCCCGACACCCCGGACTAAGTATGCCTCATAGCCGGCCAAGTACCGTGCACGATGTGTGCGTCTGAGGACTCTCCTTCTGTGCTTTGGCCAGGCTGGAACAGGCGAGATCTCAGATGCAAACACGCTCTTACAATCATGACCATGTGCATGTAACAAGTAATATCAACAACCAATTGGACACCTCTCCCGTTTCTGTACTTTCTACTTCGAAGTATTTATTGTAAGAGCGTGTTTGCATCTGAGGCCTTGCCTGTTCCAGCATGGCCCGGCATAGCACAGAAGGAGAGTCCTCAGACGTACACACCTTTGAAACTTTCTATTGTTCTTCCGGTGCTTCAAATACGTGTTTTTGTCCGATTTAGCTACCCCCTGTTGCGTTGCGCCGAACTTGCTGGTAGCCTCTGCGGGTAATATATCGCCACACATGTCCAGCAGTAGTTGTAATGACAGTGACGTCGACGCAGACGATGTGGACTGGAAAAGACGAGCAAAGCGGTCCAGGCCTACTGATGTCGAGCCTGTACAGTCTGCAGGTAGGTGTACTTCAAAGTGATAGCTGCACCACTAAATAGTAAATGGAGAGGTTGTGCACAACGAAATGCATGCTTGTAAGATACGTAACGGCCTGGCCTAACGGAAGCTGTACGAACTTTCGTCAACTTTCGACAGAAAAGAGCTGAACAGCAAAAAAGACTTTCGTGGCAATCGCTGTACTGTCACGCAGTAATGTATGACACCTGCGTATTGGTGTACACTTAGAGCATGAATGCCTGACTGTTGAGACCTTTCTCCCATATTGCGAAAAAAATTGACATTTCCGCTTTTGCGCAACATTCAAATCAACCGATTTTCTTAGCCTTTTTCGTGGTTGTCTCATCCATCGAAAACTACAAACTTCACTGGGCGCAACCTCTCTATTACTACTGTAGTAGGCAACTACTGGTGTGTGCGTGTGTGTATGTGTGCATGTGCATGTAGAAATTGAGAGAGTACTTCTGCACATTACATGTACAATCTGAACTTCTACTTTTTCCGTTGATGACCGGCTAGTCCCTTGTTCTACTTTTTCTTCTCCTTTTCCATGTTCTCTTTCTTGTCCGACTCTCCTTTTCTTCTTTCTTAGACAGGCTATTGTCTTTGGATGAGCATACCAGTATGAAGAATTGCTAATTTAATACTTGGTCTTGTGATGAGTATACAGCACATGTAAAACCTGTCAAGGCGACCACCTGTCCCAGGAGATCACTGCAACCAGAACCAAGGGATGCTACTTCCAGTCAAATGATCCTGGATAAGGAGGCCACCTGGTAACAGGGACCACGTTCTGAAGGTCCCTTGAGCGGTCGTCTAGGACAGGTTTTACTGTAGTTGATCAACAGCACAAGAGCATGATTAGCGTGCTGGGGGGGGGGGGGGGTGTTCCTAACTGTGTCCTTGTTTTGTTTCTTTTTGCACATCTATGTTGTTCTGCTTGCTTCAAACCCGTCATATAGGCTATTCATCGAATTCTTCTTGTCAAACGGTGACGAGTTCTCACAGCAGCAGGTCTGGTTTGGGACAGTGTGCTGCGCCGGCGCCAAGCACAACAACTGTAGCATCCCAGACTAGTAGGCACTCCGCATCTGTCACTGAAAGGCATCATGCGCATGCTGAGGCTGTAGGGAGTTGCAGTACTGCTGCCTTGACTGGTCATCCCCATGGAGTGATGCCTGCGCTGCAAGGTGAGATAAGGGCATCTCTTCTGTCTGGTCCTATCTTACAGTTCCAGAATGCACGCTAATATATACTAGAAGGAAGGGAAGTGCTACCCACTGTACCATATTGGAATTACTTGATGTGTGTGTTTATTGTGTTAGTGTGTGTTGACGGTGGGGTTGCATATCTATGAATTTTTGTCCTGGGCAAGTAAATAGTCGGTCCTCTCTTTCAATCTGAGCGTTGGTTTAAAGAATATTGGCTTGTTTCACCAATAGGCTGTTGATTGGTTTTTACTCATGGCAGGTAAAGGTATTCTTGGAGAGCACCCATTCACCGATAGAGGTGGCAATCTCGAAGCCCAGTCACGACTCTGTCACCACTTGCACATACGTTATGACATGGACACCGAACACTTTATCAACATCGTGGAGCAATACCTGGGAGAGGTCAGTGCAATCTTACGTGCTCTCTCTCTCTCTCTTTCTTTCTCTTGCTGTTACCACGTGAGGAGTGACTATACACTCTTGCGTTTGTGTTCGATGATGCAAATGCATAACGTAACATCAACGTTTCTTGTAGGATAAAATGAAATCCAGGTTGAAAACTGAAAGCCATTGAATGGAACTGGTGGGCTTCGTGGAAAGCCAGCTCCTTTTTTTCTGTATCACGACCTCAGCTGAGCACCATACAATATCCAACCACTCATCTGCAACACCCGTGATGCCATCCAGGACTTTCAGAAGCTGCACACTCTGGTTTTCATTTCATTTACGGTGGAACCTAAGCAATGCGCACAGCAAGGGACTACTTGCCCAACCTGTTTCTGTGATAATTTGAAAGGGTGTCCTGAGGCTCTGTCCTCACTTAGAAATGTCACTTGTGCGGATTGATATCTCCACGGGACTGCAGAAAGTTGTGCTTGATTTCTAAGTGCCTGTATTTCTGATATTACAGGCATGGTGGTGGCCTGGCACCAGCGAAACTTCCTAAGCTGGTTGTGTTTCTCTACGCAATTGTATAGCCGGTTGTAACGCCAACGTGCAAACTATACTTTTTTTATATTTCTGAGGTGCTCTTTTGGGACATGTGTTCAACCTTTAATATGTGTTCTTGGTGATAAGTATATGACCCCATTGTGTACTGTTGAGCTTTTATGTTACACCTAACTCGACCTACCATCATGACTTTTTAGTTAAGTTTTGTTTTGAATGCTGTTTTCCTCCTACTTCAGCCCCCCGCTAAGCGAAATCACCTGAAGGTTTGCATTGGTGTGATCGGCATTCGTCGCACTGTACGTCTTCTTGTCGACACCGATGACACGATGAGAACAGGAGGCATGGATACACAGAATCACATTCGGAAGTAAGTGACACCAGATGTATAGTATGCTAACACGGTGTTATCGAGTTCCTTGGGTCGGACCCTAGAGCACTGCAATCCCGTCTGCGTGCTCCCTCGATCCCTCACGACCACACACTCAAGCACCCGAATACGGCTTGTTTATAGGAATTAGTCTAGAAGGAGAGTAAAGAAGATCCACAAAAGCCAGCCTGATGCCGCGAGGTTCATGCCCTCACCGCGCACCTAAGAACCATAGCAAAAATGGCGCACAGCATGATCAGATCACATGATCATGATCTGATCAGCGATTCAAAGCGAGTGAACATATGGTAACTAAATTATTTGAATCTTTCGAAAAACTGCGATGTGAAAACATCGGTACGTTTAGAGAATTTGAACAAGATCGAAGGAGAAGAGTGATTACTTTATAATGAACTGCAAATCATGCAATTCCATTACAACAGTTGAGACTTCGAGTTTGTACTACATGTACAGTGGAGATTCATAACGGCTTGGAAAAGCAGCAGGTTGAGCTTTAGGACTAACTTTAGTAGCAAGTACCTTCCAAAGATCTTGACTAGTGCCAGATTAAATTATTATAGTGACATTTTGATCTCGCAGAGGAGTGTCGTTGTATCCACTCTTCAGCTTACATGGACTGCAGATGGTTTCAATATACAGGTCGTCCCCCGTTAATACGAGTCCGGTTAGTACATAAACCCCGTTAGTACATAAGAAATCTCAAGTCCCGGACGAAACGTGGTCACTTCCATACAAATTTTGTCGGTTAGTACATAATTCGTTAGTACATAAACCCCGTTAGTACATAACATTTCTCCGTACCCGCATGCCGCCTACCTCAATAGTACATAATTTGTAGGTCTTTTGACCTTCCAGTGGAGGCACATCGTGTTCTCAGAGTTTCTATTTGTGGACGCAATTAGCTCAGAAATCAGAGCGCACATCACAAACCGACAAAGCTCTGTTTTCCGAGTGACTGTACAGGCGCGGTTGGACATGTATCACGTAAACTGTAGAATCTTCGCTGCCTGTGACCGTTATAACATAATGTTTATGTTATATCGAGGGAATCAAGAATATCTCACTCCCCAGTCATGGTAGCAAGAAACACTCAGAAAAGTGGAAAAAAGTGAAAAATTCTGGTACAAAAGCAAGTTATGTACACTTCCGTTTAGTACATAAACCCCGTTAATACATAACATTTCTCAAGTCCCAGAGATTATGTATTAACGAGGGACGACCTGTACTGGTATACTAGCATCAATTTCGTCTTCTTTTCTTCTTTTTCAGACGAACAGCCGGTGGCGTCTTTTACACGCTGATGAAAAAGGCCCCTTTCATTCGTCCTTCAGAGCAGAGTGAAATCACTGCCCACGAAAAGGAGGCGCATAAGCTGGAGGCCAAGAGGAAGAGGAAGCAGAAGCAGACGGAGGACCGGGCGCGCCAGGCCGCGCTCTTTCGACAACGAACAATGAACCAATCTTAGGAACCTCGCTGTAGTTAGTCACTGTATGCTGCTTGTTTTAATATTCAATATTAGGGTGTTTGAAGAGTCGGCGTGGAGAAAATCGATTTTGGATGGCTTATAACTGCTAGTGTTGGACACAAACTACGGATAACATGCAACATGTTGGTCCTTTCTTTTTAAATTTAATCCTTGGCTCTCCATCCGAGTCTGATAATAAAACTCTTTTTAAAAAATTCTTTAAACTCGTTCTTGTCTGGCCATGTTGGCATCAATGATATTCTTTGTCTTATAATATCAGGGTGCATTCTTATTTTTCTCTAGGTTCTCGGAAAAGATTTCGCTTGGAAGTCAAGGAAACTGGAATAATTTAGGAGCGGAATTCGAAGATCTTGATTGTACAACTTTCCCTTTTCGCATAGGCACAGTGCGTGTTACATTCGTGTCACTCAAGATTGTGGGCCCCTTTGGCGCTTCACATGTGCAAAAGATGTCCGAATTCTTCGAGACCCGTTCCTAAATTTCCAGTTTCTTCGACTTTCAGGAGAAATTTCTCTGAGAAGCTAGAGAAAACAAGATCGCACCCCTAGCTTTCCAGGCCTATTTTTTCTTTACTCTTAGGTTAGCTGTATTTATCTTCATTTTTGTGTTCTTGTGTTGTTCTTTGTCAGGGAACGTATCACGTCGTTTCTCTCAATACTCCGCGATTGTAACGTTAGGGGCCATATAGAGCAGGTTGAACTATCTTCTTTGGTCTATCATTTCTTTTTTCGTCCGGAAAAGGGTAGATTTATACATACATATGTCTTGTCTTTTCTATTTGCCCCCCCCCGTCCTCAATGAAAGGAAGATGTGGTGTATAGTGATTGTCACAACATTGTCTCCTCTCTCTCTGTACTGTCTCTCTCTCATCTTTATTAAAATGTGCATGCTCGATGTAAATAAATCAGTCCTTGTCTTGTCCCGCAATGGACTGCTGCGTGGCTTGCAGGTCGAACGCAGCAATAGTGACCTGTGTCCTTACCTGGGGAAAATCTATGTGCGTGCTCTCGGAGATCACCATTGACTGCTTGGCCTCAGGCTGGAGTACTTACCGCCAAGAATGTGCAACTGCACTCAGTATGGCAGTTTGTGGTAGAAGATTTTCACATCATCCGTACCCTGTGCATACTTCTGCATGGTATGATCAGGCGCGTGCCCCGTATGGGTTCCTGGGTGCCCGGAACCCCCCCCCCCCATTTTCGCTCAAATGCAGGATTTTGCTTCATATTTTGACATTTTTCCCCGGACCCCCCCCCCCCCTTGAAGGGCACCGGCACACGCGCCTGATGATCATGATAGCAAGAACCTTCTTTGGGTGCAACTCTCTGGTTACAGTAAATGATTGCACGCTGAAAAAAGTAGAGTCCAAGAATGTTCAGTCTGGACCATCACAGCTTTTAAAAGTACAGTTTATTGTTTGTGCTGTTGTGGAATAAATCAAGCAACTTCAACTGCGCCACATTACAATGACTGAAATATTGGCATTTCATGGTGTAAATTTCATTTGCACTCCTTGGCTAATCTACTTGCAAGTTAACCAAACACTGTCCCAAAGTCCTCGCGAATTTCCCTGGGGACAGGTTTCTTAGTGGAAATAGCAGTAAATACAATAGGGCCTGGCACATTCAACACCCAACTGTGTTTACGGGGTTCTTCGTCTAGGATTTCGTGAATCTGCAGAACGTGCACACGGTTTATAAAGCTTACCGTAATTTCCGAAGTATAGTGCACACTTTAGATGTGCTATTTTAGGCCCTAAATCGCAGGTGCGCACTATGCTCCGAATATGAAATGCATGTACTTCAATGAAGATTGAAGTGCGCACTATACTCCGAAAAATACGGTATGTTATACACAAGGTGTGTTTTATAAATATGGTGGTGAAGACACACCTGGCAATATGGCGGTAAACACACGCCTGCCCACACACGCTCTCTAGGCTGCAAAGTTCTGGCACAGAGCTCTCCTTCTCACCACCACCACCATCAGTTCGCGCCTGGCGCCTGGTCGATGCATGGCTGGCGGTATCCGTGTGTCTTCACCACCATATTTATCAACCATAAGTACAGCTGCAGTGGTGTCTTCAATTTCATTCTCCCAAGGTGTGTTTGTTACAAGAACGGAATTGTTGGTTTTCTTATCCTGGCAGCTTTTTAGGATACATTTCCATAATATAATTATAATTACTTCGAAGTATGATCATACTTAGAAGTAGGACACACTTCAGGCTCTTGAACATATTGAAAGTTTTCACTAGTATACTTTCATGCTTTATATAATAATCATCAGGTGAAATACAGGCAAAATCAAATGAACATGGACAATGGATTAAAATGCAGAGAGGTGATAGAAACAGCGCAAGGAAGAAGAGCCAAAACAACAGCGTCAAATGCATGCCCCATACACATAGAAAGTAATGGGAAAAAGGCGCAAGTGTGAGTAAATCCAAAAAGCGTGAAGTGCGGTGCAGCAAAACAGACAACAAAATGAATGGTCAAAAACTAACAAGTTAGTTGTTGACGACCTACCGGTAAGGGGCCGTCCATCAATATCGAACTTTTTCACAAAACGAATTATTTTAGTTTGGACCCAACCCCTCCCTCCCTTCCCCTCAGAACGTAAAAAATGTTGACATAATACATGTACATGCAAAAGTTGCAAGTGTGTCACTGCTCCTATTGCTATGGTCGTGTACATGTATCAATATTTTTTTCTGAAACGAAATTGGTCAACCCCCTCCCACCCCATAACGAAATTATTTCGTTCCGTGACAAAAGTAGTTATGGACGATCCCCAAGCGTGAATCTAAACTACAGGCATGCTTCTGTTTACAAGTTGGTTTCTTGGTGTGAATATAAACGGTAACTGCATGCACGTGACAAAATAATTGAAAAACAATCATCCGAGTGCTTTTTCATTTGATTTTGCCCGTATTTCTTCTGATTACAACGCACGACACCGAGTACTAGTGAAAACTTTTAAAATGTTCAAGAGCCTGAAGTGCGTCCTACTTCTAAGCATTCTTGTCTCCAAGAAAATTGTTTGCTTACCGTAAAGTCTTGTTTAAAAGCCGCGGCTTCTATGACTTTCTTTGTGAAATTTTGCAGGCTTCTACAGTTGCGCTCGGTGAAATCCAACCCAGAGTGCACATTTGGCACCCTCAATCTGCACGGCCCTTGACACCCTGGAATTCCCGGAAGTGGTAGTAGGGAGGTTTAGTCCCACGTAATCCGTGGGTACTTTACGTGGGTGTACCACGTGATACTCAGTGACCCACGAACAGACGTTTTCTGATTCACGACATACCGTGTATGGAGGCTCACCCACGTTCCGCCAGAACGTGGGTGAAAATCAGAATGGAGCGCATTGTGCGAGCTGTGAGGGTGCTCAGCTGAAGAAGTTTCCAAAGCACGAAATCAAAATATTGGATGAGCTTCTTAGGCCGGGGTAGCTTCGTCTTTGACCAGGTTTTGGCCTTTAGCTTCATGCTTTTGTTTGTTCCGTGTGACTAAACACAACATTGCAACGTGGGTGCCCTTCATCCACTTTACGTGGATCACCCACGTACGCGTTTCCGTTACGTGAGAACTAAACCTCCCTACTAATGTGGCTGGACGTACACATGTACAAACACAATGATGTAATCGCAACTGGTACAGGGCGCCAGTTTTGCACTGTGGGTCAGATTTCATCGAGCACAACTGTATACGAGACAGGCTTCTATCTCCTAATTTGCTAAATCCTACTCGAGTATATACAGGATTTTGGTCATATTTTTCAACTCAAAATGGGCGTGGCACGAGCATAGGGAAACGTATGTGACCAATTCTTCCGTGTTAGGTCTTAAGCGGGATTCACAGAAGCTTTTTTTGCGATGCGAACTTGCGAAATACCATTCACAGAAGAAGTCAGTGATGCGACAACACACAAAGGTTCAAGAGTTGCCTATAAATTTGTACAAGTTGTATCAAACCGCGCGAACATCATATTGACGTACAGTAGAGTCGCGCGCCCAAGAACGTTGTTTCCAAGGGGTTAGCCTGGGACGTTCTTATTTTTCATGAAATCTGGCTACGTTCTTATAGCACGGTCTTAGAAACAATCCGTACTGGATCATATGTATCCCACAAGATGCCAGAAAACCAACACCGCCGTTCTTAGCTGTAGGCTGTTGCGTTCTTAGCATTTCAGGCTGGACGTTCTTGGGCTCCACGTTCTTCAGCGCGCGACTCTCCTGTAGCCAAAATCAGCAAGATGTTGTCGCATCACTGACTTCTTCTGTGAATGGTATTTCGCGAGTTTGCATCGCAAGCGTCCGTCGCATTGCAAAAAAGCTTCTGTGAATCCCGCTTTAGTCGATATAATAATAATATTCGCGGGATCCACGTCAGCATCCCTTGAATGTTCAGAAACACACAAACTAGCCTTCGCATCCTCAGGCCACCACTATGCTCGATATGGAGAGTTGAATAAGATATTTTTTCAAATAAGTTACTAAAGCGAGATTCATAGAAGCTTTTTTTGCGATGTGACGCGATCTGTGACGAAAGCGTGCGATGCGAACTCGCGAAACACCTGGTCCTGGACCAAGAGCACATAAGCAAAAGTGTGCAATTCAGACTTCCAAGTTTACCTGCTGTCCCAACAGAATTTAAAGTTGATCGACATTTTTATGATGCAATGCTGCTTGAACAAGTGATTTACGACATCAGAATGGGGTTCAGTTTGCACAGGATCAAATGGGGCTCCGCCCACGACAGGTTCAGGATACGTCTGACAAAACGTTTACAACAAGCAATAAATCATAAAAATGATGTCAACTAATTACTTGAAAATCTGTGGAGACAGCTCCTGGGTACCCAGACAGGTTGCTCACTCTTGGGAGGTCATATACTCGCCGAGTCTCTGCCCTTAGATCGACTACGGTTTTATAACGCATTACGTAGTGTGGGATTGTTAGAGACAATCCAGCTCATTCCATTCATGGATCACACATACGCTATCGCACTACTCCATGCAAGACCACATAAACACACAACAAAGAACAACAGAATTGACTGCACCGAAAAGACACTTATGCCACGAGGACACAAGCACCACCAGCTGACTTTATTTTTTGCTCAGCCTGCTGGGAGAAGAATTTGGCTTTGACGATAACCGGCTGCTTGGGAAGGAAGCCCTTGCCAAGAACCTTGTAGTAACCCTGCATCAAAAAAAGAAGCAGAAAACACCACCTTAGGAACACAAGTAATGGCGCGAAGTACGGAGAATAATCATAAACAATGGTGAAACCAATTTGATACATCTGCACACAAAATTAATGTAACGGGTCAGTGGAAACCTACGGGGCATACACAACACAGGCGAAAACTGGACCGAAAGGTCTCCTCTGTGACCCCAACAACAAAATCGTGTATCCACTACCTACTGGGCATTGGTGTCAGTGGATGTACTGGCAACTACCATGGATGGGCATAACTTAACAGGGAGTATGAACGGCATCTTGTTCAATCAGCACAGGCAAAGAAATGCACCCGATACAACAAAGACAAGAGTGCATAATCTGGAGTGTGCAACATTCATCTAGAGGAATGGTGGAATCGGCCAAGATGTACGTTTAGAATTGGATCATCTTTGGCGGATGTATGATCAAATGTGAGCAAGTTTAATGGTCATCACGTTGATATGGTGCCAGCTCTTCATATCAGGATGCATGTATCTGGTCGAACTTATAGCGGCAACTTACAAGTTGTTCACACATGTGAACTCAGCAAAAATGGCACCAGGAAGCAACATTTTCTGACAAGACTGATTGCAAAATAAACCACACTGCAGACAGAGTAATTGCTGGGTTGGACACTCCTTGACAAGTACTCTTGCTAAAGCACATCAGCAGTGTTACTCCATTGATATAATCAAACTTACAGCACGGACAACGTCAATTACTGGGACCTTGCTGTCAGCCTTGGCATCAGCATACTTCGTGCGGGTCTGGTCAGACACCAAGGACCACAGACGCTCAATGTTGACGGAGGGACGGTAAGAGCGCTGGTTGGTTACGTGGAACTGGCGCATACCAACCTTACCGAAGTATCCAGGATGGCTGGACAGAAACAAAGCAAAACAAGGCCATACCCATTAAGCCAGGAAACGGTAGAAAGGTACATGAAGTAACAAAAACACCAAACAGGCAGGGCAAATGAGAAACTAAGCAGCATGTCAATCTTTCCTAAATGAGGCAAGTTACCCATTTATACATGGGATAATGCTAAAAACTGAGCGAAACCTTGAACCAATGTGAAATAAAGTCTGCCGAAACGGACTTTGCTTCTTTGATTTTCGCACGAGCTGATTGTTTAGTAATTGGAAGTGTTAGTGGACATTGTAGCGCAACTTGTAGTTTCTTAGTCCTTTTTCTTTACTACTTCAAGAACTACGAGTATTCAAAGGATTCAGAACAAGAAAAGCTGCTGCAGTAGTACCAATTAATTACTGCAAATACCACTCACTCGATTAGAACCCGGGGCTTCTATTGTTCAAATGCCAATTTTGAGGATACCGTAAAAAACCATGGTTCATGTGAGACTACTATTCATGGAAACTCTGGCACCGAGTTAGTTCGCACACTGCGTCGACTTGGACATGCACTAGTATGATGCTTTGCACGCCCTTGACATGGTCACCCCTTGCTTCACGAATAGTAGTCCGGGCTTCAAATCAAGAGGGGCTATGGGGCTATTATTCAAGAGGGGGGCTTCTAATCAAGCGAGTACGGTATATCAGCAATAAAAAAGGCACTCTGGCATTTCAGACACAACATACAGGCAGTATGTCCTCTGGAGCAAGTCAATGCAGGATTATACGACACACAAGATAGGACGGCTTGCTAGTGATCGTGCATAAAGCACAATAGGTCCTGTGTGATTGTGTGCATGTATGAAAGTACATATTACAATTATTACATTTTTGAGTATTTAAATGTGCAGGTGCATGCATCTATAATGTCTTAGTGCACATCTCATGATCTTCGTTGAGACCAAACCATTCTCATGTAAAGTTCAAAAACACTGCAACCTTTCTAGACTCACTTAGAGCGATACGTGCACTTGCGGTCATACCAAACTCTCACTGAAGAAGATTGACAATGGTCCCTGAAAAATATACAAAATGTTTCTTATTGTCATTCAAAATTGACGATTTTCACTCACTATTTGTCGAAGTTAATTCTGTGGTGATGTTGACCACCAGCATTTCCGCGACCTCCAGAGTGCTTGCGGTGTTTGCCTACAAGTACACGGATAAGTAGAGACGAACTCAAGTAATCCATGGCAGGTGCTGTAACAATTTTGCGAAATTCTACATACCAACACGGCCATGACCAGCCGAAACGTGGCCACGAAGCTTTCTAGTCTTCTTTAAACGGGCAGTCTGTACGACGGAAACACGAAAAGGATTCGTTCCATGAAGTCATGATGAAGGATGGCTAGGGAGGGATAGGATTCGAATACAAAAACTAACCATCTTCTCTGGAGGGAGCTATCGACAAGAGGAAGGGACGCATGCGCAAACTGCGCCTAAATGGTCGTCAAAAAGCAACAAAAAAAAACTGCAAGGAGAGTTTCGCGATTTTTGATTTTTGATGTCTCATACTAGCACTTAAGTCTTTGGTCGCGCGCCGCGACTTCACGACATACATGTACACGTGAAAAAACGCAAGCCTCCGCGTTAAAAAACGCTGTACATGTAGTAGTACTAGTACTACTACAGTACGCACGGTACGCATATGGAGCTGTACGCCCGTACTGGGTCACATTTTCATCACCATGACTCGACTCATGAGGCATCACCATGCATGCATGCAGACTGTTTTGTCGTGTAGATCTACGTGTGCACATGTGTGTCTGTCTGTGTGACTGTGTGACTCTGTCTGTGAGTGTGATGTGTTGTGAGTGTGATCGACAATCATGAGAATAGCACAAACTTCTGGCCAGAAGTAAAAGAGTTTTGTTTTCAATGTGGAGTTTGTCAGCTGTTTGAGGCAAACCAGACAGTCCGCTTTGAACAAGTGAAAGGCCTCAGCAGGGCGAATGTAATCCTCATGCTCCTAACTTACTTTGGGCGCTTCAATGCCTTCATCTAATCAAGTCACAAGCCCACCTGGGAGGATTACAGCTATCTGGGTGTTGCAAGTAGCTAGTATTCCACCACAGTTTCGGGAAAGAAAGGCTTTGCACCTGTGCCATTTAGTTTCTAGCTATGGCCTTCTTTGACGATCCAGAATGGATGTTGCTGCATATACGGCACTGCAGTGTTGTGGCGGATGACACTGGTAAGTCATGACAAATGTTTTGTAAAGTTCGTATGGACCGACCATTTCAAGTGAATGAAATGAGTACACGGCCCACCCGCAAGGTTGTACCACTACTACTAGTATACTCAAACACTTCATTTCTGTAGGACTGTACATAATCACACCAAGAGTAAATAAGCTCCCAGGGAGCTCATAGAGTCATACACTCTTGATCACACGTATTTTGTGAACTACAGAGCAAATTAATATTATTATTATGGTGAGGTCATTCATTCTGCTGAAAAAACAACCAGAGTGCTAGGGGTGTCATCGATTGGTGAATCTGTATTGAGTGCAGGCAGGCGGTGTGGTCCGAGCAACGCTGGCCCAATCGAACAAAACAAGGGTATAGTACGCAAAATGTACGCATGTCGTACAAAGATTCTGTGAAAGCTGTCCAAAAACGGCAAAGCCCATTTCCACTCCAGCCACTCCCGGTGTGGGGGCCGGTGTGGTCGGATTCCACTCCAAGTACCGGATTCGATTGGATTCGCCCAAACGATCACGCTCACTCGGAGCGCACTTGCTCGGGATTCGCCCAATCGATCATGCCCTAGGCAAACCGAAAAAAGTGATGCACATAGGCCTATCCTGGCAATCTTCTCCACTGTCAATACAGTCAGACCTCGCATAACCGCACACATCAGTTTTCCACAAAAATATCCGGATAGGCGAGGAAACTGGATAACCGAACACACATACTGCACGTATTCATGGCATATGCTGTAAATTGGTAACTAACGCTTTTCTTCCGGATGGCGAGGGATCCGGATAAAAGAGGACCGGATAAGCGAGGTCTGACTGTACCCGTTATGCTATTGCTAAGGGACACTTGCTTGCTAGACCAATCATCTCTATACAGAAAGATGGCCATGCACCACACAAGTTGAAGGTGCGGCTAATGGAGGCCCTTCTATGACCAGTCATAATGTATGGTGTGGATTCAGGAAGGGTGGACACTGAGGAAAGCAGATGAGAAAGCGTATCCAGTCGGCTGAGATGCGGTTACTGTATATCGCAGGTTGCGAGTGTTCAGGGTTGGGACGATGAGACTAAACGCATGAAGCATCTGCCCTTGTGTGGACTGAGCATGGACCTGAGGAGAGTTTAGGGCAATGGTGCGTGTTCGAAATTATGTCATCGGTGTGACCGTTGGGCTGCTGGGGGTACATTGTACACAGTGCCGACTTTCACTGTACCGCAGGAAGCAGAACGTGAAGTGGTTTGTAGCTTTTGAGTGTTGTTGTTGATTTGCTTGTGCCAGGCCACCACCATGGCTGAGATGCCACGGTGGCAGATGCACACAACGTATAGCCAGCTGTAACTCGGACATGCAAACTTTATTTTTGTTGTTGTTTTGCTTTCTAAGAGTTGAGTTTGAGAAAGGGTGAAGTCTTGTGCTGACTTTGGCTGTAAATGTACTGTACTAACAATAGTAGAAATTCGGCCAACGAAGGAATAAAATTCCATTGTCTGCCTCTTTCGAATGGACATCTGTTGAAGCAGTGGCTTGCCAATTGAAAAATTGACAGTATTCCTGTCAATAAACATACTTGAATTTGTTTAGTACGCTTTGAACGTTGCCAACGCAAAGGGCAGAATGAGGTCCCCCTATTTTTTTCCTGTGAAGCTAAAGACACCCGCGCAGCATTCAACAACCAGTGTCTTGGATGACAAGAAATGTCGAGAAGTTCTCTCTTCATCTTCGTCTTCAAGCGATGAGGAAAGTCATGAAACGATGGCTCGTGTCGATCAATCTACAGGCTGCCAGCGCAGATCACCAGTCCCTGTCTGTACTCTAGTCTGCTGCCTAGCCCACAACACACCTACAGCGCGCCTACATACAGTGCGAAGTAGAAAGTGAATTCGAAAATTTGAAAGTTCAAACTCGCAGGGAGCGAAACGAAATTTCGTTGATTTGGAGTTTTTCGAAATATTTCGAATATTCGAGTATTCGTTTCAACACTAATAATTATCATTGTTTTTGTGTTATTGTTGTTTTTTGGGGGGGGGGGGGGGGGGGGGTGGTGCTGTACTCGTCAATGTGTTTGCTTTGTCCATTGAACTATAGACACTATCCACTAGTTTGCACTTTGACAAGCAAGCATGTCCACACGGTCAAGAGTGGTGGATACGTGTGAAAGTACTTCAGAGACTACCTCCGCAGCCTTCCATGCATGAACTGGCATGTCGTGCATATAAGGTCGTATTCTCAGCATGTGGAAGACGGACGGTGGCCCTCACGGGGAGGCGGCGTACGATTTACTTTATTATGAAAGAACATGCCGGTAGATCCCAGTATACACCCCCTGCGTAACCCACGGTACACTTGTATTCTGTGTACTGTGTATGGGTATTGCAACGACTATGAGCAGTTTGCGACCCGTTTGGTATGACAGAAATCAGCTGCGAACTGCATCGTGGAAGCTTAGGTGTTCCTGGAGGTTACTTCTAACTCTGCCTTTTTTCCTATTTTTCTATTGTGTGGTTTTTGCAGGCATGTCAGAGCTAGTGATAACAAATGATAGTCGCGCCGAACACGATGTGAGAATGAATACACGCACTCTCGGCAGTAGCATGTAAGTATGACTTGTGTGCATGCATGGTGTGTCTGGTCGGCTTTTTAAACGGCTGCCTACAAAGTGTGATGTCAGGTTACTGACGGCTGCGTAGCAACTGGGTGCAATCAACCATAGCGTCCGTCTAGCACATGGTGTTTAGCAGTGAACATTTCAAATGTTATAATGCACGGCAAGTGAAATCCTACACTCGCCATCGTGGACGACGCCGTTGTATTTATTCTAAACAAGTCGATAGGTCACAACTTAGGTATACATAGGGAATATGGTACGGTACGGGAGGTCCATTGTCAGCCAACCGGAACTCGTCGAGCTTGGATAGCGTTAGCCGATATCATCCCGGCTCACTTTTACCGTACCTACGTTGCACCCTGCATTGCCATGCACCCACACCCTCTCGATTGCGTGCACTGCATTTTGCAACTGATGCCCTTTCATACAGAGTTTGAGAAAGCCAGGGGCAAAACCATGCACTACACAACACTGCGAGATTTTGGCAGTACTTGTACGTGGTGCTCAGTTATTGAATGTCATAGGCGTATAAGCTGTCCATGTCCACACGAAGAAACCTAGCCTTTGTAAGCAAAAACAAATTGAATTCACGCTTTAAATAAGCTGTTTGGTAGGTTATCAACATCTCTGTAGCGCGAAGGCCTTCAGGCAGTCCAAGACCTTGCAAAGACGGAATGCTAGCCATCCCTGTTGTGATGTGTGTATAGTAGTGCTGGCCTGGCCTTCTGTAATTTTTTTCATCAGGTGGGTGTCTTTTGTGTCTAGGAGCTTGAACAGACCGAATGCCAGCCATCCCTGTTGTGGTACATGTGTATGTGTACAGTACAGGGATGAATTTACTGTCATATTTTTTGCATAGCAGTTTCTGCTTTTCAAAATCACAATTGTGTAGCAGTCTTTGATTTTTATTAGCATTTTTCTTTGAAGGTTGGGTGTTTACCACATTGTCCTTCTTGAGAGTGATGCCTGAAAGCCCGTTTGCAGAAAACGACCGAAGCATACAATCATGTACATGTGCATGCAGATTGAGAGTACCTGTACCACATACACTGCACAGCATTCATGTCACTTGACAGCGCAGGCTAAGCATGGATAGCCTGTATGTATCGCACTTTTCTGCGAGTCACGACTCACGGTGACTTTTGATTAGCAGTAGATCGATTTTTGCATCGCAAACTGCGATGCGATACAGGATAAATTCATCCCTGCAGTAGTAGTGGTACTGTTCTGGTCTTCTGTGGTACAGTGTACTTATTGTCTTTCTCAGGTGTCTTTGGTGTAATTATGTTCAGCACTGCTCTTTCTGCCTCCGTTTTTTTGTTTTGTTTTCTAGTGTTACTACCGGCGAGCAAGTCGCTGCTGCGGCTGCAGCGCAAGCACAGGCTGAGTTTGACGCTGATGTTCCACAGACACCTGCCATCCAGTACCAGCCGACCGTCAAGCACACTGATCGGAACAAAAAGTAGGTTCTGGCGTGCCTGATATCACACTCTGCGGTGGATATGATGACATTGACTTTACAACAGCGTAGTGTGGGGTACTTGTCGCATCTGCTATGGCAGACGTTTCTGTACTTTGAAGTTGAGACTGGGCCCAAAACACGTGTGTGCATTGCCATGACAATCTACTCTCCGCAATGTGCATTCTGTCCTGGGTACACAATTGTATGACCTGCGCTGCTTGTGTATGTGACTTATCCCGAGTATCAGAACCTGAGCATTTAGGACTGCGGCTCATTCTTGGCCAATCTGTTGACTTCCACCATGTTTGTTATTTGGCTTCTGATCATAGTTCAAGGAATAGTTGGAGTTGGAATGTTATTGCGTACACTGGCTGGATTTCACTTGCAGTTTTGGATGGGGCATTCTTGAAGTCTTGTACCACTAGCTGTGTGACTCAATACGGCTAGTGTTTCCCTTCGTCCTGTGCTGCTGCTGCTGCTGCTGCTGCTGCTGCTGCTGCTGCTGCACACTATACATCCGGTAACACTAGTAGTTACGTTTTCTTCTGTATGTGATTTCCAGGGGCAAGGCGCAGATCAAGACCATCAAGTGGAAAGATGTGCCCACTCCTCCGCTTGGTAGGTTGTCGCTGCAGCAATCGTATAGACTGGCATGATGCTGTGTACCGCAGCGCTCGCAGAGTCCTAGTACATGGCCCGTAACATAGAGGACGTAGATTAGAAATTCTTATGAAACACTATGTGACGCAGTGGCATACTTTGCAGGGTTGCGTTCTCTTGTTCCCACTAGGTTCCTGGCTCTTCTTTATTTGGTGTCTTCTGTTGTTTTCCTGTACAGGAGAGGAGTCTCCGTTTGTGAAGAAAGACGTTGCGTCCCAGCAGGCTAAAAAGAAACGGAAATCGCTGTTGTCTATGCAGATGGAGTCAGTCACCAAGGTGCCATCGAATCCTTTCCATCACTTTGCGAAATGCGACGGCGAGGTACTGCCAGCCCTATTTAGGTTGTTTTCTCTCAGATCACACAACACACGTGCAGCGAAACGGATTCCTTTTGTTCGCTCTCACTGTCACTCTCTTTCTCTCTCCTCTCTTCTCTTCTCTTCCACATTGACCAATGACCGGCCAGCACGACATAACCACTGAAGCAAATTGCCCACGTTTTGAAACTTACGATGTGAAGTAACATAGAGAAGAACTCAATACATGCCCTAGTGTAGGGTGCGAATAATGTTCATTTTCTTTGGGTAATACTGTCCATCTTGAGTGTATTTTTTCTTCTCTTTTCTTGTTGATAGCTCCACCGTGGTGCCATCCCAACGCATAGTGTAGAGATTCACATTCCAATGTGCACGGTGAGTGGCTCAATTGTGCCTCGTCTGCATGCTTTGGCTGACTACCGGCATACTGTGTGACAGTGTGAGTGTATTGTACACCATGCTGGCTGTTGGAACCAAACCTCTGAACACTGTTGTTGAATACAGTGATTTCGGATTTGAGAAGTGTAAAGTGCAATGCTGGCTTAAGTATCTAGACAATCTGCATTTTGAGCCAAATCTTTGGGTTTTTTTTGTAGTTTGTTATTTTATGTTATATTGTATGCACCTCGCTTTGTTTTGCTTGTTTGCAGAATCGTACATCTCCTATTCCTATAACTGTGTTAGGTGAGTGGTTCCCTTTGTGATATGCAGACACTTCTCACACTGCAATCGTATATTTTTGTTTACCGGAGTATTGCTTCTGTGTGTGTGTGTGTGTGTGTGTGTGCGTGTGTGTGTGTGTGTGTGTGTGTGTGTGTGTGTGTGTGTGTGTGTGTGTGTGTGTTTGTTGACTGTCTTCTTGGGGGACAGTTTGAATTTTTCTAGCTCCGGAATTTTTCTATTTGCTGAGACTAGTTAGAGCCTCCGAAGCAGCGTAGGTACACTCAGGGCTCTCCTAGCTTGCTAGGAGAGCCCCTGGCGTGTCAAGTGTAGACCTTTTGAATTTAGGGCAGCGGATCCAACGACGTGACTTACAGGACAATTATTTGAATTTGATATTGTCACTGTCGCGTCGTCCGTAGTCCTCCATCCGCAGTGGGCTAGCTACCCCTCGGATGTGTAGAGTTTCAGCTTCAAAGCAGCCAGAGTTTGGAGGCACCCGTCGGAGGCGCCCAGCTGGTGCTCTTGTCAAATTTGCTTCGTGGAACGTCAGGACTTTAGTGAACATCGATGGCCCGGTTTCAACTGCTGCTCGTGGAAAGCGCGTCGTGGAAGACAAGAAAATCAACATCGTTGTCAGTGAACTTCGTCGGTACGAAATAGAAGTGGCTGGATTCCAGGAGTCGAAGTGGTTTGGTAAAGATATATTCCGTGTCGAGGATGCAATTGTTCTCACGTCAGGTCGCGCCATCCCAACGGACGATTTCAAACGAGGCGAAGGAGTTGGAGTCGTACTACGCGGACGCGCACAGCAAGCGTTCGTAGCAGGGGGAAATCAGTGGTCTGCTGTCTCATCGCGTGTCGCACGCTGCAAGCTAAAGTTCGGTGACATTTGGGTCCACGTCGTGGTGTGCTACGCACCGACTTTCCGGTCCAGTCGCGATGCAAAGAACGATTTCTTTGACTCTCTTCAGGAAGTTATTCTGTCCGTACCCACCCAGGACTCCTTGATAATCTTGGGAGACTTCAACGCTAGAGTTGGAGCTGAAATCTGTGACGATGGCTGGTATGGAACACGTGGCCCACATGGTGTTGGCACTGTCAATGAGGCTGGCGCTGAGCTTCTCCAGTTTTTAGCGTGCAACAGCCTTACTGTGTGCAACACCTGGTTCATGAAACGTAACATCCACAAGTGTACCTGGCAACATCCCCGCTCGAAGCGGTGGCACTGCATCGACTATGCAATGGTCCGGGAACAAGACCTGTCCAACTGCACGGATTGCCATGTCATCAGGGGAGCTGAGTGTAGTACAGATCACAACCTTGTGTGTCTCACATACCGCATCCGCTCATCTGCTTGCCACAAGCGTGCAAAAAGACCTGTCAAGTTTGATGTGCAACAACTTGTCAAACACTCCTGCATGACGGAAGCACAGAGAGCTGCAACCTGTAAAACTCGTGAGCAATATGCGACGTCTGTTGCGTCAGAGTTACGATCCTGGAATCATGATGGCTGCGTTGAGGACAAATGGTCTGCCGTCAAATCTGCTATCGTCACCAGCGCTGAGAAGCATCTTGGCCGTCCACGTCGTCGCCAGCCTGATTGGTTTGAAGCGTGTGCTGATGTTCTTGCACCTATGCTGGATAGCCGCAATGCCTTACATCGCAAATGGCTCGCCTCTGGTTCTGACGCTGACAGGCGTCGCTTTGTCGAGGCTCGTGGCAAGTGCAGAACTGCCGTGCGTAACGCAAAGAGTGAGTGGATTGGACGTAAAGCTAATGTGGTTGAGTCAAGTCGGTTTAGTGGCAAGCACGCATGGTCTGCAATCCGTGATATACAGAAGTGCTATTCGGGATTATCACCTATCTCCATCCCATCCATCCGTGACAGTGACGGAGTTATCTGTAGCTCCCAGGAGGGGCAAGAGAAATGCTGGCTGCAGCATTTTGCCCGTCTATTGAACGTTCGCAGCACCTTCGATGCTACCATCTTTGACCACATTGAGCAGCGTGAAGTTGATGAGTCACTCGGCCAACTTCCCTCGCTAGAGGACCTCACTATGGCTATACGCCAGCTGGCTAATTGCAAGGCTCCTGGCTCATCTGGAATTGCACCTGAACTGCTTAAAGCTGGTGATACACCATTGCTTGAGGCTCTGCTTGATGTTATTCACACTGCATGGACCAACGGAACGGTTCCCCAGGATTGGCGGGATGCCCAACTCGTCCCGATTCCCAAAAAGGGTGACTTGACCAACTGCAACAACTGGCGCGGCATTGCCCTCCTAGATGTCGCTGGCAAGGTTTGTGGCCGTCTCATTCAGGACCGTCTCCAACTTGTCGCGGAACAAGAACTTCCAGAATCCCAGTGTGGCTTTCGCCCTGGTCGCGGCTGCGCTGATGCCATCTTTTCCATTCGCCAGCTCATCGAGAAATCGTACGAGCACCGTCAGAAGCTGTTCTGTGTCTTCGTAGACCTGAAGAAAGCATATGATTCCGTACCACGCCAAGCACTCTGGCTAGCATTGGGGAGGCTAGGCATTCCTGAAGGGCTCCTCAATCTAATCCAATCGTTCCACGAGAGCATGCAGGCAGCTGTGCGCGTCGGTGCCAGCACTACCGAGCCGTTTGCGGTCAACAATGGCCTCCGTCAAGGCTGTGTGATGGCCCCAGTACTTTTTAATCTGTACTTCGGTGTTGTGCTTGAGCGGTGGGCACAAGTGATGCAGGACAGCGACCATCCACCTGGCATCCCCATCCAATTTAGCATCAATGGCAACCTTTTCTCAAAGCCCGCTCGCCAGTCTACTGCCGCAATCATCAACGACATTGAGTACGCAGATGACGCGGTCTTGCTCGCTGAAGACCGCCCTGGTGCTGAGAAGTGCCTTGAAACATTCTGCACGGTTGCCTCTTCCTTTGGCCTCTGCGTCAACGCTGCTAAAACGAAATTTCTCGTGGCAGGTAGCCAAGTCAACATGCCTGATAGAGCCGATATGAACGTCAACGGTGATACTGTGGAGCACGTTCCATCCTTCATTTATCTGGGGTCCGTCGTGACACCGGATGCCCGCTCCTCTACTGACGTCAGTCGCCGCATAGCTGAGGCTTCCAAAGCCTTTGGAGCTCTTCTTCCAGTCTTGTCGGATCGCTCGCTGTCATTAGTCAGTAAGCGAAAGCTATACGTGGCCTGTGTCTTGTCCATTTTGCTGTACGGCAGTGAGTGCTGGACGCCCTTGAAAGCTGATAGTAGACGTTTGGATGCCTTTCATCATCGCTGCATCCGCACAATATTAGCCATCCCTCGCAGTCAGCAGCAATCCGATCGCATCACGTCTGCGCAGTTACGTCGTCACTGGGGTGACCCAGTGCCACTCTCTGTTAAGATGCGCCATCGTCGTTTAGAGTGGCTTGGTCATGTGGCTCGGATGTCGGAGGACCGTGTCCCATTGCAGCTGTTGTTTGGTCGTTTGTTGGCTGCGCGCCCCTTCTGCGGTCCCAGGCGTAGGTGGAGAGACGTTGTGGCTACTGACACGAAGTCCATTCCAAACTGGTTTGATTGCGCACAAGACCGGTCAGCTTGGCGAGAGCAGGTTCTGGTTTTTCAGCCTCCTCGGGCAGTAGAGAAATCCGTACTCTGCTCATCTTGCAACCGGGCTTTCTCTCGTCCTCAAGACAAGGCACGGCACAAGTGTTTGGCTGAGCGCCAACTTCCCGTCCACCAACAGCGTGGTTCAGCACAGTGCGTCAGTTGCTGCCGATGGTTCCGTAGTAAGGGTGGGCTTGCAGTTCATCGCTGCCAGCCTGCACTCCCTGAACATGCAGATACGGCATTGACGGCGTCTCTCGCTAGTTGCTGCTTCCAGCATTGTCAACGCTGCAATCGCTGCTTCAAGTCCCGGGCTGGTTTTAACCGCCATAACTGCAACCGTGGAAAACGTCTTGCTGCAGCCGATAGGGAATCACTGCCGCTGATCTGCATGCATTGCCCGAAACGTTTCCGACGACAGCAAGATTTGACGAGGCACCAGAAGTCCTGCCAATGACGGTGCACTCCAAACTCTGGCCCCCTCCGGGGGTGACATTGCCCAATGGGCAGTCATGCTATAGTAGTAGTAGTAGTGTGTGTGTGTGTGTGTGTGTGTGTGTGTGTGTGTGTGTGTGTGTGTGTGTGGTGTGTATGTGTGCGTACGCGTTCATCGTGATGTGTTTGGTTTGGTTGCCCTCAACTCATGCACATCGTTTGCTTTCTCTGTGTGTTCTTCCCGCCTGTTCAGCATCATGTACAGTCCGTGATGCAATCGGCTTCATCATGTACAAGTACACTAGAGAAAGTCGAAAGCCTCTACTAAGGGTTAGTTTGCTGCTCTCTCCTACCTCTTCCATGCCTCAGCGTTCCGGAGGCCTGACGAAGCTTTCGGAATATATCCGTCTTGTAGTATGACATTTTTTCGGAGCACTCAGTCTCATGAAAGGTTTCACTCAAGGAATTTCTCCGATTCAAACAGTTTCCATGAGTCGATGGAAAGCTTTCCCATTTGATAGGCAGGTTTCTAACACCTACTTGAAGTGCTTACTCCGGCTTTGCTTCCAAACCGATGTGTTCTGCTTGTGTAGCAAACTAATAAGCAGTGGTGTGTGTCGAAGTCTAGCTTCGTATGGGAAACTGGCATCGTTTTCTGTGTCCTGCTTCCCATATACAATGTAACTATCGTGCACGTATGGAATAAGCTTTTTCTTCTTTGATTCTGCATCCAGGAGGATCTAAAAGCCTATTGCTTGCGAATATACGAAGATGGTGAAATTGACATGGAATTTCCACCGCTGGACTTGAAAGAGAACCTGGTGAAGTTTGACTTCGGTATGCTAGCGTTCACCGAAGCCAACTACCAGGCGGCAGCAAAGAAACCGACCCACGTGGTGACAGTGTAAGGAGCTTTTAAGTGTCTGTTGGCTTGCATACTAGTGCTCATCATTGTTCCTCTCTCTGGTTCTAAGTTAGATAGAACGTGACGCATTGTGGCGTGTGGATGGTTTACCACCTGGCATGCATTCCTTATCTCCTAAGCTACCCCCCCCCCCTCCCTCCCGGTGCGTCTTCCCAGTGTTGACTGCGAGACCCACGGTCGGACGAGCTGCCCAGGCCTCGCCACCACTGCCGTTTCGGTGCTGCCGTCTCTATACATTCGCATGTACAATGCATATGTGCACATTCACATGTCTGAAGGTTTGTGGTTTTCAATAAAAAAATAAAAATGATTCCCTACACCGGCAGACAGTACTGGCTACGGAATAGTTGGGCTGGCTAACTGGCTGATGCCGGGCGACTGATCGGCACACAGAGAGGCCGAGGTGTGGGGTGGTTGGGTTACCAATGCTGTTTGCGTAGCGTGTGTGTGTGTGTGTGGACGAGGACTCTACATCTTTCTGTTGGGTAAATTTTATTGAAATACCCAACGGAAAGATGTAGAGCTAAAATAGAGAAAAAGGTCTTCAATGCATGCCGTGTTTCTGACTTGTCTTAGCGACCTGGCGAGATGATTCGGAGGAATTCTCTTTTGGATTTCTTCTTGCTGTGTTCCTGTATCTGTTCTCTATTCTAAAATTGCTTGCTTCCTCCATTGTGTCGTGTTCAGGCAAATGCCAGGCAGCGGCTTCTCTCGAATCCAGGTGGAGAGCTCTGAGATTCTCATGAAGGACCTTCTGTCTCGAATTCTGAAGAAACGGAGAATTTTCAGGACAGGTTAGTTGCCCTCATCAGTGATTGTAGGAAGCAGATTGCATGTTTGTTGTATTCGGCATTTATCATTGCATTGCTTTTCTATCTGAATGTAATGGTGGGCCTGTGCCATTATGTACATATAGAGGAGACGGTTTCCAATAGGTTGCAAACCGCAACGGGCTCAATATTCACTTTCTATCTTGGTATTTTGATCAGAAAACATAATATTATGTCACAGTGAGACTACGATGTGTTTTACTCCGAGCCAAAATTTCATGGCTCTGCGATGACCAGAAGCGCGATACCAAGCAGGTGAGTTTTGACGTGTTGCTTCGCACTGCGAGTTTTTACGTCTTTCGAATAATCACCTTGTCGCAGGTAAACAGCGGCTCGCCTCTCGCCAATAAAGTACCGTATACCAATGAAAACTAATGGAAGCACAAACAAGGCTTATTGTTTCTCTGTGCTGGCCGTCGTGGAGCGATAGCAATTACCTAATTTCACAACTCAGGGTGAACTTTACGTGCACTCCAAAACTGTTCTGGTTTGGAGCAACCTCTGTGACACCAAAAGTTGGTTCTGCCCAATTTTGCTGTCAACCCGTTCCTATTTGAAACCGTCTCCTGTACAGGGACACAGTTCCGTATAACCTGCCCTTGACATAACATACTATGGGATCATACTGTTTTTGAGCACCATACATCTGTTTCGCTGACTTGAGTCCTTATAATAATATAGTTGTTTGTAGCATGTTCTTCAGCTCTACATGTACCTTGTTGTGTGTGTTTTTAAAGGCCATGAATATGTCCTGGAGCGACAAGGGCGGCCTGGCAAGCCGGTGAACGCGGATGCAACTCTGGCGAGTATGCGGACGTTTGAGTTCTGCTTGGTCAAGGAGAACAGTAAGTTGAACAGCCTCACTGGGCCGTGTATGTGCTTGTAGGCCACAACGCTCACCTAGATGCAACCATTTAGTTCCTACATGCTGCTCGGCATTGAAGCCCTTCGAAGCACTTGCACTTTGGTACAGCTCTGCTTCTTGACCTAGCTAGTCAACCTGCCAGATACCATCTTGCACCAGATGAAGAGATGTCTCCGCATGTCTGGCCTCACTTCATGCCAACCACATCAGTGGAGCTGTAACACTGAACTGGTGCACTGAACTGGTACGGTTTGGCTTGAAGACACGTTGATAACCGGATATGCCTGTAACACTTCACTTTGATTTCAGAAAGCGATGCATTTTATTTAAGTGGTCTTTGTAAAAATAAAAAATAAAAATTCGCCGCAGATGCCAATCGAAAACAATTCAGCCCCATCGTCCGAGTGCGCTGTGTATTATTAGCCCATGTCATGACCTGTGGGCCACCTCCGCTGGCACTACCTTTGTCTGTAGTCCTGTGTTCGTGCATGATTTGTGTGCCTGTGTCTTTGTGTGCCGTTGCTGTGCAGGCCTGCAAGTACGGGACTCGGGAAGCTCACCGCAGAAAGAGGCCGTTGATGAGACCCTGACCAGTCACATCTACCAGGTACGCTCAGCCTTGAGAATAACGGCCCTCGATCATGCTTGCGAAAAGTGCTGTTATTCGCGAGTTGTCGCTATTCTTGAAGTGGACAGTATGCAGTGAAATGGTCACTAGGTCGCTAGATTGTGTCGTTACTCGCAAGAAGTTGTTATATAGGAAAGGTGTTGGCTCCCCACATCCGAGCTCGCGCTTTTTCGCCGACTGGGTGGGGAGTAAATACCTTTCCTATGTAATCATCGACGAAGTCGCTACCACTACTAGCATCTCGTTTTAGTTTTTATATCCCAGGTTTTATTCAGGAGGTTGACTGTACATACATATCAGCATGTCTCTTTTTAAAAGCGGGCTCCACAGAGGCATTGCTGTGATGTGCGACGCGATCTGCGATGTCACCTTACTAATTTGCGTCTAAGTGTTGTTCTAAAGAGTTTCGACTGTATGTACCCATGATGGCAAAAGTGTCCGGATTGAATTATCCAGACTAAAGAGTTTTCCAGATATGCATTGTCCAGGCTCCTTGGCCAAAGGTGTCCGGGTAGGTGAATTTCGATTGTACTGGTACCGGTGATTTCTAGAATGCACTGCACAGTGTAACGGCGCTGATCTATGCCTGCCCGGGTAGTCTGCACATGTACATGTATGTGGCAATTTAGGTAACAGCCATTCTGCAGAAGATGATTTTCATCTAGGATGCTTTGTGATGTTTGGTGTGACTGCCCCTGTAGACGTATCAAGTAACGCTCTTGCATCGTCTTCGCGCCAACACCGATGTTCAGCTCGGTAAGCTAACGAAGCATATTGTGTATAGAACCCAACTAGTTTCAAAGCCTTTAAAGGGGCACTCCGGGAATTTTTTCGGTGGTGTGTTCTCTTCATGGGGGCCTTATATGGCCCCCAAGGAATGGGGAATCGCGAAAACTAGACCCAAAAAGTCGATATATGAAGCCAGGGAGGGCCAAGTTTGTCTCCTCTTTTGATGGTTTTGATGACGTCACGTGTGATTAGTATTCAAATTCTCTGCATTTGAAGATCTTAGTTGTTTGAATTTTCTGGTGATGAAGAACGATGTTTGGTCAACATTCCCAATCTTCACAACTGCGATTATACTCTAAGGAACCTGAAGGACCTCCTGAGGTGCCCCTGGTAGAAGCGCAGCCTGATGAGGGCCAGGAAATTGGAGCGGACGACTTCACTGGTCGACAAGGAAATACCGATTGGTGTTCCTGCCAGAAATGTGGGGTGATGCAGAGGGCAGTCGATTACCTTCGCTGTCGAGAGAGCGCTGCAGCTGTTAGCATTGACAGCCCTTTGACATGCGTTACACATCCCCCCGACTTCGCGTCAGCTTGTCTAAACAAAACTGTTCTGACCATATGCCTCACGGCGTATAGAGAATTTCGGGATCCTCGTACACGGACCAGTGAAGTCGTCCGCTCCAATCTCCTGGCCCTCATCAGGCTGCGCTTCTACCAGGGGCACCTCAGGGGGTCCTTCAGGTTCCTTAGAGTATGTCCGCAGTTGTGAAGCTTGGGAATGTCGACCAAACATCGTTCTTCATCACCAGAAAATTCAAACAACTAAGATCTTCAAATGCAGAGAATTTGAATACTAATCACCAAAACCATCAAAAGAGGAGACAAACTTGGCCCTCCCTGGCTTCATATCGACTTTTTGGGTCTAGTTTTTGCGACTCCCCATTCCTTGGGGGCCATATAAGGCCCCATGAAGAGAACACACCACCGGAAAAATTCCCGGAGTGCCCCTTTAAATCATCATTCCAGGGTATGAGTGTTCATACGGCTGGTCTTTCGGCCGTCTAGTGTTATAAGTGAATGTGGCAGGTTCAGAGGGCTTTCCTTCCACTCTGGATGACCCTGAATCGAGCAAAGCCCAAGCTTCTAATCACCCACCTTCGTAGAACTTTTTCATTCTGGAAATTATGCCAGTCTGGGTGCTTCCGCATTTGCTTGCTTGGATTATTTGAAATATGTCCCCATCTGGTTGACATAACAGATGAAACGTTTTACTTGAAGTATGTACTTCTATTATTTTATTTCACCTGTTCGGGCGAGCTTTCTAATTTTGTTTCTTGCTTCACTTTTGGCCACAGGTATCTCTGGCAAGCGGCTGGAAGTCGACCCGGTGACTAGAAGATCGGCATTGTTCTCTTCCAAGGAAAAGCCGGTAAATGCTGGTGCACTGACTTGATTGCCCAATGTTATGCCATGGTATATGCAAGCCTTACCTGATAGGTTTAACATGATTTCCCGATGACAGCGTGAGCGAGGCGGAGGGCCCACTGGAAGGGAAACAGTGTTCCTGACTGCAACCATAAACCGGCTGGTGGAGTCTTGGTCTATAGCCCCATATGGTTCAAATGGTCCCAAGACCGAGACTCGACCAGCCGGCTTATGGTTGCAGTCAGGAACACTGTTTCCCTTACAGTGGGTCTTCCGCCCTGCTCACGCTGTCATCGGGGAAATCATGTGCATTACCATATAGCGCACAGTGACATCACCACAGTGCAATGTATGATCCTGTCAAGTCAACTGTGACATCAGAGTTTGTAGGACTGCACCTAAAGATGGTCGGTATTCGGTAGAAAACCAAGCACATGGTACACTGCACAATGGGTAATTGATGCCCTTTTTCAGCAGGGTGTTAAGGGGACAGGAATTGGATCAAGGCTGTCAAGTGCGGTACGGTGCACAACAGCGCGGAAGATCAGACTTGCCGTGCTGGGTTTGTGCTAATTTTCTTCCATCGACATGCCTGCACTAGCAGGTACTGTGTACGGGCAGTACATGCATTGGTTCACACCGTACCGTAAAAGCCCCTGTATACGCCCACTCGGAATTACGCCCACCCTCCGTGTACACGCCCAGTCAGGGGAAGTCAACACTTTTGTTTCAAAATAGCGCCCATGCCCATGTATACGCCCAGGTATGCCGGAAACACCAGTCCATGTACAGGTACTGATACCCAATACTTACTGCTACCCCTATTCCAAGTATACAGTAAGATCGGGCGCCGAAGAACACCTCGCCGAAGAACACCCAGGCTGGAAAACCGGCAAAATTTAAGAACAGTCCAGGCTAGAATTATCAGATTTTAAGAACACTTTTTAAAATTTGGAATTTCCACATGAGTGCAGTATTTAACTGATCGGCTTTGAGCTCGCCACAACACCTGTACATAATAATAATAATAATAATAGTAATAGCACATGCACAGTATTACAGGTGAGTACATGTCATGTACTCGTGTAAACAGTAACTGCTACATGTACAGTCATTCCCATTTACGACACCCACAGGTGACCCACTAGGTTAGAAGTACTACAGTTGTGGCAAGTGAAATCCGACACTTGGCATAAGGGACTGCACCGTGCATCCTGCAGCCTCTGCAGCCCTGCATACGTACAGTACATGTGCTGCATACAACTAATTACTTTATCTGATGACAGTACTCATCACAGTCAAGGTTCAAAAGGTGCTGGCAAAAATGAATGGGAATTGGATACCAATACTCCTTATGTGTACTTTGTTTGTGAACTGTGTGTATCTAAGCTGTGACCTTTCGACCTGTTTGGGATGCATACGGCTCTATAGTACAAATTAGGTGCAGTGCATTACATCATTGATGTCCATTTGAGGCGCTGTCCCCTATGGCAAGTGTCGGATTTCACTTGCCACAACTGTACATTGCACTACATCATAGTACATGTACAGTCATGTACAGCCATGACGTTTGTCATGTACATGTACATGACAAACGTCATGGCGTCACTCGACTCGCCGCGCGCGTGTGAATAAGAACGGTCTGGCTAGAATCAAAAATTTAAGAACTTTCCTAGGCTGCGCTCGAGCCCCTGCGTTCTTCGGCGCCCGATCTTACTGTACACCCGGTTCCAAAATAACGCCCGTGCCCTTGTATACGCCCAGGAAATCGAGGCTGCTATTCTATACGCCCGGGGCCTATACACGGGCTTTTACGTATTTCAACGTATACGCTCAAGTTGCTTCACAGGTAGAAATTCGACAAGGGTCGGAAGTTCGATCTGGGTCGGCTCAACGGTACTTTACGGTACTGATGTTACTCCCAGTGCACTGTCATGTAAGCCCATCCAGAGCACTGTCCAGGTGTCCAGGGTGGACTCCATCACAAAGTAAAACAGGGCCCTGGGATAGGTTACTTGCACAGCGTCACAATGTGTGTGTGTGTGTACGTGTGTGCGTGTGTGTGCGTGTGTGTGTGTGTGTGTGTGTATGTGTGTGTTTACTGTGTTTACTGTGTTGCTTTCTACTTTCCTACTGTCAGTTGTCCTATGACATGGCATCCATTGTTTACTGTGAGCTACAAGAGGAGAAGGGCAATGGCCGAGCCACGTTCAAAGTTCTGCATGACACCGGCAACGACTTCAAAACACACGAGTTTGAAGCGGACACGGATATTGCAAGTAAGTTCTTACTGTTTTGTGTAGACGCTTTTTTCTGCTTTACCATGTTAACTCAAAGCCCGTCTTGAATTGAATCCACTCACTCAACTTTTACCTTGAATTGCACCTCACTTTGGTTTAAATTTGCATCAGTGTAACGTTGCCCACAGCTCATGATTATAGAGGAATTCCCGGTCATCAAATCACACATCACGCATTGAATGCAAATTTGCCGTGATCAAATTACTAGCGCCATAACTCAAGAACCGCTTATTGTATCGCTTTGGCGATTGTTCGTGACGACAGCTGAGCGTTTTCTTTTCGACCTGCATATTTCGATCTCTTTAGATGACCTTGGGTTGACCAAGTTCAAGGTAAACAGTCAGGGAAATGATCTGTTTACTTTGACTTTGAAATTTCTCCCATTCCCGTATGAAATTGATCATGTGACGATAGCTTTGAAACCTTGAATCTGTCGATATGTATCATCAGACAGTAAGGGTTTTATTTTTAAATTTTTCAGCACTTGCCATTGCATCACAACCCTTACTTTGTCGTCTCTTGCCCTCTTTCTCTGCAGAGGAAATTGTTCGGAAGGTAACGTTTATACTGGAGTCCAGCATGAGAACAGAACGCCACAGGGAAGTAATCGAAAGCCAGAAGACCAAAAAGAAAGTTGCCACTGGCTAGTTGAGAGTGGAGCTCCATTGGCTCACCAAAGATGTCTCTGTGCATGTGCACCGCAATGAAGAGTTTTCTTGCTCTTGGATGCCCCCTAGCTCTGCCGCATTCAATCACCAACCGTGGAAGATTAGCGGCCGATTTTGTAGCCAAACCTCCCTATGACCTTGTGATCCCATGTACTGGAGTATTGTCAATACCAAGATGATCTTAGCAGGCAATGCAGAAGCTACCCTGAATCGCACAGCCAACTAATGTGGCTGTGTGCAGGAACATGCTTCTGTAGACAAGTCAAATTAGCCCTGTCTTGTCGCTGTCCATTTCCCCCAATTGTGTAGATGTGTTCAGTAGGTTTAGTGGTGGGTTGGAATATTGCTGATCGTGCCTTGAGCTTGTCAACCCAGTGCTCACGTATTTTACTTTCACATATTTCTGTCACCGTTTCTGTGTGTGGACTTGTAGGACAACGCGTATGCCTTTTCTCGCAGGTCAGTTATTCTACTCCTCCCTACCTTCCCCTCCTCCCCCCTCCCCCCCCTCTCTCTCTCTCTCTCTCTCTCTCTTCTCTCTCTCTCTCTCTCTCTCTCTCTCTCTCTCTCTCTCTCTCTCTCTCTCTCTCTCTCTCTCTCTCTCTCTCTCTCTCTCTCTCTGCCATTATGGATTTAGGCATTTTCTTCCCTTGACTGACCACTGCATACTGTGAACAGAGTTTTAACAGTTTAACCCCCAGCAGCTGTTTATGCTTTTTTCCGGTCTCGTCCTCTTTGCATCCTTCGGAAGCTCAGCCTTTCAAGTGTGGTTACGTGTAGATAGGAATGGTAGGCATTGACAGCAACGCTTCCTCCTCCCCTCCCCCCCCCCCCCCCTTCCCTTCCCTGACCCATTCCAATGTCTTGGTGTTGTTTTACACATGACTGTGTTCCTTTTATTCTTTTTCTTCCTTTGTTTGATCTATGTGTGCTGCACCGCCCCCTTGCTGCTGAATATGATGTGGCATGTATATGTCTGTCTCTGTTGCTTTCTTGATTCTCGAGGCACCCCCATTTTTTGACTATCACAGAAATCATATTCGTCCCTATCGCATCAATGTGTACATGTACCTGACCGCATCACTACTTTGAAGTACTTGAACGGATTCATCATGCTGTTTCCCTGAAAGAGCAAACATTGGCACTGTGTGTGTGTGTGTGTGTGTGCGCGCGCGTGTGTGTGTGTGTGTGTGTGTGCACGCGTGTGTGTGTGTGTCCGGAGTCACTTTGGCTTAGCTATGCATCGTTGCTCCACCTGTGTCGCAAGTAGTTCCTGCCCAGCAGTGGTTGCGACATCAGCTGCTCTTGCCACCACCACTCTCAGCACCAGTAGAAATTGCTGCAGTGCTCATATTGACAGTTGCAACCAATGTTTCCGCTCCACCGAAGGCCCCAAACGTCATCGCTACTCCAAGCACTGTTTCTGTCCCTCAGCATGAGAACGTGACAAATTTGCACGTTTGGAGCTCTACCAGGTGGTGTGCTTCTTCTCTCCCTCTGCTGGCCATCCGCCGAGCCCACGTGGCAGCCGTGGTGGTGTATGTGTGTGTTGTGTGTGTGTGTGTGTGTGTATGTGTTGTTTGGGGAGCTTGATGCAACCAAACCACGGCCGCATCATGGCCGAAGAAGCGTTGGCGAGACACTATTGTCAGTGTCGGATTTGCGTTCACTGGGTATTCCAGAGTCCAAGTGGTACAAGCAACCAATTGATTCCCTCATGCGTCATTTAACCACCAACAAAAATTATACCATGGTGGGACCGTCAGGCAAGAATAAAAACAATCGATGAATAGAAAAGCTAACAGGATCGCTCAGTTTCTAAATAACTTCGCGGCTACTCTGAGTGGGACTATGGCGCGGGGGTATGGTGCTGGTTGCACTCAGGAGTCGCATCATTGTATCAAGACTAGAGCCTAATACTGTAAAAGCCATTATTCTAACATTTTACAGGCTACGTTTTATTATTATTATTATTGTAAAGCTTTCCTTTTGATCTTGTCTCTTATTGTTGTGACCTTTCCAAAAAAAATCATACGGTATACCGCTACTGCACTAGCACTAGTGTGCGCGCACATGCACCGCTACATCAAAAAAATATTCTAACGAGGCGCATATATAACGATTTCCCAAAATTGACTAGTTTACGTGTACCAAAGCAACGATTCTCACTCATTCTCAACGCTCAATAGGACAGTATATGTATCGATTTCTGCGTAACGATTTCTATTTTAACGACAGATTTCTCGTTAGAGTTAGCACCGGTGCACCGTAGGCTTCGTTGTATAATAATGGCTTTTACAGTATATACATGTACATGTAGAACAAATAAATAGCTGGGAGCTTGACTTTTTGGATTGCATTCCACCAGGGAACCCTTCACAATCATCGTGACATATCACAGTACAATGACCTAGTCGGCCCGTTGTCCGTGACTCCCAGTTGTGGTGTTGAACACCAGACTCTAGGCAATCTGGGACTTCTCCCTATTTATACACATACATTGTACATGACTGTACCATTGGCATCAAGGAGTCGTGTATTTCACTATTATTTTGACGACTCCCTGATTGTCAGTCAACAAGTGTCAAGTTCGGCAAGAAGCGTGTGTTCCTAGTTGGAACAATCAACTTCATGACTCCCTGATTGGCAAGACTAAAAAATTAATGATAGCTCATGCCATCAAGAGTCCATGCACTCTTGATGCCATTCGATATATTCATTGGCATGGCATTGATCATGTTGATTTTTATGGACGGCTGCATTACATTTTTACATCCGAAAAATGATTTGCGGAACATGAAAATCCGGAAAAATATGTTGTGTACGTACGTGTTTGATGAAATCCGCGGGAGATTCAAACCATGCGGAGCAAAAAATTCCTGCAGTGCGCATGTGCAGTGGGTTTATTGGTTATGGCGGACGACGCGGGAAGGATTTCGAGCCTCCTTGCCGTGTTTGACGGTGGAGATCTCAAACAGTTGTAGGGGGTGATTCCGTCCTGGTCTGGACTTTTATTTTAAACCAGGCCTGCCCAGGCCTTGCTGGCGGCCATGGAGCTTCAACAAGTGCTAGAGGCTACTCTTGCAGCCGGTAAGCTGATTTGGAGACCATCCATCAACGATTGGGAAACGTGAAGCATTGTTTGAATTGAACTTGTGCTTCCGCAGATAAAGCGCAGCTCGAACAAGCTCAGGCATATCTGGAGCAGGCGTCCCAAACCAATCTGGTATGAGGATACATGCATTCCTGTATGAGATGAATTACTGAGTCTCCATGAGCAATATTTACTATCTTCCTTAGTGACTTCGAGCTTTCATTTTGACATGATAAATGACATTCATGCAGTGCCCTGATTACCCCACGTGTGGGCATGAGTGCATGTTTTGGATGAAGCCCCGAAAGTGCTGTTTGTTGTCAACTACGCATGCAGAGATTTACGATCCACAGGTGTTATGTGCGTTTAACGTCCATTCCACTTTGGGATTGGCACAGACGTGTTTATTCACAAATTTAATAAATTTGTAATTGGCATAGACGTGTTTATTCACAAATTTAATAAATTTGTAATTTTGTAATTTTGAATTTACAAATAGTAAATAATGACTTGTGACATCTCAATAGTTCATGGTACAGGTTATTCCACACGGGGGGGGGGGGGGGGGTTGAAGTTGTTGATGGTGGTGGAGGACATCATGTGATTTTGAGTTCCGAAACATTTAGAGGTTTCTATGGACTCAGTGAATCAGATATACGTGACTCAGTGAATCCGAATACAATATACGTGACTCAGTGAATCAGAATACAATATACGTACACACAACTCCAACAGTATTCATGACCACTCCCCCGGGCACCGGATGGGCCCTGCATCTAAGAACACGTGTTTCACACGGAACACTTGCGGTGAAAGTACAGTCGGGCCACTAAGAACTGCAGCTGCTCGAGCCGTGACCGAGCAAGGATTACGAATAGTTATCACCATGAATACCATCCAGTCCTCTAACGCCTATGCATTCCCAAAAATCTCCATTCCAGGACGATATCAGTAGGACCAAGAGTACATAACCCCCCAGAGTGTGCAATTCCAACATACCCTGCTGTCCCGACAGAACTTCAAGTTGACGTCATTATTTATGATGCAATGCTCCTTGCACCAGTGATTTACAACATGTGTACGGGTGTCAACGCATCACACGTTTTTCCTTGCAATAATTTGTACAAGATCAGATAGGCTTTGGTTCATCACAGGTTCCGGATTCGTCTGATAATCCGTGTACAGTGCGCATTGCATCATAGAAATTCTGTTGGGACAGCACCCATAGTCGAGTTGCTCACTCTTGGGGGTTATGTACTCTTGGTATGACTGGATGCACCAGGACGTCCAGCTATTTTGTATAAGAAGGCCAAATAGTTGTGGACAGGAGCAATCTGACATCACTGAGTATGTGTTTCTCACGTGCATTTCGGATCTTGTTTGTGTTAGCCTGCATTTCTCGATGCTCTCAGCGATGCATTGCTCAACACAAGCAGTCCGGCTACAGTGCGGATGGCAGCAGGTCTTCAGCTGAAGAACCAGCTGACATCGAAGGATGACAGTATCAAGGAGCAGTATCAGAACAGATGGCGAATGCTACCGCCCAATGTACGGGTGGCAGTCAAATCAAAGGTAAGTGCTGTTTGTACTTCTGTATGGTTTACTGGACTGCTTGCGTGCCATGAGCACGGGAATGTTTGCTTTTCTTTGTTGAGATTGGGGCGACCTGCATGTGCTATTTTAACTAGCAGCACTTGAAATGCAGCGGTTTGTATTTTCGAGGGCTAGAGAGGAAGTTCGAATTTGAATTCAGTCAACTCTCCTCGCTTGATTGTCGTCGCAGATTTCATGATCTTTTCCCCCGTGTGTGTGTGTGTGTGTGTATGTGCGTGCGTGTGTGTGCTGCTACGTGTGTCCTCAGGTATTTCAAACCCTAGGAACGGAGACCACACCGTCCAGTGCGGCGCAGTGCGTCGCCTACATTGCTGCAGCCGAACTTCCTCACAGCGAATGGCCCGAGTTAGTAGAAGCCTTGCTCGCCAATGTGACTACTGCCACTCACCCAGAAGCAGTGAAAGAGGCCACCCTGGAGGCCATCGGCTATATATGTGAGGAAATCAACCCCCAGGTACGACCGTTTATTGTATTTTTTTTTTTGTGTATTTGCCGTTACGCTACCAAATCTTCTGGTAGAATTAGACGTTCCTTGTTTTAGTGGATGTTAGCACAGTGTGAATCTGTACAAGTGGCTCTATGTGTTTCAGTCGATCGTGTACACATGTTCACGATCCAATGGTTACAAACCCTGTATTTTGCCAGATTCTACCAGCCTCTGACTCAGCGGAGGTGGTAGAACTTGGTAGAGCTACTTGTCACTCAAGCTGTTTGCCGACTCTCGCTGTATACTTCGCTCCCGTAAGCGAATCCTCCAACTCACTCTTTCATACTTAGCGCCCATATGCGAATCTGGTGGCTTGCCACCATGACATCATATGTGCAATATCTATAGTGTTGCTGTTGGCACCCTGGCTTCTCGACAAAAATTACTGAAAGTGTCATCGTCCTGATTGATAATTTAAATTATGTGTTGTGCGGCGTGTCCTTGCTTCAACTGCACTACTGTATACCTTGTAATTTTAGGTGTAGTAAAATTTCGGTATCAATGACCTGCCAGGTTTCAGGTGCAATGTAGAATTAGGCTGTGTTGCCACACCTGCCAATATGTCAATAGCCTGCCGATTTTGGAGGCATGTCACCACCTGCCGACAACAGCCATGAACATGTCCGATGTTGCACTTCTGCTTGGTTTAGAAATCATGATCCAGATTTTTTGCTTGTACTGGTCATCATGAGTGTTTCCATAGCTCTCTCCTAAGGTGCTAAGCAAAGTCATCATCAGTCTTGGGAAGAATTGGAATACTAAGTCTGGGTCTCGCTCAGAACCTTGAAAATTGTGCCGTCTGTGCGTGTGTACACTGGGGTTATTAGTTGTATATTGCGAATGGTGGTCTCCCCCAGATGATGCACTTTCTTTTCTCATCCTACTGATATTTGGTTAAAATGATGTGGCTACACTGGTTAGCTGACCAGCGTTCCCTGCACCTACAATGCATACTCCAGTGCCATTTAGGTCTGTCATTTTTTACAATAATTATATATATTTTTTAACCTGTCAACTACATTATATTAAACAGAAACAGAAAATAATAAGGCACCCATTTTGATAGTCCAGGGGATGGCCCACGCCTTGTAAAGAGAATAAATAGAGAAAAGAAAAGACGGATATTTCACAGGAAGTACATGTACAATGGGGACACAGTGCAAGTAGTTAGTTCTCACAACGCCAAGCCACACTGCGCAACAGCCAAAGCTGCTGACCGGTTCTGATCAACGTCAGAGGAAGAGGCTGGACGTCGATGACCACGAATGGCAGTGGCAGCTGCTCGGACGAGGGCAAAGCCCAACCTCACTCGAAGAAAGGCAATCACCGACGAGAGTGCCATTGAGGTGCCTGGTTTCTCTACCGAAATTCAAGTTACACCGAAAAAAACGTGTTATACAGTATCCTAGAGCCAATTTAGGCCTGACTCGTTAGGCATGTACAAAATACGAGCAGAATGATTAGCTTTCTAATAGACTGCTATGTTTTTTAGTGTGTCTTGTTGGTCTTGTCGTGTGAGCGCATGCATTGGTTTTCTTAGTAGTGCTGACCCGGCTGGGTCGACACGAAAGCATAATGTGAAGCCTGATGAGTGTTCTTTGTCCTTCTCCTGTGAATTGTGCGCAGATCCTGCGTGCCCAGGCCAACGAGATTTTAACCTGCATCATCCAGGGCATGCGCAAGGAAGAACCCAGTATCCGAGTCCGGTTAGCGGCGACCAAGGCCTTGCTCAACTCATTAGAATTTACCAAAGCCAACTTTGACAATGAAAGCGAGCGCGATTTCATCATGCAGGTACGTGCCTGTTTTGTTTGTGTTTGTACAGTTGTGGCAAGTGAAACTCAACATTTACCATAAGGGGACAGCACCATGAATGGACGTGCAAAATGTAATTCACTATGCAGAGTTTGCACCACCAAGCCGTATGCATTCGAAAGGGGTCAATAAGTCGCAGCCAAGGTACACATAGGGAGTGTTAGCATCTAGTGTCCATTCATATTTGGGGAATCACTCTTTCACCGTGTGTGCTATGCTTTTTGTCAAGAGTAAATAATCTCCCAACAGTGTGCAACTCTAGGGGTTTCCGGCGGCTAAAAATCACATTACTTGCTCCCAAGTACGATTTGTAGTACGTACAAATGAAGGCCACCATGCGCACAGTTTGACTATCTGCCATGATCATGCTGATGATTCACATTATGCTGAGTGGGGTTCTGTCGTGGTGGGCTATTTGTACTACTTTGCTGGTCGCGAAACCGGACTGGAAACGCACAGCGCAAACACTACGGCTACTTCTCTTGTTTTCATGTTGAGCTCGAGTGCTACGGATCAGTATGATAGGCGAATAAAGTGGCGCTTAACGCGTGCACTGTTATTGTGTTAATTAAGTTCGGCCTCACACAGCTGAAAGGAACTAAAGATAACAAAGTTTATGTGAAGTAATTCCACCTCCACCACATAACGTGCGCTCTCTGGCCGACCCCGTCACACCAGTAACAGGGAAGCTGTAGATACTAGCAAATATAATTTTCATCCATACAGCGCTGTTTCGAAATAGATAACCAGGCCGAAAGCTGCTGCTTACCTTTTTAGTACAAAGTTCACGTGGAAAGAACAAAGACAGAAAGAGACAGCAAGACAATGCCAGAGAGCGTTCGAGCGAGAGAGAGAGAGAGAGAGAGAGAGAGAGACGACAGACAGACAGACAGACAGACAACAGAGTGAACTTTGGAGAAGAAAAGGCAGAACATTGGAATAGGTGTGGACTGGATGCTCCAAAATGCAATAGAAACAAGACGATCAGCGATTCACTTCCAAGGTGCCAAGGGATACGCGTAGAGCTGGAAACTTGGGGCGAGGTTTGCGGGATGAGGCAATCTATTAGAGAAAGAAAACGGTAGGGACACTGGAAAACGCATGCACCACAAGTGGCGGAGTACGCTGTACGACTTCCAAAGCGCATGCACCACAAGTGGCGGAGTACGCCGTACGTGTTGATGGGGCGGTTGGTGTGGTTGAATTCTTGCCGGCTGCCACGGACGTGGTGGCCGAAAAGTACTTTATGATACGGGCAGTTGCACACTCTTGGGGTGATGTACTCTTGCTGCTACATGTGAGCTGCGCACTGTGTGGTGTGGTTCTTATGGCAAGTGTGGGATACTGGCCGTTCAGTGCTTATCTTTCTTGCTTCCACTGGTCATTTGCTATGTTTCTCATGCGTACATGCTGCGACCCATTTTGTTTGTGTCAGACCTAGATATGTTCAGTATTCCTCCAGTCCCCAAGGGTTTAGTTTACTTTCGTGCGGGGCAGTAGGGTGTGTGTGTGTGTGTGTGTGTGTGTGTTTGGCATACTTTTTCAATCGCAAATTGTTGTACTATGCTGTGTGGTGCTGATGGTCTTCATCACGTTGTGTTTTCTATGTGCTCATTGCATGCCTATAGACTGTTTGTGAGACAACCCAAGCGGACCACAAGCAGATCCAGATTGCCGCGCTGCAGGTCCTCGTCAAGGTCATTCAGCTATATTACGTGCACATGCAGAAGTACATGGGCCCGGCGTTATTCGGCATCACTGTTGAGGCGATGAAGAACACTGAAGATGACATTGCGCTACAGGGCGTGGAGTTCTGGACAACCGTTTGCGACTTGGAAATGGACATTGCTGTAGAGGTAGCAGAGGCGGAAGACACGGGCAGACCGATTGCTAGAGAATCTCGGCACTTTGCCCGGGGTAAGTTATGCCGTGTGCTGTTGGAAATAAACATACTGATCCAATACCCATGTGCAGCTGAATTAGATTTGAGTTTTGAGCGTAGATTGGCTTTGAAAAGGCCAGAGATTATTTCTCAGTAAGGTCTAGTACCACTGTACCGTATTTTCTCTAATAAGAGCCCGGGGTTCTTATTTTTTTCAGTGACTGCTCTACACGCGCTACTATTAGAGACTGGGCTATTATTGGAGACTGGGCTCTTTATTTTTTCAATTGTCAACTATCAAGCCAACTCCAGTCTATACAGGCATAAACTGACCATTTCAAGACTGATTTTTCAACCCTAAACTCAGGAATATTGTCAAAACAGATGTTTCACAATAGCATTGGCGCCAGGAAAGAAGCAGTAGACCGAACACCTCCTTACAAATATGTTCTTGGCATGTTGTACTGCTGTTTTATATGCAGTCAATATACGTGTTGCATACTCCAATTGTGACCCGCGCTATTATTAGAGACTGCTCTTATTATTTCAAACCACCCTCACCCCGGGTCATTATTGGAGACTGGGCTATTATTGGAGACCTGGGCTTTATTAGAGAAAAATCTGGTGTTTTGATTTTACTCCACTTCCAAGCGTCGTGTGCATAGTCCGATTGCTATTACTGTGACTAGTTTGGTCGTCCTGCCCGGTATGATCTCTCCACCACAACTCGGATGCCGGTGTGTTGTTGCTGTATGTGTTGCCACACGCCACCTGCAGGTGCTCTGCAGTACCTTGCTCCTATGCTGCTTATGCGTCTGGCACAGCAAGAGGAGTGGGATGATGAGGACGACTGGAATCCGTGCAAAGCAGCGTCGGTGTGTCTGCAGTGCCTGGCCACTTGCTGTGAAGATGAAATCATTAACTGCACGCTGCCATTCATCCGGGAGCAGATATCCAGTCCGCAGTGGAACTACCGTGACGCCGCCGTCATGGCATTTGGTTGTATCTTGGAAGGGCCCGACGGTAACCTGCTGTCACCGATTGTGTCGCAGGCTATGGGTGTGCTGCTGGAACGTCTTGCTGACCCCAGTGTTGTTGTCAGGGACACAGCAGCATGGGCAGTGGGTCGCGTGTGCGAGTTCCACCCGGACGCCGTGCTTTTCCAGAGCAGCTTCCCGCAGCTCCTGGAGGGACTGATGGCCGGTCTGAGTGCCGAGCCGCGTGTTGCCTGCAACTGCGCCTGGGCGTTCACCGCTCTAGCAGAAGCTGCGTACCTCAAGGCTGACATTCCTGAGGGACAATTGGAACCAGCTACGTACCCACTATCCACCATGTTCCCCGCCATCCTGGAGAAGTTACTGGCAACGACTGACCGCACAGACACGAGCAGTGGTAACCTGCGATCAGCAGCGTACGAGGCGATCATGGAGCTGATCAAGAACAGTCCAAGAGATTGCTATGAGATTGTGCAGAAGACCACACTGGTAATCCTTGAACGCATCCAACAGGTTAGTAATCTTTCGCCCGTGTGCACGTGACTGCTGAGCTCTTCATTTCGAACCCGCAGCAAAGATTTACACTCAGTTTGGTATTGTAAAGTACTCTGCGTGTATCACATGGGGCACTTGTTGGCATGTTACAAATTGGGACGTTCTTGCCTTTACCTGACTTCGGAATGCCTTGGTTTATCTTCCAAAATCTCTTTCTGTGTGTGAACACCGGACTTGGATGATTCTGCTTCTGCAAAATCATGTACACTCAACTTTGCGTATAACGACACTCGGCCGGGCATCAGAAAAGTGTCCTTATTCGCGAAGTGTCGTTATACCCAAAGTTTCATTATAATGATTATGCAATAAAAAAGAACTAACTCTGCCGTCACCATCATGCATCAACGAAGTCAAATGTTTTCCATAATCAATTTTCATGTCACAATCATCAGTGGAATATCGTGACTGAATTGAACGCTAGCCAAGCAAAAACAATAATTAAATATGCATCCCAAAATGTGATAAAACTTACAGGCAAGCAACAACAATGGTAAGTAGGTGGCACGAAAGAAGGTGAGAAAACCAGAATGTGACAACTGTGAAGTGAGAGAAACAAACTGTGGGAAAACGGCAGAGTTAGTTCTTTTTATTGCTTTATTAAAATTGTTGTCTCCGCGGTGTTTATTCATATAATAATTATATGTATACAGGTAGAATGGACTTTGCTCTGGGCATGGAAATTCTGTCGTTATATCCGCAGCGAAGTTGACTGTAGATGCGTATGACATATTGACACATTAGAGAGGTTCCGGGGTACGATTTTCCGTGCCAAAATCCGTATGGGCGCTACGGATTTTTTCCAGGCGTGCTCCATACGATTTTTCGGCACGGAGAATCCGTGTGGACTGGCTTTCACACGAACCATGTTCCGTATGGAGATTTTGCGTCATCGGGTGCAGAAAGATTTTCGCGTACAAGTTTGGTACGAGAAACATCGATTTTCCGCGGGAAGTTTTGATTTCGGTACAAAATTTCAAAATATAACGGCATGGCGCGGGAATGTGACGTGCTTGCGATCGTAACCTAGGCAATGACGGCAAACACATAAGTTCCGTACTCCGGAACATTTCACTGCTCGAAAATGACGTATAAAAAATCCGTAGCGCCTCTACGGATTTTGGCACGAAAAATCGTACTCCGGAACCTCTCTATTGGCAGCACAGAAAACACGCTGCAAAGGATACGCTTCCTGACTGCCACCATATACAGTTTATGCGATTGCATCATCAGTTGAGATGCTTTGGCGAAGTCGCAGATTCGCATTACTGCACTAGCGACTGGCGCTGTATTCGTAGCGTCCATTCGGAAAAACTGCAAGTCGCGCTCGTAGACTTGTGTCCTTTTGAAAATCTCTCGATAAAATCATTCACATAACCTCTATAGGGCTCTGGCTGATATGAGCCGATTGGTACCCTGTCCTACGCTTTGTCTTGCAGCTGTCTCGCAGTTGTGTGTATCGAACAGAAAAGATGTGTGTTATTGTGTAGTATCAAGAGTAGATAAACAAGAGTGTGCAACTCCGCGATGGGTTGGCCCACGGCGGAATTTTTTGTTGACGTAATCTTTTCGACGACGCACGCGCGCGAGTCGTTTCGGAAAGTTTTCCCTCGTGCTCTTGGCCGGCTTTACACTACAAGGTCGGTGCCCAGCACGTGCGCTCACACTGCTCTGCGGCAAAATGCGCGTTCTTCTGAAAAAGGTGACGTCAACAAAAAATTCCGCCGTGGGCGGGGGTATCTGCAGATTATGCAGGAGAGATCCGAAGTTGCACACTCTTGTTTATCTACTCTTGGTAGTATGTACAGCTATAGAAGATTCTCTCTGTGTCTTCTGCAGGGAATAATTTACTTTTAATTTCTTGCATAGCAATTTTGTGATTCAAAATCAAACTTGAATAGCAATTCAAAAATGTTGCGTAGCAATATTCTTCAACACTTGACAACTTTGTCCTTCTGCAGAGCTGATCAGAGTGCTAACTCAGACCACAAGTGCACTGTAAGGCCTTAGTTGCAAACCCAGCCTGGTGCCACGATACATAGCTCAGCACCTTCGAAGTTTCGTGCATGTGTTTCATCACTAAGACACACCTGTCGTGCACACTGTGCATCATTGGGTACAGTGAAAAGTCAACGTGTATCGCACTTTTCTGCGACACGTTTCTGAAGTTGCTTAGCACCTCCGAAGAATTGCGTAGCAAACTGCGATGCGATACCGGTTAAATTGTTCTCTTTTATGACAGCTAAAGTCCATGCACGTGAGCGAAATGCTGTGTCAGGAATTTCAAAAACAAGTCCTGGCGTGAACGATCTGTAATCTCTGTGCTCTGCTGTGCACTGTGTCTGTTTTGCAGCTATTGAGCATGGCACCTAATGTAACGTCTGCTGACCGCAGCCAGTTCAACGACATCCAGTCCTTGCTGTGCGCATCCTTGCAGAGTGTATTGAGGCGTGTCAGCCAAGCGGACGCACTTGTGATTGGTGACAATGTCTTCCAAGCTTTGGCTGCCATGCTACAGACGTCTACAACGGGTGGCGTGCAGGAGGATGCGTTGATGGCCCTCGGTTCTCTTATTGAGCTTCTTGGCGAAGCGTTCATGAAGTATTTCCAGGAATTCCAGCCATTCCTGTTCACAGGTCTTAGCGCAAGAGCGGAGCATTATCAGGTATGGCTCGCCGGTGCCTTGTGTGTGTGTCACAGTGTGTGTGTGTCACATGGCTGTATGGTGTAGACCAGGCTGAATAGTGACGGTCAATTCTCCAGCCTTGCAAGCTGTTGAATGGTGCAATCCCAGCACAAGTTGCTATGGCTTCTGCCGTAGCATTGCTATCATCGCCTCCGGCGATGGGCGTCAAAAGGTGTGTGTGTGTTGATTTGCAAGTAGCACCCACTTCTGTTGAATCTTGCCACTTTCGCACTACAGGTACCCGCTGAAAGTATTCCCCAGAGTTGATTTTCAGTATTTCATGTACATGTGAAGAATTTGAGTGCAAAACGCGGTAAGCGCCAAATTTGAGAAATCGAGAGATTTTGAGATCAGTGCAATCCAAGTGTCTAGTGGCACCTTCAGGCGAAATTTACTTCCAAAATCTGACTATAGTGCGTTTCAAAAGTATAGACCTCTAGACTTTTTCGAATAATTCAAATTTGATTTGAACTTTTTCTGAAATTTCTTCGGAATATTTCTCAGGCAGCTCACGCACTTTTTCTGAAATTTCTAAGCGATTGGATAACAGACGCCCAGTTTCGAAAAATTTATGCACAAAGTGATCACAGATTTTATGTGGCTAAGGGGTCGTCCGTAATTATCGAAAAATTAAAAAATCCGTCCTCGTGCAAAATTGTCTCTGACCCACCCACCCACCTCCCATCTTTTCCCATTAATTTTTTGATTTTTACCGGTGCCCAGCTCGAAAATAAGAACTCCTGAGTCCTGACCCCATGTTCACTGATTGCACCTACATGTACATGTACATGTATGTCGAGTACAGTAGATATCGGTTATAACGTGCCCTTCTGATTTTTCACATTTTATCACTATAACCGGTATATCACTACAAGCGATTTTCAACTGCGCGCGTCATACATACACGTTATACACGTGTGGGTACTCGATCGCGCTAATGTAGCGTACTGATACGTGATGGATGCTACTGCACCTTCTCCAGTCTAGAGTGAAGAACTTCTTGGCCCAAAGGCATCATCCAGGAAGCACCAGACCAGAATACCCTATGAAAACACACATGTGGCTCCAAATCGAGACATCAATGCCTCACATTCGTGTGTTGCTATCACTATAGACGATAATTTTTCTGCACAAATAGGTGTTTTGAATGGTCATTCTGTATCCTTATAGCCGATTTATCGCTGTATACGATATATTGGTTATAATGATAATTTGACTGGCTTTTTCTTGAAGTTGGTTGCTCCAACGAGGAGCACACGCTTCTTGCCGAACTTGACACTTGACTGACTCACGACTGCCATCCGGAGCACACCAGGAGCACGTCGCACCTTCCGCTCGGCAAACCTGAAAGAAAGCACCACTCCCTGCTCAATACACAGTGTTTCGGGGAATTCACCCCTCATCAGTTGAGCTTGAGTAGGCTGAGGAAGATTGTGCCTGAAAAGCACCACTTATATACTGCTCTCCAGGCCAAACCATCACCAGGGATACAAACTTACAGAGACGCTTTGTTTCCAGCGCGATAAACACCTCGTGAAGCCCCAGGTAGCAGCGTGAGTCAGAGTCGCTCATGGAGTTGTGCTAAACAGACGTTGAGAGCCAGTATAGCTATTCACAACGCTGTCACCTCCAACAACTAGTCGCACGTCCGCGTGAGGGACAACAATACGCAATTCTAAGTTCGTGGCTTTTTCTTGTTTTGCTTTTGATATTTTCATTTTGTATCAATATAGCCGGTTTATCACTATGTCCGATGACTTTATAACCGATATCCACTGTACTACAGTCAGACCTCGCTTAACCGCACACATCCGTTTTCCACAAAAAATATCCGGATAGGCGAGGGAACCGGATAATCGAACACACACACACACTGTGTGTGGGCATAGCATTGCTGTAAATCGGTGACCAACAATTTTCTTCCGGATGGCGAGGGATCCGGATAAACGAGGTCTGACTGTAGTAGCTAAGTAAAGTGAGTAGGTCTACCGACGGCCATGCACGTCCTACAACTACAAAAGAGTCATGTACCGGTATATCATACTGGTGTTTGCGATCCTACAGGCTACACTACGTCTACAGTGCACTGCATGTCAGTGCAACAAGTGTATGAAAGTCACTGACAAAAAAAATCGAAAAATTAAAAACCGCCAGCGCTCTTGACCACCCACCCCCTTTCTGCCTTCGGACGGATTTTTTAATTTTTCGAAAAATACGGACGACCCCTAACGGTTTTTTGAAACCAGAGGTCTGGACTTTTGAAACGCACTATAGAACCACTTCCAAACTGTTCGCCAAATATGGGTTTAGATACAAATCACACGTAAAATGAATCGCTTTTGGCCTTTATCCGAAAAGTGGTGAAATGGATAAACAGCGTATTGCAAATAAATCTCTTCATGTACATGTATTGCCTGGCGTGTGGTGCTGTGTTTAGGCTGTATGCTTTACTGGCTTGGGAGTAGAGACCAGGTGAACAATGATGGAGTGTGTCCAGGATGCGTACTAAGCTGTTGGACGAAATGGTTGCAGCACTGTATTTTGCACATTGTGTGGCATGGCATTGTTGAATTTTTATAGGTCACATTTTATTTTTAGGTAAAAATTACCTGTACCAAAGTTATCGAAAATAACTTTCCACTGAAATTTTTCGGTTTTACAGTATTGTGTTTCCAACTTTGCATGTACTGTACAGGCAGAAAATTTTATCGGTCAATTCCAACTCCAAAGAAAGGGATTTCGTCCGGTTGAAAATTTAGTCCATGGACTATACCAGTGTATTGAAACGCTGGAGAAATCGACATTCGTCCGGCATTTAATTTAGTCCCAAAGCTCCTTGGACGAAAAAGACGAAATTAAATTCCAGACGAATATTTCTGCTTGTACAGTATGTAATTTAGTGGCTCTCTGAATTATTCCTGACAAAAGTTCGGTCCCATTATGTTGTTTTTAGGTTTGTTTTGCAGCTGTCGGCTTGGTAGGTGACCTGTGCAGATCCATTGGCCGTGCCGCAATTGCGCCCATTGCCGACGTTCTCATGGAGGCCTTGCTGGGCGCTCTACAAGACAACAACCTCCATCGTAGCATCAAGCCGCAGATCTTCAGCGTGTTTGGTGATATTGCGCTGGCAGTCGGGCCCCACTTTGCAAAATACTTGGATGTGGTGGTCACTGTGATGGAGCAAGCCGGAGGGTTTACGGTGAGTTGCTCGTGACGCTTTGCTTGCTTGCCTTCAGAGAAAACCGTGTTTGTACGGCTGCATGTCAATCCATTGTCGTTCTTTGGAGACTTCAGGAGGTCGTGCAGTGCCAGGATCTTGCATGACCAGTACAGGTGTGGCTTACTAGGGTTCTTCTTACTATGGTCATCAGTGTCTGCTCCAGAGCCGGGTCAGCGACCCGGTTGGAGGGTACTTGGACCCGTTTGGAAAAAGAACACGGGGTCACCTGTGACCCTGTTGGGAATACACACCAGGGAGTCCTAATATGTACAGCAGGGAGTCCTAATATGTACAGCTCCCTGATATACATGTACATGCAGTAGCCGCACTTGAACGTATCCGGCTCTGACACGGTTGGAAGAGTTGTGCCAGGTACACGCGTACCTGGTTGGTTTGAAATCCTAGAGCAGACCCTGGTCATACCAAGTCTCCAGAGAACGACAATAAAGTCCATAAAGAGCTGTTGACTAAAGTTTCACGCTTTCACTATCATCAGGCAATGATCAGTATTGGTGTGTTGACGAATCAAATATTATGCAGACCGGGCCACCGCGCTTTATTTGAAGTTATTTCTTATGGGCCCTATTTGGGTGTGTTGATGCGAACTGAAAATATAAATTGTTCCTTTCCTTTTCTGTAATGTTGGCCATTGTTTTGTGCTGTATAGGTTGACCGTGGTGATTTGGACATGGTTGACTATCTCATTGAGCTTCGTGAAAGCTTACTGGAAGGCTACACTGGTATCATCCAGGGCCTGAACAGCGAAGCAGAAAACGGAAAGGTAAGATACGATAACCTCGACTCCATTCTGCATAGCTGGCTACTAATCTGACGGCACATGACCACTGCCCCTGATTGCTACTGCTGCTATGTCGTCGCACTTCACTTGCAGTTTATGTGTGCATTTTCTGCTTACATATTGCTCGTTCTGTATTGAGATGTATTCTTCTCATGGCTCTCCCGTGTTTGTGTGTGTTCAGGTGAGCCTGGAGGTGCAGGCACTGTCAAAGTCTGTGCCCGGCATGATTCAGTTCATGGAGGTTTGCGCAGTAGATGAGGAACGCACAGACAGCTCGGTTGCCACTGCGTGCGGTCTGCTCGGTGATCTGTGCAAGGTCTTTGGTGATGCCGTAGCACCGTTGGTCAATAAGCCAGCCATCTCTGCCATGCTCTCTGAGGGCAGGCGCTCTAAGGTGACCAAGACACGCACGCTGGCAAGCTGGGCGTCCAGGGAGATGCGTCAGTTAAAACTTGGCCATTGAGCTTCCCTCCACCTGGAGGCGGCAGCAGCAGGTATGATAGGCCACAGCCCTGTATTTAAGTGACTTTCTGTTTGACCTCGTCTGCCTGCCCGGGTTCTCTACTGTATCCTCCCAGTGTCTGTTTGGATGTGCCTTCCATCAGCTGCAGCTCATTTTTTCTCCCGTAGCTTCTTGCTCTGTTGACAGTCCTTTGCCTCTCACTTCTGTTTCCTGTCGCTGTATTTTTTTGATCTGCTGTGGGCATCGCATACCAAAGACACATGCAAGTTTGGGCTAACATGTTTCATCTGGATGTTTCTTAATGGTCCTACCTACTTGTTCAGATCTATTTTCTTAGTGATAACTTTGCCGGTTGTGCAATATCGACCAGCTGCTCTCTGGGGGTGGTTCTATCCTGCTTTTCTCGCTTGTAGATTTTTTATTGACTTCATCCTTTAAGATTTTTTTGTAATGGTGTTCAGGCCCATGCCTGGGTTCGCTGTCCTCCTTGCATTTCGGAATGCCCGCCGCCATCTCTGCACATACGTTATTATTCTTTCCATCCAGACAAGACGGCTACGAGTTCTCCTGTTCTCATTCTCATTGCTTTGCTTGACGCTCGACTGCTACGCTACCAACGCTACCCTATTGTTTTCATCATGTACCCTTACTTGCATTTCCGTGAACTACTGACCCCGTTCCACAATACTTGTTTGATGCATACATGTACATGTTGTGCTGTTCTTTGTCATTAAAAAAAATTCTGGCAGCAGGTTGCCTTCTCAGTTTTTGCTGGGTTCACATAATTGTTTCTCTTTTCTTGGCTTTTTTGTTTGGTGTGGATGTGTACCCTGCCACTTTCGATCATGTTCTGTCCGTTTTTATGGCTGCTTTGTGGCTGTTGCTTCAATGTCCGATAAACGTTATTATTGTTTTTGTTGTTGTTTGCTTGATTGCAATTTGTTTTCCTTGACCAATGGCTGTTCTCTCTCTCTCCCTCTTGTTCTCTTGCTGGGTTGTGTGTAGATGTACTCGTAGCGTGTGTACGCTTTGTCTACTTCCTGGAATGCTTGTTGCAACCTTAGCTCAGCTTGGCTACAGTAATGTGGCTGGAGCGATGTTATTACGGTCCAGCGGCAAACCCAAATCTGCTACAGTGTAATCAAGACTATACTGACCAAATAGTGGTGCCATGATGGCAATACTGCGAATTTACCACTGTCAGTCCTGATTGTTTGTCTAAGATACCGTGGTCAGAACATGTTCATGTTCGGTAAGCAGCTGAAACTGGAAGGGAAGTGTGTAAGCCTTGCACACAATCTTCCCTTTCAGTTTCAGTTTCTTACCAAACACGTGAATGTTCTAAGGAGTAAGGGTGCTTGCTGTTGGAATGAGCTGCAGCCTTGCTTCTTGAACTTTTTGAAGTTCTTCTCATGTCAAAACTGAATTTGCTGTCATGTCAGTGTCATGTACCATAGGCATAGTGGTTGTACGGTAGATCTTCCTGACCTGTACTCTGTAGGCTAGCTAGCCAACAGTGTAGCTACATGTACAATCATGTAGCTGTCGTTGTAGCTGCACTTATTACCGTATTTCCATGCAATGCTGCGCCACATACGCAATGTCGATGTGGGTGCGTACGCATTATAAAAAATAGCAAAGGGCAGAAATCCCGCCACCTTGCCTCTGGCTTTGCCGCTTTTTTGTTGTACCTTCGAACAGCACCCACCGTACCGCGTACCTGCTGTTCAGTTGTACTTGTAGCGCGAGTACAGTACCTGCTGAGTGATGGCCTTGTCCAGCATGCATCCTGTCCAGGGAGTCGTCAAATACCGGTATTTGACGACTCCCTGATCCTGTCGGTTGAGTGGTTTTGCTGTGCTTCAACTCCAAGACGCGAGACGTCCACTTGTTTCGTGGCGCACATTCGAATCGTGAACTGCATACCGGAAACCAGGTATGTGTAGAGAACAGCTGGAAGTCAGAGAACAGAGATCCTCCGAGCTTTGAGTTTTGCGCGATTGCCTTCAAGTGTGTGTTGATGTCTTCAGCTTCTTTGCCGACGGACTATGATCAACGCCTGCCTCCTGGGCAATGCTGCCGAGGTGAGGCGTCTGCTCAACTCTCGAGCTGATGTGAATTTGCAGGATGCTGAGAGGAGAACGCCGTTGCATGCCGCGTCTTTCAAAGGAGATCTGGACTGCCTGAGTTTACTGATTCTCAGTGGAGCACGAGTGAACAGCAAAGACACCCACTGGATTACTGCCCTGCATCTGTCAGCGGCGTATGGCCATTCAGACTGCGTCAAGCTACTTCTGAAGCACCATGCCGACGCTGCGGCCAGAGACAAGCTGTGGCAAACGCCACTTCACCTCGCCGCACATAACAATCAGCAGAAAGTGGTTGGCACGCTGCTTCAGCTGAGTAGCCAGAACGTAAACATCACTGATCGAGGTGGTAGAACTGCCCTACACCATGCTGCGCACAATGGACATAAGGAGGTGGTCTTAGCCTTGTTGGAGAAAGGTGCACAGGCCAATGCTGGTGACAAGAGAGATCGCAGGGCGTTGCACTGGGCTGCATCCAAAGGCTTTCTCGACTGTGTAATGTGCCTGAAAGAAGCTGGTGCAGAGGTAGATTGCTGCGACAAGCAGGGGTTCACTCCGCTGCATGCTGCAGCTGCGGCTGGTCAGATGGAAACTCTTGTTCGCCTTGTGGAGCTCGGTGCGAACATCACGAAGAAAACAGTAGGTGGCAACACGGCATTGCACATCGGTGCTCACCGAGGTTTCCAAGATGTTATTCAGGTGCTGCTGGAGCACGAGGCGGACGCCGAGGTGGCAAATGACCTTGGTCAGACGCCTCTCATCCTGTCGGGTCTGTGTGCGGACGGCTTGCAGTGTATGACGTTGCTCATCCAGCACAAGGCGGACACGACTAAGCGTGACAAGCGAGGCCGCTCTGCGTTGCATGAAGCCTGCAAGGCTGGTCACGAAGAGCAAGTTCGACTGCTGCTAGAGAACGGCGCGCAGGTGGATGTAGCCGACGGCGAGGGGCAGGCAGCGCTACACTTAGCTTCTCGCTACGGCCATGCCAGCGTGGTACAGTGCTTGTTGGATAGCGGTGCGGACGCCAATAGCAACGGCGGAAAGGACAGGATGACGGCATTGCACATCTCAGCACTGTACGGGCATTTGCAGTGTGCCAAGATCCTACTGACTGCGGGCAGTGACATCAGCCTCCTGGACGAAAGCGGGCGCAATGCGTTGCATGCTGCAGCGTGTGGTGGCAACATTGATATTCTCGAGTTGATCCTCAACCACAGTATCAATGCTCCGATTGCCAACAAGCCACAGTCAGTCATCAACTCCGAGCGTAAAACCTTCCTGGGTATCGACGTCAACCAGGCTGATAAGCATGGTTGTACGCCGCTTCACTACGCGGCAGCGAGCTTAGCCACAGGTGAGCCTGGCAAGGGTAACGCGTCGATGCGGGTCGTGGCACACCTGCTCATGAACCGTGCCGTGCCGATGCAGCGTGACAACAAGGGATACACGCCTCTTCACTACGCCAGCCGCCGCGGTCACACTCTGTCGCTGCAGATGCTGCTGGACATTATACAGCCGTCGGCGCACAAGAGCGGTATGCCTGTCACGACACCACTACATCTGGCGGCATACTACGGCCACACGGAAGCACTCACCATACTGCTCCACTCCATGCTCGACTCCAGTCCCAAGGACTCGTTTGGGCGCACGCCGCTAGATCTAGCTGCCTTCCGCAATCACACACAGTGCTTAGAGACTCTGATCATTCGAGGTGCGTCGGTGGTCAACAATGATTTGGTCTCCGGTTCAACAGCGCTGCATTTCGCCGCCAGCCAAGGCCACACGGAATGCTTGCAGCTCCTACTGGACAGTATGGACAAGTCGGCGCAGGTCGACGTATGCGACACGAGCGGTCAGACACCGCTCATGCTGGCCGCGCATCACGGCAAGATCGACAGTGCAATGCTTCTCATCGAGTACGGCGCCGATGTGAACGCACTGGATGTTCACAAGCGCTCCGCACTGCACCGATGCTCGGCGACCGGCTATGAGGACTGTGTCGAGGCTCTCCTGCAGAGCAACGTCGACATCAACGCGTGCGATGACATTGGCCGCACGCCTCTCATTCTCAGCTCCATGGCCGGACACTCCAATTTGGTCGGCGGTCTCATACAGCTGGGCTCGTCCATCGTAGCGCTCGACTCACACGGCTACTCAGCGTTGCATTGGGCCTGCTACAAGGGCCAGTGCAGCTGTGCCGAGATGATTCTGGATGATGATGGCTACGAGATATTCGAGCGCACCGTCGGCAATTCCTTCTCGCCACTGCACTGCGCCGTTGCCCAGGGCGACGAGTCGACAGTGGAGATCCTGCTCGACACACTGAGCCCAGACATTGTAAATGCGTGCGACACGCAGGGGCGCACTCCGCTGCACGTGGCGGCGCACGGGAACTTCGGCGAGTGCGTGCAGATCCTACTAGGGCAGGCGGCCGATGTCAATGCCAGGGACAGCCACCAGTCCACTCCGCTCATGCTGGCTGCCGAGAAGGGCCATGTGTCCGCATGTGAGTTGATCATCGGTCAACCTGAGGTTAACATGAACATTCAGGACGCCAACGGTCGAACCGCCCTCGCCCACAGCTGTCTGCAGGGCCACGAGGAATGCGCAGAGATCCTCCTGGAGAACTGCAGTTCGTCGGACAGCTGCCTGTCGGTGGCGGACAACAATGGTGAGACCGTCATGCACATCGCAGCCAGGACCGGCCTTGTTGCGGTCGTCTCGGAGCTGCTCAGCAAGGGCGCCTCGGTCACATGCAAGGACAAGAAGGATCGCACCCCGCTGGTCGGCTGCTCACCCAACGATAATGTCGCCGAGTGTATGAAGCTCATTTTATCGAAACTGTTGTAGACAGTTGTGGACATGTTTCAAATTTAATGTTATTATTATTTCAAATGATAAGTGCCTCATGTGAATGCTTGACATATTGTGCTGCTGGACTGCGGTTGTGTGCGTGTGTGTGTGGGGGGGGGGGGGGGGGCATGTGTGTGTGTGCGTATGTCACAAGTGCTTACTTTTGTAGGGCCGGCCAGTTTGCATACAGGCCCTCAGGCTCACACCAGGGGCCCGGAGAGCCCATGCACCCCAACTCAGTGGAAGCATCACAATCATCATGTGGCCTGCAGCTACATGTGTACATGTGTGCAACGGTGAATACTGATGATGCAAAGCACTCCACATGACCCAGAACTGGCCAGAAGCCATCCGGTGCAACAATCTCATAACTGGGAGAATGAGTATACTTGTAGCTAATAATCTCATGTGCACACTGGACAATACTTGACTGACTGCCAAGCCCGGTCATTGGCCTCGCCCTCCCGGGAGGGGGAAGGAAACACGACAGAAATTAGGTTCACTTATAAGGCCCATGCGCCGTTTTGTGAGGGTGCGCTTATGCCCGGGAATAGGCACGTGTGCTTATGCGCGTCCCTACGGGTATTAAAAGTGACGAAAGGCGGGCTCACCACCCCTGTAAGACAACTTCCCCATGTCTAACCCCCAAGACGAAGTGAATACTGTAGTAGTCCTGCTGGCCGAAGTTTCAAAAAAATTAAAAGTTGAAGACATAGCATGATTCACCATAGTGCTAAATAAAGTGGTCCTAACTGTTACTTGTAAGTTGTAGGCGGTTGCTGAAACCAGCTAGGTGGTCTCCAGGGAATGCTATGTAGGGCATGTGCAGGGCTAGGGCTCCCTGGTGGTCTCTTGCTCAGCTACTAAGTACTACTGAGTTCATTCTACATAGGGCTTATTGTACATGTACCACAAATCTGCCAACCTCTGAATCCCCAACCAGCTAGCATGCACTATGGTAAGTACTCCCGTAGACTACAGGAAACACAAACTCAATAAATCATAGTTAATTTTACTACAATCAGACCTCGCTTATCTATATCCGGCCCTCTTTTATCCGGATCCCTCACCGTCCGGAAAAAAAGTCGTCGGTCACCGATTTAAAGCATACAGTATGCCATACATACATACAGGATGTGTGTTCGATTACAGTCAGACCTCGCATAACCGCACACATCCGTTTTCCACAAATATAATTATCCGGATAGGCGAGGGAACCGGATAATCGAACACACATACTGTATGTATGCATGGCATATGCTGTAAATCAGTAACCAACGATTTTCTTCCGGATGGCGAGGGATCCGGATAAAAGAGGACCGGATAAGCGAGGTCTGACTGTATCCTGTTCCCTCCCCTGTCCGGATATTTTTGTGGAAAGCGGATGTGTGCGGTTATGCGAGGTCAGACTGTATACTGTAGAGAGCTTTGCCCGTCCACATGTGCACAACCGAGGAGCCATGAAAAAAACAAACGTTTCTCAGGGCTCACATGATCACCTGGAAGAACAAGGCATGGCAGACTTGTAATGGGCGTGTTATAATAATATAAACACTGGACGGCATGTAATAGGGTATCCGCTCCATGTCAGGTTTCAACTTCGCGTCTCCCCTCTGCCCTGATGTGAGAATGACTATGATCGTACTTCTAACAAGTGTACACAAGCTAGACCTTCATCAGCGGATAGCATTTAACGATATTGCCGCAGTTCGGGCACATGTGTTAGAAGGTAGTGCATATCAATGATGCATACTTGATGCCAGTGAGTGTGTGTGTAGGGGGTATTTCTGCATCAATTGTCGGAGTACAATCTCTCCCCCCCCCCCCACCCTACCATAATTTAAGCGGCATGCAATACATACCACACCACATCTGGCACAGGCGCGGCGAGAGTAGCGGAGCGACAAGGTGCACACCAAAAGCTGGTGGTTCATCATGCATCTTCAGTAGTTTGGCCATGTCTGGATTATGCGAAGAGGTGTCCAGAATTCTGCTTCGTACAATAGCATGGGCAAGACTGACAGTTTGGGATACATCCGCGCGCAATATGATCAAACGTTGGCACTGGCTGGCGCGGGCATCGAGTGAAATGGTACAGCCAAGAGACCAGACGTTACAATGGACAAGCCCCCTCCGGTGTAATATTGCCATACCCTGTATGTGGGTGGGTGGGTGGGGGTCGGACCTTGCCAGACTACCTATAAAAAGCCTAAAGGGGTCCTACACTACTGGGTAGCTGCAGGTAGACGTGGGCTGAGGCCACTACAATCAATGAGCCCCGTGATGGGCTTCCGCAGCCTTTGGTCAATCAATGCCGCTGATGCAGTGGAACAGGCCACACAATTAAAGAGGTTAACTGTGCATGTTATTTTTGACGTCACACGCAATTTCACGTCAAATGGGTCGAAACAACGCCAAAATTCTACGCGAGATGCAGCTCTCTTGCGTTGCTTTCCAACGAGCGAGCCATATAACGTGAGCAGAACTTTCACGTCACGTCAAAAATAACGTGCAGCTTAACATCTCTATTGGCAAAGTCGATAAATAGGTCTACGGGTAGTATTTAGTAAGCTCTGAACCCACCCTGCTCGACACAAGGATATCATTATCTGCATGCGAACTGGCACTCCTTTGCAAGCACAGGAGCAATGCTCCCGAGGCAGGTGGGAAGAGCATGCGCTGGATGCATAGCAATAGTGGACGTCTAATACCGGCAATGCTGCAGGCTACCCGAGTCACCTTTCAGCCACAGTGCACATGGACACGATGTGAGGTGCAGACGCAACAGACCATGCTTGACGCAGGCCATTCTCCATTGTTACTCCCTCTGCCAATGTGCTGCTCACTGCGAGTCTGATGGATACTGCCGTACCCTGGTGGAAAGATGAGCCCATATTGATGACCAAGATGGCAGCTAGCTATGACCGCTTGAATCAGGCAAGAACCTGCGACGGCATCAACCTGCCACGCCATTAACCTGCGACGGCATCAACTGTGGCACCAAGTCGCAAGCCTTTCGTACGTCAATGATAATAACAAGACCTTTCGTCGTCTAGAATTTCACTCATGCAGAATTCCCGTCAGTTGCCGCACCGTCAGGATCATGTCAAACATCAGCCTTTGCGTTGGAATAAACACAGCGAGTTGCGAGCTTCTGTAAGTAACCAATCGTGCAATCAGCTTCCCCACTACAGTGCAGCTGGCGAGGATGTGCTTCTCCAGTTGTTGCCAATGGAGAGGCCTTCCTTTTCCGTGATTGGCACCAGCAGAAGCCATCGACGCATTCCTTACGGGACTTAACCAGAATGCTAAGTGAGCAGCAATGGCTGAAAACAGTGCAGTAGATGTAGACCCTTGCCAAGGGAAGATCATCAGGGATCCTTGATCATCAGGGAGAAAGCTAGATGTTCCAAATACCTTCCCGCTCTTCAGCTTGCTGGTGCTACCGGTATATTCCGGTGGGTGGGCTGGATGACTGGCTAATCTAACACAGGACACAGCTCAGTATAAAAGCTACCACGTAAGGAAAAGGTGCGGATGATGCGCTAGACGCCAGCAAAGCCAGCAAGCCTTCGGTGCACTCAGGTACAAATGTTCTCACCTTGGATTGAATAATGATGTCGTCATCAGTCGCAAACATGTCCTCGAGTCTTAATTATCCCTTATATGGTTCCAGGCACCAGTACAACCAAAATTCGCACTGATCTGCTTGCTGGGCATGGCCTTCGTTTTCTACACATACCGTAACGTACCGCGAGAGCGCCCCGTCTCGCGAGAGCGCCCCACCTTGATTTTACAGCCAAGAAAAGGAAAATCGTATGGCAGAGTGCAACGAAGTTTGTACGATGTAAGAATCTTAGTACACTAAGGTCACACTTGGCAGGTTTTTGTGTGGAGCTTGTGTCCGCTCGAAGGTACGGATTGACTGCAAAACGTGATATGTGTAGAGGGGACGGTTTCAAATAGGACACCGGTTGCAAACCGGAACGGACTCAATATTCACTTTCTCTCTTGGTATTTTGATTAGAAAACATATGTCACAGTGAGACTACGATGTGTTATACTCCGAGCCAAAATTTCATGGCTCTGCGATGACCAGAAGCGCCATATCAAGCAGGTGAGTTTTTGACGTGTTGCTTCGCACTGCGACTTGAGTTTTACGACTTTCGAAAAATCAACTTCTTGTCGCAGGTAAACAGCGGCTCGCCTCTCGCCAATAAAGCACCGCATACCAATCAAAACTAATGGAAGCACACACAAGGCTTATTGTTACTCTGTACTGGCCGTCGTGGAGCGATAGCAATTACCTAATTTCAGACCCAGAGTGAATTTGACGGGCACTCTAAAACGTGTCCGGTTTGGAGCCACCTCTGATTTGAACTTTTTTGAAGCGAAAAATTGGGCAACTTGGAGGCAATGGGTCAACACAAAGGAGTGGCTCAGTTCGATTGACTCTGGCCCCAGAGCAAACTTCAACATGCCAGTTTCCTTCCACAAACATATTTCGAGTGAAAAATCAACGCTGATGATCGGTTTGGGTCTATACAAATTTGGCTGTCAAAACGTCCCGGTATCGAGCCGTCTCCTCTACAAGATTCATGTCGTATGACCTACAGACAGCAGACCACCTCCACAATACGACCACCAAAGGATGAGATGGTGGGGCGCTCTGGCGGTACTACCAATCCGTGGCGAGCGCTGATGCAGGTGATCATGTGTGCAGCCCTGTAGGTGCAGAGCCAGAGCTTACCGATGTCCGGCATAGTGTGTCTTACTGCAGCAGAAACTGTTCTAGACGATCACGAGAAGACACGAACCAAGCACAAGACATGACTGTGCATACATCCATACATACACCTCCACTCCCAGTTCTCACTGATATGCTTGGCTATGCGATCCCACCCCGGTTGTGTCTTTGGAACACTCCTGCATTTGTGTCGGATCCGGGCACTGGCTGACTTGAACGGTCACTCACACTGACATCAATGACACACGATCATTGCATGCACTGGGTCGGTATGCCGGAATACTTTGGGGTGGGTAATGTTCCCTTGCGGGTCACGTTACATCGGTTACTAGCGGAACCGCTTAGCAAAATTAACGCCCGATAGTAGGTAGAACAACAAGGGAACGAAGATGGATTGATCTACAGAAATGCTGCCAGATTTCTCCCAGCAACTTTGCACTTGTGGCTGCTAAACCACACATACCGTAAAGTACTGTTGATCCTCCCCCCACGCCACTTCCCAGCTGGTATTTGGCAGAGGGTGGGAAGTAGACCAAGTCGTTCGAGTGCAGTACAACCCAGAAGATCAGACTTGGCATGCTGGATTGTGCACAGCAGTACATGCGTCGGTTCAACATCGTATTTCTTTGTATACGCCGACGTCGCTTCACAGGCAGAGATTGGACACGGGTCGGCAAATAGAGCGGAGCGGATCAACGGTACTTTACGGTACATACATGCATACAAGCGTATACGTACACTCGGACGTCTCTTATCCGGGCACCTTGGGACCAGGCACTGCCCGTATCTCAGACTTGCCGACATCTCGGGATAACTCATCTACCACGTATCATATCATTTTTGAAGAAGTTTATTTGGCACATATTGCACATGTTCAGGTTCCAAAAACAATCCATGGATGGAAACGTGTGGATAACACAGGTTGACAGTGACAAATAAGCACTTGCGCATTCGTAAAAAAAAAGTTCAAACCCCCAAATTCGAAGCATTATTGCCATAGGAACCCAAGCTGAAGGTGCCTGGTAGAGGGACGTGCCAGTATCTGAGGCGTCCGGATAAGAGACGTTTGAGTGTACTGACAGGCACGCGGACCCACACACCGACACGTGTTTATATTAATATTATAGTTATTGTGGAAGAAGGTGGCTTTCGTATAATTATTGTGTTTAATTATTATCAAAATATTGATAGAAGTCTTTTCACGCAATTTCAAGAAATTAACTGCATCTAGCAGCCAATTACAATGCATCTCTTAAAGTACGCGCTCTGGCGTGCAGCGAAATTTCTAGCTGATGGGAGCGGCAAAGTTACTCAGTTACTTCACTTGAAAGTAGACAATAAGGCCAATGACGCCACCCAGCACTAGCAAGACGACGATCAGAATAATCCACATCTTCACATTCTTCCACCACATTTTGTTCTTTATCTTTTTCGCCTGCCGCTCGAACTGGTTGGCACCAACCTGCAACTCCTCCGCTCGATCGTCCAAATCCTGCAGCTTAGCATCTCTCTCCAATACATAATCCACGTTCTTCTTCATAATGTGGGTCACTTCGTCCACCTGCTGCTGGACTTGCTCCAGCTTTTGTCCACTCGCCGCCATAGCTAAAGAAGGAACGGAACTTTGTTCTAGCTCTGAGAATGAAAGTCCTACGTACTTCTGGCAGCTGTGCGCCTGTGACAACTGAAATATATCAGCAAGAAATCTTGATGGAGCTCCACCAAAACTCAGCAGCGCAAGGAGTGTCACAGTGTTTCCTGCAAAGCCACTCTTCTCTACAAAATAATTATTTGCAGCTAGCTCTGGACGTCGCAAAGAGGTATCGCATGCAGTTCGAACGCCGTTCTCGTACAGCATTCAGTAGCCAAAATCTGTATGTGCCAGTTCAGAGTCCACAAACTCCCGATCCGAGTCCCGAATCCCGACTGTCCCGATATCGATTTCTTCGATTTCGGTGCCTGATACGAGATATGACGTGATTGTGCTCATGACGTATTTGCACACTGCAGTGATGTATGTGTGACACTTCGATGACAATCGATGATGCATCCCGCAAGAATTCAGACTTTTCAATGTTTTCATTTCAACAGTGGCCCTACAGATTCCATCGGAATGTCGCCGATCGAAGACGCGTCTACTTCTCTGTTCTGGTTGGGAATGTTGTGTATCACAAAGGTACATGGAATTAATTAGTACAAGTCCACAACCTTTATTCTTCGGAATCCTCAGGATTTTTTAAAGTAATTAATATCCGTTCAATTGGAATTCATGACGGTCACCATGATTATACAACTTGTGGTGTTTTGCCTCTGTCTGGCAATCCTCCCTTCTTGCGTCTCCTATGCTAGCCAGGGTAAGCTATCACAAGCTATCATAAGGTGTTCTCCGAGTTGCTGCAAAAGAAAATTTTTATTGGCCAGTTGGGAGACTCGGTAGTTATTCGAATGCTATGCCTCTCCAGTATGCAATTAGTGCACCAGTGCCGTGCCGTAAAAGGAATATTCGGGCCCAAAATGGCCCAGTTCATTGAAGTCCCATGTTCTTTTTCACCTACTTAAAGGTTCTGACTGGACTGTCTTGCACCTGCTCTAACTACTCTTCTCAAGCTCGTGTGAAAACAGTAGTGACTCACTAGTCTACCTACTTGCACTGGATGCATGGCTGCTGTGTAATCTAAAGGTGCTGTTATGCTGCCTGCATCAATATACCAGTGCTGTAGTATCCCAACTCACACACAGAAAATGAGAAGCTGTTTACAGTTTACACTGTGGCCGATTTTGCGCTATAAAAAGCGCTTATCAGACAGCATAGTGCCCAACTGAGTGAGCATGCCAACACATGATGTGTACGCTATACATGAGCTGATGGAATCGTAGCACCTACTGCTGCTTCACCATGGCCACGAGAAGTGAATTCATTGTTTCTCGACACGGCATGCATACCTGGTGAGGATTTCACAAGAAAAACATTCTTGTACACGTGGTATGAGTCATGAGGGAGCATCTTCCTGTGCCATCGTTCTGGCTGCCGCGGTGCCATGATGTACAATGTACATGTATGGCATTGAAGATAGTGCATGCCCTACGGGTTATGAGTTATGACTCATGAGTCACAGCTGCCAGCAACCCCCCTCCACACACACACCACACACACACACACACACACACCACACACACACACACACACACACCACACACACACACACACACACACCACACACACACACACACACACACACACACATACACACACACTGCTACTGTAGTCAGTTTGCTCATGTAGGAACCATGATGGGCTTGCACTGCTATCATAATCCACAATGCTGGACTATTCTTCACTATGCTCTGATCTCTGCTCTTCAGCTAGTTACTAAGTTAGTGGAGCAACACACACGTTTCAGGAAGAGTGTTGCCCTATTATAGCAGGGCATTTGCCATCTAACTGGAGCTGTTAGGAGACGTACCTTGCATGTGCCGTAGGGCTTTGCACGCGGGTTGTTCCTGGCTTACTTTGATGCGTGATGTCATCTGTGAGTGTGATGCCATCTGTGAGTGTGATGCCATCTGTGCTTGTGATGTCATCTGTGCTTGTGATGTCATCTGTGCTTGTGATGTCATCTGTGCTTGTGATGTCATCTGTGCTTGTGATTGCCCGTAGACAAGTGGGACAAGTACTTGCATCGCATTGACATCGCCAATGCCAGTTACACGGGATGCGGCAGCAGTGATGAGGCAAGCAGTTGCTATGCCGACGTAATAGCTGATGATCTGTCTGCCTGGCGTTCGCGCGGCATTGGCAAGGCCGATATTGAACGCGCCGGCGCTACGTTGGCCACGCGCTACCAGGTTCTCAATCACAAGCTGTACCGCAATCCAAGATGTGTTTTCCCTGCCAGGTATGTACGGCAGTGGCCAGCGAGTTTCGAACTCTGCCATTGTGCTTTGTGCATTGCAACCAAGGCTCTGTGTGTTTGGGGGGAGGGGGGGGGGGGGGGGGCATACACGTGTGCGTGAGTGCGTGTGTATGCTGTAGTTACACGGAAATTTGTGGCACTGTATTATCCGAGGTGATTCCGATGCATTGTGTGTGTGTGTGTGTGTGTGTGTGCGTGTTTGCATGTGTGTGTGTGTGTGTGTGTGTGTGTGTGTGTGTGTGTGTGTGTGTGTGTGTGTGTGTGTGTGTGTGTGTGTATGTGTGTGTCAGCCGTTGTCGGTTCAATAGCCAATTGAGTATTCTTTCCAAGATTCCTTTTGAGTCTCTCTTCCCTCTCCCAGGGAGACTCACATTACCAGTTTTGTACTTGAAGTGAGCAAGTACAACTACACATGTAGATATGTGTGTACGTGTGTGTGTGTGTGTGTGTGTGTGAGTGTGAGTAAAGGATGCTGTGTGTAATTTGATGTGAAAGCCATGTCATGGTTTAGTAGAGACTTAGGTGCCATATGATGGCTGAACCGTGTTCCTCTTTCCCCGTATGCGTGTCCATGCACACCAGATGTGAAGGTGTGGAGCACTTTCTTCTATCCATACTGAAAGACCTGCCCGACATGGATATCATGATCAATGTCTACGACCACCCACAGGTAGGTCCAGCATGACTTCGGCATTCTCATCGTATTGTGTCTTGCAGAGCAAGATGAATCCGTTTCCCTTGTCCGATGGCTTATGACTACACTTGTTTCACTCCTCTGCTGTTGAATCCCATCTTTCTTCTTCTGGGACAGCGGCACGACCATGAATGGATTTTGATTCCTCTTAGCTTCTTCTTCAGAGAGCCACATGATATAATCCTTCATGTGCCGTAGCCTGCATTCATTTTTCTTTTCCCATCAGCGGAGGTTGATGAGTTGTCCCGCAGAGCTTCCTCAGCGTGTTATTATCATTGTCTAGGATGGTATTGCATGGTCTGTCCTGCTCCTGTCCACTTCGGTCCATCCCGCTACCTGGGTGTGTTGTCTAGGTTGGTATTGCATAGTCTGTCCTGCTCCTGTCTACTCCGGTCCATCCCGCTACCTGGGTGTGCCCTGTCCAGTCTCCTCCACTTGCTGCGCCATCCCTTGTCTCGGTGACCCACTCTCCTTCCTACCATTATGTTTGTTCATCACAGCAGCTACTGTGGTAATTGCATCAACATCCATACCGAACTGCAAAAATCGAGATTGTCGAAGCTTCCCTTTCGGACTGCGCAAACAATTTTTTGTATTACTATTTGTACTACAGATGCTGGCTTTGCTCATGGAGTGCCAAACGTTTCTTTTTGTTTGTTGCCTTGTTTTCATCACAGGTCCCGAAGTATTCACAGCCTTCGCCTGTTTTCAGCTTCAGCCGTGTAAGCTTTTCTTTTTCATGTTTCCTCGTGCACAGATCAACCATGACAGAATTGTTACTACAGTGTAGTGGGACGAAAACATGAAATTAGAAAGGTCACCCTTTCCTCCGAACCTACAGGACTGCGTAGCTTGATGTGCTGCTGCTGCTGCTGCTGCTGCTGGTACTGGTGTTGGTGCTTGTGCTGGGCTAGTGCTGCTGCTGGGCTAGTGCTGCTGCTGTTGCTGCTGCTGCTGCTGGGTCCATGAATATGTTTAACAGTTGCAGTCAATGATAAACTCTATTTTAAAAGAAGGCCTCTTCTGAAAATTGTATTTTTGGCCAGGCATGTATCATGCCTTCTGTGTGCACCAACAGTGATTTGCTCTCTTCCCATAAATTAAAAAAAAAGAGTAAATCATCGTGTCCGTTCCAGAAGGGAACTCACGACGGCCGCTAGCACCTGGTAAACCCTAGCGGCAGATGGAGCGCCTTACGGTGGGGTCTCTTCCCATGGTTGGCCGAAATAGGCGAGCTGTTGATGCTGGTGGGTGGCTGTCTGACGATTTCATCCCACTCCACTCCCCGCTCTACAATATAGAGCTAGGTTCTTGGAGTAGTATCGTATAATGGCCTGTTTCCAAAGGGCGCCCGAGTTATTCGCGCTCTACAAGCCCACTGTGTGAATTCTCGGTACAGTGTAGTGGACGAGCAGTTTTTATTCGTACGTCTGAGTCGAACTGCTCATCCTCTACCGTGTGTCTATGGTCTATGTGTTTCTACGCATTGAGCACTGCAAGGCTGACGGGCGGTACATTTCTATTGTGGTGAATTCTAGGTGTTTTGTTTCACTGACTTGCTCAGCAGTGGGCCTTTGCTCGTGCCGAAGGCCTGTCCTTAATTTGCAAATCTCTAGGAAACATATTTCTGTCAGTGGCTACAGAACTGGCTGTTCTTTGTTTCCATATTTGCCATCTTCATCCATGTTGATGTGTGCATGTATACGCGCGTACATATTCGTGCTCATGCTGTGTACATGTATCTGTTTGGTATAATCATGTAATCCTTGTTTGATAGATAACATTGGTGATCGGTTGACAGGGCTCTGCCAACCGATGATGGTTGTAGTCAGGGGCACTGTTATCAACACAGTGCATCCTCCGCCTTGTAGCATGCTGTCAACCGATCACCAAGTAATGTATTCTGACTGTGTTGTACGTGTGTGTTGGTGATGGGGCTAATCTACAGGACTCGCACTTCTCCGATATCATGTACCCAGCCTGGACATTCTGGTCTGGTGGTCCTGCTGTGTGGCCTCTATACCCCACAGGGCTGGGTCGATGGGATCTGCAGCGCGACATCATCACCAAGTAAGGCACTACCGTAAAAGCCCGTGTATAGGCCCCCGGGCGTATAGAATAGCAGCCTCGATTTCCTAGGCGTATACAAGGGCACGGGCGTTATTTTGGAACCGGGCGTATACTTGGAATAGGGATAGCAGTAAGTATTGGGTATCAGTACCTGTACATGTACTGGTGTTCCGGCATACCTGGGCGTATACATGGGCATGGGCGCTATTTTGAAACAAAAGTGTTGACTTCCCCTGACTGGGCGTGTACACGGAGGGTGGGCGTTATTTCGAGTGGGCGTATACAGGGGCTTTTACGGTATTCAAACCTCTAGGCTATTGTAGCCTGCTGCTATGTTGGGGGAAGTGTGTGTAAGTGTGTGTGTGGGGGATATGAGGTGCCTCAAGGTTCTAGATTGGCTACGTATTAATTATTTGCACGGTTCCCTCTTTGCTAAGTTTCTGTTCACTGCTCACCATACATGTACATATACGTGTTGGTCTGTTCAAATCCTGTCCGAAAGGATGTGTTCCACAAAATCTGTGGACCGTGATCAATCCACCGCTTCTTCGTTTGCCATTTTTCTTGACTTAGGCTGTGTGCAAGATTGTGATTGGGAGTAACATGCCCAGCTCCATTTCCAGGTTGTGACCCAGTGAATTTTGCCACAGTGCTTGATTCCCGACTGGAGACATGTTTTATCATTTGACCACTGATTGTCTGTAGGAAAGCGGATGCTACGCCGTGGAGTGAGAAAGAGTCGAAGGCCTTTTTCCGTGGATCAAGGTAATGGAATGCAAACGGTAAGTATCCAGCATACTCATAGCCATAGGCCTTGATATGGTGAATTGCTCCGCGTAAGAATTTCGTTGTGTGTCTGACTCTGATGTGTTCTACTTAAATTTACGAGTTCGGTGTGGAACTTGCCTCATGGTTTTATTGGTGTTCACACAGGACAAGTTCTGAGCGAGACCCATTGATCCTCTATTCTCGGAAGCATCCAGAATTTGCTGCCGCAGCGTACACGAAAAACCAAGCGTATCGCTCTAAAAAGGTCAGTAGCAGAAATGGCATGGACTGCAGATGCATGGCTATTTACTAGCATCTGTTGGTACTTTGAAGTAACCTGCTTCGCAAGATGGCACATGCCCCATCCTGGTTGGCTTATCACATTCCTGAATCTGGTGTAGGTGCATGGGTTCGTCTCAACAGCTGCTGATCATCTCATGTCGATTGTCTTGCTTGCATCTATCGTGTCCTGTCGGCTCAGGACACACTGGGAGAGGAACCCGCCGAAGGGGTACCACTGGAAGACCATTGCAAATACAAGTAAGTCTGACAGCATCATGGGGAATAGTTTTAAAGTAGAAAATTAAAGGGGAAGTTAAGGCTAAAATCAAAATTTCATTAGTTGTAGTCTTCGGGGTGCTGAGTCGAATGGTCGTAGTCTGAGGAAGCTGAGACGCTCCCTTCCTACTTGAATCCCAATCGAACTCGCGCACTTCCACCGAAACTGGGTGACTGCGCCCTACTAGATGGGGATTTGTATGCAAAATGTCACTAAAAGTGCCATTTCGTTTTTATAAAAGCATGGATGACCGCGAGTGGCCCATATGTTATAGTCTTTTGGACGCTGAGTCGATTGGTTTTGGTCCGAAAAGGCTGCGATGCAGCGTTCTTCCTTTATTCCCAATCGAACATGGTTGAACAAGCGGTCACGTTCTCCTGCGTACACCAGTCACCTGGTCACTGTGCCTGCAGGGTACAACTTACTAGCCTGTTTGACCTTTTTTGGGTGCAGTCCTGTCACTCGAGTTGAACTCGAGTTGAACCTTGGTGTGAAAGTTGTCGCCTGCTGGCGCGGTGACCAGGTGATTTGGGCACCCAGGAGCACGTGACCACTTGTTCAACCATGTTCGATTGGGAATAAAGGAGGAACGCTGCATCGCAGGCTTTTCGGACCAAAACCAGTCGACTCAGCGTCCAAAAGACTACAACATACCGTAGAATCCCGCGGATAAGCCCACCCGCGTATAAGCCCATGCCCGCGCATAAGCCCAGGGTTTGTTCGAACATCACTAGGCTTCATCGTACAAGCCCATGGGCCTTGGTCATACCGAGAGTCCATAAATTACGGACTCTTGGCCATACCATGTATGTAGTACATGCACATTATAGTTTTTTTTCGTACATTTCAGCACAATCATCGGTTGTTTTTGTTTGCACAGTGGTTTTCAGCAATGTACTTCTCACTTCCTTGCTACTTTTCAATAGCACAACTTGGTGTCGGCGTATAAGCCCATGCCCGCGTATAAGCCCATGTTCTCGTATAAGCCCACCGAAATGTCCTTGTGAAACAGATAAGCCCATGGGCTTATCCGCGGGATTCTACGGTATGGGCCAATCACGGTCATCTGTGCTTTTATAAGAACGAAATGGCGCTTTTAGTGACATTTTGCATACAAATCCCCATCTAGTAGGGTGCAGTCACCCAGTTTCGGTGGAAGTGCGCGAGTTCGATTGGGATTCAAGTAGGAAGGAAGCGTCTCCGCTTTCTCGGACCAAGACCATTCGACTCAGCACCCCGAAGACTACAACTGGTGAAATTTTGATTTTAGCCTTAACTTCCCCTTTAAGACAGACGTCAGAGGTGTCACCATTTTGCCAGGTCAGATGCAAGTTAACTGTGTCTTGTGTGCGTTGTACTTCCTCTGGAAACAAAAACTTCGCAACTATTTTATTCACATTCTGAGGAGTAGCTGTGTTCAAGAAATTTGGTTCAGAGGAGCAAAGGCAAAAGAAATTGGCACTGTTTGAGCCTCCCTCGGAGTCACCATGGCTCAATTCCTCGGTGCTCCATTCACCAGAACTTGCAGGTCCATCAAAGTCGCAACGTTTTTTTGTTTCAGGAGGGAGTAGTGATGAACATTGAAGAGTATGTGTAGTTCTATTACTTTTACCGTACTCTTGCATTATTCGTGGGTAAAGTCGTGAGGAGGTTTTTATATCAGCATCATTTGCGTTTCTCACTATGTGAAGACTCCACTGTAGCTATGCATTTCACCCCTTGATTCCCTACATTCTCAATGTACTCCATGTGGTCTCTGGGTTACAACACATGTCTAATTTCAGCTCCAACAGTTTTAGGCCAGACGCAACCTATACGAGTCCTCAGTCTTCTTCATAGATCTTTGATATACCACCAGTACACACACTAGTATACTACTGTACATGTGCTTTGAAGTGCAATGTAATTATGAATAGTAATATTTATGAATACAGCTCAGGAAGCTCGCTTCTGTAATTCCTCAGCTCATTGTTGATTTTTCTTGCTGCTCACCAGATACTTGTTCAACTTCCGCGGTGTGGCGGCTAGTTTCCGCTTCAAGCATCTGTTCATGTGTCGTTCCCTGGTGTTCCAAGTCGGCGAGGAGTGGCTGGAGTTTTTCTACCCAGCCCTCAAGCCGTGGGTTCACTACATCCCGCTGGACACGGATTTGAAAGACTTTGAGTAAGGTCATGTTTGCCGCCGTCCTGTTCCTTGTACCGTAGTCGACATGTCATGTTGCCTTAGATTCACTCCACCATAGGTACAGGCATTGCTGCCTTCTTGCTGTGGATCATGAGTGATGCGACAGCTCCTCGGTTATGATGAAAAACATGATGATTGATTTGCTTTCTGCGTCCTGGAGGTTCCAACACGCCCACTCCAAGGGAGTTGATGGTTGCATGGAATTTGATTTTTGCATCCTTTTCTGTCCAGTGAGGTTCTTCAGTTTGTACGGGAGCACGATGACGTAGCTCAGCAGATTGCAGAACGGTGAGTGACTGAAAGAGAGTCAAGAAAGCGTGGGACAGGGTGGGGGGGGGGGGGGGGGGTGATGTGAGAGTTTACGAAATAGTTGTGACATGAACCAAGTCTCTTCGATGCACGCATGCACCTTCTTGATCATTTTTCACTTAGAAGTGTTGCTCTAGCTCTCTCGTGTTTGGGGTGCATATACTTAGGCAGTGTTCATTCTATCTGGGTGAAAACACAGGCCAGCACACCGGGCATATTGAATGTACCGACAACAGATGCAACAAGAATGGTGCTGACTTGCTCAGTCATCATGCTGTACTAAGGGGCCGTCCAAGGTTACCAATAATATTTTCAAAACGAAAAGTTTTCGTTTGGGGGTGGGTGGGTTTGATGGAGTTTCGTTTTTGAAAATAATTATTGAATGCAGATGGAGAATGCCCAGTTACTTCTGGGTGTCGAACATTGACATCAATATTTTATTGGAATTCGTTTTACCTGCAGAAAAGGTGGGTGGGTGGGTGGGTGGGTGCTTAAAAATACTAAAACTTTTCGTTTTGTAAAAACAGTCGGTAACCCCGGACGGCCCCTAAGTTAGGTAGACAAGCAGGCAACAGCACAACCACATGCATCTCTAAATGTATGGCTCCTAAGTCTTAACTGTGAATCTCTTGATCCTGTCAGTTTGATGATGCCAAAGCCAATGAAGACGGGCGCACCTTCCCGACCGTTGGGACGAGCCCTATGTGACTGTTGACTGCCCGTATTGTCCTCAACACGGCAGAAGTGTATTGAGTAGTTGATCAGACGGATGTTGTCTAAGAGTTGCTGAGATGATCTTGCTTGTACATGTGTATGTTTTTGTTCTTCTTATGTGCAGTGGCTACGACTTCATCTGGAATAATCTGCAGCTGTCGGACGTGCAGGCATATTGGCTACAGCTGTTGACTGACTATGCTGCTCTCCTTCAGTACAAGCCACAGCTGGCAGAGGACATGATTGAGATCAGTCCTTGACAAATCACCGACCAGCAAGCATCTCACCCATCTACGGTATGGTGGCAGTCAACGAATCTACCGTCCGGTATCCATGATGGGGTGCTAGTCTAACAGTTCGCGTACTGATTCTCATCACCTGCGACTATAATAGCAGGAGCCTCTGTCTGGACAACGGCGAGGTGAAGCAAATACGGACCAATCCCCTATGCTGGTGGCCACCTGTTTGCCGAGTTATGTAGTTGAGTTAGTTGGTCAGTTACATAGTAGTGCTGGCAGCACTGTGTTCCTTCTCTGGCTTACAAGCTGTCGCTGGCTTTCAACAACACAGCGTTGTTCACGCTGTGGCTGTATGCGATTGGCACTGACCAGCTATGTGCTTTGTCGGTCTTCTGTCCGTGGCGGAGCATCTGCGGCATTCTTGAAAGAATACATCCATGCCGGTGTTGCCTTCATGCCCGTATGCCCACCTCACAGTTGTGTGCTATCCTACCGCATTGCCCGGAGCATGGTGAAACGCGGCAGCACACAGGTGCAGTGTTTACAGCTGCAGTTTATAGCGACTAGTCATTTTCAAACATTAGATTATTTTGTTAACCTTCTCCGTGCTGCTATCTTTTACTCAGCATTCTACCGACTGTTTTTTTACTGTGTAGAAACTGCACATTAATGTACAGTCAAACCCATTCAGGACCCAACACCAAGGTATCGATGGTATTTGTTCGCAATAACAGGAGTTCTTCTTATCCATATGACTGTTATTCCCAGTGCATACACAGTTTTTATATCCCATAACACAATGAATACTAGTTTTTCAGCTTTATGCATATATTCTAAAAGAAAAGTTTGTGCAGTACAGGGTAGTAGTCTAGAGTTCAATCTGTTTAGTAACTCTCTTTTATAATACATAATAATAACATCACACTTTGAAGCGAGTTGTGGTAGCACTAGAGACTAGTAGAGAATGCAGTGAACAGCGTTTTCTCCGCGAACATTTGCCATCTCAAAAATTTAGTGACGCACACATTGGTCGGTTCACAGTATATCCCACTTATTGATACATGACCGGTATTGCCCTTGTACTCGTGCAGTAAATCATACATACATCATACCCGTAACATGTTGCATACAAATCGTCTGCATGACTCACTACCGACTGCATGAGCAGATTTAAACAAATCAACTAGGTGTCAGTGTTCTCATTCCACACTGTCCTAGCCTGTCCCTCCAGGAATCCGCGGATAGAAAGTTGAAATTCTGCGCAGAATTCTGCGGCACAAATCGCTACATTATGCGGCGGATAGCGCGAATTCTGCGGCAATACTGCGGTATTTCTGCGGCGCTGCACCAGCGAAAAGACATGGCTATAATGCTATGTACAAGTATCAATAAAAATTTAGTGGTCGAAAACACACGATAGGCTCAATACAGTAACGAAGAAAACTGGTACAGTTGCTGCACTGTCCATTGCACCTGCACATCCAAATTGGAAATATCAAAGCAACGGTCAGTCGAAGGCATTACAGTCGCTCGCATTGCCCCCAAACCGTGATTTTTCACGATTCTGCGGTGAAAACCGTGAATTCCGCGGATTTTACCGCGGCCGCGGAATCGCGGATTCCTGGAGGGACAGCCTAGCTGCTGAACTCCTGAGTAATCAGATTGAGCTTAGAGCTGGGATTATAAATGTAGCCACACATGCACAGTACAGCTGTTTGAATAATCAAAATGTCATGCCACTTGCATTACAAGTACGGAGGGCGACGAAGAAACCTTTTCTGCTGCGACTCTGAATTTCATGCGCAAAGTGATTATCAGACAGCTGTGTCGTTGCCCATTGCCGTATATGAAAAAAACCTGCATGCCGGATACTTGGCTCTCAGTAAAAAACACAAGAGAGACCACCATTGCTAATTCAGTGGGACAATGCCTTACTCGCCTTCACAACAAAAAAGCTAAGAGAACTAGCAACATGTAGATTCACATGCCGGTTCTGCAGAGAGAGGCAGAGACAAGAGAAGAATAGCTGTGGTGCACAGAGCCATGCACATGGAACTCAAGGAAAGCGGCGAGTAGTAAAGAAAGATAATGAACACTGGACACACATATGCCTGTATAGAAGAGCATAAAACAATGCGAACACACGCACACACACAATGAAGCAGTGCTAGCTCCAGTGAGGTTCAAGCCATCGGATTGCCCTTGCACGCCAGCAGCCAGGGGTATCAGACTGGATGCGAAGACCAGGGTCCATTGAGCGTCCAGCCGTCATTCGTCTGCTTGACATGCCCGAGTTAGTGATTCAATCCAACGGTCGTGATCCTACCAGCATCCAGTCTGCATACGCTATGGATTAAAACTGTACAGGTAGAAGAGAACAATGTACAAAAATTACAACACAATGTACAAAAATTACAACACATACACGTTTGAGTGTACCAGTAATCAGAGTGCAGTTCAGAGCCAGTGTACATGTACCGTAAAGTACCGCGAGAGCGTCACACCAACGCGTCCTTTTGCGGTCGTGCCGTGGAGCTGGCGTCCTGTCCGTAGGTCATACGGCACATATCGTGTACACACACTGCATGCAGTGTAGTCAATCCGTACGAGTCGTACTCGGTTTAAACTTTCAAGAACATGCTAAGTGTGACCTTAGTGCACTAAGGTTCTCACACCGTACGAACTTTGTTGTACTCTGCCATACGATTTTCCTTCCCCTGACTGTAAATCAAGGTGGGGCACGCTCGCGGTACTTTACGGTTCATCAGAAACATTGCAAAGAAAGTTGCACTGTAGGTAAACAGGATAACCACACTAGTGGAATAGAGAGTCAGTCCAGTGCAGCCAGGCTGTACAACGCAAACAAGGTGGAAACATGCCTGGTCATGCCAAGATTGCCTGAGGTGTCTCAGAACACTACTGTATAAGAACACAAATTTTCGTTTGGAATTAACTTTCCCTATGTTCGTTAGGGGGCACGAAATAACTAAAGTTTTTTTCTGAACGTTCGGGGTGACAGACCTCGACCAAAAACGAAATTTAGTACGTAACGAACCTGCTGGTGGAGTGATCTAAAGAAAGATTTCGTAAACGAAAATTTGTATTTAAACAGTACATTGCAACATGCTCTGGCACCAACACCTACAACATGGTATACACATACTGAAGTACACACATGCACATGCACACACACACACACGCATACATGTACACACCCACCCACCCACCCACCCACCCACCCACCCACCCACACACACACACACACACACGCATACATGTCCACACCCACATCCACCCACACACCCACATGCACACACACATAAACACGTACAAATACCCACACATGTGCACACACACACACACACACACACACACACACACACACACACACACACACACACACACACACACACACACACACACACACACACACACACACGTTAGGCATTTTGATTGTGTGCACAAACCTACCTAGTCGTCAGCCTTGACGGCCTTCTTTTTGCTTGTCCTCTTCGGTTTCTTCTCCGTTGTCTCTGCCTTAGCGCCTTCATCGTCGGCAGGTTCAGTTTTCTTCACCGTCTTGCTGGCTGGTGCGGAGAGGTTGGTCTTGATGGTCTCGATCATCTCAGCGGTATCCTCCTCTCCCGGGAACTTGAGACGTCTAGGTGGACCTTTCTTCGAGCCAGACCATAGCAGGATGTCTGCAAACATAAGAGCGGACGGGAGCGCAACAGCGGCATACGCGTGGGGTCATCACGTTCCTTTCACGCAACATTCAGAATACCCAGACACCAGGCTTTTACCAGTCCCACACACACAAGCCTGCACTCAGCGTGTTTATGGATTCAGTCAGCGCTCATTCAGTCATCCACACGGCCTTTGCCAATCAATTCAGAGTGGAAAGGGCGATTTGCTGCCTCAATCCGGAAGAGGTACACAAAAAAAGGTGTGTACACCGTCACAGTCAGAAAAGGGTAGCCAACACCAGTCCACTATTCATTGTCAAACTCTCCACCAGGTGATTCATAATTTCAGTCCAAGCAGAGGCAGACTATGGCTACTGTTGGCTTGTCAACAACACACTGAAGTCATATTACAGACTGAACAATATTCATTGCATCTCCATTGAAGCACACAGTTGACAAACATTGTAGTTTCTGCCAATAAAAAGCAGGCTGTAGCAGATTCAAGCCGGCGACTCACCTTCCTTGTCAGCAATCTGCAGCACTAACTCAAAGCTTCCCGACTTTGGTTTGGTGCTGTTGATGTCGGCCGGACATGCTCCAAACGCCTCCGTGGCAGCGTCCACAAAGGCATTGGCATGCCGGGCATACACTCGTCAGGATTTGCTGAGACGGATACAGAACACACCAACATGTAAACAGTACACAAGACATGTACATGCTCAGGCGCACAGCTGGGAATTTATGAGAAGGCCCGTGGCCAGTGCCAATTATTGCAAGTCCTAGCAGCTCCTGGGAGCCGTCCTTGACATCACGCCAATCGGCAAGGAAAGCTACGTTAAGCTTCTGGTGGTGCTGTATGGTTCAAGCTGACTTACACCACCAAGAGTGCTGTTACTTGCAGTACGCTATCTTGTGTAAGTCATGTGTATGTAGCTGTCGTGTGGAAAGTCAGTCTTCGTCTTGAGTCTGTCATGTCCAGTCGTGTTTCCGTCATGTCTCGTACAATACGATAACAGTTTGGGTGTGAACACATTGTCTACATGACTGTACTGACCGTGGGCCCCACCTGTGATTGTTTCGTACAATGCCTTACTGATCAGTGACATTGTACACTGCCAAGTGTAAGAACGCGATAAAGAGAAAGTGAGCAATGGATGTTGTTGTTTGATATTGCCACCAGAATCTCCCTGCTAGAGTAACTAGTCCTGGGGCCTTTCCAAAATCGATGAAAGAGGATCGTCCAAAAAAAATTTGACATGGATTTCACATCCTTATCCTGCCACACAATGACTAGGAACTAAGGGGGTGATTATATGTGCAGCTCCAGCCCGGGCTGGTCGACAGGCGGGCCAGCCCGCCTGCAACGGGATCTCGGGGTTGTACACAAATCCACACAAAACCTGTGGTGCGTTTACATGGCAAGCGGGCTGGCCCGGCGAGGCGGGATCCCGCCTCGAGGCACCCGGGATCCCGGCTAGGCGGGCCAGAAAAAGTACATATAAACAGACCAGCCCGGGCCAGAGTTGTATTATTATGGTGTCGACACTGCGTTCATACTACAAAATAGGTACTTTTACCTTTTGAGGGAAGTTGTAAAGAGGATTCCCGATATTGTCTTGAAAATCTATGAAGCTTTTTGTACAGCAACAAGAAGGACGTGCAGTGAGCACTGTTTATTTGTCGACATGCAGGATTTACATTAATGATAGCTTGCATGCCGTCCTACCGGTAGGACCCAAGAAATCGCGCTGCAAAAGTGCTTTTGGTTGAGAAATTTCTTGAAACAATTGTTGAGATGAGGTCTTTGTCAGGCAAAGCAATGGCGCAAAATGCAAGACTATGTCCAGTGCATTGCATACGCGCAATTTTATCAATTGTCAAAATGGCCGCACATACTCCTGTCGGAGCGCTAGCAACTCTGTCCAAAGTGAATTTTGACCATGGCACATCAATCGTGGTGAGGTACTAATGTTTTTATTAGTCTGCCAAGGCAGTGGAATGCATAATTCCATACACCGTTTCCATGGTTACCATTTGCTGTTACCATGGAATTTCGTACTATGCTTTGTGCGATCACGTCTAAAATTTGTGGACTCCTTCATTAGCCCCTGAGCAACAGTTTAGGGTCAAGTTTTAGGTCAATGTTAGAACAGAGGCCATGCAGCATGTCTGTGTATGATGGTCCTACCGGTAGGTCCTACCGGTAGGACCGAGGTCTATGCAAGCTATCATTAAAATGGAAGGGGACCTACTTGCAAAATACTTTGATATGGACAGCTAAAAATGTGAAAAACAGGGAAAAGAAACGAGGTGATACAACACACCAAACATGTGCCACAGCGCGAAAAGAAATCAGCAGAAGTATACATTGTGTGAGAAAAAAAGTTGTTAGGTTTATAACCTGAGTATGGCTTGCAGCCCTGCGTTTCAGCCCGGGGCAGCACACTACAGTCGTGGTGTGTTTGCTGCATACTCACAACGGGCTGGCGTGTGCTCAGCGCATATAAACTCACTGCGGGCTGGCGACCAGCCCGGCCTTGCACATGTAAACACCCTTGGCGGGCTGGCCCGCTCGCTCCAGCCCGGGCTGGAGTTGCACATATAATAGGCCCCTTGGCCTTAGTAGAAAGACTCCATCGACGATAGAACACAATGCGACACATCCGGACTGGTATTTGCATAACGTTTCACGAACATAATTCGCTAACATAACAGTAAATGCACTGCACCAGGGAGTCGTCAAATACCGGGAGTGGAAACGAGATGCGCGAGCGTGATCCATGCTCGCCTCGCGCTGGAGCACGCCGATTTTTTCAAATAATCTTTTTTGTGCCACATTCACCAATTCCGCGGGATTTTCAAAATGTCAAAATTTATTTTGGTTCTTCCTGCAAGCGGAGCAGTTTAGACGTCTCCATACATAAACCTCGTCAGATTTCCGCTTCCCTTTTGTAGCACTCTTCGTCGTGGATTCGTCGGCAGTGCATGGTCATGCTGGACAGGGAGATATCGGTAGCCATTTTACGGCTGATGTTTTAGGAACTTGGGCGAGAGGTGAGTAAAACCAAGCTTTATCGAGTGAATACTTCTATCACTGAATAGCTTTGTTTTGGTTTGTTACACATGCATGCTGCATGTACGGAGCATTCGATTTATCAACCTGCAGTCAAGTACAGACCCAGGGAAGCTTCTCTTTTACTTGCCCAATGATCGTGCATAAAATTTTATGTGAAACTCGTAAAAAGAAATGCAATGGTAGATTTAAGAAACTATGTGATGGTCAGGAATCAGGATACACATGGCATTCTCTACCTGAATGAATACTTGTGACAATCTTAATATAGAATTACTGCGCTGTTTTCCGTGTGCGTTTTGTCCAGACCTGGAGACCACATCAGCTGTGTTTTCAAGTTTAATTTGCGGTACAGTAGTGGCAAGAAAGCCGTCCATCATGCCAGCATCATCCGCAGCAGCAACAGCAGCAGCACCCCAGCCCACCGCCATAGTCAACTGCACTGCAGAGACACCTAAAAGATACCATTGTGGTTGGTGTGTTGTTGCGGTGAGAAGAGAACTGGAAGCTAGCAGAAAGCCTGAGTTAACTAGCCTCAAGCCGGTGTTGGCGACTTTCGGCCATGAAATTCTGGCCAACATGTCTCCGAATCTACCAAACTTTGAAAAGATAATTGAATCTGAGACACATGAGCATCCACCGTGTGTGTGCATGCACAGTGTGGGCATGTCAGTATGTGTGTGTGTGCTGCCAAAGATGGCTCTCTCGTCGTGCCGATTGAATATGGTCCCTGACCTCTTGGCAGACTGCCGACTTTCTGCCGTCGCTTTCATGTTGTCGGCCCCGCAAGGGGACAGGTGACTGTAATGGCAGTGTTTACCAGGACCAGGTGTGTGTGTGTGTATGTGTGTGAATGTGCGTGCATGCGCAGTTCGTGCATGCCGTGTGTGTGCATGTGCAGTTTGTGCATGCCCGTGAGTGGGTGCGTGCATGTACGCATGCGTTACTGCTGACACCCAAAGTTGGCAAAGAGAAGCGAGACAGAAAGAGAGAGGGATTTAGAACAGTTTAATTCGGTGTGCATTGTCAATTCTGTGATACTCGCCACAATCGGCCAAATCTGTAATTGGATTCTCAGTGTTGGTGGTGCATATACGTTGTCATGCTTCCTCTTGACATGAGACATACTGAAAGCGGTGATGTTCTCTTACACTGAAGAAGAAAATAAGAGAAATTCCTTGACTTTATAATAATGTGGTCGTCATTAAAAAACAATAATGTTTTAGAAACAAAGGGTCCCTCAAAAAGTCAGTGGCATATCATCTTACACCGAGAAAATTCACAGGTAGCACCTATATGGAAAGAACAATGGTTACGAGAAGTTTTTTCGTGGGTCGAACCAAGTGGCTTTGATTACTGAGGCTGAGCTATTTTCCTCGATAAATTACATAAAAAGTCACGTCACTATCCGCGCGTGAATCGGGCCTCCAGTCATACATCGCAACACTGCGATAACGCCTACCGATAAATTAGGTGTCCTCCTACTAGTAAACGAGCAGACCACTGCAAATATCTCTGTATACACGTTCTGATGGACGCTTTCTCCCAAAAAATACTCAAGGCTACTCTAAATTGCATTTGACGACGCTGAGGTACTCAAGGCACTGCAAAAATTTTGCGCGAGGCGAGCATGGATAATCAAGATTAACGGCGTTTCCACTCCCGGTATTTGACGACTCCCTGCACTGCACAGTACTGTAATTACAAAAACAAAATTGTAGATTGAATGCAATCAATGTTGTACCACAACAAACATACCAGTGCTCAATGCGCAGACTGAATCCAGGATCCCCGGCACTCTCCTCCGATTGCTTTGGCTTCTTCGCCGCCGGTGCTTCCCCGGAAGGCGATTTTCTCTTTCTTGGAGGCATAGCAAGCCAAACACTGCTGAACAGTGAAGTAGAGTATTTCTTTCCCCTTGCTTGTTCTGAATCTTTCACTCTTTTCTCGCCCGAGCTCGACGAAATTTTGAACTTTTTTCCCGGGCTTTTCAGGCCCACGTGCCACAGCTAGCACGTGATGCATGTGGAAAGCTCTTTCAAAACAAAAAAAACAGGTGTCTTGGTTGTCTCGATCTTTATCTCTTGGTTGATGCTTGCTTTGTTTTCTTTCAGACGATCGAATGTCCAAGCAGATATCTAATCTTTCGTCAAGTGTTTTCGCTACCCTCAATCCCAAGAAAATTATGGTTGTTCGGAGCAGGTATCAACACGGACTACCCGAGTCAGCTTCGTTTTGAAAGTGTTGGTTTCTCTTGGTAAAAAATGTCCTGTTCTTGTGAAAACGCAGAGTTCAGTGCTGATGCTCATCAAGCTGTTTTGTCTCGTTGGACGGGCAGTTGCAGTATCTGGTCCGAGAGCAGTTGGTCATAGCCGTTTACAACGACCATGGATTGGCAGTGTCTTGCGTCATGCATCGTCGTCGACTGGAGACTGGGGTAGTGCAGCTATTCTTGCTGAATACTTACGCGATGGGAACTTGTCGCAGGATCTGTGGTCCTCGACGGCCGGCACTGTACCACGACCTATGAAGGACACGGTGGTTGCATGCATGCTGGAGCGTGGTCTCCACACATTCGCACCATCCACAGTGGAGGCGGTAATGATGACCTGCGCCAAGACACTGTTGGTGGATAATCGTACTGTGTCAGTCACCACTGGCGAATACTTGCCACGCCGGGGCAAGGCCAACAGCAGCTCCCCAGCCATGCCAAACTTCTGTAGTCTTGTTCAACAGTTACCGGAGTACATGAAGTCTTGCAAGTTGAATGATGTTGATCAGGCAACTAATTTTCTATGGGCTGCTCTGACGGTCAGTCCTCACCATTGCAGCCCGCTTCTATCAAGATTCTTGCTACACTTTAGTGGCAGGCTAGATATAGGGAAAGTGGAGTATTCTGTCTACCTCAGTGAAGCTATTCAGCGCAACTTTGACATCATTCCGGACGGCGGGCCGCTATTGGAACTACTGGCGACAACGCTGAGCGGTCGTATCAAGAGCTTGACTGTGGAGCAGGCTCTGATAACTGCTCGTGCTTGTTGCGTAATTTATGATAGTCCACGTGCAAAGCAGTTCTGTTGCGGTTTGGACCAGTTTCTGAGCTCACGTGCAGCCAGCCTGGATGCAGACAACGTTGCCCTGCTCTGCTTTTGCTACGATGCCTGCTCGCATCCCTCTAGCCTTCAGCTGACGGCTATCATTGGTAAGGTAGTGGGATCCATGAGCAGCTCGGGTGTTCGGATCGCACTCCGGTACGGAGCTCAGTTCCTTTCTCACCAAGTGTCTGCTGATTGGCTGGCCCGGCTAGGAGGGATTGTGGTTGAGGAACGGAGTGCTACGGATCTCTTGTATTCGCTGCGTTCCATCAGCATCCTGGCATCTGCCCGGCCTGATCTGAACAGTGCCTGTGGTGAGCTCACGGAGAAAGCCCTGGCAACAGTACAGAACCATTTGGATAGGTATGCTGCACATCATGTAGTTCAGCTGCTGGAATTTCTGGCAGTTTCGGGCATCCGCAGCGAGCCGCTATCGAATACCCTGGCTATGCTGGCCCTCCAGAAGATCCACTTTGTTGCCGAAGTGGGACAAATAAACTTGCTTTCATCCATTGCTTGCATTGCTGAGCAGCGCCCGCACTATAGTATGCGGGATGATTGCACAGCGCTTGTGCTGCATCACCCGCTTCAAGAAGCCCACTGCCATGCCAGGAAGTGGCTGTCGTCGCTAGCCCCGGGTCACTTCTCCCAGCGACCAGACATGTTCCCGAAGCTGTGTGTTTCTCTCCGAAGGCTACGCCTGCCCGGCGATTTGGTTGCGTGTGTTCTGCAACGTGCTCTTGAGCTAGGTCTCAAGTATCTAGGGCAGTGTGGCACAGATCGTATCCCAGAGTGTTTGCACCAGGTCGCATTCACTCTGGCCGTGTACGGCTACAAGCCGGCACGGGACTTTCTCAGCAGGTACTGCACGGAAATCATTCATCTCTCGCAGGATCGGTCATGGTTCTCGTTGGTTGTGAAGCGCACCAACGGTGACCTGGCCTTGTCAGTAGCCGCATGTCTATATGCAACAATGCAACGGTGTATGTCGCCGGCATTGCCTGCCTCTGGCGACTTGCTTGTCTTGCGGCAACAGGAGGTGGAACTGCGGTTGCTACTCAACGGCGCTCTTGTCTCCGGCATTCCTGCTCATATCACACAGGAACTGCTTCCCTCGCCGTCGCTGGCATCAACCATACCGGTAAGCCTTTGGCAATGTTTGGAGAGTTACAGGGATTGTGATTCCGTCGTCACTCATGTCAGTACCCGCAGCGGCGTTCCCGTCCCTGTTCTTCTATGCACCGACACCGATGGCTCGCCGGTCAGCAAAGACGTTCTCTTGGGCCGAGCTGGCTTGACGTTGAACCAGGCCGAGTTCATCGGCTGTGACGTGCATGCCGTGGCCATTGTCCTGTTGAATGCGTGTCACTTTGCTGTGATGAACGAGCCATCATCATCGTCATCACCATCGTCATCATCATTAAAATCCGGCCTCTCTGTAGACACTCGCCATGTCGTAAGCAGTGCGTTGTTCTCCCTGGTCGAGTTGCAGTCATTGGGCTACGTTGCGCTGCCGGTTTGCGTGGAACAGTTCCAGCTTGCCAGCCCTGATCAAGCTTACGGTCTATTCCAAAAGCAGCTTGCCGATGCATTGCTCTCCCACACGCAACCAATGCAGTAACCACGGACATGACAGCAATCTTTAAACAGGTTTTACGCCAGCAATAGGCTCATCTCAGTTTAAGGTTAACAAAATGTTGGGTCCTCCAATCAAATGCCCTTTCTTTTGTTTTTGTGCAGTAAGTTCAGGGCTGCATGCTCTGTGACAGGACTCTGGCTGCTGCCAATACGTTCTGTAAACTAATAGTACTTAATACACTCATGACCACATCATGAATGATGCACATTCGTGGATGGTTCCGGTTCCCATCTGTATAATTCAGCAAATTATTTCTGGGGCACTAGACCAGGGAATGGTTTTCAAAGTACTGTACTACTACTGGTATTTGACGACTCACTGTCGCACTAGACAAACTGATCTTTCCCAAAGTCTGGGCAATCTAGAGCAATAGAGAATCTCAGCACACAGCCTGTCACTGTGTACACATGTCGCTACCTCTTTGTCACCACTCAACAATCATGTTATCTGACACTGCCGACTATTGCTGAGGTGCATACGTCCAGCGCCCTGAGCAGAGCAGAGCTCTTGGCCAACCCAAGCCAACATGACAAGACCTACTAAACTTCTTTTAAAAAAAAGGTACTTTGAAGTACAGCCATGTAGTCTACATGGTACAGGATGCAGGGGCCAGATGCAGGGGAGCTTTGAGTTGTTCGAGCGCCCTCCGATAACAACACTAGCTCACGTGATTCACAAGACTGTCAAGAGGTTGTTCTTCAATGAAAGTCAACACAATCACCTAACTGTAACATAGGCTACAACTTACTTGTACAAGTAAAGGCTACAGCCAGGTAAACATTGAATCTGCAGAGCTAGCTAGCTGTGCACACACACACACAGCCACAGAGCTAGAGGCAGACGGTTGCTTTTATCGCCTCTTGCCAATCACGTGGGGGATTTCCGAAGTGCACCCGGACCCAGTGGATAAAATGAAGTGAAAAACCTCAGCATGCAGCTAGCGACCATAAACAAAATATTTGCTGCATGTAAATACAATGTCATGTAACGTGGTCTTGTGGCAATGAATTGTTCTTCGCCCTGGGGCATGCGTTCCGGAATCTGACCCTTCCATGATCATCTGGTCATGGCGGAGAGGGGTGGGAGAAGTCACCGGACGTCCTCGCCGCCACAACAAGCGGACGAGCCCAGCGCACGGAACAGATTGCTGGCGTACGGGTTTGTGAGCTGCGTAGCGTTCGCTGTTTATGCCAACACCCTCTCGGCTGGTTTCGTTTACGACGATAGGTACGTAGACTGAATGTAATTAATTATTTACACACTGCTCAGCATTCCATTGCGGTGCCATTGATAATAATTCATTATGATAGGATGGGCACTGCTTTCGTAAAAAGAACATCTCATAATTATTTCTCCAGCTAGCTGCAGTGCAGTAACTCTACATAATTGTATAGGACATGTGTAGGTTCCAGAATAGCGGATTCACAATTATGTGCAGTACAGTGATACACATGTACTGGTCTGGACTTAGAAATCCGGTGGAATGAGCGGGCGCCCTTCCTTGCTTAGCTTGTACACACGCTGTAACACTGCGGAAATGGACCAGCAGTGCTCACGGCTGCATGGCCAGCGGCCTGTGGCCGCTTGATTTCTCAACGGAGTTCAATGTCCGCAACAGTACTACATGAGCACATGGACTCACAAAATGTTTGATAGGCTGCCAGTTTCAACACAAGCATACGATTTCAGCATGCCTTCGAATGGTGTGCTGCATGCTTATTATTATTATTATTATTATTAGACACAATCTCATAGCATGTGACAAGCATAGCTAATGCAGGGACAGAATCCCCTGAGACAAGGGCGTTGAGCCAGTCACGGCAATAGTAAGCTAGGAAAACAAAGCAAATATTATTAAATTATAATTCAATGTAACAATGATCATGTTCAGCACCACACAATTGGCACGAAGAGACTCCTGTGTTGCTGGTTACATGTACATGTAATTGGTTAACAGTCGCAGTGTTCAATTAAAAAATACAATGTATTGGATAAAAGGAAGGATAAAAATGTTACGAGTTATGACCACTGTAAAAGCCACTATATATATATATATATTTAACGAGGTGCTAACTCTAACGAGTTAACGAGGAGAAATCTGTCGTTAAAATAGAAATCGTTATACAGAAATCGATACATATACTGTCCTATTGAGCACTGAGAATGAGTGAGAATCGTTACCTTTGGTACACGTAAACTAGTCAATTTTGGGAAATCGTTATATATGCGCCTCGTTAGAATAATGGCTTTTACAGTGACTGTTCACCAATGTAACCGGATCATATACAGTCAGCTAGTGCGACAACATGGCACGAAACTGGCAAGGAGTACTGAGACATTTTTGTCCTTCCTTTTATCCATGATTACATTGGCTGAACATCCCAGTACAATGTACTATGATAGCCACTCTGCTTTGCATTCTCTAGAAACTCATGAACTTTGGTTCACCCATCGAAGGAACCGTCGTGATGTCATGATGTCGCAGGCATGTACTCATTGTTGCACTTACCTGTGCCGGCCTAATTCCCATGACAGGAGAACCTGATAGTGTGGCGTACTGCATTCTTTTCTACAGCCGAGCCATTTTGAAGAATCGAGATTTGCTTCCCGAGACACCTATCTCCAACCTTCTCTTCAACGACTTCTGGGGAACGCCGCTGGTGCACAGCGGCAGTCATCGCTCATACCGGCCACTGTGCGTGCTCTCCTTCCGCCTCAACTATGCCGTGTCCGGAGTTGCGAGCGGCTTCTCCTACCACTTGGTCAACGTCTTGCTGCATGCAGCCGTCAGTTCTCTCTTCATGCTGGTTTGCACCTTGCTATTGCCCAAGAACACAGCAGGTATTATGATTTGACCTTTAAAAGTACCAGGTGTGCATGATTTTAGACTGGGTGGAGCACATACCGATATCTTCATATTTCAGCACCACGTCCAGGCGCGTCGGAAGGTATTTTAGTGTGGTACGGTCAGCCATCTGAAGTACATGTACAGTTTACTCGTGGAGGGAGGGGTGGCTGAGCTGAAAAAATTGGAAATTAAGAGTCCAGATCAGTGTATTTTATTGATTCACGGGGTAACTGGGACAAAGAGTGGTACGGTCAATACCGTAGTGACCGTACCGTGTCCGACGGCCCTGACGTCTGAGCTTGCATAGTGTGCTAAGTAGTGTTGTGAAAAGTGAAGTCCAACCCCTTGAATACAACAACCCTAGCACTACAGACACTCGTCCATTTCTATGTTGCACCTATCCCGGCATAACGTGCATTTCACATTGCACACTGTCCTTTCTCCCCGCGCACCACACTGCAGGCTTCCAGGTGGCGTTCTTGGCGAGCATTTTGTTTGCCGTGCACCCGGTACACACAGAGGCTGTTGCCGGTCTGGTGGGAAGAGCAGACGTAGGCTCGGCACTCTTCTTTCTCCTTGCTTTCGCCTTCTTTCACCGAATCCTGAAGCACTCGCAAGCGCCCACGGGTCAAAGTAAGGGCGTGCAGAATAGCTAGCACTAGATGATTGATGCTATATGCCCTGTTATGCTACATGACGCAGGGTTTCGGGGGGGGGGGAGAGCCAAAGTAGGACCCGTCCTATTCCAGCCCTGCTGCAGTATGCTGTGTCACTGTGTGCTATGCATGTTCCTGGATATGGGAAGGCACATCTCTGCACGGCTTCCTCCCGGCCCTTGACGATTTGATGATCACGACTCTTTCTTTTGGCCTTGCACTAGCCGTATTTTAAACATGTAACTTTTTAATGTGCAGATAAGTCACAAGTAACAGAACAGGATACCAGCCCCAGGAGAGCACCGATGACATATTTCCTACAACTACCGTATTTTCCCGATTGTCAGTTGAGCTCGATGATAAGTCGCACCCCCATTTTCAAGTCTGAACCATAGTTTTCCAATATATTCGCTCCAGTAGTAAGTCATGCTCGATTGTACGTGTAAGTCACACCCCTTTGGTCAGCCCTGAAGTTTAGTGTGAGTAGGTGTGATTAGTATTCGGGGAAGTACGGTACTTGTCAAGTATAACAGTCATAATTGCTTACAACTATGACATAATTGCTTACAACTATGACATAATTACTTACATGTACTGTAGATCTATGCAGTACATGTATAGTACTACAGTCCATTTCAAAACTATAGACGCGTACCTAGGCAAAAACCGTTATGCCAGCATCTATACCACATAAATCTGTGATCACTTTGTGCATACATTTTTCCAAATTGGGCGTCTGTTATCCAATCGTTTAGAAACTATATGAGAGTAATTGTGGAGCGGACCTGAGCAATATTCCGAAAACTATTCTCAAAAAGGTCCAGCCAAATTTGAAATATTTCAAAAACCCTACACGTCTATAGTTTTGAAATGGACTGTAGTAGAGACAAAATTACTTACAGCTACAACATAATTGCTTTGCAGTTGCACTGTGCCGGCCCATTGCCGGGCAGTGTATTGCATGGTCATGTAACGCTAGTACTGCATTATCCTGTTGTGCTGCTCCGGTGTACAGCATTGCTACTGTACGTGTCTGTCCTGGTCTCAACGGCCATGGCTATGCTGACCAAGGAGATTGGCATCACTGTGCTGGGCGTGTGCGTGCTCTACGATGCACTCGTCAACGAAAGCATACTACAACTGCCCAGCCTGCTGCACATCTTCAAAAAAGTGAGTTCAGTTACAGTGCGTGTGTGTGTGTGTGTGTGTGTGTGTGTAGACGGTTAACTAACCAGGGAATGTTCAGTCATTACTGAAAGGCTCTGAAACCTCTTGGAGCATTTCTTTGGCAATACTCAGGCGCGTGCCCCGTATGGGTTCCTGGGTGCCCGGAACCCCCTTTTTTCGCTCAAAATGCAGGATTTTGCTTCATTTTTTGAAAATTTTTCACGGGGAGGCACCCCGGAACCCCCCCCCCCCCTTGAAGGGCACCGGCGCACGAGCCTGATATTACTAACTTAGTGCATGGTACTGACCATGACAATCCACTGATGTATGCCTGCCATGATTTAACCCAGTATTGAGGTTATGTGATGACATCATCGGTTGGGAAGCTTAGGAAAAGTCGCAGCACGGCGAGGTACTAGCTCAAACAAAACAATGGAAACCTCTGACTCACACTGTATACATACCCAGTGATGATTTTATCCTGTATTGCATCGCAGTTTGCGATGCAAAATCGATCTACTGCGGCTACTCAAAAGTCACCGTGACACGCATGACAACTGCGATACATACAGACTAGACTGTGCTGTCAAGTAACATGCATACAGTGCAGTGTATGTGGTGCAGGCACTCTCAATCTGCGTGCACATGTATCATTCAGTCGTTTTTTTTGCAAATGGGCTTTCAGGCATCACTCACACGAAGGACAATGTGGTAAGCACCCAACCTTCAAAGAAAATTGCTAATCAAAATCAAAGACTGCTATACAATTGTGCATTTGCATAGCAGAAACTGCTATGCAAAAATATGACAATAAATTCATCCCTGATACCCCCCCCCCCCTCCCCATAAGCGGTGTATTCCGCTGACTCACCACCATGACATCATCTGCATAACCATGACATCATCTGCATAACCATGACATCATCTGCATAACCTCTATAGCTGCGACTGGAGCAGTTGACTGATGCTGATTAGAGTGTGTATTGTTTTACATGTTGCGATTACAGAAAGGACTCATCATGCGCTGCTTCGCCCTGTTTCTTGGCGGTCTTCTCCTGCTTGCATGGAGAGTGTCGGTGATGGGTGGCCAGGCGCCTTCCTTCTCGAGCTCAGACAACCCGGCCGCCAGCAGCAACTCCACGCTGACCCGGTTTCTCACCTTCTCCCACTTGCCGGCCCTAAACGCCATTCTGCTGCTGTGCCCGCGTGCCCTGAGCTTCGACTGGTCCATGGATGCAGTGCCGTTGGTGGAGGGCCTTGGCGATGCACGTAATACTATTACCCTCATCTTCTATGCAGTGCTTCTAGCGCTGGCCTACATGGCTATTGTGGGAAACACAGGTCAGTACACTTTGAAAGATATTATGCATCTGTATACCGGGCAGGTGAAGAACTATCCAGTTTCTGTTTCCATGGAACAACACTGCCACTCCATGATCAGGCGTCAGCATATTTACAGACATGCACAATAAAAACAGTTCCCATGTAGCGCATGAGTGAGATTGCCCATCCGTCGGCAATTGAGATTAAAACGAGAAACCACATTCTCCGCTCCATTCAGTTGCGACACACTATACATACTGATGGATAGTGTACCTTGACAATGAGGTGGGAAGAGGCCGAACAAACGCAGTGTTCTGACTTCAGTGTTTATCCTATGCTAGCTGTTTGCCAAAATGCTGACTTGAGTACGAACCCTCTGCGCCGCATTCCCATAGTGCAATGTAATGTGGTGATGGGAAACTTTAGTTTTTACTCCGGCAGCACCATTTGAATATATGTGATGATGTCATCAATACAGTGCCATGGTAGCTGTTAGTATTAGCTCCCAACAGAGTGTGTTGGCTGTAGCATGGTGGTGTGAGTACATTGTGACTTGCAGTATGTTGAACTGCGCTTGCTTCCACTTGTCCTTGCCTACTTACACCCGTTGCTTATTCACTTGTGTTCATCATCGTTTTGTGGTGCTCTTTATCCATTCGGCTACATCAATCAACCAGGTCGCTGGAAAGCGCATTCCTCGCTCACCGTGTCCATCCTCTTGGCCGCCCTGCCCTTCATACCGGCGTCGAATCTCTTCTTCTACGTCGGATTTGTTCTGGCAGAGCGAGTGCTCTACATCCCTAGCATGGGCTACTGTCTACTGGTGGCTGTCGGCATGCAGCGTGTGCGCAACCTCTCCTTCATGAAAGCCCATCGCTCGGTAAGAATCGATGGAATTTGTGGAGAGACATGCTCATTTGTATCATTGGGGCAGTAGCTTACAAGTTACAATTACAATTGTGCTCGCTGAAATCTGACCCAAGGTATTCATGGTAAACTGTGCGAATACTCGCACTGCCTTTGTCTTCTTCTCCTCCGTGTGAATGGAAGAACAACAACTTTTTTTTGTTTTTTTTTGTATTTATATCATTATCTCATGGCACATCATGATGACGGCCAGTAAAACTGAGACAAGGGTGAAAGCCAACCACAGCAGTAAAACAGATAAAAGAATACAAATAAAAGGCGAAGAAGGCAAAGGAGGAGACAAACCAGCAACTTACAATCCGTAACCATGTGCCTTGAGAGCCTTGATATTATTACCGGGCGCGTGCACCGGTGCCCTTCAAGGGGGGGGGGGTTCCGGGGGCCTCCCCCGGGAAAAATTTCAAAAAATGAAGCAAAATCCTGCATTTTGAGCGGAAAAAAGGGGGGGGGTTCCGGGCACCCAGGAACCCATACGGGGCACGCGCCTGATTACTGAGTGCTACAATTGCTTGTGATCCTGCTCAGATGTTCACAGCATGCATAGCAGTAGTACTATTAGCACTGTCAATGCGAACATGGCAACGCAATGCTGACTGGCAAAACGAAGAGTCTCTGTACCGATCTGGAATACCGTACAACCCCGCCAAAGGTAGTACACTGCTGTTGGTTTTTACTGCCTGTGTGAGTACAATACTACATGCATGGCGTCATTGTTGGCTCATGTACACACACACACACACACACACACACACACACACACACACACACACACACACACACACACACACACACACACACACACACACACACACACACACACACATACACACACACACACACACACACACACACACACACACACACACACACACACTAGTGACTTTACTCCCTCGCACCCAGACGCTGATTTTTTGGAAACAAGTTTCTATACTTCCGATGGGAGAATCCGACAAGGCAGTGCATTTCGGCGTGGCCAGGTCAAATTGTAGAATATCGCATCGAGTGAATTGCTTTATCTGAGAGAGGAGATGTTCGTGCCCTTGAGACCCGAAGTCCCGTTTCCATACGACAAAATTTAGGAGCTCTGCGCTCAGCGCTTTTTCAGGGTATGAATTTCGGGTTGTTCTGGTCGGGTCGCAGCGTCGCGGACTATTCCATCGTCTTCAGCGTCGAAAAACTACTGACCATGTGAAATTACAAGGCGGTGAGACGCTTTAGTCTTCCTCTACGAGCGAATTTGTTCTGCGCCAGCATACCTAAGTATGCAATTTCGTACGCGCAGTTCGAGTGACGAGGCGTGTGCACTGTACACTGTACTGCATGCACGGACTGTGCGGTCGTTCTCGATTCTCCCATCACTCCCATTCATTTTTGTTTCCAGCAAAAGTCCAACTTGGCGCACTTCAACTCACTATAACTCAAGAATGGCTGGGCCGATTCGAATAATACTTACAGATTTCCTATGTACTACGCCTGGGAGAATGGAATGAGACCAAAATCGAAGCGATCGGAGCAAGTTTTGGAAATTGGGTGTAGTCACTACACTACTACTACTACTGTAGCTTGGTTGCCACAAGGGCCACACCACTCCGAAAGGAGCCAGAGTCATTGTCAGGAGCAGAAACGGAGATGACGACTCAGGTCACTCTGTCGACGGAACTGACGGCTGCAGCGAGAACAGCGAACACCATACGACGCTCTATCAGACTTGGTTGCTCGATGGCCACGGTCGCACTTGTGACGTCTGAAACCAGGCACTGACTTGAACTGCCGATTGCATGTCACACACAAGAGAGAAGCTGGGACGTTGAGCGGAATAGGTGATGCCGGCGCGGACGCTTCCGATGGTTCCAGGGGCAAACAATGATGTACACGCAAGCCACCACGAGAGTGAAACCACCTCCTGCATGTACCACACTGCACAGCACCACACTGTTCCTGGATGGGGAGACTTCGTTCTGCGCTACACTTGTGTCTTGCTTTGTCACCTGGCCGACGAAACGAACGGTGGCAGATAAGACAGTCCACCCGTTGAGATTGATCATGGGAAGGACCGCCGAGGCTCGGCCCAACGGCAGACACCCGCCAGGTAGATCGATCCTGAGCAATCCCATACCAAGCTAGATGTTCAATGCCGATGTGCCGAAGATCAGCCGAAATCACATCCCTCCAGCGACGACGGGGACCACACGCAGGCCGAGGCGACGGTAGGAAGCCAAACAACAGCTGCTTGGGCACACGAACATCCGACATGCGGGCCACATGGCCAAGCCATTCAAGCCTCCGCTTCCGAAGCCGGGAGGACAATAGCGATGGATCACCCCACATCTCTCGGAGCTGCTCATTGGTGATGCGTTCCTCCCACTGTTGTGTTCGCGAAACACACAAGATGCTACGGATGCATTGGTGGTGGAAACTATCGAGGCGCCGGAGGTCACCCTGCAAAGGGCACCAGCACTCAGAAGCATACAGTAGCACTGTCATCACACAGGCGTTATACAATCGGCGCTTCACATGGAGTGAAAGATCACGATTATCAAACACATCCTGAAGCGATCCAAAGGCACGCGAGGCGAGTGACAAACGCCTCGAAACGTCTCCTGCAGAACGCGCATCCGGAGTGATGACAGAACCCAGATAAACGAAGGAGGAAACATTTTCCACCACCTGTCCATGAAGCGGAATGCCAGCAGTGTCAACTGAAGTAAAACCAACACCAGCCACCATAAACTTGGTCTTGGGTATACTCACAGTGAGGCCAAATTCAGCAGAAACATCCTGGAACGCCGTCAAGGCCAACACAGCATGCTCCCGCGAACCAACTACAAAGTTTGCATCGTCCGCATACTCAACATCAACAACAGCGGTCTGCTGATAGGTACGGGTTCGTCTTGCTGGGTTGAATAACTGGCCATCCAAGCGATAGTGAAATTGGATGCCAATGTCTGGGTCACGATCAGCGAGAACAGACCGCCAACGTTCAACCACCAGAGCCAGATAGAGGTTAAAGAGGATTGGGGCCATTACACACCCCTGCCTCAGGCCGTTCTCCACACGAATTTCATCCGTGACACCTCCAGGCACACGCACCTCCGCCACCATGCCATCATCACTACACACACACACACACACACACACACACACACAGTCACTACACACACACACACACACACACACACACACCATGTACCACCATGTACCACCATGTACCATGTATACGCCCGTCGCAAGAGAAGCATGCAAATCTGCAAATGCACTGGATGTGCACCCACAGATTTTCTCTTATAGCACTGATAGCGAACAAGATCTGAATGAGACAGATCAAGACTTGCGCCAGATAACTGTCTAATCCACACAACTGGCGAAGCCATGTGAATCGACCATCAATGCAAACCTGGTCTACACCACACGGAGTACATCGGCATAAAACGGCCAAGACAGTTACCTATGCACACCCTACACACACACACACACACACACACACACACACACACACACACACACACACACACACACACACACACACACACACACACACACACACACACACACACACACACACACACACACACACACGCACACACACGCACACTCACTCACACACACGCACACATACACATATACACGCACTCACACCTGAGGAGAAGGCCTGTTGAGGTGTAACATTTTAAAGTTAACGTTGTCTCTTGCATAATACTGGTATACCCGGGTATTGTTATGTTGCATATGAGTCATGCCTCATGAGCTTGACTTGGGCGATTGCATTGTCCATATAATTGTTGGAGCACTCTTGCTATGACTGTATTTTCTGAAATTGGGGCTGGGTGTGCTCTTTTCTTCTTACTCCTGTCTGAAATAAGTGCCACATCATTTCAGGGCTTTCTGTGTGGAATTTTTGGAATTGGGTGAAATTTTCGGCTACTAAGTGCCTCGGCCAGTATTGCCGAAAGTACGGTAATTCTAAGCCAAGCACAATACACACAGCACATGGTACATGCATGCACTTCTCAACTCGCGTCACGATTGCATTACGGTTGGCGTATCATCTTCTGTTCAGCATGGGGCAATTTGGCAAACATCCTGAAAGGCAAAGGCGACACGCACGGTGCAGTGGACGCCTACAGGAATGCTCTCAAGCACCGCTCAAACATGGCCGATGCCCACTACAACCTGTGAGTCTGAGCTGATGTCTCCCGGCGGCGGTGGCACATCCACCGGCAATGCAATGTGTGCGTGCATGCCACCCTGCCATGTTATTGTATAGGAGATGGAGATATAGCCAACTGTGGAGAAAGCTGTGTGTGGATATCGACTTGATGAGGCTATATTGTGTTGACAGTCCTGTGTGCTGTTCCAACTTGCAGTAGAACACAAAGTAGAAGTAGATAGTGTTATATCATCCGTATCATGCCTGTCATGATTGTCTGAAGCTATTGTCTGTGTTGTGGTTGACTTCACTCCTTAGTACTATTGACTGGCCTTTCGTACAATACCTATTGATGTCTAGAGACATACTGTCTAGCCTTCCCCTCGTGCGCTTATTGATACACTATCCAGCTGTCCAGTGGCTCTCCTTCTACCGCTCTCTATCTCGCTATACTCTTCTTCACACTCTATAAGTTCGTGTCTTCTTTACAATAAAATCAGTTCAGTGACTGACGAGTTCGAGATCACAACATGGTGTCAGAAGCGGCTTGATTACGAATCCAGCCGAGTTGCTTGCAATGTAGTCCTCAAACTGTACTCCTCTTTACCCGTTTTAGCCCTCTCACTCAGGCTCTCTCTAGCAATTCTGGCTCATTGCAGAAACCGTCCGTCTGCCTCATTCCAGAAACCGTCCGTCTGCCTCATTGCAGAAACCGTCCGTCTGCCTCTAAGCAGAATCCGTCCGTCTGCCTCTAAGCAGCCTCCCTGCCTCCGCGTTCCTACCGGTCGCAGCTCCTCGTGTAAGTCTCATTGCAGCTCCTGCATAGTCCTCAGACGACGTCGATGACCTCCTCGTTCGAGAACAACTGATCGTGGCCCTCCCGGCCGATGCCCAAGTCTTCCTCCTCCGTCAAGCGCCTCAGACCGCTACCACAACTGTCGAGCAGGCCGAAACTTACCTGCGAACGGAGAGGACAGAGATGGCGCTCCGCAAGTCTCTCCCGGGTTCACCGCCCCTCGCAAACGCGGCGGAAACCTCAGACAACTCATCGTACTGTTCGACCTCCGACATCGTTGCCTCAGTGTAGTAACGATCCATCGAGTCTGTGGTGGTGCAGCTCACCCTCGGCGTGATTGCCCAGCTACAGACAAAGACTTGCAAGAAACTAGGTCACTTCCGCGTGTGTCAACGTGCAACAGCGCCACCGTGACACAAGTCAGAAATCCGTGGGTTGTGTTACTGTAAGTACCACCACAGCACCAAACAGTCATGCTGTCCGTGAGTGCGATGCTGACATGGACTGTCCATTCTTAGGGTAACTCCACGTACTTTCTACTCGTATTCTGTACTCGTAGAGTCGCACTCTGATCTCTGCGTCTTGCTCTTTGTGCTCACACTCCTTCCACATAACGCATGGTTGCGCTCTTTCTCTGCTGGCTCTAGTATCAAATGCTCCAGTTCTATTTGGCCTCTTTGCCCTCTGTTTTCACTCTTTGCTTGAAAGGGGAGATGTTATATCATCCGTATCATGCCTGTCATGATTGTCTGAAGCTATTGTCTGTGTTGTGGTTGACTTCACTCCTTAGTACTATTGACTGGCCTTTCGTACAATACCTATTGATGTCTAGAGACATACTGTCTAGCCTTCCCCTCGTGCGCTTATTGATACACTATCCAGCTGTCCAGTGGCTCTCCTTCTACCGCTCTCTATCTCGCTATACTCTTCTTCACACTCTATAAGTTCGTGTCTTCTTTACAATAAAATCAGTTCAGTGACTGACGAGTTCGAGATCACAACAGATAGAAATATGCTTAGTGTTAAGTCAAGCACTCGTACATCATTCCATGCTGGAGTGGACTGGGATTGTACAAAGTAATAATCTTTCGAAATATGAAACACAGTGTGCATCACGTTATTCGGCAGCCACTGGTGCACTTATACCGGGCCATTTCAAATGCATTTGTTCTATTTCTTGCGTTTACGTGTGACAGAGGCGTCACCTTGCAAGACCTGAAGGACTTTCCCGGCGCCGGGAGGTCGTATCGCAACGCGATTGAGTGTCGGCCCAGCCTGGCTCTGGCACATCTCAACCTTGGTATCGTACTACGTACCGTGCAGAACACTTCCGAAGCTGAGAAGGTAGTGCTGCTGATTGCTGCAATGGATGCTTATCTACAACACTTTAAAAAGATAATAACAGCATTAAATTGGAATAGATGCCAGGCTGAACACGCATAGTTAAGGGCACAAATGTATTTAATTCTTCAGAGTTCCAATGTGTACACCGTATTTGCCGGTTCACTACACAAGCCTGCTTACCAGGTGTACGGTACATCGTATTCGCAGCTCACTATAGTCGTACCTATTTGTTTGAAAGGCAACGTTTCTTGTCACTATGTTTGAAATTGAGGATCATGTTTGGAGGCCTACAGAAATCAAGGCCAGATAGGAAACAGCAGGGCCTGTCCAGGTGTGCCAATAGGGTAGGCCCAGGCTTGGATAACATATAGTCTTGCCTTCATTGAACGGGCCACGCATCAAGAATGCTACTCAGTGTACCAATCGAAGTGTTAAGTTTAGACTTGCTAAACTTTCCGTTCTTACTTTTTAAATAATCACGTGGGTTCCATTCTCGTTGGGTTTGTTTATGTACCCGTAGGTCCTACTCCATTGCACCACCATCCCTGACACTGGTTTGAAAGATCCCACGGGTCACAACACAGCTGGTAAGGGTGGCAACAAACTCCTCCAGACCGAGTTCATGGATGCACCACTGACCAGTGTTACTCATGCCTAACCCAGTACTGCTAGGTGTGTGACAGTGCTGCCGACAGTGCTCCTAGTAGCAGCATTTGCTTCTGGTGGTGGTGGTGGTGGTGGTGGTGGTGGTGGTGGTGGTGGTGGTGGTGGTGGTGGTGGGTATGATGCTGCTACTGCTGTTACCTGCATTGTTTAGGCTCAATATGACTACTGGTACCGGTGATTTCTGCATGCAACTCACATTGAGTACCTGAGACAGTCTGTAGTATCAGCTTGTTACATTGTTTTGGACCAGCCGAATGTTCCCTAAAGCTTTACAGTCACTTCCAGGAGATTACAAACATTATCATTCAATGTCATTCATCGGCGCAATTGAAAATGGAAACAGAAAACTGGTATGTGCCCATTGACTAAACAAGACCAGTGCATACAGATCATAATAATAATTTTATGATTTCACAAGTTCACACGGGAATGAGCTCAAAGCCGGGCATTTCACAAATTGAGTTTCTGTCTGTTACCCATTCGACTGCAGTCACATCCTGTATGTTCACACTGGGACAGCTCTATCAAGATCAGCAGCGGCAGAAAGTATGTTGCAATTCTGCTGCTTTGCACATACATACACACGCCTAGTGGGAGTTCACTCAGGGGATGCATCGTCTTTTGTTGTAAATCCATGCAAGTGCCATGGATGGCATGTGAGCTACTTTACCTGTCTATTTACACCATATCTGCTGTTCACCGCCATCGCAAACCTGCATGTATCTCTTCTGCTGCTGGCTAAAGCAGCCGGCAGCAACCACTCGGGCGAGTTGCAGAGTAGAATACTACCTACAATTCCTCCAAAAATGTCTTCAACTGCACTGTATAGCCGTGTGTGCAGTCACCAACTCTGTAGAAGCCCCTCTCGGAGGTTTACTATCTATCCCTCGCTTGCCGACTGTGTTGATTTGTTCATCCTATGTATGCGCTAGTGATTCATGTTAGCCATGTTCACGCATCAGAAACTTTGAGTTGCTTTCCATTACTCTCCATCTGGTCATTCTGACAAGTCGACAACACTATACATTATGTACATGTATGATCTCCCTATACATGTGTAATCTGCCTTGCATTGTACATCCAACGATCTTCTGTACATGACAAGTATAGCCATCCAGACATGGGCAAGAGTACTTGAAACCAAGCGTGTGCAGCTCCTGACTTTTCTGTTGCAGAGACTGAATTGCCGGATTGTATCAGTTTGGTGCAGACATGCGGTGGGATGTGGCACTGGTGCGTACGAACTGAGCTGCAGTTGTGCAGCAGTAGACCTGCAGCTTGCATCCTGCTGAAGGCTTGTACCCACTACATCACTCACGGTAATCCGGGAGTTTTGCCCTTCCAGCAACCCGTGGTGTTTGAGCTGCGTACTCTTGGTTTCATGTATTAGTAGTAGTACTCTTGCATTGGGGTGGGGATGGGGGTAACCATGGTAACACATGTAACACATGTAGCAAGAAGGACCCATGAGTGTGTGTGATACCCGGTAGCGTATTCGGTAGGGCACTGTCCCGGAAAGACAGTGGCTCATACAACACACGCCATTTCCAGTGCCGCTCTGTGTTTATTGTTGTTTTTAAAGCGTGTGTTGTCTGCTGCCTTTTGATAGGACGCTCTAGCTATGCTTGAGAAGGCTCTGGGCCACGCACCTCCCGGCTATGAGATACAGAGTATCTACAACCTTCTTGGTAAGCTGCCCTCGACTATAAGCACGAGACAAAGAACATACATGACCAATTCACCTGTCACTGAATGCACGTTCTTCTTTTGTATAACCGGTGGTTTGGCGGACGTATGAAGTTTACTTTCTTCTTTTACCACCTCCACTAATATTGAATGAACATCGCAGGCATCTGCAGTATGAACTAAGCAATAGATTGTCTCCGCCATGCAGTGTATATTCATTGTTCAATGTGTATTGATCGCTTGCTGTCTTCTCCTGGCTTCACTATGCTATCTAGGTGGGGCGCATGCTAAGTTAGGTCAACTAAAGCTTGCCGAGGCTAACTACCGCAAGTCCTTGCAGGCTAAACCGGATCATCTGCCAGCTATTGTTTCTTTCGCACAGTTTCTGGCGGAGCAGGTAGGGTAGTCCATAGTCTGAACTGTATTCCTGTGATTCTGCGAAACGGGTCACTTTGGCTACAGTAGATATTTCATAACAATTGGTAGCATGTCTTTCATCGTGTCAGGCTAATTTTTTGAAAGAGTGTCACGGTATGGAGATTCCGTGCGGCTGGTAGTAAAAGTGCATGGCATAGCCTTATCAGGTATGTATATCATTATCCATCACTTTTGTTCTGGCATTCTTTGGTACTGTGTTTGCCGATATTCTGCACTGGCAGAAACGGGTGGATGATGCAGAGGCAGTGTATAAATCCGTACCCGGCAATCCGACTGCACGGACCTATTACGGTGAGTGTTTATGATTATGTAGCACTTGTCAGAGCATGCAGGCGCCATGTAATGCAGGTCATTGAAACATGGTCGGCATGGGGGGGGGGGGGGGCTTATGCCCCAGCCCCGGATCCCTTCAGGGTCTGTAGTTTGCATAGATGTATGGGATTGCAGTTCTGAGCATCCCGTGAGCATTATTATAATCTAAATGCTAATAACAGCGGACCGTCCAGTGGAGAACGTTTACCATGGTTGGGTTTGTTGATTTCAGGCGTGTTGCTGTGCAATCAGCCCAAGCGGAGATTAGAAGGTGCAGCAATGATGGAGCAAGTGCTCAAGCAGAGTCAGCAGACGTCTAATCCTGAACTCCTCGTGGCATTGTCGGATTGCTACCGGTAGGTTATTGTGGTGTTGTCACGGTATCATTATCACTCATCCGATTCACTGAGAGGTTGCAGTCAGAGCTCCAGGGCCTTGGCCTGCAGCGGGTTGGGATGTTGAGTATGAGTAGCCGATACTTGTACTATGCCGTCTAAGTCTACAAATTTTCGGCCCATTCAAGTTTCGGCCTCCCAGGGCTAAAACCCATTTCGGCCGCATCAAATGTTGGCCTGTACTGCTGTCGCCTGTATACACTGCCACACTGAACATTGCAAAACAAAATTTCCGCCGCTGCAAATTTTCGCCCAAACATGACCAGGCCGAATATAGCCGAAAATCAATATGCGCCGAATATTTGTTGACTTCCAGTAGTATTGTGTTTTGGGTAGCATGCGTGTTGTTACCTGGTTAAGTACATTGTACAATTCATGCACCTGCTGATACACTGGAAAGATGTGTGATCTGAAGCATTTCATCCAGGGAATCAATGAAGCCGTTTAGCAGTCACGGTAATGTAAAGATCTGCGTTTGCTCAAGCATTCACTATTGTACTTCCTCCGCGTCATTAAAATTGTCGCTTCGCGCATCGCAATATTTGTGACTTGGCTCGTCTTAGTCAGACTTTCGGAATCGTTGTTTTCTGTGTTTGAACACTGGTGTGACCCTTCCTGCGCAATGTCTACTTGTCACTGAAGCCGTGGTGGTCTCGAACTTTGTCGGAGCTCTCTTCCGCACCAAGCGAATTCATCGCGCTCCGCACTATTCCGCCCCAGAGCGCATTTCGTTTTCTGGAGTTCGTGCCGTCCCACATCGTTCGCCTGGGCGTTTGTCAAGACTGCAAGCTCGGGTATAAGAATGCTGGTATCTCTCCTGAATACGAATTGCTGAAGTTGGCGATGGCAAGAACAAAGTGGTCTCAAATTCCTAAAATGCGCTACTTGTGGCGCATGTTGCTGCGAAGGTAGCAGGTCTGAAAACATCAACAAAATCAGCGAAGCGCTTGCCAAGGAAAGAAGGTGCGGAACTGCTTACCCTGTCCCGCTGGAAGGTCGTTACAGTGTACTTGAAAAATGCTAGCTTGCCTTCATCGCCTGGCACCTGGAGGCATGGATCGCCTGAAAACGAAGTTTCTTGACCTGAATTTGAACGCGCGTCTTGTTCAGCGTATTGTTGAGTGCTGAAGGGTCTGCCTCAAACTCTGATGAAGACGTCGACCTTAGCTGCAAGTGCAGCGAAGTGGGGGTCACAAACTAAAGCTTGGCCCGTCGACAATGCTCTGCCTCAATTTCTAGCTGATTTCTGCGCCCTTCGAGTGGACAACATAATTTTCGAAAAATCGCTCTGGGAAGCGACAATTTTAATGACGCGGAGGAAGTAAATTGTAACCAGCAAAAGGAGCTCATGACTTCTGTCCGACTACCTGAAACAATATTCCTATCTATTCCATTGTATTCCATTGTATATACTTATAATATAAGTTGAATATATAACATTGTGCATTGTCGCCCGTTCGGGAAGCGGTGGAACTGATTTCAATACAATACAACACGATACAATACAATGCAATCGTAGACACTCGGCTACTCCACAACAAAGATCAGTGATTTGGACGTCATGGTTAGTGTACATGATGACTATGATCTCTCTTTTCTTTAGGCGTGCTGAGAAATACGACAAGGCCATCACCTTCTACAAGGAAGTCACACGGATCCAGCCGGTAGGTTATAGCCCGAGTGAAGTTCTTTACGAGTGCTTTGTAGACTGCAGATTCTACACACACATGCCAGGTGTCAAACAGAATGGTACTGAAGTGCACTATGTTAGCAAGACCTCCGGAGATTCCAAGGCATTAGATCAACTTGTTGGATGCCCCTGACACGTGTGTGTGTGTGTGTCACTGTGTGTGTGTGTGTGTGTGTGTGTGTGTGTGTCACTGTGTGTGTGTGTGTGTGTGTGTGTGTGTGTGTGTGTGTGTGTGTGTGTGTGTGTGTGTGCGTGTTTGCATTTCCAGACTGAAACAGCATTCTCCAATCTTGGCGCGGTCTACCACTTGTTAAATAAGTATGCGGAGGCGGCCGACGCCTATAGGCGAGCCCTGGACATCAATCCGAGCAGTTCTCTGGTCAAGGCCAACCTTCAGAAGCTGGAGAAACTTCAAAAGAGATCATCTTAGCATTTGGTGACCATAACAGTTATTGGGTACTCCCCCGGCTCCATCCCCCTTGTGTACCGTGCCCAATCCAGCCATGGTATGCCTGTTTCTGCATCTAGTGGCTGCAGTACGTGTAGGTTACTGCTTGAGGAGACATTCCCTATGCTGCCTGGCAAGTGATACTAGTGGACTATTCAAGTGAGGTGGCCGACAATGGGATTTTCAGTGCTTCTATTACTTTTGGGTTGGCGAGCTTGCAGTGCAATCGTAACAGACAACACAGCCAGCACCGTTATCCAGCAGACAAAGCCACGTAGAGTCCCGCACCGTGATCAGGTCATGGAGAGCACGGGCGGACATGTTCACTGTATTTACAGAACACTCTGGTTCAGTGTTGAATTAAATTTTGAACATCGAGACTTCTACAAGTACTCGTTAAACTTTCTTTTAAATCACGATAATTCTTTATAAACTCATGAATGGTAATTAGATCCAAAATGATTTTAAAAATATCTCATTGTACTAAAAGTATCAAATTCTATATAAAAGCAGTAAGCTGTGGTTGATAAGTACATATAGAGGTCACTCAGGGCAATGCCATGGAATAGAATCGTTATAATTATTTCAAAAAGCGTGTCATGCAATTTGCTACACGGTTTAGTAACTTCCACCGTGCAGTGCAGGTGCATGGCAGTGCAGGTGCATGGCAGTGCAGGTGCATGGTAGTGCAGGTGCATGGTACAGAGTAGTGCGTTTGGAAAAACATGGTATGCCTTTCAGATGATCTAGTAGATTCTCTACCAAATGCACTTTTTAATAGACGTTTTTCCTGGGAGCAAAAAATACTATGTGATAGGTCACATGGACCGCGTTTCCTCAAACACAGTCGTAATGTAGAGTCTACACCTTGAGAGTTCTGTAGTGGATATGTGCAGACCAGTAAAAACGCGAGAAGCTGACACGTATGTCTCAGACAATGGTTTCGTTGTGCGTTACCATGCTGCCCAGGTCAAAGCTGCTGACGACTTCGTCAAACGTGCTGTGAGCGAGCTGGCCAGCAGTCGGGCGCAAATACAAGTAGCCATCCTGGAACTTGATCGGCTGATCCGTGTCCGGTAAAGTCGGTGATCTGGGCCGATTCACTTCCACTACGATACCCTTCCTGGATAGCTTGTAGTAGAGAGATGTACTAGTCTGCCAGCTCTCATCTCTGCTGCACAGGTCAAGAAGCTGCTCCAAGACCGGACCAATTACGCCGTCGAAGACGATATGGCCCAGCATTCTCGCCTTGGCAAAGCCGCCTCCAGGATGTGATAACACTGCGGCCTCTATGTCGTACCACAAGCAGCTGACGCGTATCTTCTCCTCCTGTGGCCAGCAGGCGGTGCGCTTGAGCTCTGCACACTTGGCGGCAAAGTGCTGCTCCCGGTTCAGGATGTCGACAGCCGCAAGGTAGTTGACAAAGACAACGTTGCCGCAGTACTCGGATCTGATGAGCTGGGATCGTGACACTCTGGAACTGTCCAGGAAAGACAGGCCGACACTCGTCATCTCCTTGCCGAGGCGCCGAGGATCGATCGATAGTACAAGAGAGCCTTTATGCTGCCTTACGTCGTGCGGTGGTTGGTGCTTGATCTGGTTGGTTTCGTAGACAATGCTGATCTTGGATGCGGGCATTTGGCTGAGGAGTAGGGCACGTCCGACGGGGTGCTCCAGTAGTGGTGCCAGGTTATGCAGCAGCTCATCTGGATAGTCACCGAATATGAACTCTCCCAGTCGCGGCTGGTCATCCAGTGGCGTGTGATGATACATCCATTCCATGTTGCACTCCAGCGACATGGAGCACTGCGGAAGACGGCAGATCTTCTCGAAGCGGCGCAGCGTCAGCTCGGCCACTTTCAGCCATTTCAGATAGCACTCTCGATCCGCTGGCGGAATACTGGAGTAGCCATGCAGTCCGTATGAGCAAGGGTCCGATGTGCATTGTCTTGTTGTGCTCCAGCTGGTCGCACTGGGTTTGGGTGGGGATTGTACTGCGTGATTCAGAGAGTCCCGTCGAGAGCAATGACTTGCGGTATCAGACACGACGTCATCACTGCCGCTGGTACTTGCCAGGGCTGCACGCGGATTGCCGGCGAACGGTGACAGTTTCCGTAACCATTCGACGCACTCCGCCTTGGAGTCGCACACGACAGAGTGTGGTCTTCCCTTCAACACATTCACTTGTATGCAGACATCAACGCTCGTTCCCGGAGGCCAGGGGCCACCTTCTGCCCGCTGGCGTTTCACCACACTGCGAACGTTACTGGCTATCAGGACGTCCGTGGGTTTCTTGCCTTGGCTAGCGTCTTTCTTACTCGAGTACATTGATAGGGTACCGTGCCTGTCCAGAACGAGAAATCTGCGTCGCCATGTCTTGAGTCGACCGCCAACAAGCTTCGTGACCCAGCCTGCCATCAGGGCTTTCTCCGCGGGCTGAGCCGCCGCGGAGCTGGGGCTGCTTGTCCCGTTGCAGCGTTTCATCTGCTGCAGCATGTGTGGTGTACTACATGCTGAGCTCAGGCAGTTGTCCGACACGGAAAGTTGTCTGCACGCACCGACTGGACGCAATGCAGAGCCGGATGCTGCGGACCTGGGCGACGAGGTGGCCATTGATTTGTCCGAGCACGTTGGTGAGATAATGTTCCATAGCGAGAGACTGGCTTTTCCTAGGGATGGCGTCATGGCAGCAAACGTTACAACAACCTTCTGAATCAGAGCTTGAGTAACACGACCTTTCTGTCCCTCCCTCTATCTCTCTGCAAATGGGACCAGTAGAGAGTGGCGCGCATCCGGTTTCCAAGGTACACACGACAAAATCGGTTCTAAGGCAAAGGGGAGAAACAGACATCGAGCTCTGTGACTTCGGTAATTATTTTTCCACAAGTTCAACTTGTTACAATTGACTACATTTCTTGTGCTATGGACGGTTTTATTAGCCCTTTCGCACTCGCCATCCGACCATCGAGTCACCGACTCGAACACGTGCGCATGAAAGTTGTAGCGGCATAAACGGCCGTGAAGTCGTATGCCAAACCAGGAGGTACAGTACATGCACCACTCGGCACGGCGAATCTACGGCGAATGGTGTAGCATCCGTGTTGTGCTCGCGTCATCAACGTTGCTTGAGCGGCGTTTCTCCAAACGTTGCTGTCCTTCTACAAGTAAAGTTAGTTGGCCAGTCACTGCAACATACGCCTCGACAAATCATGACGGTGGTACTAGTAGCATAGCCTGAGCGTACACACCGCTAGTGATAGACTGATAGGACGAACGATCTCGCTGACTACATCACATTATGTGATGCATGATGAGCCACCGCCAGCAGCTTCCCACCACAGACGCACGGCGATAACCGGGATTGGTTATTGCCGTACCATCAAGGTAGCAGCAGTTCGACTACGGCTTTCTGCACGGAGTCGTGGTTTTCCAAGACTCCCTGGCGTAGACCTATGCCTATGGGCTATGGCCTACTCTTTGCTCTGGCCTGGACTAGAGACCACGATCATGCGTAGATCTACGTTCGTGTTCGGCTTGGCTGCAATGCCGTGCGCGAGCACTGTAAATACACGTTCACCGATGGTTTAGTGCGGTGTGGAGAGGCCGGCTGCTACAGGAGTCTCCGCACCATCGCCTATACTGCATCTCAATCTCTGCCTAAGTTACACAACTGGTAACGTCCCAAGTTGCATCAGCTTACTGCTGGACAGTATTCAGTAACGCTTCGCTCTTTAGCATCCTGTCAACATGTTCTCTACGCCGGTGTGCGAAGCCGAATGTCGTTACATAAAGCCCAAGCAATAATCACTAACTGCTCGCTGGATGGACGATCAGTCACAACAAATCGAGGTGAGCATTTGATGGAGCACGGCTGGACGGCCATGGAACATCGCCGTGTTTTGATAGAATGTCGACTTTCAGTTTTGTCAGCAGTGTAGCATGGCTGCTTTGTAAGGGCTATCGGATCTAGGTCGTTCGCTTTTCATGACCAGCTCCATCAGCGTCAAAGTTATCACACACACCCTTCACAGGGGATCTATCTGATCATGCAGCTAGGTCAATGAGGGCATATACGTACATCTCTTGACAGAAATGAAGAAGCGTTCCTGGTCATTACCCTGACATATAGGCGTTAAGTGCCGAGCTCGATGAACTCTATTCACCTCCATCAACACGTCCATGAGCCTGTCTTTAAATGATCGCTGAGCAGTCTAAAACCTCCTTGGCAAGTTCTTGCGTGTATTTTCATGATCTACATGTACATGTAAATCAACATGATTGTATTCCGTTGATCTTGTCGGTTCTTTGACCACTGAACGACGTCACGTGGTAGCCTCTACAGTCATGCTGTATACTGAGACAGTGCCCGGGAATGACGGGTAGGATACCTTCTGTCTGCAAGACTACACCAGTGGATCTACAAGTACAATTCATGCTGCATGGTTCTTGTCGTGCTGTTTAGTCTTTAGACTTCAGTTCAGGTCTACCCCACAATCATGTAAATAATAATTGTTGTACCCTGGTATATCCCATCATGATTACAGCGCTCAGCAGAACCTGTGACCAGTGCAGTGTGCATGTAGGGCAGTGAACTCTGACAATACGTCACAGTGTTGGACGGCAGGGCAGCGTTGTCGTGTACAAATCCAGTTGATGGTCCTACACATCGCGCAGCCAATGGCAATGTCGACAGTGAAACGGTGATACTAGAGATAGCCACAACTGAATCCTGTAGACCAAGTAGACCGTATGCTCCTACGAAGCACTAAGTGACTGCACATCAAGCTTGCAGGCCCCGGGTGTCGACTATTGTTCAATGTGATCGCCGCCAATCTCACTGATTAGCAGTGATATCTGGCCCGAGTATACTGTCAGTTGGTGTGTAATTGCAAGTAGGGTTGTATTCAAGTACATTGACATTGTACAGTGTCTGTAGCCTGCCTACCACACCACACTCCCCCTTTGACTCCCTGACCTCACAGTCCTCAGCCAGTGCCAGTGGATACTGCTTATGGTCACAGACTCACAGCGGAGTGCGGGTATTTTTAACTAATACTTACTTTCCCCTGCATCCTGCCTGGAAGGACTCTGCTATTCTTAACGTTATCAGTGCAGCTTGCCGCAGCCTTCCGGTGCACAGCCTCCAACAAGTTAGTTACCTAGGTTTAAAGACCAGGGAGGCGTACAGGCTAGGGTTAGTACTGCTCCTCACCCGATCACATGCACTGATTCAGTTTCGG